CCAAGCCATCAACCAGATGAACACTTCAATCAACATCTATTTACTGTATCACATGATGGGTTGATGTACAGTACATTTTGGACATGTTTCTTCATAGTGGAAATTGCAACATTTACCCCAAAATCAACATTTAATGTCAACCCTGGATCAAGAAACCCTGGTTGAATAATGTGGTGGTTCCCCCAAATAGTGATTTTTGTGGCTACTGAAATGGCACCCCCCCAATTAAACAGCCGTTTGGGGTTTATTAATCGGGGGTTGACATTATCCCAAAATGAACATTTATGAACATCAACAGCTCCATGTATGCAATATCTATCAGCAAAAATACAACAAAATCACCCAAGAGTAAGTACATATTACATCATATTACCATACGTGGAGCCTCTCGATGGGATGGAATTTGCTGCGCACAATTCTTCAAAATTATGTCAGCAGAATTTATAGGAATTGATCATAAATCGCCTTACACACCCCGCTTGAGCCATTAGATATGTATATATATATACACATACGGTATATTAACGGTTTCCCCGATCCCGTTTTGATTGAAAAGTCGGGTAGTATAAGATAGTATAAGATAGTATAAGCTTAATATGTTTGATAGTTCACAATCCATAACACCACTATACTTGGTACTTGAATCCGCCAACAGGGGTACTCTTAATAAATGGGGTAATGGGGACATGTAAACGCTGATCTGGACAGGGGGATTGATCCATGTTCAAACCCCAAACAAACAACGCTTTGTTTCCCCACTTCTGAACTGGTTCCATATTAATTGACATATCGGCTTATATATGTGATGAATTGCATATATGTGATGAATTCTGGTTATTCAACATAGCCATGGAAAATCACCATTTTTCATAGGTAAACCATCTATAAATGGGCCATTTTCCATGGCTATGTTAAATAACCAGAGGGTAACATATCGGCTTTGTCTGAAAATAGGAGATGTCTCAACTCAAAAATGGCTTCGAGAAAAAAAAATCCCAGCAAACAAAATTGCCCCCAACATTGGCAGTAAATGCACCACCATCTTCAGTTAAAGCCATACAAGGTGAGGCCTGGTGGCTATGACGGTTTCTAATCTTCATGGGCTCTGAACCAACAGAACTGGGGCGCCTCACCTTACGGTGTCCAGCTTCACCATTTTCACCCAACTGTATGCAGATCTATTCACCCGAAAAATCCTAGATCATTGCCCTATCAATTGGGGTTCATAATTTGGTCCATTTATATATAACCCCCCCAGCTTTCAGTCAAACCCGAAAAAACTTCCCAGTTTTCATGGATGCAGTCAGTCTATCCTATCATTGCTGGATGGAAGTACCCCACCATGCTACTGTTTTGGTCTGGCGAGTGACACGCTGTCTTGGCTCGCAGCCAACCAAAGTGAACCCAATTCTCCTTAGACAAAGCGACATTGACCCTTGAAGCAGACACACAAATTGCTTAGACACAAAAAACAAGGAGAAACACTAAACAATCTAAACGCCATTTTTCCCTTACTGGTGCTTAGTAGGGAATGGTTGGGTCGCTGGGGGTCGCTGGGGGTTGCTGGGGGTTGCTGGGGGTTGCTGGGATGATTATTGATAGTTAGCCAGTGGATTCCCGAAAATTCCCTACGTTTAGTACAAGTAAGAAAATGAGTCCATTTCCACTTAAACTATCAATAATCATCAATAACAAGTAAGGGAATGATCATTCCCTCATTCCACCTACATTTGCTTTTTTGCGATGTTCAAAACAAAGCACTAGCATTTCTTTCCAAACTTGGACGGTCCCGGTCAGATTTCCAACATCGAGCCACATACGTTCACCCCCCAAATCGCTAAGGCGAAGTTCGGAGGTTCAGGTGAATTCTAGGGTTGATGGTAGATCTATCTCTATCGAACTCTTCTGGAACTATTCTGGGTAAATCTACCATCAACCTTTTTGGGTTAATCTATCTATTTCAGCTTTTATATGCTTTTTGCAATCGTACATATAATCATACATAGATATGCAATGATATGCATATAATCTGGGTAAATTACTATATTTCACTACATAACCTGAAATAAGGCCCATTCCTGCGATGATTCCCCGAATCCTAACCATGCCAGTGAGGGAGAACAGTGACTGTTCCTGCAAGCTGAGTAGTCTCGGTACTCTCGGATTCACCAAATGCTTACATTGGATTGGTTGAAGGAAAAATGTACAGGAAATCCCTTGCTTTAATGGTAAAAACCATGTAAGAAGTAAGAACCATGTAGGTTTTCCCTGAAACATAAAATCGCATTCTCAACATCCGTCACATGTACATGACATCACAAGGTATGACCATGGCATAACATTCAGAACCTCACCCTCTCCAGATTCAGAACATTCTTTCGTGAGAACCAAAATCCTTCGCACAAAAGCAGCCAGAAACCATGGCTCAATGGATCTGTTCATTGGTGCCTTGTTGAAGGATTGGACTACAGTTATGGCCATTTATTAGTTATAACTGGTTCTAAATGGGATTATAACTGTATGATTCGGAATACAATTGACCAACAAGTCAGTGATCTACGACTTGGAGCGTTGCTATCTTTCACAACGACAGGCCAAGACTCCTCTCTCCAAAACTCAATTGATACCCGGAAAGAACAAATCTTTAGCATGTACAGTGGATCACTCAATCCTCATGTGGCGGTGGGGGGCCCCCAAGTTGTGCGCCAGCTTCGTCGCCCAATCGATAGATGTCAGGTTTCCACAAAGCCATAGAATGGCTTCCACCGCAACTAGTTGGTATACACCAACTACATCCAACTACGGCAAATACATATCTGGTTGGTGGTTTCAACACCTCTGAAAAATATTAGTCAGTTGGGATGATTCTTGCCAATATATGGAAAAATAACATGCATGTTCCAAACCACCAACCAGATATGTCATGTATACAACGCTTCCGAAATAAGGTCGTGAGATCCACCTTGGTCAAATGAAGAAAAGACCACTCTCTACCTGGATGATCATCCCGTCCTCGTAACTGGCTGAATCCCAGAAACACCAAGCAGTTGCGAGGACTGCTAAGGATGATCCTTCAACTATAGGGGTCATGAGTTGGTTTGCAAAGGAGTTTTCCAGAAAAAAAGGTACCAAACGATGTTTTGATACGTTTTGATGAGGTTTAAAGGGCCTCATTCTAATGGCGATACATGATGATAAATTGCTATAAATGGTGTGAACATGATGTTTTTTTCCATTTGTATAGCTGTTTTATGCATACTTCGGAGGCTACAAAGTGGGGGCCCCTATAGATAGCTAAGTTGGTTTGTAAATCCAACAACTACATGATTGATGGTGCTTCTTCAAATTTTAGTATTCATGGGATATATAAAAATCATTATAAATCAACTTAGCTATCTGGGGCCCACTTTGTAGGTCCCAGGTATATACACAGCCAGGCGGCAAACCAAAGTCCGCCTTCGCCCACCCACCTAAGAGACCCGGCCGATCGACCAAAAAATGGAAGACTTCAATGCACTTGGCCAAGAAAAATGGTGGTTTAATGGGGTTTAACCAGCAAAATGGTGGTTTTAATGGGATTTACCCTCTGGTAAACATACAAAAAGCTATTGAACATTGCCATAGAAATAGTGGATTGACCCATTAAAAATGGTGAGTTTCCATAGTTATGTCAGTTTACCAAAGGGTACATGGATTTTTTTCATGGACTCTGTTGATGATTTTTTCGCATCAGGATGACTTACCCAACATGGGGATGACTCAGGGATGACACCCTCATGGGTGCTTATGTGGAACCGTTTGGATTTGACGATTAAGTAAACATGTGGTTCTATATTATCTCCCAAAACTGATGACTTAAGCAACAAAAACAAGGAATTTCAATATGTGCTTTTAAACCTATAATACTTAAGTTGCTTTAGGACCTGTTTACCTCGTGATTCATATTTTTACCAGTAAGCATTGGGATTACGGGTTTTGTAAATCTTTCAATGGAACCATCATCTCTTCCTTGGTGTTGTTTCATGTCATTGAGCTACATTGAACTACCTCTATGATAGACTCTATGCCCATTTAATCTGGGTAACATGTATAATGATTTACTAAGCTGAAATGCATCCCATCTTCCTTAGCGGGCCCAACCCCAGGTGAACCCTTACTAAGCATCATTCCAGTGAGGTCGCGACGTGAGGTAGTTACAATTTACCTTGATTTGTTGGACTCTGGAAGACCAGAGAAAAGTTCACAAGCAGTAAATGTATAGGATATATAACTTCATTACAGTTTCAGGCAAAAAAAAAAGATTCTAGATCATCTAATGTGTGGAATACCCATGCCGTTTTCCATTGCACTGGTTGAAACTACTGAAAGAGAACTTCTGGCACATTGAGGACAATTTGATCCTTCTCAATAGCCAATAGGCAATTGTGTGGTCTGAAATTCTTATTGTACCCCAGTTCCGAATCCGGAAGCAGATCTTGATGCTCGGAAGCATCAAGTTAAAAAAAGCATGTGTAATGCCATGAGATGCCATGAGATATAACATGATACAAGGTGGTGCCCCCTAGATAGCTAAGTTGGTTTATAACTCCAATAATTATGGTTTATAGGTGATATATCTATAGTTAATGGGATTATAAACCAACTTATAACTTGGGGGGCACCACCTTGTAGAACTCAATTGAAAACCTTTCAACCGCCAGTGCCAGTTTTTTTTTGAAGGACTCTTCCAGGATCCGTTTGAAATCGAAACTGGGAATCACCACATGTTCTGCGTTGAAGTTTGCCTAGATCAAAGATAACACCAGCAGTATAGAACCAAGAGGCTGGGAACGGTTAAAGCAAATTTGGTTCCAAGAACATGGATGTTTCTTCCCAGCATTTTTGTTGGCAAATGGGATCTATTGGGTAGCTGGGCATGGTTTTTTGATTAGATACAGAGCCTATAAGGTGGTGTTCATCAGTTAAGTTTGATGGTTCTGATTCACCCACCCAACCTGTAATTATAGGTATTTCACCACAATAGACTTCACCTAGTGAACGAAACCAACTTAGCTATAAATGAAAAAGAAATCAACTATCAATCCCGATGTTTCGTGAAATCATCATTTTTCTCCTATGTTTCATACCTAAATCCTTATGTTCTGCCATTTTCCCCCATATTTCAAGGTGAAATCCCATAAAATCCCAGAGGCTCGCCCTTGAAGACCTCGACGACGCCGGCGTTGGAACGGCGATGGGGCCGCACGATGTGGTACAGAAGCGAGCCGCTGATAACGTAATACCTGGAACCGGTTGGGCCCCTAGATACCAATGGATTGGTTTTGTTGGGGAAAATCGAAACCGGAAACCATAGATTTTCCCACAAAATATATGGGTTTTCCTGTAATTCTTCCCTTAAACCAAGCCATTGAAGATGACTAAGTTGGTGCCAATAACTCCAAGTTCACAATGGTTGATGATACGCAAATAAATATAGTTCATGGTACTTTTTAAACCAATTTATAACTGGCCGGAAATATCAATGATGAATGGTTGTAACTGATTATGTCTATGGGATTATACATTTCATAAATCTGGGTAAAGCATCATATTTCACTAACCTGACTAGTTCGGCAATTTGGGGATGATCTCCCTATCTAAAAAAAAAATGGCCATGGATTCCAGGGTTCGGGAGAACAGGGTTCGGGAGAACAGTGAAATCTGTGGAGAAACGGTGGTTGAATGGGATGTTTTTTTATTTTCCCCCACTTCACTTGGGGAAATCATATGACATAAATTGAAATAGTGTGGAAAATATCAGTGGAGTTAACTGATTTAACCGTCCCATTACAAGTAATTATATATGTTTTGAGTGGATATATGACGAAATATCCCATCATATCCCATGTGTTTTTAAAAGTTGGTTTGCGGTTGTTTTGAGGTTTATTTAGGGTTGGCTTTAGGTTGGTTTAGGTCGAGAAGCGAAGAAGCAAAGAAGCAGGGAAAAGCAGAACAGTAGAAAAGCAAAAAGCAGAGAAGCAGAACAGTGGAGAAGCAGAGAAGCGAAGAAGCAAAAAACAGAGAAGCAAAAGAGCAGAAAAGCAAAGCAGAAAAGCAAAGAAGCAGGGAAACAAACTCCACAAAAAAATGCCCAAAATGGAAAAAACAAACTCCATTTCGAAGGAAGGGATGATAATCCTTGAAATTTACAGGTGGTGAGTGATTCAAGCACACCCCACTTCAAGCAAGGTATAAAGGGCAGCCTCTTTCAAAGCACTTACTTCCAAACTGCAGAACTTGACAGGGTGTGACGGATGCCATAAACAAGGTGAATATGAATATGTCAGGTTCAGTAGCTCTCAAGGCATAGCATGAATCCAGGAGTTATTGGAGTTACCAACAGAAACCCCAAAGCCCGGCTTGAGGTCCCACATTGAATAGTGAAACAACACACAATGTTGTGACCACCAGTTGTGTTTGTTGGCTTATGACTTAGCGATTCCGAACCGGGGCACCAGCTGTGATGACATCGCACGTGAACCATCTCCCCAAAGGTTTGACAGTTGACACCACGTTAAAGCCTACAATTGCCAGAGAAATCCCGAAAAAACATCCCTTGGTAGGTGAAGGTCATAGTGTTGCAAAGTAAATATCAACCAACTTCAGCCGAACAGCCCATAATTTTATGGTTAAATTCCCCACATCCCATGAAAATCCCTCTGGTAAACGTTTACATATGGAAAATCAACATGGTTCATTGGTAAATCAACTATTTCTATGGCCATGGCTTTAATAGCAAACTGTCAGTTTACCAGAGGGCATCCTACAGTTATGGTCCAACTAACAGTTATAAATGGACTTACAACTCCTATAACTGTAACTGAGCTTATATATATATATTATATATATATTATATATATTATATATATATATATTGTATATATATTATATATATATATATATCATGAAATAACCCCATAAAAGCCACTGTTAGTTGGGCCATAACTGTAATTTATTTATGTTGGGTACCCTCCGGTACAACTATGGTATAACTATATAGCATACTGAAAAATCCCCATGTTTGTTCATATCATGTCTAAACTGTACGCCAAATGTTAAATCCCTATTACAGACTGTTACCCTTTGGTTATTTAACATTGCCATGGACAATGGCCAATTTATAGATGATTTTCCCATTAATATTTCCATTTATAAGGGATTTTCCATGGCTATGTTAAATAACCAGAGAGTAAATCCACATGTTTTCATACTAACTCCGCCGCTTATCGGCACGGCACATGTAGCTCGCTTTCTCTGCACGCGCAAAGACGTCTTCCCAGGGTGGGACGGAGCGAAAATCCAAACCTCAACGGGGTGGCATGGCGGCATCATCCCAAATGGTGGGTGGTTTCAGTCCCGGAAAAAAAACGTGATCCGCACCAACTGACATGGAACATCTGACATCATATGTGACACGTTTACTGAACAGTTCTCAATGTCATTTGCTGGCAAATGATCATCTCCAACTGTGTTGGTTCACAAGTACTGCTACTTTCATTGGGGACATCCATTTCTGCTGGTATGCTGGATCACAATAATATCACGAAACTGGCTCCAAATTAAACCCCAACGATCGGTAAGTTATCTGAACAATCGAGGCCAAAGTGCCTATAGCCACCACTCTGCGATGGAAATTCAGGCAAGAACACTCGAATATGAGGAGACACAACAACAAATAATGTATTTACATATGTATATGAACATTGTTGAACAACAAAATATGGATAAGTGTCCCAATCCATTATTGAGGCCCCATCATAATCCATACCCACATTTGTTGGTTCATATTTATATTGTTGATGGCAAACGAATGTGTTGGTACAAAAGTATGTGTTTCCAGGTGTTTTTTCTTGTTGATGCATGCATGTAATATACTATGGTCATGGTACACAGCAATACTACATATATAATTATATTCATATCCCTGATAACTCACACATATTTCTATATGGTACAATGTGCCCCCCACACTTATGTTTGTTGATTTATGACCCAATATATCTACCAAAAGCACGTGCTTAGCCTGGGTATTAACCAAATTACCTCTTGTTTGGGAGGGCCACAGTGTGTATTGATTCAATATAAGAACCACTATTTGATATCAACTGTAATTTGGTATATTGAAAGAAACAACAATACAATGTTCCTACTTATTGGTAGATTATATCACTGATAGTTGATACCCATATGTAAGCATGCATATCATATTCACAGCCTATTTGGTAAATTAATTGACAGTTCAAACCTCATGAAATGATGAACCGGATATAATGTATTTGGTACAAATACATTGACATATTTTGATACAGTTGATACGTATTATATGTATTGATAGTTAATTTAGTTGATACCTGTACATTACCTATACTAACTATCAACTATATGAACTCTTAATTATCATCATTGTTTCTATATAAGCATATAGAGATACATTGACAACTGTATTTACATTATATATATAGTGTATATATATACTATATATATACTATATATATACTATATATAGTGTATCTATATAGTATATAAATAAAGTATATACTATATATCTATAGTATATCTATAGTATATCTATAGTATATCTATAGTATATCTAAAGTATATACTATATATATATATATACTATAGATATACTATAGATATACTATAAATATACTATAGATATATAGATTTTGTTTTCTTCTCCAGACAGCCAGTTGACCCCTGTGAACAGTTGATTTCCCAGCCTCGGTCGCAAATCTTGGCGATGACATGCGGATCCGCCAGTTCCATCCCTGGCCGCCAGTCTTTGTGAAAAATGAACGAAGTTTCATAGGAAAACCATAGGAAAACCATAGGAAAACCATAGGAAAACCATAGGAAAATTGTGGTTTAATGGGGTTTAACCAACAAAATGGTGGTTTGAATGGGATTATAAACTATAAATTATATAAGGGTAAATGTTAAAATGATAAATGATAAATGATAAATGCATATTCACATAACGTTTATTCATATATTGATAGTATGATAACTGATAAATGTATATTATTTAATGATACCTGATAATGATAAATGATATTTTTTTTTTATCATAGATTCATATGAATTATCACAATAATGATAAATGAAAACTGATAAATTATAAAATATACATTTATGATAATGATAATGATAAATGAAACATGATAAAAGTATATTCATCTATAATGACGACTATTAATGATACGTGACGACTGAGACGACTGGATCTTCATAATGGACAAACAATGCTACGAATAATGGATTCATTCGCTAAAATACAATCAATGGGTTTCGAAACAAACAAAAACATAGCAAAACACACGCTGATAAATTGATATTAATAATAGTGAATGGACAAAAATAAGATGTGTTTTCATGAACGTTACTAATGTGTTTGATGAATGGATAATAATAAGTTAAGCGCATCACATCGCATCACAATGGGTTGAAACTGATTCATAATGGCTGGTACACAATAATCATGACTAAATATGTTCAACTCATAGTTACTGAATTAAACTTATATATGTACATAGATAGTCAATGTTAATCAATAATCCCATTAATATGTGTCTCTTGCCAAATATAACAATGAGATTGTAATGGGTGAATAAGGATTAACCATGGTTCTATAAATAATATAATATTGAAAGGGATACTTGATGGGATACCCTCCGGTGTCCTCAAACATGGCTACCTGGGAAATCCCTGAACTATTGCCGAGTGAGTTTACAGCCAGCCACGTTTGATTACCCGAGGGTAAACAGTATCATAAATAAATATTGGACTCATGTTTATATTACTGTATGTTTGCAATGTATATGTGCATAGATGATTATTTCATCACAAATAACTCCAGATAAGTCAAGATACCCTCCGGTATTCTGACATAGCTAAGGAAGATGACTCGTGTAGTTCAATGAGTTACAAAATGGTGATTTTCCAAAGCCACGTTAGACGACTAGGGAGTAGTATGCATGATTAGTAGCAGTAATAATGCAGTTGCCGGATATACAAATACCTTGTTCTGATTGTAATAAAAGGTTTGTAACCACAATACAGTAAAAGTATTAGTATACAAATACTAATATGAAAGGAATAGACTAATACAGTAGGATCTAATGGTAACAGTAACAATATGAGCTTAAGAACATCTCTCAGTTGTTGCGGTCATTTTGATCTACGACCCTCGAAGATGGATCTCCTTCAAACAAAATCGGGTGCTCGGTCGTTAAGGCGAGGTCGTGCACTGTACCCTCTGGTAAACTAACATATCTATTGAAAATGTGATTTATAATTGGTTTACCTATATAACATGGTGGTTTTCCATAGCTATGTAAACGTTTACCAGAGGGTGACATATCATTCTCACAATGTCTACAACAATAAATATAACATATATGGTTCCATATAGTTAATACATATACTATAATGTTTTTCATTTAGATACCTTTTTTCAACGTGTATCTAGTTCCATCTAGGCTAAACCAACAATGGCTCAATGGCTCATCCGGGCACCTTGGAAAAGAGGATGATGGAGGAGCAAAGGCACATACATGTCCTGCCGGATGGGTGCCACTACCCGCAGGGACGGGATCGAAGATGTGCGAAATCGACATATATATTTCTTGAATTTAAATATAATATATATATATATATCTATATGTATGTATGTCACCAAATTTAATGTCACCAAATAGCATTTTGTTGGTAATTGTGATGATGTCCCAGCACAGTGCCTTGCGCAGTTCCACACGTAAGACCTGGCAGCACGGTGCAAATTTTGGCTGAAGTCACACCCGAAAAACGGTGGCTGGCTTATTGAAAGGTATCTAAATCAAACCAACATGCCAAACTTGGAGACATCGTAATTACAGAGTTTTAAGTATATAGTATTCTGTGTCATTCATACGTTATTCTTCCATATATCGCAAGCATTCTCAAACTGAATACCAAGCTTTATCAGGGCTGAAGTCAATCTTCCATCGCATGGCAACCAACTCACTGTTGGGGTGAAAAACTGGGGGATACATCGAAGTTGTCAAGTTTTTCGAAACGTATGCAGTTCTAAATGTTTCAAAGCTTGGGATAGAATCATACTGTGGATGGAAGAAATCCGGCACCAGTATTCACCAGTTGATAAATGATTTATCCCATTATTTATAGGTTTGCAGGATTTCTTCCATCCACAGTATGAAATGGGATGCAACATGACGTAACCATCAAAACACACATAAGTCACATAAGCCTGAAAAATCATGAAAACACACATAAATTTTGGTTGTTCTTAAATCTACATTCATCCTCCATGTGCTGTATGAGCACCCGACCCCAAATGTGACCTTTTGATGAGAAAGCCCCAGCCGCTTGTTCTTGCAATTGATGAGTCTTCGCTTGTTGACCTTATTTCTTAAACATGTTCGTTAAAAAACAAGCACATGAAGAATCAAAAGCAAACGAGTAGTAAAGATCTGTATGTAGACTTCTATAAATGGGTGTCTAAAAATAGGCCATTCCAAGTGGTTTATCATCATCTTCCTTATTGAAAGGTCTATTGTTTGGGTAAGTTATACCATATTTACACGCACACCAAAATTCATATCAAGTTGCTTGTTCATATCCCAGTATATCCCGTTATATCCCCATGTTCTAGCCATTACACCCCATAAAATAGCGGTAAATATCCCTATGACTCCCGCTATGCCTGTGAAAACCATACCAGCCCATGTTCGAGTTGGTTATCCAGAAATTTCGCTTTATCATGCTTTATCCCCTTAAACCTTCATGAAATAATAAATAACCATTAAACCCCACTAATGTGGGCAAAACAATAAACCACCCATTTGGGAATAGTTTATACCACCTATTTATGGTGATTTGGATAATGGTTTATTGTTTTACCCACATTATATCCCATCAGAAAAAAACGTCCTAACGATTAATTCATATCCTTATCACTCTAATGGGATACAACCAGGTTATACTGGGTAATTATAATGGTTCATCAAAATGGTGATACCCATGTAATCAGGGAATCTCATGATAAAAATTGACTTTGCATCATAAACCATCCATTTTGGGGTAAACCCCATGAAATATCCCATTAGAAAAAAACGTGTACCCTCTGGTTATTTCACAGTTCGCCATGGGACATGGCCCATAGAAATAGATGGCTTACCGTTCTTAATAGCATGGTGGATCTTTCCATGGCGAACTGTGAATGTCATAACCAGATGGTATATGATAATAATGACTAATAATGGTTAATCATGCTATAATCATGGTATAATCATGCTATAATCATGGTATAATCATGGTATAATCATCTATAACCAGAGGGTAACCCCCATATTCCCCAATATCATCGCTGCCGTCGCTGAACGTCCGACGGCCTTCGGCAGGTCCTTGAGCAACTCCACGTCGTGCTCGCAGAGCCGTTGACGATTGCGTTCTGAAAAAAACAAGCGACGCTTTTTGGGACGGAGGTCTGTCACTGGCCATGCAACAGGAAAGGATTTATTGGAGGTACCGATTTCATATAGAAGGCCTGTTTTTTAGGCTAAATTTAAGGGACCATATATATAAGGCCTATATAAGGCCTATGTAAGGGAATATCCCCACAAAATAAGGCCAAAAATATGGTACTAACGTACCCCCATTTTAGGATCCTGGAATTCCCATTGAGTCTGGGTCTGGTTGTTTTTGGAATGTCATGGCATTACTTCAGGTGGCAAAGATTTTGGGTAAACATGTAGGCTTTTGAAATGATGTAACTAGGAACAATGATGAAAAAATGTGAGATTGATAGTTGATATTATATATATATGATACATCATAGCCAAGTTGGTTTGCCAGGTTAACTGTTGGGTTTATAGTAGATACATGTATAGTTGGATGGGTTTATAAACCAACATCACTGGGGGGGCACCACCTTGTAGTGATTGATTTTTTGGAAGAACTTGCAAAGGGGAGGCTGTTAAACACGGAGTAGCTGTGATTGATCCCGGCATGTGCCAGGATCAAAGCCAAGATCGATAGATTTTAAATGGCTGACACTGTAGCCATGGCCAAATCTGGATGGGTCCGTGCAGAACAACCGTTGTTCTGGTATAGTATATATCCAATTCGAATTCCAATCATATATATACATATATATATATATATATATCATCATCATATTTTATATATCTATTTATTTACGGCAAAGATTCAGGTATTTCCCATAGAAATTGGTGTTTTACCTCGACGAATAGTACATTTACCATCTTTTGGGATGGAGTCCATGGAGGGTCATCGGAGGTTGACCCAGGTCCCGTTGGTGGTTGAAAAACGACGTCGGGGCTGCGTCAAAACCACATGACTGGGGGATTTTTGACATAGATTTTCTCATAAATATCATAATTTCAATAGACATCTAATGATAATTAAACCGTTTATAAACATCATCAACAAGAGGGGGTACCATCCGGGTAAATTGACTCACCATTTTGGGGATCAACAACCATGACGATGCCATCACGATGTATCCCAGACATTTCACCCCAACTGCACTTCCAATTTCAAATCAATAAACAAAAACACATATGATGTTTAACGTGCGACTAATGACTAATCAAATTGTCAAAGTGTCTGGACATGGATGGTTTTCATGCTGGACATATCATGACTATTCATGACATATCCACATCAAACCAGTGGTTTTGCTTGGCGAAATGGTCCATTTTAAGCAACATCCCCGACGTCCACTTCGAAAAACGAGTGGCTTTGGCCGCGCAAGAAGGACCAGACCTGGGCCCCGGTGCAGATAACTTATGTGTTAATGGATGTTAATGGAGTGTCCAACTTATAACTGATATATATATATATATATCATATTATAACCGTAACGAACTAGTTAATGAAATGAATCTAAACCAACAAACATTACTAGGGGGCCCCACTTAGCCACTTAGTAGGTAGGTGTGTTTTTGTAACCAACTTAACCAGGATTGATGGTCTGATGATATCTCGAACTAGTTAGATGGAGTTATTAGCAGCCAACCAACATAACTTTGGGGTCCCATCGGAATCAATCATGTTGTTGGAGGTAAATCTATATCTTTTTCAGGTCATACTCTAGGTAATAGCGATACTGACCGGGAATAGATAAGGTTGTGTGGGAATAAATTCCCATATTATAGAAACCAGTTTCTAGTGACGCTGCGAACATTGTTTTAAGTACCAGGGTTGACCATCTCTGAATTTGTTTGGGGTTGCCATGTAGATATTTTACAAATTCAATACAGTGCAAGACCATCCAATGTTGAGGTGGAAACGGAAACCAGAGCCGCGTCGACGAAGATTACTGCTTGGTGGTTTTAGTCCATCCCCAGCATATCCTCGTCATCTTAACCAATCATCCCTAAATATCCCTTTTGGATCCTTTTGGTTGAGAAAAAAAACATGTTTGAGACTCCAGCCTTAGCAATTGAAAAATGCACTGCTCACCCCCTTTGTCATTGATGTCGATGTCCAGATTTGCCGGGTCCGACCAAGGATGCGTCAGGATGCGGCGGAATTACCGTCGTGTTCGGAAATCTCGTGCGGGGGTCAGCTGTTAGAGCTGCAAAAAGATGTTGTCCGAATTCCTGGCCGTCACGGTTCCAAGAACTGCTGCCTCCGCGCGGATGCTGTTGACTAAATCTAGGACTTGTAGAGCACGGACGGTACCTCGATCCGAAGGCTCATCATTCACTTTCATAGTTTGCAAACTCGTGTGACTGCGCTCATGGTTTTGGTTCCCATGTCCATCAGGTGGCAACGAAATGACATAGTGTCCTGGTGCAATGCAGAAGATGGCACGGGTGACTTAAAAGGTTGGCTACAGCAATGGTTGTTCTATGTTGTTCTTCAATTATGGTGTATACCCGCAACAACACCATATTTCATTTTTTTGATGGACAATCTACCTATTCTCAAAACAAGGTCTTAGAGTCTTACAGTAATCAACAAACATGTGCAATCTGGCGATTTAATGCAGTCATGAAAACGTATTCATGTCTAGATCCCTGACAAGAAACAACATTGCCAATTTCCATGTCAAACCGTGTAATAACTAAATCATACCAAACCAAATATTATTTTTCATTTATGGCCCCCAACAGTTATGGCCATGGGATGAAATAACTCCTTCAACTGGTTAGTGACAACTGCCACTTCTATTAAAGGTGGTTTTCTTAACCTGTTATCACTGACAAATTTTGGGCTTATTACTATTCCATGATTATTTCACTATTACTCCCCTGTAGACCATATATCCCATATCTGGTTGGTGGTTTTAACCATCTTCAAAAATATGAACGTCAATGTGAAGGATGACATCCCATATATGAAACGGAAAATAAAACTCATGATTGAAACCACCAACCAGATATATATATATATATATGGATTATATGGATTATAAAGGATTATATGGATTATATATCCCATATATCCCATATTAAGGGACCTATAAATGTACCCCCACCCCCAGCAACCGCCACGTGAAACGCGTGAAACGCCAACGCAACGAGCGCAACGAGGGACGCGTTGGGACATTTTGGGGGAGATGGAGCGATCCCCCAAGAACTTCCGCAAGGCCTTCTCCTGGGAAATTGATCGCGACGTTTGTAGATGGATGCTGGACATGTACAATACATACATATATATAATATAATAATAATGATAAAAATAGTAATCATAATAATTATTATTATATATATATATTCGAAAAACAGGAAATAATATATATGTTGGAATATATGATATATGTTGGATAATGTTATATGTGTTGTATATATATATATATACGAATACTGTATTAGGAAAATGCTGGGACAACAATGGGACTATAATAGTATGATACAGTATTTTAACATATGTTAACTATACAATCGGAGGACACTTACTATGGTGTATATATATATATTCGGGTTTATGGGTTTTATGCCCCCCCTAGATGGCTAAGTTGATTCATGGGCTTTTTATACCAACAAACATCACTGGGAGAACACACCTTGTAGGAGGTTGCAGGTCTAATTATGGGGGCCCTATGAAACAACAATTTCGCCCGGTAATGATGAGAGCTTCCTAAAGTCCTTGACGCTTCCTAAAGTCCTTGACGATGTTTGATTTGTTTGTGTTTTTCGAATCGACAGATGTTGACCCATTTCACCAATTTCTTCGATAGTTTCAACGAACGGTGGCATGTTAGGGGTAAACACATAACTGGATCAGGCAGTGCTGGTTTGTTATGGAAAGTCAAAACTGAGGTTTGCCCAAAAAAAAAGAATTTCCAAATTCGGGATCTGCTGGGACCCTGACCCTGAGAAATTATTCAAAGATTCCCCGTGCGTCCAAACTGGCAAGGTAAGGACTTAATCAGTTTGTTGTTGTGGTCTATAACTAGGTCAGCTGTTGGGTTTATGGTGATTGCAAGTAGGCAGAAACAACTGCACCAACTGCACCAACCAAGCCAGAAGTCTGCATGAATTGTGGAAATCTCTTGCGAGTAGTATCTGGAGACAATTCGGGCGATGGCCGCAAGACCTCAGCATGAGACGGCGCTATCATGCCAGAAATTTAAGGGTCAATAAATGTTTTGGAAGGAAGGGTTGATAAAACCATAGTGACTAATTAGATATTATGAACCAGTACCTGACCAATCAGAGTCAACTGGTCACTGGTCATATTTGTTATTCAAAACAATACTGCTGAGGCAATATTTCACTTTTTTATGTGTGATCTCAACATGTTTTTGTTGGCACAACTGTTGCATTGCTCACTCATCTCTGCATCGAGGGGTGTATTCCCCCAGGCTTTTGGGATCTTCCTCAGGTTTGTTGATGAAAAAGTCCCCGTCCTTGTTTAGGGTCATTTCTCCATATAGATATATAGTGTGTGATAAAACCGTGTTTGCTTACTAATCTTACTAACCCCCGCATACTTGCTGGGTGATCAAGCTCCCTAAATCTCCCTAAAGTTCAGCTTTGTTATTCATTGTTTGGCTGATACAATCAACATATTCTCTCAGCATCCTCTGTTGCACAAAAAAAAGGTGAATCCAAAGTAACACATGTTCTGTGGCTAATGTTTGAATGGCACCAATATACATATATATATATACATACATACGCAATATATATATATAAACATATACATACTGTTGTCACATATATATATATATGTTATATATATATATATTATATTAGAACATATTGCCATGCATTCGGGGGGTTCTGGAGGGCTGTGTGACCATATGGAACCAGCCACGCTATAATGATGCCAGGATGCCACTGGCGAAGCAAACGAAACCGACCAACAGGACCAGCACGCCAAACCAATGTTCCTCGCGGAAAAAAACCTATTGGTTGGGATAATTCATGATAATTCATTGGGATAATCTTGTGAGATAATGTTTCTTGGGATTTCTTTTATCATAGATGTGGACATTTCCATGTAAGATGAGGGTTTCTAGATACTTATAACTAGCTTAACTGTTGGGTTGATTAGCGGGATATCTATTTATATATATATACATACCCAAGGTGAGGGTTGCTACAGTTATAGCCCGCTTCACAGTTATAACTAGCTAAGAGAACCTCATTTAAGTCATGTTGAACCAAGCAGATGGTTAAGTTGACTCATAACTAGGCCAGCTGTTGGTAAACACATCCACATTTCTTGATTAACATCCAAATATCTTGCTTAAAATGTATGTTTAAATCCCTTTCTTCATTGGTTGGTTCCCAGCTTCCCTGTGAAAAGTTGAACTTCAAAAAACTCAAAGTCTCAGGGCATGGCTTGAGAAACAGAGTTGTGGCCCTTTTCACAGTTATAACTGCAAAAATATCTACAGAGTAAGCCCGTTGAAGTGATATGTTTCACCAACTATCCCTGGAAATCTCCATGTCTATGGCCCGTTTTTTATGCCCGTTTCATCCCAGGTTTTGTGGCTTCTTTGCCCCTGGCAGCCCAGGGCCCAGGGCAGCCCAGGGTCCCACTCGTTCACCGCGTGGATCCGCGTGGTGGCAATGGCGAAATTCGAAAGACTCCAGTGCAGCGCGGTGACCTAAAATCGACTTCGAGAACATTTCTGGAGACCCGGAGCCGTACCTACGAGCTAGGAACTATGACTGGGCTATATATATATATTACATTATATATTATATATAATATAATATAATATAATTAAATACAATATAATAAAATATAATATAATAAAATATAATATAATATAATATAATTTCATATAATATAATACAATATAATATAATATAATATAATATACACGTATATGTATAATATTATATATATGTGCTTCAGTTGCCAAGCTTCACTCGGGCTTAATCATCTTAAACAGTAATACCCACTCGGGTGCACATACAAAAAGCTGTGGACTGTGAAACACCTATGGTTTCCATGCCAATGTTTACCCCCAGGAATCCCACTGACTGCCTCACTACCTTGCCGCGGGACGTATTGATAGCCAGGATTTCTCTCAGCCACACCACTGATGGTTGTCCAACTCTCCATGCCATCTGGGCGAATCCATGGCCCTTTGAACACAGGGACTGGCTAAGGAAGCCACATTTAGGTGATATATATATATATATATAATTATATATATATAATTATATATGTATACATTAATATATGGATATTAATACTATTAATCTATTGATACCTATTTTTTTTCTACAACCAACCAGTTTCGGGAGGCTTTTGGCAAGGGCAACCTTCGGGCAACTGATGCAACTGTGGGATCTATGAAGATTGGATGGTGAGTATTTTCCCATCATTGGTTTAGTGGACTATTTATGACTTGGGGTTGTGGGAAGTATATTTTATCATATTTTATAATATTTTATATGGCTTGGGGCTGTGGGAAGTACAAGGTGCCCCCCCACTTACAACTTCGCTTAGCTTCACCCCATTATTTATATAGGTATATCATGCCCAGATGCTCCATGTATGGAATATTTACCTACATTTACCCCAAAAATGACCCAAATGTAGGTAAATATTCCATACATGGAGCATCTGGGATGGTATATCCACCAAAAACCATAGAATTCACCGCTAAACCAGCATCGATTTCGCTATAACGGTGGGCATGACCTTGCAAAAGGCCTCCCGTTAGGTTTTTCGGCTCGTGACGCTCACCAAGCCGTACTCGATAAAGAAATTGTTGGATCATCTACCCTCCAGTAATATCGAACCATGGAAAATCCCCATACAATTTATTGATGATTTAGCAGCATTTAAACTGGTGAGGTTCATTGAATTTCCACAGCTATATGTTAGTTTACCAGAGAGCAGAGAACACGAAAGATAAGCTACACACATTGGTGCATGATCCACAATATTAGAGTTTCCGTGGAGGCAGCAACTATGTTGAATCGTGGTTGGAAAGGGAAAACAAACTACGAGTACAATCTTGCAACATAAGGATATGACCAAAACTTGCAGGGATATCATAAGTGCAAACAACATGGCGAAACATCAACACCCACAAAAAAACATACGTAGATTTGGGACTAGAGAAAATCGGACAATTCTTGATCTATCGCCACCTGGGAATCATGCTATGGGAACTGCAGCTGCAGTTTTTAGGTGCTCCATGGGAACGTCAACAAATCTCCATGGATCTTAAACCTTGTGTATCACCCAACCGTTACTTCTCTTCAATGTGAGGCCCCCGTTCGATAGCTAAGTTGGTGAACATAACTCCAATAACTATGGTTTATGGTACTTATCACTATTATAGTTACTGGGGCTTATAAACCAACTTATAACTGGAGGGTGCCATATTGTGGGATACCCCAAAAAAATCAAACATCGATTTTTGGTGCAACTTTTCTTGGACGTCATGAAAATCCAAATAGAGATTTCCCATGCACTTATTATCGTGAAACATGACCAGTTGTGCAGTTGTGGCCCGAACTACCAGTTCTATAGGTACAAAAATAACTTATAACCCAATTTATGGAATGTATAATCAAATTTAAGTTATAACCAGTTTTATAAAAATCAAAAACCATCTGGTTATGACTAACAGTTCGCCATAAAAACAATCCCAACCATACATGGAGGTTTAGTTCGCTGGGAAAATCATCTACCCTCTGGTTATTTGACATAGCCATGGAAAATGGCCCATTTATAGATGGTTTACCTATTCAAAATGGTGATTTCCCATGGCTATGTTAAATAACCAGATGGTATTTCGATTAGGGCCATGGCAAAACCATCGCTGCGGCCGCCTGCTGCAGTTGCCGTCCCGATGAGATACCACATGCAGCCGATGAAATGATTCAACGCGAACGCCTCAGAGGCTGTGTGCAAGACGAATGGAGAGTACGAGTCCTTACAAAAAGGGACCTCATTTCAGGTCAAAGAAAAATTACCCTCTGGTTATTTAACATAGCCATAGAAAATGGCCCATTTATAGATGGTTTATGATGGTTTACCTATTACAAATGGTGATTTTCCATGGCTATGTTAAATAACCAGAGGGTAATCTATAGTGATATAGGGAAAAGATTGGAAACCTGGTCTTTTGTTGGAAGAATCGGATTTACCAAAGAAAAATATGGAAACATGGGGATATCATGGGGATATACCCTTAAGCCTTTGGTAACGATTGCCCTAGTGAGGCCCGCCGGATATGACAACCGTCATCTATACCATCCTGGAAAAACGTGTCTATTCGTTTGTTGGGGGGTGATATATGGTGATATATGCATATATATGCATATATATGCATATATATATATATATATGCATATATGAATATATATATATATATATATATATATAGATACGTGTACCCATTTAGAAAAAATATCTACCAACAACCATAGAGTTCGCCTAATTACAACGCAACTTATCAATCGTGTGCGGGCCTCACTGCGAGACGGAGCACTCCAGCAAGGTGCCATGGGGTCCACTAGATTGCTTGTTTTTGCACTAGTCGTAGTCGTAGTAGCAGTGGCAGCAGTAAGTTATAGCCCTTTAGCAGTGTAAGTACTTATAACTCCATTTCTGGAATGTATAATCCCATAGAAATAACCAGCTGTAACTAATAAATGGCCATAACTGTAGTAGCAGCGGTAGTAGGAGTAGGTGGGGCTCCCTGCGCTGAGTTGGTTCATTTGCCTTGCTTAACCAACTGGCTTTTGGTACGTAGGTCGACCAACCTAACATGGGGGACATCACTACCCATAGGATCCATGGTGCTGGATGGTGCTGGTATATATGCTAACATAAAGGGGGTATATTGATGGGATCCATGTTACCATATATAGCAGCACCATGGATCCTATGGGCTATGGACTATGTGACTGTAGTATATACCCTCTGGTAAACGTTTACATAGCGAACTGGAAAGATCCACCGTTTTCTAGCTGGGTAAATCCACTATTTCGACTGGGCCATGTTCAATAGCAAACTGTTAAATTACCAGAGGGTAGTTCGTTCAACCCAATAAAAGTCGTTGGTACCATTGGACACGTATCTTTTGGGAACCAGTTCCTTGTTGGTACGTTCCGAAATGCTTAGGAGTTCGATTATGCACCTGTTCATTGTCTTAAAACAGAAAGAACACAGAACACAGTTGAGTGGTTCAACCACCAATCGACATTAAAACGAGTCAACTAAATTAGATAAACTCATCACAAAAGGACATAAAAAGCCAATTTGATACCACCAACCATTTTTTGGATCATCATCTCATTCATCAGCTGTTTTTTTTTACAACTTCATCCACTCAAATCTCTCCATTTGGGGGTCTGAGTGCGTTCAAAGCGGCAATCATCACAATACACACCAATTTCAGGCACAGCAGCGCTAGATCCTCAGTTTCACGAAACTTCACCAGGTGGCACGCGAAATGGAGAGAAAGCGGTGTGTCGGAAGATAGGCTACCCCTAGACCTATGGCCCCTGGCAGTTGTAATTGGGATTACACCTCCTACAACTAGGGTTATACTTAATTTACATCACGTTAATTATCAACCAGCTATAAGTGTTAATGGCCATAACTGCGTCCTTAAATCGAGGGGCTAGTCATCAGTTTAGCCAGGAAGTTGCTATTTTGGGGGTAAGTCTCACATTTTCACACAACACCGAACGGATCTTTCCGGTCCCCAGCCATGTGAAAAAGGGCCCCGCGGCAATGGATTCGCCAGCCGAAAAGCTGGTTGATGGGTTTCAACTTTTCAACTTTCAAGCGAAAGTTGAAGTCACTGAAACGCCGTGATCATTATCCCAGATCCACTAACTATCTAACTAGTCACTATGGTTTAAGCAACACTGGGGGAAAGCCAACCAGGATGATCCCATTTTCCGCATTTTCAGGTGATCAGGCTGGGATTTTTTTTGCAGTTTTTCGGTGGTCTTGTTGGCAACCATGGTTACATACAAACCATATATAATATACAAACCCCCAGACATATCCTGGTGGTTGAGCCCTACCCCTCTGAAAAATGATGGACTTCGTCAGTTGGATGATGAACCCATATGGAAAAACAAAAACTCTTTGAAACCAACCAGATCCATACCTTTGGGATGTGCAAAAAAAAGAACCATGGTGAAATCTATCCACGAACACTGGAACTGCACTTCCAAGTACCCCTGTTTTTACGTGAGCCCATTTCTATGGGGACAATGAGGATCGCAGTGATCATGACGTCATGTCATCACCCATCCCACATCCCGTCCAAGTCTCTGAGTGGACGGCATCAAAGATATGCTGAATGAAGGGCAACTGAGTGCGCAGCACATGATTCGGAGCACGTGTCGTGTTTTTTTCCTCACCCAACCCTATTGCTTCCAACAGTTCTGGTACTCTTACCACATCCATGAAGCTATATACTACCTAGAAAGGGTTACTATGTGACATCTCGAAAGAGTCAACGTAGAGAAACACCATATTCAACAAATGTAGTGTACCCATTTACGGGTATACTGAGATTATTGAATACAGTTCATGATGCCATTCATGGCAAAGGCATTAACAAAGGTTTGCATAATCTAGTACAAAGTGATGCCTCCCTAGATAGCTAAGTTTGTTTAAAATTAGGTGAACCATGGTCTGTGGTAGATATATCCATAGACGATGGAGTTTACGCACCAACTTATAAGTGTCTCAACACAACCAGCTGTGCAACAACTGGCAGTTCAAACAAATGCACGGCATCGCGCCATTTTCCTCAAATGGGAAAGAGATACGAGGCACAAGGATCCTGGGTGAATTGGGCCAAATTGGCCAGCGAAGTTGAAGGTGAAGACCTGGCAGCTGAAGGTTCAATGAATCGTCTTGCTCAAATTTGTCACTCCAGCATTTTTGTTTGGACCTTCAGCCTTCTGCTTGGTATTCTCGGTCAGTTGCACGTATGGGTTTTGAAGCCATGCACTCAGAGAATCTCGGAGAGTGGCAGATATCTTCGTCATCCCATCTGCAAACATCAGACCAGTTGGTACCCAACGTGCTTGTTCAGGAGACACCGTTTCTTGAATAGCACGTATGTTTGTCAGGCTTCTCTTGTCTGACAAGGAGGGGTTTGGAGCTAAAATGCAGTCATACAAGCTCTTGGCATCAGTGATTTGCACGTAGGAAAGTCTGCAACCCACGCGATGCGCTGGACAGTTGTACAGCACTTCACTGATCAGCATGTTCAAGTATGCTGCACGGTCGGATCCCTCATCTGCTGCTGCTGCTTCTGCAGCAAGTGTGGACCTGCACACCCGTGGTGAGCGGCAGGAGCGCCAATCCAACACTGAAGCTCTTTGCGGAGAGTTGACTGCTTCAGGGTTGGTCACAACAATCAAAACTCCAAGTTGTGAAGTTGAGTGTGGTCCATTGCTCCAGGATGCGTCGGTATACGTTGCAATCAACGTCTGCTTGTTGATCGGTATGTCCTGGAAGGTTATGCCATGGTCTGGAGTGGCCTTTGCAAAATCCAAAGACTCTTGAAGAACCTTGAGGTCAGTAATTGTGGTTTGAAGTCCATGGTTGCTCAAACTAACTGCTGCACAAAGTTCTGGTCGAGCTTGAGAGCCAAGCCACTGCAAACATCCTGAAATGGATCTGTACTCTTTCTTCTCGGTTTCAGTGAGAAGCTTTGACTGCTTCAGTCTGCCTCTGGGAATGGAGACAGGATCAACAGTTTCAAGAAAGCTCCCCATGGTGACTTTCAAGACAGTTCTGCCTGCCGGGTTTTTGCAAAAACACAACTGCTTGCCCTTAAAGGTCTTGACCTCGTTCATCCGAAATTCAGAGAGGTCTCCCCATGAAAAACGGCTGTGCAACTCCTCAATGTTGTAGTCGCTACGATACAAGCCTATGAAATCATCCACGTAGACCATAACCAGTGATAGTGGGTGACCTGCTTCATCGTACTTGACAAAAAGCATTTTATCCCAGGAGTGCTGCACGTAATTCAAGTCAATCATGATTTTGATGACATGGGTCGTCCAAAGAAACGGAGCATTGGGCAGGCCATAAATGTTTCCCAACACTTCGTAAAGACGGGCTTTCCAACAGTTGGTTCGGTCGATCAGACCATCTCGGGGAGCAAACATGAAAAGTGCCATAGGCCTCTTGGCATCTTCTTGCGTGCCTTGTAAAAAGGCCGTGCTTGCATCGCCAAGCCATGATCTCCAAAGGTGGTCGCTTGCAGCGAACTCGCCATTGAATCCAGCGACCATGGCGGCAAACATGAAGTGTTCGGTTGATCGAGATGGAGTGGGACTTGATCGATCTAACCGAAACAGGTCTGGATCTCGGTGACCTAGAGCGACTATTCGGCATTTTGCCTTTAGCTCACCCTGACCGCGATTCTTGTCGCGGTATGCTCCTCTTGCGGAGAGCACTCGTTTGGAAAGCACAGGGTGTGCCAAAACTTTTGATGCTTCATCATCCGACAATGGTCGGATGCTCTTCCACTCAAGCCAAGAATTGGCTTCTTTTTCCACCGCTGCCAAGTACTTCTGGACCTTGGCTTCAGGTAACTTGAGAATTTCTCTCCATGGTATTTCTCGGTCAAGTTGCTTTGCCTCCTGTCTGGTGAGGCGCTGGTGCGGTGGAATCTTTTTAGTCGAGGTTGATTGTAGTTTATCTTTGTAGGTGGTGGTAGTTGGTTGTTTGTCGGTAGTTGGTGATGTTGTGTTATTAGTTGTAGTGGCAGTGGTTGGTTGTTGATTAATGTTGGTAGGTAGTTCGGTGTCTGTGTCAGACTCTTGGGTTGTGTCTGACTCATCTCCATCCTTGCCAATGTCTTGCACATCCAATTGGCGTTGATGGTGCTTGGTGTAAGCCACAAAATGTGACTTTTGGTTAGGGCCAAAACCCATTGGTGGTGATCCATCAAGGCCCGTGGCTGCCAGTTGAAGCGTAGTGCCATCGAAAATGAAGTCGGTGTAGTAGGCTTCTGGTGGTTTTTTCGATGGTTTGGTGTCGTTTGCTTCAAACTGTCTCTTCATTGGTAGTTGTGGAAGAGACTGGCTGGCCTGTGGTTGTTGTTGTGCTTCTTGTGCTGTTGGATCACTGGGTTGGCTGTGCTGCTGTGGTGGATCCATGTTGTGTGCCGTAGAGGTGATACTCTCCGCAGGTTGTTCCTGCGTTGTTTCATCATCAGGTTGTTCCTGATGGTTTGATGACAGTTGTTCTGCCATTGGCTGCATGCTGGTAGAATCAAATTGTTGATCTGCCAAAGGTTGTTCTGGTGAAACTGTCGCTTGTGCTTGTTCTGCTTCTGCCTCGGCTGCAGCGGTAATGCTTGCCGATGCTTCTGCTGTCGTTGGTTGTGTGTCCTGCCGTGGACCGGTAGTAATTGCTGGTGGAGCAGGCGATGTTTCGCCTGTCACTGCTCTTGTACTTCGTCGTGGTGTGCGTGATGTCCCACGCGGTGGTCTGCCAAATGATTGGTAGATGTTGGTGGTATGCTGGTGGGTTTGCTTGTAGGTAGGGCTGTCGACTTGTTGAATGGTAGTTGTAGTGTTATTGATTGTTTGCTGGTTTTGTTGTTGTGATTGTATCTGAAGTGGAGGTAATGTTGGTGTAGCTGGCGCTGCTGCAATCGTATGTAGTGGAGTCGGTGGTATGGCTGTCATTGTTGGTGGTGGTTCAAGCTGTGAAGGTTGTAAGTCGTCCTCATTGGTGTGTTCTGGTGGTGGTGGTCCAACATCATCTTCAAGGTCCTTGATCATGTGGTCATGGAAAGAGGCCTGAGCATCTTTCAAGGCTCGAACATCTTGTTCTGAAGGGTTCCAAGTCTCGAACCCTGTTGCCGAACGCAGCTGTTCAGCACTGACCAGCGTACTGGAATTTCCAGTGCGCACCCATGCAAGTCGTTGTGGCGCACTTGGGTCCCAAGATAGAAACCTTGAGATGATCCAGGAGCCCCTCTTCTTGGGTCCTTTCCTCTGCCAGCGCCAAAACGCGCATGGTTGCCCTGGTTGTAGTTCTGGGTATCGTGTGATGTTGGTCTTCCTCAGCAAGGCACGTCGAAGTTGTTGAGAGACGTTCAGGTCAATCAAGGCTCGTTGTGCTTCTGACCTCACAAGCTCAATCTTGGCCATGAGGTTGTTGGGCTCGTTGAGGGTGGTTGCACTTGAAGTAATGCTGGTCTCGTCAGTGATGACTCCGCCTGGTAGACGGGGAACACGTCCAAACACAGCTTGAAAGGCTGACCTGCCCCTGGTAAACGTTGAGCTATTCAAGGCATGAAGTGCTGGTGTCAGCAAAAACTCCACATCCTCAACACTTTGAGCGGCCCACTGGTCGATCAACTTCTCCATGATGATGCGAAGGATGCTGTTACGTCGTTCCACAGCACCAATCTGCCAATGGCTCTCAGCAGGGCAGTAGTCCACCACAACGCCAAGTGACTCCAATTGCCGTTGGAATTCTCCACGGAAACTGGGGTCCGGATCCAGCAAGACCCGATATGGAAGTCCAAAAGGCTTCAACCAGAGAGTGACCATTTTGTTGAACACGTCGTTGGAGTCCTTGGTAGGGCAAGCGACTGCTTGGTGAAGTCCGCTGGCTCGGTCAAGTAGTCCAAGGACAGGCACGCTTTCACCATTGATGGTTCGTAAGAAGACGAAGTCGCCTTGTAGTTCATCTCCAAACTGTCCAACGGTCATCTTGGCTAAGGCTGCTGGTCGTGGATGTTGTGGTGGCTTCAATCTGTCGCATGTTGCACACTTCAAGTGTTGGATGCACATGTTGACTGATGGTGGTGCTCCTCCATGATAAGCTATCATGCGTGAAAGCTCTTGTGGTGAAGGATGTCCCAGGTTCAGGTGAAGTCGTGCTACCAACTTCCGGATTTCAAGTGGTATTTGTTGTTGTTGTGGTAGTCCTGGAAAGGTGATGTCGGTTGGAAGGTCTCGAATGGGAATGACTGGGTCAGTTGACATGGTTGGTTGTTGAACTTCTTGCATAGTTCCATACATGAAAATGCCAAACTGCACTGGTTTCTCAAAACGTTGCTTGGGAAACTGAAGGTCTGGTAAATGGTCAAGTTCAACTCTGATGGTGCCATCAACGTACTTCAAGATGCATGCTCGATGAGTCATCTCGAGCAGCACTGTAGTTGGTAACCTCCTTGTCGTTGGAGTGTGGGCCACTTGGATGCGAGACGCATTCATCCGAATGAGCCTTGACATCTCTTGTCCACTGGTCGAAGTTGTTTCGACTGTGTAGGGTCGGCTGCTGCTTCGGTTGAAGTGCTCTTCAATGTCATTGAAAATTCCCTTCCAAGCATCCATGTCTTTCACAGGCTCTGCCACGGCAAAAACCTCGTTGATGTTGAAACGAAATGGTTCTAGACGTTGGATCACTTGCCTCAAATGCCTCAAAATAGCATTAACCAAGGCATCTGGGTACTCTTGGCTTTTCTTGGTCATAGCACCTTGAATGGGCTGACACCATTGCTTCTCATGTGCTGATAGACGCTTGTGGATCACGTCTTCAAGTCCAGGGACGTTGCCAACGAAGCGCATTGGTTTGATGATCATCTGACCATCAATCTCCGCACCCCAAGCTCCTGCGTCAAGGACTATGGACCAAACGCCAGGCATGTTGAGAAGCTGAACGACTGCTTCCAAGAGCCAAAGTCGTGATCGTTCAGGATTCTCAAGTAGGAAAAACCTGCCATTCTGGATCTGAATCAGGGCAACTTCCACAGCAAACAACACCAATGGCAACTCCAGCTCACGAAGTTGTTGAAGTCGTTGGCGGTCCTGGGAAAAGTTGAGGTTCTCAGAGAAGATGTTCCAAAGTCGACAGTCCACTCCAAGAACTATCAGCCATGGTTTGAACTTGCGAATCATCTTGAAAACATCTTTTCTGACAGATTCGTCTTTAAAGTCCTGGTGTGGTCCATGAGCAATGTCCATGGGAGCTAAGGCATTGAGCTGGTGCTTGACCGAGTTGGTGGTAAACTTGGAGCTTCCGCTGAAGAGCTCAAATAGGTCAATGTATGGTGGCGGTCGACTTGCCACTGGTTTCACATTGTTGTAGATGTTGAGCTCTGCCTCATAGACCTGAAGGGCACGCTTCAAGTTGCCACGCAACTTCTTCAGGGAACCACATGGAGGTCCTCGTGGTCGCTGTCCTCGATCCACTCCGCTCCGTCCAACTCGTTGTTGAGTATCTGGTGGGCGGTCATCTCGGTTTGGAGAAGTCCCTCCAAATCTTGTTCGTGCTGTTGGAGATAGTAGTCGTCGAAGTTCTGGATCATGTCGGCCTCCATCATCTGCATGTCCTCCTGAGGAGTGTTTTGGCCGGCCATCTCCTGTCGAACTCTTGCCAAGATTTGAGTCATGAGCTCTTCCCGTTGCTCCCTGGTAAAGGTCAAGGAAGTCGTAGTAGAGGCTCGTGCTTTGGGTCGAGCTTTGGCGGAGGCTCCCATCCTTGACGAATTGGTCGAGGAAGCTGCTGCTTGGCTCGACAGGGCCCCCGCTCGTATGTTCTCTGAGCATGGCAAGGGCAATGGTGAGGATGGCGACGAACCCATGAAGTCCCAGGTTTCGGTTGACTGGTTCCATTTGAACCGAGCGCTGCACTGAAGGCACTTTGCAAATCGGCCGTGTATGTTGCCGTACCTCTTGGTCTTTTTGTGCTTGCAATCTCGCATGTCCAACTCTTCGGGCTCGGTCATCCATGGTGGCCTGAAACCCAGGCCCACTGCCTGACGCAAGAACGTCAGCACTGGGACCATGAGTCTCCTCCAGTTGTTTGCCCATCGAGGTGGTGCACGCATGGGAGTCAAAAACGCTGGTTGTAGACACTGGCTCAGCTGCTTGAGTTGTTGTAGCTGAGGTAGTGATTGAAGTGAAGATCAACTCTGGGTCTGGTGTCTTCCAAAACGTGGGATGTGAAAAACTCTTCCAACATGAAAGCATGTGAGGCTCACTGCACGGAAAATCCAAAATGTCGATGGCAAAATGTCCACCGATCTTCATCAAAGGAACTTCAACATCCAAAGTTTCAAAATAAACCACATTCTTGCCCATGTCAATGACTGCATGTAAACGTTCAAGAAGTTTATTGGAACCCAAGAGTGGAATGTTGGCATCCAAAACAGCAGTAGCTAACAACATTGTTTGACCACCAATTCCAGCAGGCAAATAAGCTCGATGAATAGCTGAAGTGGGACTTCCCAAACCAAACTGAAAAACATCTGTGGTGCGCACCTCTTTGTGTCGAAGGCGCAATTGTTGCAGCTGCTCTGCATGGGCCTCAAACCAAGTCAAACCACAGCATGTTCTCTGGCATGCTGAGTCGAGGATCATCTTGCCAACAAACTCGGTGGGGTTGAAAGCTTGTACTTCATGAACATGAAAACTAGGGATATTGGGAATATTGACCATGTTGCAAATGAAGGCATTGCCAAAATCTTCTTCAGCATGATCTTGAATCTCGAGGTGACCATGTTCATGATGGACAACCGGAAACGCTTGCTGAGTCTTTTGCTTTTGGTCAGGCTGGGCACGATAGCCAGTGTTCTTGGCTGGTGGACGGAATTCCGTCTTCTTGGAAGCACCTTTGTTCTTCATGGGGCAGATGTCATCGTCTTTCCAATGACCTTTTTCACCACAGGCTGAACAATGCGAAGTCATTTTTCGCTTAGCGATGTTGGACGCCGCATTGTTGGAGTCAGGCTTCTTGGTGCTAAACTTCCGTCCAAGTGTCAAACCTGCTAGACGACGGGCAGTCACCGTGAGAACTTGGCTGAGTTGCTCCAAGTCCACTTCACCTCCAGAGTCACCATCGTCGTTGCCATCTTCTGGAATCATCTAATCAGACTGCTGTTGATCATCGTCATCGTTCTCCTCATCCTCATTGGCTTCAGCATCCCCTTCTTGGATGGGGTCCAAAGTTTCATTGGCATCTGCATTGAAAACAGTCTTGGATGAGGTTGCAGCAGTCCTATGTGAGCTAGAACCCTTACCCGAAGAAGATGGGTAGGAACGCGATGAACTTGTGGAAGGCTGAGAAGTCTGAGGTCTGTCCCCTTTCCCAGGTCCTTTTCCATCTCGGGAGGCAACAGGTGGAGCGCCTCTGAAGTCCGGAAACTGCAAAGTCAGGGCCTCAGCAATGGCTTCAAGGTCAAGCCGCTGTGATGTTCCAACCAAAACCAAACGTTGTGCCTCAACCGTCAGTCCGCTTCTGTCCAACAGTCTTGATCCAAGTGCTTCAGAATCATAAGTTGCAGTGACATCCACTCCCACTGCACGGAGATTTCTGATTGAACGTCTGAACCGCTGGATGTATGTGCGAATCAGCTCACCATTGAAACGGCGGAGGGTCTCATACTCATGCAAAAATTTCCTCTTCTGAAAGATGGCACGCTGCTGAAATGGTACCTGTAACTTTTGCAGAATCACGTTGATCCCATCCTCATGGTGAATTTCAGAAATTGCCACATGTTCCAATTCCTGTTCCGCATCACCAGACAAACTGTTATACAGCATAAGGGCTTGATCCTTCTTTGGGGCATAGGGCATCATCTGAATCTCCCATATCTTGACCTTTTTGCAGAACTTGTCATGGCTCGCAAATCTGACATATCATACCGCCAGGATGGCGGTGTTGGTGGAGGACCACTCTTCCAACGAACCTGAGGCTCAGGGCCCATTCGTGAATTCCAATCTGCACTGCCAGGACGCTTGTCGCTCTTGACAGGAATGCCTGAAGCTGCAAGAACCTCTGGTGAGGCATCACGCAAGGCCTGAACAGATCGATCGCTAGAAGCCCGAAATGCGGGAGAGTGTTTCGGTGCTGGTGTTCTCAACTGTGGGGCATCACCATAGTTGTTGGGGTCCACACTTGGGTCAAATGTCATGGTCTCGGACTCTGGATTCTCACTTCCATCGCCGCCATGGTCACCGCCAGATGGCATGCCAGCCGCCGCACGCAGTCGTCGCCTGCGTCGTCTTGAGGCAGGTGAAGACTTCGGGGTAGCTGAAGATGCAGAACCTTCAGGTTGCTCATCATGGCGATTGTGGGGCAAATACATCCATGTCCCTGACGCTGTGACAGACTTCCTAGGAACCGTGGTATCATAGAACTCCTGTGAACCACACCGATTGCACATCCATGCGTCAAAGGTTCCAACATAGTTAGCAGAATCACACTTAACACAACGCCAGGTCAAGTCATTGGGCTCATCCAAAGGCGCTGGAGGGGCATCTGGCAAACCGTCGGACCGCAATGACGGGGTCCAATCTATGAAGTTCGACAATCGCTCCATCGGGTCGCCAGATGCATCCATGCTCCGGTGCCAACTCAACACAACCAGCTGTGCAACAACTGGCAGTTCAAACAAATGCACGGCATCGCGCCATTTTCCTCAAATGGGAAAGAGATACGAGGCACAAGGATCCTGGGTGAATTGGGCCAAATTGGCCAGCGAAGTTGAAGGTGAAGACCTGGCAGCTGAAGGTTCAATGAATCGTCTTGCTCAAATTTGTCAAGTGGGGGGGAACCTTGTAGAATACTCACCTTTCATCCACTTCTGGTCGTTTTTGACTAGTCATGGACAATGCTGTAATATGCTGTAATCACATATCTGTCAAATACATAGAACTGCATAGATATTCATGAAACACATCCCATGAAATACATTTGTTTGGGGCATACCTGAAAATATGGTACCTTCAAATCCCCTGGTTGATGATTTGCTCTATGAATTTGGCCCTTCGAAAGGGTATGCCACATGTTCAAATAAACCCATGTAAACCCATTTAAGCGTCGCAGCGATGCAGGCTTTGTCGTCATCCCAACGATCCCCATGTGGTACAAAAGAACCAGTCAAGCTGAGTATAGAAACTGCAAAAAAAAAATGGGAAAGTAGCATCTCACTGAAATAGTGCTAAATTACTTGTTCTTTCCTTTTGGGGATTACTACATAATATATATATATATATATATCAGTTATATATTGATTAATATAACAAATGAGCCTTAAACATCTTAAAACTACATCTCAAGCGTCCCATGCTGAATTTATCTTCCCATCCCCGACGTTGGTACTTGGCTCGCAAAATCAGTCAAAGCGGGACCAGTCCGGTACGTTATAAGTTGGCAAACAATACTGGATTGGTTGGTGGTTGACAGCACCTGCAGGGAATACACAAGCGGGGTTTGGGAAATACCATGTGCTAAATGCCCAAACATCCGTGCAACTGAACCACCATGCCTCCATGGTATCGTTGATGTGGCTAACCAATTGCAGGCCATCGCACAAAGAGCGGACCCGTGAAAATGATTGCTCCACTCCAGAGGTTGAGGCGCCCGCAGCCCAAAAGCGAACAAGAAGGGGAAGAAGCGCCCTGTATGCTGGCCCCTTTCGTAAGCGACTAACATCCTCAATGGTTTTCCGCCAAGCATCAGCAGAAGACATGCCTTCTTCGGAGCAAATGCGCTTGGCTACATGCCACAGGCGTTCAAGCTGCACACCGGCTTCTGCATCATCTTGTTCATGAAATGCACGCTGCAACTGTGAGAGCAAGTCAGTTCTGGTTGCCCTTTCTGGCGGATTCCCATCAACATCTTTGACATTGAAGATACTGAAACCCCACATTGCACCTAGGGCGACATTTCCTACCCATCAATTGATGCACTTCAGGTGGACCATCAACTGTTAGCTGAACATGAAAGATTGCTCCATCCCTTCGGCAACAAAGTCACCCATCAACCTTCACCTAAGAAAGGCTCATCAAAAAACTCCATGTCACCATTGTAAGGATTCAAAATCACCAAATAAATCAAATGTTAGAGCCAATACCCCTCCGTGAACTATCATTGACATTCACTTAACATCAAGTTTACCTCAAATAATGATATTACAACGTTGATTATAAGTTATAAGTGAACAAAGAACCATTCATTGAATTGCCATGTTGTTGCATTCAACAAAAGCACCACAGCTGTGGTCCTTAACACTTATAACTGGCGAGCAGAAAACCCCATTGAAGTGATATCACCAACCAGTTGTAGGAGTTATTTCATCCCATCGCCAAAACTCTCAAGGGCTATAATCTTACTGTTGACTATGCATTTAGAGGGCTATATGGTGTTGTTAACAGTAAGATTTAGCCCTTACTAATTTACTGGTTGGTGGTTTCAACCTTCTGAAAAATATGAAAATCAGTTGGGATCATTATTCCCATATATTATGGACAAACAATCCAAATGTCCAAACCAGCAACTATAGTTTACTATATAATGTCAACCCTGGATTAATAAACCCCTAGGCTGTTTAATTGGGAAGGTACCATTTAAGTATCAAATCATGACTATTGGGGGAACACCCCCCAAATTAATAAACCATGGTTTAGTCTCATCCGGGGTTGCCATCAGTGTACTATGTTCGTTACTTTTTTCACCAAAAACGACCGGCTTCCGCCGCGACAAACAACGGCGGAGCACCAACTTGGCCAAGCGAAGGATTCGCACGCCGCGGATGATGCGGATGCCGCGCACCGACTTGCCGATTCCTGGGGGACGGGGCCATTGGTGATCCTTTGGAATTGCTAGGTGTCAGTGATTGAACTAGGAAAAAACATGGCAAGCTGGGGGAAAAATGGTGATGTAGCTAGAAAAAAATGGGAAACTTGGTGATTCAACTAGGAACAATTGGGAAATTTGGTGATTTGAACATTCAAAATCATGGAGACACGAAGAACGAACTAGCATTATGATGGCGATTGATGGTTGGTTTATCTGATTAATGTTAGCTAAGTTGCTTTGTAGCTATGTTAAGTAAGGTATATAATTACTACAATCATAGATCAGTTGGGGTATTTTACAAAAGCAACTTGTAACTTGTGGGCACAACTTGGTGAAATATGTGGTACCCGCTAATAGCTGGTCTATCATCTGGAGTACATAAACATCACATATGGGAATGTGGTATTCATAATCTACAATACGAAACTTGGGTATATACACTGCTTGTGAATTATAATTCATGCTAGGGTACAACAACATTCATAGTCTACACAGTTATGGCTTAAATTGGAAATTACAACTGGCTTAAAACCTCATTGAAGTGAACTATGAGCTTAGTTGCAGGAACTACAATCCCATTTACAACTGCTATTTAAGGGCTATGACTGCATATACAATTCACACAGTCATGGCCCGAAATACCAGTTATAAGTAGTAACAAGCCACCCCATTTAGGGTTTATCTATATAAACCCATAGAAATAACCAGTCATTTCACCATAGAAATAATTGGTTTCTACGGCCATAACTGCGATGACATATTTCAGTGGACGGAATGCACATCGGAACGAAAAGTTGGGAAGCAGGGAAGCTGAAGACCAGATCAAGAAACATGGTGAACTACATGGGGAAAATTATGGACTAGATCAACTAGTTAGACTTCATCAAACTGGTTTATATATGATAAAATATCAGCTCCATCTCAACTTCTGTTTCTCCAACCCTGATTCTTGATGACGTTAAATAGCGATCGATCCTACCAACATATCATTGATATTCAACCAACCCCAAGGGTGACTCTACTAAAAATCCATGGCGAATAAACCCTTAGCAGTGGCTGTTGCTGGTTGACAAGCTCTTTTTTTAGCTATGTTTAGGGGGAGTCATCCTTGGGCATACACCCTTCGATAATCAAACGTGGCAATCAAACAGATCCTCGACAAATGGAGGCGTTCATGGGATCATTGTCTACAAATGGTGGATTTTCAGCTGCTAGACATATCCTCCTTGCCAACTTTGTCACTATTTAGAATGGCAATTGTTGTTGTATCTATTCCCCCTTTAAAGACACATCCACACCAATCCATACCATTCCAAGTTGCTGAGAGCTTCCAAGAATTCTCCATCCTCAGCTCTTCAAGGTATGAGGAAACATGTCTGTTGTCCGTTGCGTGGTTTGACTCTGGAAGGCCTTCAAGCTGAGAACTAGAGTTAACCAAACTGGTTCATAAGTAGTATAACTACAAAGTGCTGCTCCATAGCTAGCGAAGTTGGTCCATAACTCCACTAGGGATTATGGTAGATATATCTATAGCTGGTTGGTGGTCTCAACCCCTTTGAGAAATATTAGTCGGTTGGGATTATTATTCCCAATATATGGAAAAATAAAATTCATGTTCCAAACCACCAACCAAATAGTTACTATGGTTTGTAAACCAACGTTCACATAACTGGTGGCCCCAAATCAGAGAATCCCAGGGCTAAGCCGCAAAGGCGAGTTGGGAAAGCCCAGCCGAAACATATAATCCGTTCAGCAACTAAGCCATCCTTATGCAAGCTGGTGCCCTCTAAGGTGGTTTATGACTAGCATCAGGGGTTCAAGGTCTTTATGGTGGATATATCAGTGGCTTCGGTGTAGCAAAAACATGTGTGGCGTGTCATGGCCAGACTTCCAACCGTTGCTGAGTGGCCATTTTTCCAATCACCATTTTAATTTTCTGGGTCAATCAATTGTTATAAATGGGACATGTTCCATAGCTATGTAACAAATTACCAAAAAGTAGCCTAAGTTAACATCACCCTGTAGGCCCATGACCAAAAACAGGATCCTATGATTTGGATGTCACGAATTCCATAGGTACCTATGGTACCATAAAATAACCATATCTGGTATTGCATGATGACCACCTGATTATCCCTATTTAGCTTTATGATCCCATTATTGTCCCATATACCCTCTGGTATCCTCTGGTTATTTAACAGTTCGCCATGGAAAATGGCCCAGTTATAGATGGTTTACCTATCCAAAAATGGTGATTAGCCCTTACTAATTTACTGGTTGGTGGTATACCTACCCCTCTGAAAAATATGAGTTCGTCAGATTGGATCATCATCCCAACTATTGGGGAAAATAAAAAATGTTCCAAACCACCAACCAGATATTTTCATAGGACAACCATCTTGAAAAATCTGAGTTCGTCAATGGGAAGGATGACATCCCATATATGAAATGGAAAATAAACAACGTTTGAAACCACCAACCAGATAAATGATCCTCAACCATAGGATTTTGGGGCCGGTCACAGACCAGGGACCTCTCCACCACTTGTCATTATTCGATTGTATATACCCAAAAAGCAGAAGTACACGCAACCAGCCGCAGCATGCAACTGTCATTTAAAATAGTCAATCTTAGATACCCTGCAGGTTTTAATTCCAGTGTGTGTGTGCATATATATATATATACATACATATGTATATCATTGCCAAACTTAGATACCCTGCAAAAAAAAAAGCTCCTAGTTGGTGGACGTAGATAATCCCATACCAAAAGACGATGTTGGATTAGTTTCTACCCATCCAAGTTTCCCCAGTTGACCACAGCCACACCTTTTTGCCGTCGAGGCTCATAGAAACCCACCAGGGATACCCAATCCAAAGTGACCTGAGTTTACTCAACCGATGTGATTGGGCAACATGAGGGACCCAGGAGGGTCATTTTGATCTGTACTGAAGGGTTCATCTTACTTAGTATTACTTAGTAAACTGCATGTAGGTTATAATCACAGGTATATATTAAAAGTAAACATAAGTTAAAAGTTAGACGTGGGTTGGTAATTAGCCGCCTAGCCCTAGTTACTGCAATAATCCACCGTTCCATGGCCCAATGGCCCAATTCAAAGTGTCCAACTCTGTCCCTTTGGTAAATTGAAATAGCCATGGAAAATCACAATGTTTACTATGTAAATCACCGGAGAAGAGACATTCACTTGGATTAGTGTCCTGGCTGTTTCTTTTGGGTCATCCTCACCTCAACACATTTGCGTGCCGTTGGTCAAGTTACGGATGTGGTCTGGTCATCCCACTTCATGGCCATATGAATCCAGGGTGCTCCACAATGGCCAGATGACATGTTCCATGGTTTTTCCATGGATGCTCCATGGTGCTGGTATATGGCATCCTGTGGCTTATCTTTAAGCACCACCGGATAGATTGATCTCCTCTGGCAGAAACTACTTCCAGCGATTATCTGATATGTAGATACCAACCAATAAAAAACAACACTTGGGAGATTCATGTAGACTCATATTTATCTCTTCCACCACGATCTTGAAATATGAACAAAGAACATCGGACACCAACAAAAACACAACTATAACAACGAGTCAACCTACAGTAGATGGACAAAAAAAACAAACCCCACAGACATCTACCAAGTAAAACCCCACACCCCAAATTTCAATGTTGCACAAAACTCTATCTAACTTCCTCTTTGTTCAGGGTTTGGTTTGTTTGTCCACCGGACTCAACCGCGCAGCCCAAAGACAACATTGAAATTTGGGGGTGCGGGGGTTGACAACAATACAGCAAGGGTTTGATTTCATCGTCCATCTACGGTATCATCCATTGCCAATCTTAGATACCCAGCAAAAAAAATAAATTCTTTGCTGGTGAACGTAGATATTCCCATTAATACCAAAAGACTAAAGGATTAAAGTATCCATCTAAGATTGACCTAGCTACGGTATCTGATTTATATATATATATAACAATATATACAACAATAATATATATATATATATTATATATATGTATATATATATATATATATGTATTATATACACCCAACACAATTGACAACAATTAATCATCGGTGGCAGCCCAGGTGCTATGAGAACATCCAACAGGAACCAACTCTTCACGTATCGCATGGCTGTCCGAGAGAATCGTCGTTCAACCTTCCCCTGGCCGCTGATGGTTTCGGCAAGAATCCCTGGTCAATGGCCATTCCAGGATCCGATTGATTGGAGGTACCGATTCCATATATAAGCCCTATTTTTTAGGCCTAAATTTCAGGGAATATCCCCACAAAATATGGCCAACAATATGGTACAGTACCTCCATTTTAGGATCCTGGAATTCCCATTGAAGAATCCCTGGGGGTGAAAACACCATGACTATGTGGGGTTGGTCCGGTTGGGTGCGTTTTTTTTCAGTGAAACCTTTGTTGGTTCTGAAATATCGCCACCTAACTGGAGCTATGAAAATGTTACTTCACCATCAACCAACGAGTCAACCAACTATGGGGCACCAGCTGATACAAGAGCTGGCAAAGCCTGGCCAAGCGTAGTAACTGCCAGTGAAAAACATAGCTATGAGTCACCCGTTCCAGTGGGCCCCTAAGTTATGTTTGTTGCTTATCGTACATCCTAGAAACGGTATATCCATGATAAACCAATGTTTTTTTGTTTTTTTCGAATGGCGTTTCCCTAAAATCATCTAAAATCCATGTTTTGTGTTTGTTTGATTTTTTGCTTCATCATAATTTATAACTGGTTGGTGGTATACCTAACCCTCTGAACTCTGAAAAATATGAAAGTCAGTTGGGATGATGAAATTCCCAATATATGGAAAAATAAAATTCATGTTCCAAACCACCAACAGATAACTATGATATAACTATGATATGATATAACTGTGAAAATTGCCATCAGACACCGACTTCGCCTTGGATCATCGATATCGTCAGAGATCGTCAGGGTTTTTTAGGCAGAAAATGAGATGAGAAATGGGACTGATCGATGGACTTAGATATGTATACTGTATATATATATATATTTATATCATATATCATCATCTAACTATATAATTATAAATAATGGGACACTTAAATATTTTTACGGAATTACATTGATAGATTTTGAATGGGATAAAATGTCAAATATGGAGTTTTGGGAGAGGTGATGAGAAATGCCGCAATCCAACATGGCACTCCAACGTGGTCATTTCGACGACTGGACACTTCAATTATCAATAGATCAATAGATTAATATCTGGGTTAGAATAATTCACTAACTTGAAATGTTGGGCCATAAAAGGGGATGATTCCCCTAACGCAGCATGACTCCAGTGAGGGAGAACAGTGAGGTTTTTACAATTAACCCATATATATATATTATATTACATTATAATATATTGTATGTATATGATCTATTGATCTATCTATCTATCTGTTGATCTATCGATCTATCGATCCATCTATCTATCTATCTATCTATCTATCTATCCATCTATCTATCTATCTCTGTATATATATATATATGTGTGTGTGTGCACGACACTAATAATGATATAGTTTAGTTCTATTTCAACTTGTTCCTGGTGTTTATTGCCTCAGCTCATTCCATCCAAACTGTGGTCGTTTCTTTTTTTTGAGTTGTCAACAGATCATGTCGTGTAAGCTGTTTTGCAAGTTTTGCCATTTGTCAACCCACGCAAGAGTTACCCTCTGGTAAACTAACATAACTATGGAAAATCACAATTTTTAATGGGTAAATCCACTATAAATCACCATTGTCAATAGCTTTTTTTTGTATGTTTACCAGAGGGTAGGAAGTGTTGATAAAAACCTTGAATTGGCGTGACATCCTTCTGACCGCTGACTACAAGATGGTGCCCGCAGTTTTGTCTGTTGTTTCATAAACCCGCACCAACGTATAGTGCAAAGTTAATAATCACATAAACACTAATAAACATACATAAACCTACATGAGCATACATATGCACTATTCAATCCAGTTATAAACAAACGTTGCTAACTTTAGACAACGCCCCACCTACAGCAAGGCCATCGTTTTCCTGCCTCATGAGTGTTGAAACCGACAAAGAACTGCAAGGGCATATCGGTCAACCAATACACGGCCTCGTCCGCGCTCGCTACCGCGCTCGCGTCTGATGATTTTTGAATGCTGTAACCGGCTGTTTTTTCGGATTTGGCGAACATGTAAAAACCAGCTTGTCAAAGGGAACACAAAACAGATCTTACTGGTGCTAAACGTAAGGAATGAGGAAATGATCTATAATAACCACTAGTAATCATCCCAGCAACCCTCATTCCCTACGTTTAGCACCAGTAAGGAATTTACTGACTAGTAATTCATCCAATTGAATGACTATGCTTGGGGTAACCCCTCCAATTATTTCTGTGTAGGTGCACTCCTGGTTTGACATTTCTGGCCGAAAGTTGTGGGAAAGTACAGTAGTGGAAAGTCACCAGAAGCCATGTCGACATCATGTTCTTTTCTTCATCAATATAGGAGATTGCTGTAGATGTATCACAACTGTCCCTTTTCAAAGGGCAGACTTCAGGACGTTGACCTAGAGTTCGTTTTTCCGGAACCAGATTTCCCTCAATCATCTGCGAAAAGGGTTTTTATAATTAGCAAAAACACAATAAGCAACAGAAATCGAGGACATATATTGATGATTTTATTGATGTTTATATACTATTCAAAGTGATGGTCGCCCTTGAGCATTGGTCTCTTCCAGGCCCGTGACTGGTCGCTTTCTCATGCACAATAGCCCTGTGGATGGTTGCTAAATCACCTGTTGGTAGATGGGCAGTTGATCCCCTTAATATATGCATTACATCTATTTATACTACAATATATATATATATATCCCTATGGATCCAAACACTGTCTGAGAAGGTACTTAACCCTCCAAATTATAGTAAATTATACCCCAAACACTTCCTAAGAAGGTACTTGGATCCATAGGGATATATATATATAATTACATATACAAAGATATAATTAATATATATATATATATATCCATCAGCTGTGTTTCAGTGGTTTCATACTTCAATCCCAAGTTTCTTCGCCTGCGGAACTCTTCCCCATCGTCTGAGGAAGTGGACTACTGTAAGTGGAGATATATGTCACCAGAGTTTTTTTTGGGCCCATATCCCAACATATCCCAACATATCCCAACATATCCCAACATATCCCAACATATCCCAACATATCCCAACAAACATGGGGGTGAGTTCTCAGGCATGGTTATAGCATGTTATAGCAGTTATAGCCATAGCCATCGCCGTACGTGAAAACCTCTGGCCGTACGAACGAAAAGAGGATCGATCATCGTCCAAGGAACAGAAATCCAATCCATCACGATGAAGAATTCCTCACTGGTCATCCTGGCTTCCTGGGAGACGTGTCTAACGCGTCAGACGTGTCAGTGTGTCTGGAAATGGAAAATACCGGCATACCCTAACAATGGCGACATTTCACAGGGATGATGACAAACTATATGGGATTTGGGGGGGTACTCTGTTTTCAGAAACACCCAAATGTCCCGGAAAGAAGAGGGACTTGTACCATGTAAACATATGTCAAATGGTGACTCAATTTGACCAACAGAATTGGTCCTGAACTTTCACCACAAACCCTTTGTTTACTCGGTGATCGGCCTAATAAGGAGGATTTGACTATAGTTAATGGGCTTCATGAACCAACTAAAAAACTACAATGTGAGGCCCCCCTTCCATAGCTAAGTTGGTGAACATAACTCCAATTTCACTATGGTTTATGGTACGCAAATAACGAACTAGTTACTGGGGCTTTTGTTCACCAACATTCACATCACTGGGGGCCACATTGTACACTTATAGCCAACTGATCCAACAGTTTTAAGATGTTTTAAGATGTTTTAAGTGGCTTACAATTCACATTTCCCAAGGGATATGTCACCAGCCGAGCTTCGATCTGCTCGAAAGCGCTCAGTGGGAACCTGGATGCAACCCGGAGCCACATGATGTGCAGCTATGGAAGCCATGGGGCGACAAACATTGATCAACTTAAAAAGTGATGTTAAAACATACCCTCTGGTGAACTAACATAGCAATGGAAAATGGCTATTTATAGTGGATTTTCCCATTAAGAATGGTGATTTTCCATTGCTATGTTAGTTCACCAGAGGGTATATAAATTATATAAACATGAAAAAAAACTGACAAACATAGTGATGTTCATTGATTTTCCATATTTGCGTTAAATTACCAGAGGGTAGTAATATGTAGTAATCATATGCCATGCTGACGGCATGACGTGGTCCCTATATAATTAGCATCATCATCCTTGCATCGTCAATCTTCGGAACTACACAACTGAAAACAACATTTATACGTTATTACTAGTTGGTGGTTTCAATCCCTCTGAAAAATATGAGTTCATCAGATTGGATCATCATCCCAGCTATTGGGAAAAAACATGTTGGGATGATTCTTCCCAATATATTATGGAAAAATAAACAATGTTCCAAAATGTTCCAAACCACCAACCAGTAATGATCTATAACCAACTAGATGGGGAAAATCAGTTGGGAAAATATGATGTTCAATCACCCACGACCCATTGGACCCATGACTAGACGCATTGTCAGGATGTCTCAGGATTGATAGTACTAGACACATGGCTCACCATCTGTCACGACCGGTCAAGCAACAAGTCACGTAACGTGACCCCTATGGCCCTATGGCAAATGAATCATCAATAAACATCAACAAAATAACTATCCTGGTTGGTGGTTTCAACCCCTCTGAAAGATATGACTTCGTCAGTTGGGATGATTATGCCCAGACTATCATGTGGAGAAATTCAATTTGTACATATGGAACATATACGCATAAGATCATTTCTGAGGAATCCACGAATTGGCAGATGAACACTCGTATGGCTGGCAAAATTTTCTTTCGATAAATTTACCATGGGTTACCTCGAAATTTTTAACGGCGATCAATCGCTTAAGATTGTTTTGCAAGCGATCTGCTGGGTCCAATTTGACCTTAAATCCTACCCTCTGGTAAACGTTTACAGAACTATACAAAACCATATTTTTTCATGGGACAACTCACTATAAATGGCCATTTTCAAGAGCTATGTTTGACATAACCAGAGGATACCAGAGGGAATTTAGCATGCTAGGATGGGCCCCCTGGTGGCACCCAACATCCCGAATCATCCCGATCCGCCGAAGGCCGAAGTCATCGACCACCAAAAGGTCCAACAAACCACCAAATGGTCCATTTATAGATGATTTTCCCATAAAAACCTCCCTTTATAAGGGATTTTCCATGGCTATGTTAAATAACCAGAGGGTAGATATGGTGTTTATATGGTAATATGGTACTATACTATACGGGTTGGTGGTGACTTAACCATCTTTAAAAATCTGAGTTCGTCAATGGGAAGGATGACATCCCATATATGAAATGGAAAATAAAACATGTTTGAAACCACCAACCAGACATTATACAAAGAAGAATGCCAGGTATTCTGGTGGTTTCAACATCCTCAAAACTCATGAGTGACTCATGAGTCAATGGGGATGTTCCCAGTTAAAATCGAAACATAAGCCGACTATATATGTCAAACATCGTCAAAACACCAACCACAGTCATGGCCCATCTAAAAGTTATGTTTATGGAATGAACTAACTAACTCCTATTAAACAATAGTTGGATATAGTTGGTTATTTAATAATTATATAAATATATAACTGCCCATTTATAATTTGATAAGATTATCCTATAAGTATAGTTGGTGATATATCATGAAATAAGCCCACAAAAAAACTCTGTTACCCTCTGGTAAAGCAACACAGCTATGGACAACCACGATCTTTAATGGGTAAATCTGGTCCATTTTCCATACAATGTGGCCCCCCCCCCCAGTTATAAGTTGGTTTATACGCCCCAGTAACTATAGTTATAAGTGCCATAAACCATAGTTATTGGAGCTAAATGTTCACCAACTTAGCTATCGAACGGGGGCCTTACATTGTAGCTATGTTAGTTTACCAGAGGCTAGTTGGGCCCTTTCACTGCAGAAAGGGCTGATCATTGCCATCCCCAAACGCGTGGCGTCCGAGGCGCAAGATCACCTCCATGGAAATGACGAGCAACGCCAAAGTGTCCCAAACCTCACCGGTCGCCGCAAGGTTCCGCAAGGCGCAAGTTGTTGCTGCCCCCACTTTTTTTTGGATAACGTTGAAGTGCAAATGGTGGTAAGACTCGGTGAATTTACGATCATTTACTGATATGGATGTTTATGGTAGATATATCGAACATTATTTTCTGGTTGGTGGTGACTTAACCATCTTGAAAAATCTGAGTTCGTCAATGGAAAGGATGACATCCCATATATGAAATGGAAAATAAAACATGTTTGAAACCACCAACCAGTATTTTTCACTAGATCATGGGGTTTTTATGCAAACCAACATTCACTTTTGTTTGGGTGGACCACCTTGTAAGATCTTGCCATCTATTCGCTCCAGCTTCAACATACTCAACTTCGGAACAGCGAGGGAAAAAAACATATAAATATCAGCCCCTTGAAATAATATAGCTAAGGTAGCAGTGATATATATATATATAATTATATATATATAATATATATATATATATAAATCAAGCTGGTGTGGGTCGACATGTTTTGAAGAATTCCGAGAGAAAAAAAAACCTCTCGATCCAAGCTGTACAACTCCGTTGACAGCGAGGAGCATGGCACGGGTTGCATTACACACCGTTCCTAGAGTGGCTTCAACACATCAAGCTGTGAATGGCTAAGATATGTGACCTGGAATCTCGCTTCGAAAAAAAAAATGTGAGGGACATATATGGAAATATCATGGTTAATAATCAATACCTTGAAGTTGTTTGTGTTTTTTTCAGCGAGGTAGATCGATATGTCACCATTTATATCATGTTATATCCATTCATGGTGACAAAACAGGAAATCTACCATTCAACGTGGATAACATGGTTATATATAGATGAAAACATGGAATTAAAGCCCATACGCGCCATAGTCAAAACATTATTATGGGGTATGTTCATCCATCACATGGCGGGAATTCTTGTATTGGACAGTATAAATCCATAGTAATGAAGGTATGACCAATCCCATATGTATATAACTATACGTATATTTGTATATATATATATATATATTGTATACCAATAAATCTCTGGTAAACTAACATAACTATGGAAAATCACCATGTTTAATGGGTAAATCCACTATTTCTATGGCCATTTTCAATAGCTTTTTGTATGTTTACCAGGTTCAAAATCCCTAATTTTGGATCGTGAAACCCCGAGAAATTTTCACCAATCCACCAAGGGCACCAAGGGCTTCAGAAAAAATCATCCAATTTTCTGGCTTTCAGCATGTAAAACATCCCATATAGACATCTACCCCAAGTGGTAAACGTTTACATATGGAAAATCACCAATTTTAAGTGGAAAACTCACTATAAATGGCCATGTTCAATGTTAAATTACCAGAGGCCAGAGGGTATATCCTCTATCAGAGAATTGTTTCCGATTGACTTTACCACACGGGAGTTTCTGAAAATGGAGGATCCCCAGTCGTCACAACGGTCGAACGACTTGGATGAGTTGGGCGTACATGACTTACAGTTATGGCCCGAACTACCACATATCGTACATACTCATAACCCCATTTATCCCATTTATGGATAGTTATGGAATGTATAATCCCATTTATAACCAGTTTAATGCAACCATTTGTAATTGGTAAACGGCCATAACTGTAGGAAACCTCCACATATAATGATGCTTAGTTAGTCTCATCGTTCCCGGCGCCCTCGCGAAACACCCAGAAGCCAGCCGCTTGCGCGACATTGGTGCAGTGACAAATGGCATCAGACGCGCATCGAGAGTAGACACCCGACTGTTCTCAACACCTGGGGGTGCACGGTGAAAGGTGCTGCCCTGTACTTAGCTCGCTTGGTTTATAAAGAGCACAAGATTTTGGAGGACTTTAATATGGATCTATAACATTATATACCGACTATAGGTGATTCATGGGGTGTTTAAACCAACTGATAACTTGGGGGCCTTGTGTTGAAGTCAACTTGTCCAAGAGTTCTTGGGTTGGCAACTGAAAGTCTTGTAAAACCAATCGAAAAGCCCCCCCAAAAAACTCAATGAATCGTCACCTTCCCCTAAGGCCCTACTTAAAACGGCCATCACAGCGGGTATATCCTATTTTCAGACACCCCTGATCAATCGCTGACGGCTACTCCGTGTGAACTACTTCTCCTATCAAGTTAAATGAATAATATATCCCTGGAAGATCATATCACTTAGCAAATGGTCGGTTTATATTTTATATCATTAAAGGGTCAAAGGGATACTTCAGCGATATTATATATATATATAGATAGATAGATAGCAACCATTGTTCCAAGTTTATGATCATAATGTTCATAACCACATATTTGCACAAAAAAAAACCTAATAAAGTATAGTAATTTCTTATGGAAATACAGAAATCCACTTAGTTCAAGCCACAGTGAAAAATCCTTCAGAAAGCTGCGTCAAACGGGCCCCAGAAAGATGCGAAATGCTGTACCGTCTGGTTATTTTTTACAGTTCACTATGGAAGCCATGGCCCATTTATAGATGATAAACATGATGCTTTACCTATTCAACATGGTGATTTCCCAAAACGCCTACGTTTTAGAACCCGAGGCTGATTGGGATTGCGAAAAGCCATGGGAATCCCTGGGTTCATCTGGCGCTGTGATGCCAATCCAATTTTCTGGGTGCCCAATGAAATCTGGCCGAATCTGGCGATGCTGATGAAAACCAATGGGATGATCATGGCAATTTTTCACCCTATGGATCCAGCCGTACCTGCTTAGGAAGTGTGACTGGGGTATAATTTACTATAATTTGGAGGGTTAAGTACCTTCTCAGACAGTGTTTGGATCCATAGGGTCAGGAAAAGATGTTGAAACCAACAGCCAATGACACATTACCGACAGCCCCCCAAAATGGAGTTCAGGGGCCCCACTGAAAAAACCCGAACCCAAGATTTGAGCCAAGTAGGTATTCACCAAAGACTCCAATTCGGGGATCCGTCGAGTTTGTTCTTCAAACCCGGACTACAGATAAACTGGTCTATTCTGGACCATAAAGCATTCCATCTGGGTCAAGTTTGACCCATACCCTACTGAAACATAGCATTTTTCAACATCCGCCATAAACAGTTTGATGATTCATGATGATTCGCCCATTAAAATATCCAAAAGCCTCCATTTTCTCCGGGAGTTTCCCACCCACCTGAATAAGTCAACTCGGGCAGAATGTTGTCCTCCTCCTGCTGATCGATATCGTCCTGGCGCAGTGCCCCAAGATCCCCAAATACCCGTTCTGTTTATGGCTATTTAAATATCGGATTCTAATTTCATAAATGGGAACTTACTGACTTATGACTGGCGTTTTGGGCCATAACTGGCTTATAATCCCTTGTTGAGTGATAGATATGTATATAATATTTATATAACCAACGAGTGGCAGGAATTTATAATATTTAATAATCCCGTGGCCATACGGCCATCACCAGGCGGGCTATAGCCACCTTCCCAGCCGGCTGGAAGGTCAAATCGCTGCAAGATAGATGTTGCTGACCAGCATAACTCAGAAGTATTCGATGCTTGAGATAGATCATTCCACTAAAAAGACGGGAGAACATGTATGAACATATACCATCAGATACCAACATCACTGGTTGGTGGTTTCAACCCCTCTGAAAAGTATGAAAGTCAGTTGGGATTATTATTCCCAATATATGGAAAAAATGTTCCAAACCACCAACCAAATCATATACCAACATAACCACTTTGCAGCCATATCTACTGTCTATCGATCACAAATCGCACTTGTGAAAAATCTGTGAGTAGCTGTTTTTAGTGCCGCTTTGCCATGATCCATCAATCATCATTCAGTGGATGTGTTCTCCATGTTTGGAACGTCAAACCCCCAGTTCTTCCCACAAAAAGCCTTTCCCAGTTGAGCCAGGGCCAACATACCCCGTTTTCCCATCCCAGGAAATACTGGCGGGTTCATGGGAATCCCGTTGATTATGGCTTTGTCATCGGATTGGTTTAAGGAACTTGTTACAGGAAACCTCTATATTTAAACATGAAAAAACACATGGTTTCCTGTAGATATTCCCTTAAACCAATCCAACGACTTAGTTCCCGTATGCTTTATATTGATATTATTTGAACACCCACTAAACGCGCTCAAATCTCTACCCGTTCCCAACAAACATGTCCCCGATCAGCACGTGGGAAACATATGTTTCTCTGTTTTCCCAGGTTTTTGTTAATTCAATATTGACGTTTCCATGTTTTTCTTCTATGATTGGTGTCCATGTTATGCTTTCCATATCTTTTCATGTGTTTTTTATGGTTGTTCCGTGTTTTTCTCTGGTTTGACAACCATAAAACCACAGAGAAAAAACCGGAACAACCATAAATACACCATATTTCCCTTTTTACTTTTGGTGTATTGATGGTTGTTCCGGTTTTGTCGTGTTTTGTCGTGTTTTTTCCCCATTTTACGACCCATGAAGCCACCCCGGGGAGAACCTCGGTGGGCCATTTCCACAAGGCGCGCATGAGCTCCTGGGTGCTCTGATCCAGCCCTTCGTACCTGGTGAAATCCCAGTGGGTGTGGCTGGTGCGGTTTACGTAGGGTTGCTGGATGGGTTGCTGGGGGTTGCTGGGATGATACTAGTGATGAAATGGATCATTCCCGAACATTCCCTGCGTTTAGATGTTTAGCACCAGTAAGTCTTGTGATTATATATGATGTTTTGAGAAATTATGGAAAACTATAAATGAAAACTCTAGTGATGTGACTGGAATAGTTGATTATACATGATACATTAAATATAATCACGGGAAGATAAACATTTCAAAAAGAAAACAGCGATGAATGGGTCATTTGAGACCATCGATAATAGTCTCCAACTTTTTAAGGATGCAAATCCTACCCATTTCTGGGGATATTGGCAATAATTTACTGTTGTTTACCACATTACTCGTATAATGTAGAATGTCTAGAACAGATGGTTATAACATGTTAAAACCACTTGTCCATATTAATGATTGCAACGTTTGCGAAGTGGATAAGTATCATTAAATATTAAGTATCTATATCCCTGGTAGGCCGCACTTGCTAGAAGTGGGTCTCACGAACAGACTGCCAGCCCGGGTTTAAGCATCACTGTTTCACCAATCTATCCCGATCAGCCTTGGAAAATGGTGGAAAATGGTGTTCTAGTCTGGAATTAGCACTGGTCTCTTGGTTCTAGTCCCTTTGGAGGGGCCGATTTTGGGACGTCACAGTCTTGTTTACATTTCTTATCTTGGGTCAAGTCCTACGATAAAAATACATTGTTACAAAATCATTCATCTCAATGGGTGGTCTAGGTTTAGTGCTACAAAAGAGGTAGCCGTCATGGTTTAATTGATTTAAACGTTAGTTGAGCTTTGGATTTTGCCCCATTTATGTTCGTTCACATCTTCAAACAAACAACCGCTTACCTTGGTGGGTCCCCAAAAAAAATCTATACCGGTTTTTCACTCTCATGTTACAATGTTCATTTTCTGCAACAAAGAAACATCAACAAACATCAACAACCGCCATATATTTCTCGCTTCAAAGATGCCATGTATTTCTCGCTTTCGTTCGTTGCACCAAAAAGAGCTGCAGCTACACCTACCCGGGTTCTTCGAGATTCCTCCGATTCGTCCGGGGCACTCCAAGACTTCGATATTCTCCCAGAAGCTCACCTCGAAAAGAACACCAAATCTCAAGCTGGTTGGTGGTTAAACATGTGGTGATTTATGGTGATTTATGGTGGGTTTATGGTGGGTTTATGGTGATTTACGGTGGGTTTATGGTGGGTTTATGGTGATTTATGGTGGATTTATGGTGATCAATGGGTAATATACTGGTTGGTGGTTGCGCCTACCCCTCTGAAGAATGATGGAGTTAAAGTCAGTTGGGAAGATAAACATGTGGAAAAAAAAATGTTTCCATAATACTGGTTGGTGTTTTTTCGCCCTACTCCTCTGAAAAATGATGGAGTGAGTTCGTCAGTTGGGATGATGAAATTCCCAACTGAATGGACAGTCATAAAAATCCATTAAAATCCATTAAACCACTAATCCATTATTATTCCCATATATTAATGGAAAGTCTAATCAAATTCCATGGTTCCAGTCACCATCAACTTTTCGGTGACTTCTGTTGGTTGGTTTATGCGTGGAAAATCCTTTGAAAATGGGGATATGTCAAAACATAAACTACCATATTTGTTTGAGGAATGAACATCGTTTTACCATCAATTTGGGGTTCACTAGGGTACCAGGGTTTCGACTCATACCCATATATAGATATTAGATGATATTAGGATAGAACTAAAGGATGATGATACCGTCATCTATGCGTAGTGAGGCCTTCTAGTTATGTTTGGCTTTGTAAACCCGATTAATTAATACTATAGTTATATCCCCCTAATCAACCCTAGTTAACCAACATATAAATTCGAAAAAACGAAAGCCAGATGTGGTGAGATTTCAATTTAGCTAACATTTTTTTTGCCCCACCTACCCTTGGGATACCCTGAACGATCCCTGAGGTGTCATCAAACATGGTGGGCTGAGATATCCCTGTACGATCAATACGGAGGTTCAAGGAGATATCGTGAAACATATACTTTTTCGATCAAACCATGGTTAACCACCAATTAAAACCAACCAATGGCTAAACCAACAATTTTGACATAGTATTATGCCCTCTGATTATTCAACGCTATGGCTATGGAAGCCATGGACCATTTCAAGATGATCTACCGTGATCTACCTGATCCAGGAGCTGGACTTCAGGCTAAGAAGCCGCCCAAGTCTGCTGTTTTAATCCACTGGGCTACCAAGTCTGTTCAATTAATAAGTTTATATATAGACTAAATGAGTCTATATAATTTCATATCATTACATATCTAAAAAACTAAATGGACCATATAATACCCTAAACCATACTTAATTCAACTGTGCAGTTTCCACACCCGTCGCCTTCTTCCGGAAACTTTGGCTGCTGCCCATGCTGATACTCCTTCGCGCCTGGTCCTGGCGCTGGAAGCGTGTAGCCTCCCCTTGTGTCGGTTTCTGCATGCATGCAATAATTGGCCACTGGTTAAAAGGAGAATAGCCACCAAACACACTGGTAGAAATGGTGGGATATAGTGAGATATAAACTGAAGATTTCCGCATAATTTACCCTCTCGTTGTGCCATATGGAAGACATAACCATAGATGATGGTGATTACAGAACTTGACAATGGTGATTTTTCATACAATGTGAGGCCACCAAGATAGTTAAGTTGGTTTATAGCTCCAATAACCATGGTTTATGGTACTTATAACTAGTTACTGGGGCTTATAAACCAACTTATAACTGCGAGGCCTCACATTGTACCAGAAAAGAAATATAAAAGCATGTGTAAGTGCTAAACGGATATGCCCATCGAAATTCCCATTGATGGGATATCCATGGAATATGTTTTTTGTTTTTTAATAGCTATTGAAAATGGCCACTCATAGCGGAGTTACTCATTGAAAATGGTGATTTTCCATAGTTATGTTGGTTTACCAGAGGGTACCTAATGACATAACACCGACTCTACAATGGAGTGTGCCCCCCCCCAGTTATAAGTTGAGTTATAAGCCCAGTAACTATATTTATAAGTACCATAAACCATTGTTATTGGAGTTATGTTCACCAACTTAGCTATCTTGGGGGCCTCACATTGTAATAATATCCAATGAAAAATCAACTATATGTAGGAACGGGATAGATGGGAAAACTGTTGGATATTTACGGCTACTTCTGGAAATCCACGCCGTGACTTTGGTAAGTTGGAGTTGACTCTTCATGATGGGGATAGATATTTAACATGGCAATTTATAGGAATTTTTCTCTAGGGATATTTCGCGGAATAAACAAAATATCACCTTGTCAACTTTTTAGAAGAATTCGAAGTTGATTTATATAATTTTACCCTCTGGTAAATTAACATAGACCCTGGTAGATAGGGGTTGGAAGACTAGTTTCCATTAAAAATTGGTGATTTTCAGGGTCTATGTTTATTTACCAGAGGGTATATTTCACTACAATAATCTCTGGATTTATGGAGAGTTTTTTCAATCACTCCTATTTTTCATGGGTGACACTCAAGCCGCAACCATTGGATGTTGTCCCGGGTTCTGACCCAGTCACAAACTGATTGGTACCCATTCAGTTGGATCACAGTTTCCCCGAATCATAATCTGGGATGATGCAAAATGTCTGGTCCTCATGTTCGATGGGAAAAAGGAACATAGTTTTTCTGTATAGCTTAATGGAAGGAACACCATGCATGGAAAATGCCTGTTGCGTGCAAAATAAATCGTATTTTGAGGCGGTTTCTGCATATCACTTATCAAGTGTCATCAGCATTTTACCCAGAATGTTTTTTTTCAAAAAACAAATTTTATCCTTTCGTTTAGTCAGCTACTGGCAGCATGGAAGGCATCTCCAATTTGCTTTGCAAATGAATTCAGGCAGAGGCCTTCGGGGTAGCCTATTGTTTTTTTTGGAGCCAGGCAACAATGCAGATCTACGAACAAATACAACATCTTCAATCAACTGATCCAACAGTGATTATTGTATCCTTATTTCGAATCACCGTCAAAATGGTATCAACTATCAAAATCATCTGCACGTTCATGGAAATCATAGTATGTTGTTCTTGATGTTGTTGTTGTTGATGTTGCTGTTGTTGTTGCTGTTGTTGTTGTTGTTGCTGTTGTTGTTGTTGTTGGTGGTGGTGGTGGTTATGGTTGTGGTTGTGGTTGTGGTTGTGGCTGTGGTTGTTGTGGTTGTGGTTGTGGTTGTGGTGGTGGTTGTGGTTGTGGTTGTGGTTGTGGTTGTGGTTGTTGTTGTTGTTGTTGTTGTTGTTGTTGTTGTTGTGGTTGTGGTTGTTGTTGTGGTTGTGGTTGTGGTTGTTGTGGTTGTTGTGGTTGTTGTGGTTGTTGTGGTTGTGGTTGTTGTGGTTGTGGTTGTGGTGGTTGTGGTTGTGGTGGTTGTTGTTGTTGTTGTTGTCTTCTTGCTGATAAATAACCTGATAGTTTGCGCGTTTTTTTTGGTATTTCCCTCTCCGTGTTGCTTTGTCTGCGGTGGGGTGGGGTGGGGTGGGATAATAACGTCTTGTTACGTTGACGTCCCATCCGTTCGCAGTAGCTGTTGACTGCAGTTGACACTGGGTGACACTGGGTGACACTGGGTGACACTGGGTGACACTGGGAACGTTAAACATCTATGTGGGTTTGTCCGAAAATTGGGCACACCCCTCTGAAATTGCAGTTGAAATGGCAAGGCATTACTTTACGTTCAAATCAATGGGATTTTGGTGGTCCCCATCTTACAAACACACCCATCTTCTTTCAGGAAGGATGCACCCACCAATCATGCATTGTATCCTTTTCTTAGGCTGTTTTTTTTGCTGCTTCACCACACTTTGTGTGTGTCATTTACCTGCTTACTGGGGAAACGTTGGTGAATGGCGAGTAGGTTAAAGTAAAAAACAATGCCCTGCCATGTCCATGTCAGGTCTGCTCCAGCTCCCCCCCTGCAGTCCATTAGAATCGACGGTCCAACCGATTCGGTTCTGTTGAAGAAAGGAGACCTGGCCGTAGTGAAAGGAGACCTGGTTGATTGCTTAGGAATATATCCCCAGTTCGTGTAGCCCTGCAACAAAGTGGGCACCCCGGTTATGTTTGCTGCCTTAGTTTCACGCATTCTTCGAGAGCGATGTTTCCACCATGATCCACTGATCCAAGAGGCCTTTTTTTTTTTGTGTGGTAAACCCTATGCCACAATTATACCCAGTTTTCACCATGGCTTACCAGGTGGGTATTAAATACTGTACCAAATAAGAAAGGGTTCTATTACCATCTGGTTATTTAACATAGCCATGGAAAATCACAATTTTTAATAGGTAAATCATCTGTAAATGGTCCATTTTCCATGGCTATGTTAAATTACCAGAGGGTACTGGGTTTACGTTCTAGCTTTAGCCACTGGACTGTTAACCAACCCCCATATGGGTATCCAATCCAACTTTACCATGACACCTCTGGCTTTGTGATATCACTTCGTGAATAACCCTGCAAGGTGCTACACCCCAGTTATAAGTTGTTTTATCATCAAACTAATTCGATATATCCACCATAAACCCAAGTGTTTAGCCTAGGTAGATACACTTACCTACCTAACTAGTTGTCTTTGTAATCATGTTCCCAGTTATGTCCACTTGTTCTTGAGTTGAAATCACGTTTTTGTCATTAAATCACCATGTAAAAGATTGTAAAAGTGTAGAACAAATCAAGCATCATTTCTAGCATCATTTCTCAATGATATCCCCATAGAAAAACCCTGCAATTAGTGCCGCAACCCCACATCAATTCACATCATCCCATCCTGGTGAAGAGCATTTCCAGTTGGATGATGCACAAAATATCACAAAATCCAGGCATATCTCCGCATAGGTTAGAAGCGCCTTGAAATCACCTTAAAATATGAGAAATCCACCAGATAAATTAACGGCATCAAGTCCGGAATAAATCCCAAACGGGTCTCCACATTCTGCATATGCGGAAAGGATGAAACGGGTCTAACGGGTCTCTACAATCCCCATCTTAATGGAAAACCGGGTGATCTATGGAATTCCTGATGAAATCCACATGTCCAACCATATCAACATGTTTTCTTTTTCTATCGGAATTCAACCATCGACATATCCCCTAGGAAAAAATGGATGTCTATACTGTACATATATAATGTCCCTCTATATATATATATATATATTCATTTATACCGCTTGAGAATTCCATGAAACAAATATGTCCAAATTGTCCTATTATAATATATATGTCTATAATTTTCTAGATATCCGTTTTTTTATATTGATACAATGGGAATGTCAAAAATAGGATATATTTATAGGATATAGAAATTTATCCATTTATCTAACCATTTATATACAATAACATTTCTATATATATATATATATCCGTATATATATATATATATATCCACCCAAAAAAAGATCCCATGGCAGCCATGCCCAAAGCGGTCCTTATGGACCTCTTTGGAGGCCAATCGGTGCCCGACTCATCGGGTGGCTCCTGGTGACGTAGCTATACGATCATTCTATACAAATAGTACAAAATAACTATATCATTTATATATAAACCATATATTCTATCTATACTATATTATTCTGATGGTTTGTACAAATAATTCTAGGTATCATATTATTCTATATTATTCTATCATATTCTATCTATACTATATTATGGTTGATCCAGGGGTTGGTAAATGTCCTATTTTTTTCACATCACCCAACTGTTGGGATTTGCAATAATATAATCGCTAACAAATACTTGAAAGTGATGTGAAACAAATCTCCAAATGGGACATTTACCAAGCAATGTATATATCTGGGTAAATAATAACAATTCACTAGCCTGAATAGTTCGGCCATATTGGGATGAATCCCCTTATTGAACCATGATTCCAGTTCGGGAGAACAGTGAGGTCGTGATGAAATTTACCCAGATACATGTACAAATCGCATTATTCTATATTATCCCAATAAATTATCCCTATCAAACCATATAAAGGGATATACAGCAGTTATCGCATGTTATGGCAGTGATGTGATTAATGAGTTTTATGGGAATTAATCAACAGAAACGGGAATATCATGGGGATAGGAGATTTTTAATTCAAATTTTCTTTTAACCACCAAAACATACCCTTAAAAAACCTCTACAAAATGGCTTGTTGTTTGTTGCAGAATGGTTTGTTTTGGTGCCAATAAATGATCATGCCTTCGAAATAAAAATAATAAACCAGCTAAAACACACTAATTACTACATAATGGTATCTGTGACCTAATTTAAGGACTCATTTTCCACAGAATGGTAGCTTTATGGGGGGGTCAACCCTGGCCATTCTAAGGAGGAAATGGCAAGGAGGACTATACGATCGTCCTTAAGATGTTGGATAGTATTAGCCCCATCAACCCCCATAAAATTAATCATCAACCGAATGGAGCCACTGCGAAAAAATGCAGCTTCAGGGACCCTGAGTTTACTCTACAAGGTGGTGCTCCCCAAGTTAAGTTTGTTGGTGAAGCCTATGAACAAGAGTTATAACAGTTATAACTGCCACAAAGCCTAGTGAAATTGGGGAATCCAACTTAGCTATCGTTTGGGGCCTTGTAGATGTGCAAAAATCCTCAATCCGAATCTGTGGATTGGATCTCCGCCGGCTTGTCATCAGCTGAAATCTCACGGCTGCTGGGATTCCTCGATTTTCTGGCCTCGATGACCAAGGACGGCACGGATGCCACGTGTCTTAGCAGCACCAAGAGCTGGAAAGTGAAAATGGATCTTTTTTTCTGGAGGGAAACTCCATGCCATCTCTAATGAAATACTGGTTGAAAACGGTCTTCCAATCCTATGGGTCATCATGATCCCCAATAAATAAGTCCCAACAAATTCACCAATCAGAAATCATCAGAATCTCTCCAATAATTCACCAAATGCAATCCCAAAGTAAAATGATGATTCTATATTCTATAAATAATAGATATCCCATTCATGTCCCCGTTTTCCCAATGAATTCACCCATCGACTTCTCGCGACTTCTCCTCCGGTTCATCTTCCGGCATGTCGCCATAAAACTGCGGAGCCGTTGGTGCCTGTGGCAAACATCGATGTCAAGCTGGTGCGCCCCAGTTATGTTTGATGGTTTATGAACCCCATTAAGTAATAAAATACTTTGCTAATACGATATATAGATACACATCCACCATACCATAGTTAAGCTACTCACAAACCAGCTTAGCTATCGTTTCGGTCCACCACCTTGTATAAATGATTCCCTTTGGTTTAATAACCGTGGTACTTCTGTGCCCAAGGTCCCAAGATCATTTCCAAATCTTCAGCCACCCGATTCACGGCATCAATTTCACAGAGCCTAACACAACCCTATCAAATTTGGGGGTACATGGGGGTTATTTAACAGTTCGCCATGGAAGCCATGCCCCATTTAGTTCGATGATTTTCCCAGCGATAAACCGACCTTTTTATAAGGGGATTGTCCATGGCGAACTGTTAAATAACCAAATGGGTTACCATATTTAAAAACAACACCATTCTGAGTCAAGTCCAACCCGAGCCACCTGTGAGGATGGCTGCTTGGTGCAATCCCTTCCTCAGATTTAGAAACCTTTGTTCATCAAATCACCATATAATTATGTGTACATATAAGTCTTGTTTATTTTCATTTTATCTTGATAAGTACATATACGCCCATGAAATTTGTAAAACATGAAGTTGTAGTAAACTACCCCGTTGGTTTACCCCCGATCCTGATGATTGATGATATCCCTGTTATAACTTACAACCCTACTGAGCCTACTGTTTTCATGGTGACATCCCATTGTTTTTTCCCGCAGTGTCACACGGTAGTACTGTATAGTTAGCACCTTGTTTTCTTGATTTAGATTCACCCTTCTGACTAGAGTTATGTTATCTTATTTCATCACAATATAATTCAAACAGTTAACCTAGGCAAATACACCAACTTAGTTAATTAACACTAATGACGTAAAACAACTATCAATCCCCACAAAATGGCTAGTTAAATCTCAATTGGCCCCCATGTTTGATGGTCAAATCTCCAACTTTGGAATAAACGTCCAACATATCTGGCTAAATTATAATAATTTACCATCTGGTTATTTAACATAGCCATGGAACATCCCCTATAAATGGAGGTTTTAATTGGAAAATCATCTATAAATGGACCATTTTCATCCATTTTCCATGGCTATGTTAAATAACCAGAGGGTACCTTAAGCTGAAAGAACCCTGAAACTTAAGCGGCCAGTATCCGGGATGTTTCCCCGAATCCGAAAATGGCTCGGAATCAAAAAAAACCGACGTCGAAAGCGCGATCGTCGCGACATGAGGTCCTTGTCTCATGAACTACTTGGTTGGACATGCTTTCCCTATCCTATGCTTACTGGTGCGTTTTACTTAGGGAATGGATGGGACTGGGGGTTGCTGGGATGATTATTATACTAGTGATTAAGGATCATTCCCGAAAGTTCCCTGCTAAGCACCAGCAAGTATGGGTTAGTTCATGAACCTCAACAGGCCAGTAGAATTCACGTCATGTCATAACCAATCAACTGAGGCTAAGCAATGATAATTAATGCACTATTCAAGATTACATAACAAGAATGTTTGAACAACACATAATAACACAAATGATCATAGCAATAAGGTCCCAAGGTTCTTGAAACATCTCCAAATTGATTGGTGATGACATTGATAGGGAATTCCTGTTGGCTGCACCATCACCTTGGGATTTCTTATCGGAAATTACTGTACTATGAACCTTCGGAATTACGATTCTTATGCATAACATGCTGATCATAACACGTGTTTAAAACCAATATTGTTACTGTATTGCTATTATCATTAGGGTTGCCTTGTGTTATTTTAGAATTACCATCTGGTTATTTAACATAGCCATGGAAAATCACCATTTACAATAGGTAAACCATCTATAAATAGGCCATGTTCCATGGCTATGTTAAATAACCAGAGGGTATTGTTATGTAACCTTACATATTGCACTAATGATCATAGACCCTGTCGATCCAAATAGGGGCGGCTATTTTAGGGGTCTATGTGAATTTACCGGAGGGTAACATAATACAGTTATGGCCCTTAACAGTCCTTTTTAGGGGCTTATAAGTATTTATAACCTTTGTTATTGGAGTTATAATTCCATTTATAACTGTTAAGGGCAATAACGGTGGAGGGTAACATAATAACCATGCAAATTTTAATATCTCTAAGTTCTTAGCGAAAGACTGCACCGCTCACCTTGGGCGCTGTCGGATCATCAGGCACAATGACCTGAAGCTTGGATGGTGGCGGCCGTGACCCAGTGAAAACCAGAACTTAAGGTGTATGATTACTTAATATAGTTATGAAACTAGTGATATACCTTAAGTGAAAATATAGTTACGAAACAATAGCTTAGAAGGAATATCACGCTATGGCTATATCCCAATGTTACATAGTTTCATGAAACTAGTACAGTTATATTCGGGTATAAATAACTTCGGGGATATATCAATGTTCCATCACATCATGGTATATCCCAATCTCAATAACAAATACTTTTTAGTTATGAAACTAGTGATCGGGACATACATTACAGAGACTGAAGTTACAAGGTGCTGCTCCCCCAAGTGAAATTCGTTTTTTGCTTTGGATTCTGCCCATAGTCAAACCAGGTTGGAGGTACCTCCTAAATCCTCCAACACTACCAAAGTATTGAAACCCATGGGTTTGAAGATCTTCCATTTTAAGAAACCATCACCTGGATATAGACGAACTTAGCTAAGTATGGAGCATTGCATGAAAAATTGGATGGAAAATGATCTAGTTACTAGTCATTCTAAACAAGGATTTGTGTTCACCAGCTGATGCTAGTAAATTACCCCCAAAAAAAACAACAAAAACTACGAATAGGAGTGAACTTGTCTAACGTTTTTGCGGTTACTATGATTAGGGACTATCTTGACTAGTGACCAACCAGCCGATGCACATTTCAGGGAGTGATCCACAGAGCCGGGCGGATTCGGCTTTTGAAATCAAAGACCTGGAGAAACACATAAAACAAATTGTAGATTGTCCGAAAAAAACGGGAAAATATGAACAAAAACAATATCCTTCTGAAAAAAGTGGAAAATACGTTTCTACTACTTTTCGGGGTTACCACAGTAAATGGTTTTCTTCACAAAGGGAATTCAGAAACTGGTCGCTGGAGTGATTGTTTATCGACGAAAATCAAGTATAATCCGAAACCATTGTTCTTAACCGCCAGACGTAGGGTTTTCTTCTGGTCATTTTTTCTCACTCCAACCATTGCGGCAAAATTATGCCCCCTACTTTGCGAAGTTGTTCTTCTTGGATTTGCGCACGGGTCCCAATTTTTAAAAAAAACATATTCACTTCATCGATTCCCCGTGGTGGATTTTCCAAAGGGAAAAAGAACGGGTGGCCGCCTAAACGGAACCGGGGCTTTTGTGTAGCAGCCTACGGGGTAAACAAGTGATAACTGGGGTAGCAACCCACCTTTGAGAGTCCACCGCGGTCAGCACGGGCAACCTCCCATGGCGAGAGCTTGTTGCGCACCGGCCAGGCGTTGCCGGTGACTTGAATGAAATAAGTGTGGCTTCCAGGTGCTGCACCAGGAACTGTGTGCACATTAATGGTGAGGTGCGCTACGCGTCCAGGGCAGGGCAAGTCGATGACTGTTGCCTCTGCAGGGATGTCGGCAAGGGCTGTGGTGACCAGCCCCCACCCATGGAACGGGCTGCGCGGGGAGCGAAGAGGAGACCTCGATCTGACCGCTCGAGCCACTGCCATGGCCTGCTCCCTGGTCAGTTGCACCATGCACCCCCCATCACGGGCCCTGACCTGGTAATATGCGACCGGAAATATCCTAAGCCTTAAAAATCTTTGGGATGTACTATGGAGGGATGTGCTATGATGTGGAGATCTGGCATCCATCCCATGTTTACAATAATATAAATAGAGATAGATAGATATATAATTATATATATATATATATAGATTGATTGGTTGGTGGTTTCAACCCCTCTGAAGAATATCAGTCAAATGGGATTATTATTCCCAATATATGGAAATGAAAAATGTTCCAAACCACCAGCCAGTATATATATACATATATATATATATATATATGCATATATATATATATATATATATGCATATATATATATATATAATGTATGCTTCGCAATAATCGAAGGAAGTTTAGAAGTCAAACTTCCGACAACATGGACAGATGAAAAGCAGAGGTGGAGCGGAAGGATAGAGAAGAGAAGAACAGAAGAGAGAAGATCAGAGAAGAGAAAGAGCCAGAAGAAAGAAGATGCAGGTGCGCGAAAAGGTAGGAAAGTCGCGAAACAGTATGTTTTTCCAATGATTTGTGGCCCCGGAGGGTCGAAAAGTAGGCTCGCTAAAGCGGTGGGTGCGGAGCCAGCTGGCCAGATGAGAGATGAACAATTGCACGCCGTTGTGGCGCGAAGCACATTTCCAAGTCAAAATGTAGAAAACACTTCAGCTTCGGACCACTTTTAGAAGTTGCGATGTCGAAAAAGTGCACGCCGTTGTGGCGCGAAGCACACTTGCAAGTGAAAAAGCTAAAAACACCTCATGTTTGGAGCACTTTCGGAAGTTGAGATGTCGAAAAAGTGCACACCGTTGTGGCGGGAAGCACATTTCGAAGTCAAAATGTACAAAGCACCACATGTTCGGACCACTTTTGGAAGTTGAGATGTCGAAAAAGTGCACGCTGTTGTGGCGCAAAGCACATTTCGAAGTCAACATGCACAAACACCACATGTTCGGACCACCTTTGGACATTGAAGCGTCGTTTCGCGTGGCAGGCGCAAGGGATTGTGCACCTTGTCAAAACTGAGCAAAACGTGAGGGCTTTGTAGCATTTCCAAAAAAGAAGCAGGCGTGGGACATTTGAAGAGGATCTGCAAAGATGCAATTTCCGTGGCAGACGCAGTACAAGAGACATGTTCATCAGAGCTGTTAGGAGGTCCGCGCACTGATTTCCTGAGAGGGGTTGCATTTTGGAGCCTTAGATTTTCAGGTTTGCTGAGATGATTTTGCGTGACAGGTGCAGCACTTCCTATGACCTGGCATCAATTTTTTGTGGCAGGCGCAGTAGTTTAGACAGATGGACTGGAAAAATCTCAAAACGAATTGGTACTCAACTTTCCATTTTTGAAGGACGTCTAGCAGAATTGCTTCGATTTTGATGTTGTCAACTTCAAAAAATAGGAAGTCTCACAGAATTGCTTCATTTTGGATGTTGTCACGTTCAAAAATTAAGGACGTCTCGCAGAATTGCTTCGTTTTGGGTTTTGTCAAGTTCGAAAAATTGAGGAAGTGTCGCAAAATAGCTGCATTTTCAAGTCTTGCAGATAGACAGACAGATAGACAGACAGCTACAACTACAACTACGACTACGACTACAACTACAACTACAACAACAACAACCACTACCACTACCACTACACTACACTACTACTACAGCTACAAATGCAAATCAACTAATTACGCTACATTACACTACACTAATTACACTATACCATACACAACACTACACTAATTACATCTAATTTCACTACACTACACTAGTTACACTGCAGCACGCTACAACTACAAATACAAATGCGACTACAACTACACTACATTGCACAACACTACACTACACTACACGACACTAATTACACTGCCGCACACTAGAACTACAAACACACATGCAGCTACAACTACACTACATTGCACAACACTACACCACACTACACTTAGATTACTACACTACACAACACTAGACTACACTACACTACACTAAACTACACTAATTACACTACATCACGCTACAACTACAACTACAACTGCAACTACCATTGTAACTACCACTACATTGCCCTACGCGACACTACACCAATTACACTACACCACATACACTACACCACACTACAACTACAACTACACTACCTTACACTACACTAGACTACACTATACCACACTACAGTACACAACACTACAGTACACTACAATACAGTACACTACAATACACTACACTAATTACACCACACCACAACTACAAGTGCAACCGCGACTACACTACACTTATTACACATTACAACTACAACTCCACTACACCACACCACAATTACAACTACAATTGCGCTACACCACACTACATCCAGTAAGGTGACCACTGCAACCAATGCAACCGCTCCAAAAACACAACTCCAACCACCTGTCAGTCCATCAGTGGATTCGCTCTGCCATCCGTGATTCACAACCACCAACCTCTCCTATAGGTTTCCTATTTTTAAAACTTCCGCCACCGCCTTGTGCGGTACTACTGGTATACATATAAACATGCACCATGAACCGAAGAAACAACTAACGTTAATAAGATAAATCAACCATCAATCCAAATCTCCATCCTCCATGGATTTTTTAGGAGTGTTGATGCTTAAATCACATGTTTTTCCATGTTTTTCCCATGTTTCCCACATCTTCCCCTCCTTTGATGACCATTTCATGGCTTAACTCGTGCCTTGTCATTCTGGATGTTCGCCACTGCCAAAGCTGCTGCGGCTGTTGCGTTCATCGTGCTGCGCATGGATTCTGTCACCACCAGGGATTCACGTCCTCAGTCGCTAAAGGATGACATGTTTCCGTTAAAGAAACAACTCCGGAGACCCAAGTTTAGCGATCTATTCTTTGGTAAGGTATCAATCAACGCTTGCTATATATATAATATTAGTTTGGTGCTTGATAGTTTGATAACTTTGAAATACATCCATATCATCTGGAAATAGCTGGAAATATCTGGAAAATGTTTCATGATTCAGAATCCTGCAATGTTGGGCTATTTCGAGATTACACAATTCCCAGGCATCATTTACCCAATTGATACTTTTGGGTTTACCGCAATGTTATATCCATTTATCATCTTTTATTTTGGGTTTACCACAATAGATGCAATTGAAAACACCATGTGTCTGACATTTTCTGACCGTAAACTACGCAAGCAAAATGTGCAAGCAAAATGCGCAACCGGAGTCCAAGTAGGTGCAGCGGTCGACAACGACTCTTCTGGATGTTCTGTCTGAAGTCCCAATTTTCACCATAAAGTGAGATGATCAAACGGGTGGCGAAGCCCCGCTCTTTTTTAAATGGGTGATCTCCACCTTGAATTTCCTCGACAATGGCCATAAGAAAAGGCAATCCCATGTACCGAAGACCAAACAAGACATGAACACATGACAAATCATGACAATAACAATACTGGTTGGTGGTTGAGCCCTACCCCTCTGAAAAATGATGGAGTTCGTCAGTTGGGATTATGACATTCCCAATATATGGAAAGTCATAAAATGCATGTTCCAAACCACCAACCAGATCCTTAAACCAATCCATTAATCCATTGGAAGAACTTGCCGCAAAAAAAATGGTGCAACTGGGTCGACAATGGATCGAAGACCAAACAAGACATGAACACATGACAAATCATGACAATAACAATGTACACTATGGATCCCTATGGATCCTTCCTGAGAAGATACCCCCAAGCCAAAAGGGGACGCTCAGAAGGTGGATCCATAGGGATATCTCATGTCACATCTGCTGAGCTTCAACCCTTGGCGCTGCGGCGCGAATGATGAGACCAATAAAAGACAGATAAAAAGAACCACTTTACCAATTCAATACCTACTCATATGAGGAAATGATTTTTTTGTTGGCTTCACAATCACAATTTGGCAGAAATTGGGAGACGCGATAGACGCAGAGCTTTTGCAGCCGGTCTCCATGGTTCAATCTTCATGGCTGGTTCCCGGTCGGTCGAAATTGGGCATCAGTGGCTCTTCACTTTTGACACCAATTTTGAAAGATCGTAAAAAAAGGGCTGATCGACGATAGATATTTCTAAACCATACCAATATTTCACCTATAGCTCAATAAACCCATCGAATCCAACTTGTGCTTTCTCTCTCGGAAATGATGAACCAGAAACCCGGATTCATAAATCATAGCGTTGGATTTCTGATCATTCATAAAATCCCAATATGACATTCATAGTGTTGGGGATATGAATCTAATTCAGGAATATATACCAAACAAAAATATTGCTAAATTTCCTACATCCAATTCGGTGGGCGAGTCAAAAAGCCACGGAAATGGCAGCCACAATCCCTGGACTCCTGCAACTAGTTGGCTATACATATATCAAACAAAATGGGGGTTATATGTAAATTTTATATATATATAAATATTATAATATTATGTATTATGTACATGTAAGCCACTTATTTCTGGTTTATTTCAGTTAAAAACAAGCTAATTCACTGCACCAACAATGGCCCTTTTTTCTCTAACTCGCCGAGACACTGGAAGGTGATGCTGGTGATGCTGAATGTACAGAGTTTCTTCGTGAAGCTACTAAGGGTAGGTCCTGGAATCGCGTCAGTCCGGTGGTTACGGGCTGCGGGGCACTAAAGATCAGAGGGTTTTCAACTGGTCCAATGTTTTTGTTGTGGTTAAAATACTATACTGAGTATTGTTTTTGACAGAAGTATATCATAGACTGAATATAGTATCCTGAAAATGCTGATCATATCTTACAATGTGGTCCCCCGCAGTGATGTTAGTTGGTTAACAAAAGCCCCAGTAACTATAGTTATAAGTACCATAAACCAAAGTTATTGGGGTTATAAAACAACTTAGCTATCTTGGGGGCCTCACATTGTATATTAAATTAATATTAAAAGAATTATATCAATCAAATCCACCTTGCTGTCAAACACCACCCGGAGACTATAGTTTAGGGAGGATTTACACATATTTGATATTAGCAGGCTGGGATTAGTGTGTCTATAACGGTTTATATTCTTTGATAATGTATAAATGCTTATAATTGCTTATGATAAATGTTCCAAACATAGTAAACTAGGTGAATGGGGTTTATAGTGGTTATATCGAATTCGCATGGATATATGTTGATTAATATGAACCAACATAACTAGAGGCACCCCTTGGTTTTCAACCGGCTTGCACAAACAAAAACTAGGGTGTAGCTAATTAAGGATATGCGGGGTCCCGCAAACTTGAGATTGGGCGGTTCTGGGAATTCAACCACTAAAACTGCTAGTGATTCCATCACATTTGAATGGGTCATTGATAATTTATGAGAACTACGGAACCGAGTTGGTTTTTCATTGGCTTTTCCCTGTTTTTCCCATTGATATCACCAATCACTTCGATTATTTTGCAGGTACCTCCATGACTTTGGAAACTTGGGCCTTACCATGCGTGTAAAATCATATTTCAACAACTAAGAAAATGACATTCCGTCTTTGTAATCAAACATAGTTTTTTTTGTGACTTGAGAGTGAAGTTGGTTTGTGAATGGTAGACGTTTTTGACTTTCCACTGGCAGGTAAAACGTCCACTTCTGAATGGGTTTCCCTGGACGTCTCAGGTCGGATGCAGGGCCTGCCTCTGAAAGGATGATGTCTTCCCGACGAGTCAGGTATATTTACGGCAGGGTTTAAACTGAAGATCACCATTTTCTATTGGTAAATCAACTATTTCTATGGCAATTTTCAATAGCTATCTTAGTTTACCAGAGGGTAAACTGAAGATGATGATGGATCAAACAGTCTTAGGAAAGTCTTTCATGTTGTTGAAGAGTGCATTCTGGTCATTTGACATAACTGTGGAAAATCACATTCTTTTGTCAGGTAAAACATTACATAAATTTGCCATGCCATAGCAACCTCTTAAATCACCCGAGGATAAGTAACGCTTTATAAACATGCGAAGGGCAGTCCATGGGGATTCATTCGGGGAGGTCCGAGCTCTGCTGGACGTCCATCGTTGGTGATTTATCATGAGTGATGCATCCTAGGTTTGCAGCGTCAAGAGGAATTACATATCCCATAGACTCCATGGTGCTGGAATATTTACCAACATTTGCCCAACATAAATCACCCAGTCATGTAGGCAAATACCCTCTGGTTCTTTAACAGTTCGCCATGGAAAAGCACCTTTTTTAATAGGTAAACCAATGGGGCCATTTTCCATGGCTATGTTAAAAAACCAGAGGGTATACCATACATAGAGCATTAATGGGGTCCGACTTAGTCAAATCTGATGGAAATCCTCAGCTTAAACAAGCGAGAGAAGGGGCAGTTGGCCACGGGGCGAATCCCCCAGAGAGTGCTACCCACAAGATATCGTTGGCTACTTAGGTGCGCAGTTGGGAATAAAACATATAATTGATAAATAAACATATATACAGTATATATATATGCATTAAATATAATATTAAATATCTATATATATATATAATTATGTATATAAATAAATATATATACATCTATAAATTATATATATATATATATCTTGAATAATATTTAAATTATATTATATTTTAATTATGTTATATTTACATTAAATGAAATTTATATTATATTATATTATATTTATATTTATATTCATACTATACTTAAATTATATTATATTTAAACTATAGTGTATTACATTTAAATTATATTATATTTAGAATATATTATATTTATATTTACTTTATATTATATTACATTTATATTATATTATATTGTATTATATTATATTTAGAAAATATATATGTATATTATATTATATTTATATTATATCATATTTAAATTATATTATTGTTGCAAGTACCATAAACCATAGTTATTGGAGTTATGTGCACCAACGTAGCTATCGAACGGGGGCCTCACATTGTACCATACATAGAGCATTAATGGGGTCCGACTTAGTCAAATCTCATGTAAATCCTCGGCTAAAACAACCGAGAGAAGGGTCAAGGCTACCCACAAGATATCGTTGGCTACTTAGGGGGCAGTTGGGAATAAAAGTTGATAAATAAACATATATATATATATATTAAGTATAATATTAAATAAATAAATATATATATATATTACATTATGTATATATATATATATATTACATTATGTATATATATATATATTATGTATATTAAATTATATTCATATTATATTATATTTATATGAGATTATATCTATATTATATTATATTTATATTATATTAATATTAAATTTATATTATATTATAATACCATAGAGATATATATATGATATGTAGATAATATAATATATATATATATGTAGATAAATAGATATATATAGATAGATAGATAGATAAGTTTTATCATATTTCCAATTTCTGGGAGTGGCTGGAGCCCCAAGCAGCCAACCAAGCTGTACACCCTGACCTTTGGGGAAACACATCTACCACACTTGACCCAATCAAATTCCAACACTCAACACCCACACCTGGCAAGGGGGTTCCAAAGATTATTCCGGGTCACCTGACAGTGGAAGAATTTGGTTAATGGCCCATCCGAATTGCAGGCTACCAACCTCTCAAGCTCTTGGCCGAAGAACCATGACCACTATTGCTTATGCCATTCAAAAAACATGGCCAATCTTAGATATCCAGCAACAAATTAAATTCTTAGCTGGTTACTAGATACTCCCATTGATACCAAAAGACTAATGGAATCTAAAGGATTAATATCTACCCGTCCAAGATTGACCTAGAACAAATGCAGCAAGATTAAGAACTGAACTCTCTACGCGTTGCCGCAGTTTCAGCAGCTTCCAACTTGCGAAGGAATCATCTATATCCTTGGTCCACCCTACCCCAAAACTAGGACTTAAATTGGTTAGTACGTCTATTTTTTTTTAAAAAAAAACTATAATTTGAAGATTATGCTTTAATAACTACAAGTTGAGTATAATTTTAATAACTATAATTTGAAGAATATTTTGTTAATAACTATAAGTTGAAGATTATGTTTTAATAACTATAAGTTGAGTATAATTTTAATAACTATAATTTGAAGAATATTTTGTTAATAACTATAAGTTGAAGATTATGTTTTAATAACTATAAGTTGAATATATTTTTTAAAAAAACTATTAATTGAATAATATATTTGAAATACTATAATTTGAAGATTAGGTTTTAATAACTATAAGTTGAATATTATTTGTTTAATAACTATAATTTGAATAATATCTTTTAATCATTATAATTTGAAGATTAAGTTTAGTTTTAATAACTATAAGTTGAATATTATTTTTTAAAACTATAATTTGAAGAATATCTTTTAATAACAATAATGTGAAGATTATGATTTAATAACTATAAGTTGAATATTAATTTTAAAAACTATAATTTGAAGAATATTTTGTTAATACCTATAATTTGAAGACTATGTTTTAATAACTATAAGTTGAATATTTATTTTTTTAATAACTATTAATTGAATAATATATTTTAAATACTATAATTTGAAGATTATGTTTTAATAACTATAAGTTGAATATTTTTTAACAACTATTATTTCAAGAATATGTTTTAATAACTATAATTTGAAGATTATTTTTAAGTAACCTATAATTTGAAGCACCCCATTCCAGATATTCCAGGTATTTTCTTCCATGACTTCCATGGATTCCACATATCCACCGCGACCTGGCTAGGCCGAACTCTGATGAAATCTGCGAACAGTTCCCTGTAAGTTGGCGCTTCCAAGCCTTAAATGTCCCGGAAGAATGGGCTGTATCGTGATCATTCTGGGTAAAATAAAATTTTTCACTAACCTGAATTAACCATAATTAACCATGATCCCAGGGCTCGGTCGCAGTGAGGTCGTGATGTAATTTACCCAGTTCATTGCTAATCCAATGGAGATGCACCCCGTTCTTGGAAGTCGACAGCCACGTATCATTATGTTGCGAATTCGAAGCGAAGCAAACAACAGTTTTTATTCCAGTGACATATGCATGCATATCATACACTGGTTGGTGGTTTTAACAATCTTGAAAAATATTAGTCAATGGGAAGGATTATCCCATATATTTGGAAAATAAAAATGTTCCAAACCACCAACCAGTACAAGTCTTCTGCATAAATTATCTTCATACAATTACTGGCTCTTTTGAAATTGTTATTGACACTGCACCCCAACGCACCAGCTGGGAAACTGTAGAATCGGATTGATCCAACGAACCGTATACCATCCAGCGTCTTTATTGGTCACAGGTTATAGGTTGCATCTTACTTGGTTGCAGCTACTGTCATAGCCATGTTTTTTTCAGTCGTTGCATCTTACTGTGCCTTCTAGTGCTTATATCATCAGGTAAACACTAAAACATACTAAAACAGTTCTCAACAAGAGACCCCACATTGTAATTGATTATGATTGGCTAAACCGAGATATGGTTATATTCCAATTTGTAGGTATTGTTATTTTTACGTATTATCATTATTATTATTCAAAATCCCAACATTGTTGTTGGTGTTTACCTCCGGTTTGCATAGCTTAACTTCAACCAACTATCAATCCTCAGTTCTACTGGTTGTAGAAACGGTGGTCCCTCAAGTTATGTTTGTTGGTAATAAAGCCATCAAACTACTTTATATATCCAATTGCAGTATCCAGCGTAGAAACTAGTTGACCTGTAGCTAAATACTTGTCATTCAACAAACAAATCAACTATCAACACCATGTATGGTAGTTATATCCATTTTCTTCTAATGTCCCCTCATTTCTACTGGTTTCTCATGGAAAATTCCCATGTTCCACCATGTTTGGTCTATCCATCCCCATTTTCCCACATGTTTGACGCCAAAATTCCCAACTTTCGAGGGACTCCCAAGGGGTTCGAAAACCCACCGCGCTTCTGTCCTGCGTGTCCAAGCGTAAAGCCGCACGATGGCTCTCCAACAAATTGTAGCGCAAGACACCTCAGTTGCGGTTGCGGTGGGTGAATTGATGCAAGAAAACACGGTTTAACATACCGGGGCCCCCCTAGCTATAAGTTGGCTGAAAAACCCATCTGACTATAGCTGTATCCCCTATAAATCCTGGTTAACCTATTTATAAGTCAACTTAGCTAACTGTGGGGCCTCTTCCTGTAGTTTAGTTTGACCATCCTGAAAATGACGTTTTAGTGGAAAAATGCTGGGTTGAGTCAACTTATTGGTTTAAGCATCTTGAAACTTGTTTATTGTTTAAACAAATAGAATATGATATCGAAGATATAGATGGTATATGATGATATTACATGGTATTACATACCTCAAATAGCCTCCAGTCGATTAACACAACGACATGGACAACCAATGGGTTACCTCAGGAAATGATCTACAAATGCTGGATCTTCCATATCTAATCTACTAGATGTTAATCTATTGTCAGGTAAACGGCCAAAAAATGGTTTACCCTATGGTGATCAAACATGTTAGTGGACTTTCCATCGGAAAATCACCTATAAATGGATCGAAAGAGGGAACACGCCGTTGCAATTGTCGATTGGCGGGTGGTCTACCACCATAAAAAGGGATGAAACCAACCCAAAAAAAAAATGGCGAAAAGGGCAAACCACAGAGCACTAGGCGTTCCGACGGGTTTGTCTCCGGGAAAACATTTTTTTCAAGGAGATAAGTGGCTGGATGATAGCCATCATGTTACTAAGGCGCTTTTCATGATTATCAACCATCAATAAATATAAACCACAATAGTCATAATGCATGGGATAGTTTGTATTTTACATAGTAACGGTGATGTAATAACCATTATGAAACATTCTATTCAATATATTCAATAGATAAGCTGCTTATTCATAAACATAAACCATTATGAACCACTATTAACCGTATTAACCATCACTAAATAACCATGAATTTCCTAAGCATGGTTGATTCCCCATCAGCATCCAAGATATCCAAGATATCCAAGATATCCAAGATATCCAAGATATCCAAGTGGCTGAGCTGGGCATCCAGCACCTTGCTGAAGATGAAGTATGCCTAGCCGCTGGAGGGGGATTTGTGTTGCAAAACAAAAAGGGGGGGAAATTCCGAATTCGGAAAGCACAATTAGATACCTTTTTTGGTGATTTTTATGATTTTAAGAATTTGAACATGGAAGAACATTGAAAATAAATATAGGAAAGCGAATACGGGAACATATGGCAAAGCCGTGATTGAAATGAAAAACATCATGGAGAATGTGTATTTAACTGGTTGACAGTTGACTTATTGCTAAGTTGGCTTTTGACTGCCTATATTAACCGTATGGTAGATATCCAACAAGATAGGTGCGCGAATTTTAGCCCGCTTTTGACTGGGGTGACCATGTCTAACCGCTAGAAGTTTTCGATATGCTCTCTGCAGTTATGGCCCTTAACATTGATTTCTATGGGTTTATAATGATATATAACCTTAGTTATAGGAATTATAAATACATTTATAACTGTTAAGGGCCATAACTCTGGCAATCGAACAGTTTGCTATGGACAACTCCACCATTGTTGATACGTCACGACAGGCCCTGTTCCACAGCTACCTCCAATCACCAAAGAGTACTTGATATAGCCCGATTCGTGTATATTCTATAGAACTATTTGACGATTTGTCCTATAGTTGAGATATAACCCTTGTAAATAAGGGCGACCAAATCCCACCAGAAAAACCACTGGAACTGCACGGCAAGGGCTGGGAGATTTCCGGATTTTGTGGTTGAATCAATCAGCAAATATCACCAAAGAGATTGGCCAATTGCAAGGTGGTGCCCGAGATCGTTGGCTAAGTTGGTTTATTTGCATTTATTTGCCTAGCGAAACTGTTCGATTTAAGGTGATGAAAAAACAACAAAAATCAGGTGGATGTCTGAACCACCAAACTTATAGGGGGGTGCAGCACCTTGTAGAGCAGATCAGACCATGATTGGATTAAGCTACACCAGATGTAACCGGGGGCCCCATTTTCGGCAGAGTTGGTGTATAGAAAGTGAGAAATGGAAGAAACCAAAGAAGTTGGGGTAGTCTCAGGTCCAACAGCGCACCCAGATGCACAATTTGCAGTTTGGGCGGCAAAGAACGACACACACAAAATATTGGATGATATCAGTTCGCATCTCTGAGAAATGTCGAGTTGTTTGCGGTTCAACACCCTGTAACCCTGCTTGGATGGAAGCATGGCAGTCAGTAACTGGCTAAACAATGGTTGAAAATTGCTGTTATGGTCCCTTCAACACATGAGCATATGGGGATGCACATCCAAGAGTTGTAGCCCGTTCTTGACTGGGATGATGGAAGGGAAGAGTCTCGTACGTGCCATGGTCAAAACATGGTATCTGAGTTATGGTCATCCATCCCAGACCGAGAATTCTTAGAATGGGTGCCAAAACCCCTGTGAAGGGATTGATGGGCAAACAGTCCGGGAGAATACAGGTTCAAAGTCAATCCAGTTGCATACTGGCTTTAGAGGAAAGTCGAGATATGGTGGAATCCTGCCTCCATATGGCAGTTTTGCTTGAGCAGAGGCAGAATGTCACAATGTGACAAATTCTCAAATTGGCCTCAAATTGGCCATATCCCTGGTTTTTGGCCGTTCACAGGTTCTTGGTTCAGACCAAAACTTATTCAGTTTCAGATCACAAGGTATATGTATATCTATCTAGACCCTGTTCAAGTCGGACTCGAAAGGTCGGAGGTTTTGAGCTAGCAGCGGTGACGCCCTGGTGTAAAATGGTGTTGAAAAAGTCGCTGCAGGCAAGCTCATTCCGGTACAGAAAGGCAAGGCAGTGAGTGAACTCAACACAAAGGTAGGCTCAAGCCATGCAATTCGCACATTGGGCATTTGATCATGCCGCTCTGTGGCAGTCTGAAGAGAACTCTGTAATAGGTGCTGCTCACGGGATGTGCACTTCGAGGAACTTGTGGAAGGCGTCGTCACGCTGGCACAGGATCGCCGTCAGCATGGTCCAAGCCTGTTCTTGGCCACGGCCAAGCAGGCGGCGCTCCCACGCGATCCACGGCAACCATATCTTAAATGTATCTAAATATTAAATTTAGTTTTATTTATGTATAATATCAAATCATGATTTTAATATAAATATATCATAATAGTGTAGATTATAATAGTATATCTTATGATAGTATTGTATTATAGTGTATAGTGTATTATATTATAGTGTGTTATATTGCATTGTATTATATAATATTGTATTATGTTATATTGCGTTATATTAAATTGTATTTTCTTTTATTGTATTCTATTATATTGTATTATATCACATTAAATAAATACTACATATATATACGTATGCTTGGTTACCGGGTGGTGACTTTGGAATTGGGTGGATCCCACTGTTCCTTTTTCGGATGTGCAGCTCCCAAACATCAAGGTGATATTGCTCACCATGATTTCATTATATCACCAAAAAATATTTGCCATAAATGGGTTGTTAGAACAACAGCAAGAACTGGTAGGTCTATCATGTTTATCAAACTATTGAAATATACATATATATATATATATATTATTATACATATTTATATATTATACATATATATATATATATTTATAATCACGATGTCAAATATATATATAAGTGTTGTTAATACAAATATTTATTGTGATAACTATTATTTTGATTATTATTATTACTATAACTTTAACTATTACTATAACTCTTACTATTACTTTTACTATCACTATCATTATGATTAAATTGATAGAGTGCCTACGGGTCAAAGTTTCAGAATCAGGACGTTGCAGATGTTGATCACTTTTCCTGCATTCACAGTATGAAAAAATCATCTTTTTGGGAGAACGCAACTTTGATTCAAATCCATGTCCTCAAGTACCTACTAACTGAAATGCACATTTAAACAAGACTTCTGTATGAAGGGCAGATTGTTCTGGTGCTAGGCTCAGCAAGATGGAACCCCAACATGGCATTTCTGCTACAGAAAAGAAACGCAATCCATGTTTTTTGGGGTCTCTGTCAATCGGAATTGCAGGATCCTGAAAGGCCATATTTTGTGGGGATATTCCGTGACATAGGCCTTATATAGGCCATATATATGGTAGGTACCTCCAATTTAGGCTCCTGAAATGGCCATTGACTCTGTCACCAATTTGATGATTTCGATCCCAATCTTTATTGCTGAAATCGATCCATATCACCACTTGCTGGTGAAAACCATCCATTCATCCATTCACGTCGAAGAACCAATCATCCCAAGCATGGTTGTACAACAAACTACATGGCCTCCATATGGCAATTTAAATCGGAATATTGGTTATCATCCGTCATCCGTTGGAATTCGGGGTACCTCATTTTCAGATGTGGGGATTCCACCTTTGAGGAAAAACACTTCGAATCTGGGCGCCTCTGCACGTCCATCGGATTCTTCTCCGGCGGGATGTTTGTCCATGGCGTCTGAAAGCACGGAATTGTTGGATTCTGGTCGAAAATGTCCAAAGTCGCGGGACGAAAATTTCATGCGACTCTTGTTGGAAAGGAGGGCCACCAGTTTTTTTCCTAGATTTAGTTTCACCCATTCAATATATCCACTACAAACCCGAGTTAGTAATGTTATGAACCACCAAAAACCCTTCTAATGGGGTCCCCACATTTTAGAAATTGCAGATAATAAACTTTGACGGCCACGTCGCCAGGGTAACTATATTTTTTTCTCAATCACTGGTCTTGGGAAGAACCTGCATTCACTGGCAGCAGAAAAATTACCAGCCCATCTGCGATTTGCTAACTCTTCAAATCAACTTTATCCATACCCGTATCTGCAAACAACATCAAACCCATTTGATGCTATCCGGCTAAGACAATTCACAGATCAGAACTATTCGCATCTTTTTGGGATTTTTTCCTTGCGTAAACCATCAATTGAGTGGTTTGGTCGGCTCATGATGTCACAACATGATTTGCAAAGATTGCTTGCCATCAACAATAGCAAATATGTGTTTTGTCGTCATGTCACCCAACACCACCCAACAAAACATGATTTCCTGAAAAACCATGCGTGCCCAAACACCCAAGAGATCGCTAGAGTATTTTTTTTCCCAGTTCGACCCTGCCATTCACAAAGGGGTTGGACGATGAATGTTTCCACCTTCCAACTGTTAATTTACATGAAGGTAAATTGAACACTTTTGTTGGTGGATGATGCTTGGATGATGACCAGGAGGTTTTCTTCGACTTGAGCCGGAGAAATTGAATCACCCAATTTTCGCGGCAAAGATCCTGGTTTGCCTTAACTGTGGATTTCCAAACCCAACAATTACCCTGGGGGAAATCCACCATTTACAAGATCATATTTTTGGGGAAACCATTGGTTTTCCACATCTATGTTAGTTTACCCTAGGGTATCGGATTTAGTTTTCCTGGGTTCTATATTGTTCTGCCCTCCGGTAGTCAGACATGGCTAGCTGGAAAAAAATAAATTGGCATCTATATATATATATATATACATACTTGGATTTGCTTAAGGGTTCCCCAAAAATAAAAGATAGTCACTATAGATTCCCCAAATAAAAAATCACCTTGAACAACCCAGGTATATATGGCACAATCATCAAATTTCAAGGGGGATTGTCCAGCAAACCATATCTGATTAGAAGAGGACAATCCTCAATTGTCATATCAAATGCTGTAAGAAAATCTACATGTCATATACCCTCTGGTAAACAAACAGTTCGCTATTGAACATGGCCATTGGATTAGTTGTTTTACCCACTAAAAATTGTGATTTTCCATAGTTATGTAAACGTTTACCAGAGGGAATCCTACAAAAATAACTATTAGTTGGACCAAAATAACCATTATAACCATTATGAACCATTCCTAACTATTGGTTAATCATTATTGACCATTGATTAACCATTATAATTAACCATGATTTCCATAACGTTTGTTCAAATTCGGATCCCATGAGATACCCCAACGTTTTTTGTGGCCCGACCCAGTTGTTGCCCCAGCTATCTGTGACGCAGGGTAAATCCAATATATTTTCTTTTGAATATATATATATATGATGGGTAAAAAAATAAATAAATATATGTATGTATGTATATATACATATGTAAATGAATATATATATATATGTATATATATATATATGTATATATATATGTATGTATGTATATGTATATGTATATATAGTGGATATACATATAGAGGAGGTCATGAGTTCTTAATATTTTGAAACATATGAACACAACAAAAATGAAAAAATTGCATCTATACTCTATGGGGAGTAGTAACCGTACTATTTATACCGTACTCCAAGACTTGAAACTTAGAAAACATCGAATCAAACATTGCAACCCCCCAACTAAATTAACAAAACTATGGAAAAACAACCTTTTTAATAGGTAAAACGAACTATGTCAAGTTACTAGAAGTTGAATACCCGAAATTGACCAATCTTGTGGGTCCCTTCTTCCCCTACTCTTGAAACACCAAAACATGAAATTGTCAATCGAACAATAATTACATAACTCCATTCCCCCTATGTTAAGTAACACAACAAGACAAACAAACAAAATGCACCCAATACTACACCAATCTGAGAAGGTTCCGAATGATCTTCTTGTGAGATCCAACTCAGTGTGCAGCCGCGAAAATCCCCGCATTCATGCGCAGTGCGCCGCCTGCTGCCATTGAGCCACCTTCGCGCATGCGTTTAAGGCCACGTTGCGACCTCGGTACGGTTGATGGGATGTGAGGGTTGAAATCACGCACTTGGGTTGAACATGAACGGCTTGGGATGCAACCTTTCGGAAAGGATGTGTTCGTGTTGTGGGATCATCATTCCTCTTGCTGGGCCGGGGGTGTGATGTTAAACACATGATATTTACATGCAATTTCTCTGGGCATTAAAATGCCAATGAAAATGCGGCAAAGAAATGCAAATGTGGTATTCTCAAAAACTTACTTGATTCAATATCGCTTTCACAAATAAGTTCAAGTTCATGTGTTTACTGCAGCTGAAACTGAAGCCAACAATTGATGTTTCAAACCGCAGGCTCCATCCAACGTTTGAAGCGGATAGCAGGGCAAGGTGGGCGGCGGCCGATGAAGAAAATGTGAGATTCATGGGCAAAAAGAGAAAATGTCGCCCTGGAAGTTTCAAAAACACAAGCCAAATCATTGGTTGGATTCCTAACATACAGCTCGTTCCTTCTGTGTTTTTCAATCTCCCCGTCCAGGTGGGCATCAGAAAAGCTACGAGTATCTGCGCCATGCCAAATTTGCGTCTGAGATTAGAGCGCCCCAATGCCAATACCCACTGGTTCATCATCATCGTAGAAAACCGTAATCATCATCATCATCATGATCATCATCATCATCATCACCATCATCATCATCATCACCGTCATCGTCATTGCCATCATCATCACCATCATCATCTTCAGTCTCATCCTCATCTTGATTGTCATCATGATCATCATATTCTCTATGAAATGGCCATTTGGTTGCAATGGTGTACACCATTTCTAAGCACAGGCATTTGATCCAGCCACTCTAGTAGCACTCTAGTCGCTGGGTTACCCATTACCCAGGCTAAGCGGTCACCTGTTGGCTGTTCAATGGTGCGGTGAACCGTGCGCTGCCACTGCGACTGCCTACACATTACACATAAACAATGCTTTATGATTGCCCTCCTCGGTCGGCCCGGCGAAACACGGCTGGATTATTCGAAATTGCCAAATATTGCGGTATCCCCAGCTGATTAGCTTGCTGTTTTCTGAATGCGTTTGCTGTGCAAATTCTCCGTTGTAGCTTATGGAGACCCACAAGGCAGTGTGTAAGCCAAATCTGATGCTGCAGTTCTCGTTTCAATGGGTTGGCTCCAATGAAAATGTGATACAATGAGTATATGAAACCTTGCTTTCGACCAGTGAAAACAGGGATTTCTGTTAGATCCCTTCATCCAATTCTAGGATTTTGGGATGCAAACACTTCTATTGGGTCAGTGAGCATAGGCCACCGTTCATCACATTCAGCGCATCGGACTTCCTTGTCATGCGCAGTATAACCTCCCCAATATACCTCTATTCGGTTCTATTAGAAATGATGGAAATTCAAAGGATCAACAGTTCCACTTCGGAACTGGTTGGCCTAAATCACATTTCTAGAGCTTACCTTAAATATAAATTGGATTATAAATCCTGCAACTCCTTGGTTATATATATATATATAGATATATTTATTTATATACATACATTAGTATCACTTATAAATTATATATACACGCCAGTTATACTTGTTAAGGGCCATAAACGCGCGAAACAACTCCGTAAAGATGGTACACCTACATGGTGGTGCTAGCTACTGATGTGGGTTTACAAAGCCCATGATCCTATATCCATGGTAGAGATATGGTTAAAATTTATTAAAGAAAGTATAGCTATCTTGTAGATCTAACCTTGGTATCTGGCCTAGATATAAACCCATTATCTATAGATAGTTAACCAAGTTATAGGTTTAGCATGGCTTAGCTAACTATGGGGCACCACCTTGTATATAACCTTGTGAACTACACCAGCTCAAAATAGCTGATGTTAATCGATGTTCACCCAAAGATGGTCCCAGTCTCATAAAGACCCATGACCCAGATGCTCATTGTTGTCTTATCTTTATTTGACAATCTTTCCATCTAAGTCTTCATACATCCATGGAAACTGAAATTGAACTGGAATCTAGTTCCATTGGCATTGAATCTTCCAGACACAATTCTCAGGGTGCCAATTTGAGTTCTCAGAAAGGTAAGCCACCTGAGCATTCACAGCATTCTCATCCCTTAGGTCCACACTTCAATCACTTCAATCACTTCAATCACTTCAATCTATGGTCACACAAAAAAAAACGAAATGAGCGGAATCACAGCCAGCTACAACTAGCTTCAGCCTATATTGTGTGGATTGCACTTGGTCGTGCTTTCGCTAGCTCTAGTCTAGTACGTGGTACACCCAATATTGAAAACAAACTAACAAACTTAAAAAAAACTAACGTGGGTCTAAGGTACTCCATTTTAGGAAACATCAGCAAATCATCGAGTACAGTTTATTACAAAATTATAAATATATATATATATATTATTATATTATATTATATCCTCATGTTCATTGCTTTCTCGGATGTCTTGGTCAAGCAAAAAAAACAGGCATCGTGCTTATTGCACTTTCACTGGTTTCCACACCCCTGATGCTTTACTTAAGGGGCGCAGTTCTAGTTCTAATTCACTACAGAACCACACTATTTTCGGGGCTATATCCTGACTTATTGAGATTATCACCATGCTTACCCTCTGGTAATCAAAGATGACAATGAAGAATCCACTATATACTTATACGTAGATGTTAAAATATGATTTTCATGGACACATCATGAATTTTCATGGATCATTTTCATGGACTTTCCAGCATGAGGCTCCCCACTGATCTCTCCTGCTGCTGCGATGGTCCAACTGTTTGGCCGGGCTTCCTTTATACCTTCTATTAGCCTTCTACTCTACACGTGGGGGTGCGGGGCCCCACATTGTATCTATTTCTGGTGTCACGAAATTGGGCACCAGTTATCATATGTTATCATCCTCCCTGGCAACAAAAGAAACAATTTCCTAAACACATAAATTCCCCGAACTGATTCAAGGGAAATTTTGCAGGAAAACCTCCGATATAGTTTTTTTCTAATGTAATCAAACCATCTGGCTGAACTATGCTAATTCACTAGCCGGACCAGAAGCATTTTTGGGCCGGTCACTAGTCTTGAAACCATCATTTGCAGTGACCAAAAATCACCTATTTATCCCTGTGAATATCCAATTGTTTTGGTGAATAAGAACCATTATATAATAAGTTTTACATCCTCAGTATATCCCCATTACATGTAGATTCTATATATTTCTTCCCATGTGTCGACTGAATGAAACGTGGAAGCCTTTGAAGCATCCGATCCTTGTTTTTCGGAGACCAAGCGCCGCAGGGCCACAGGGTCCTGTGTTCAAGCTCTTGAGAACCAACTTCGCGCATAGAGCCTGAAATTGATGCTCCGAACATCGTTGATGCAGAGTCATGAATAGAAAAAATCAGCACTCCTATAGCTAGTTGGTTATCATGAAATTCCATAAAAATTAGTGTTACTTGGGCCATAACTGGGGGAAAATCTTAAGGACACTCAGATGGTTTCAGCATCACATACGGGGCTTTCTTGATGCGATTTGCCACAAGGATATGGGACAGCGGTATCTCTTGGGAGCTGCATTCCATTGATAAATCATCTCGACATTGGGCTCATGGCTCATCATGTTGTTGTTGTTGTTGTTGTTGTCGTCATCGCCGTCGCCGTCGCCGTCGTCGTCGTCGTCGTCGCCGTTGTCGTCGTTGTTGTTGCGGCGGCTCACAGCAGTAGCTGCAGCCCGGGAACGCACCTCCACCGGCAGATCGACAGACAAGCTCCGATAAGACAAACCAAGCGTCATTGCAAGCCCTCCCTGCCAGCTTCAGGTGGCCAAACTAGAGAAAGAAAAACATGGACCGAGCAGACGCAACCAACAAAGAACCGGCACCGAAGGACAAATGCCCACCACAGCAACCAAGAGGGAAAAGAAACACAGCAAAGCAGGCAAAAGCCCCAGCGCGCCAACCACAACCACCAAAAGGAAGAAAACCACACCAGAGCAGGCGGAAGCCCCAGACAGCCGAAAGACAGACACCAACCCCAAACCGAGCGCCAAAAGACAAACACCAATCACAACCACCAAAGGAAGCAGACAGCCCAGGGCGGGCAGAAGCCCCAGAGCACCAATCAACAAACACCGACCCCAACCGCCAAACCAGACACACCCCAGGGCGGGCAGAAGCCACAGGGCACCAAAAGAGAAACGCCAACAGCAGCGACCAGCGACAAAGGACAATTGCCAACCACGGCCACCAAGAAGAAGAGAGAGAGGGGCAAAACCGCCAAAACAAAAAACAAAAAGACACCTCACCGCGGGCAGAAGCCCCAAAGCGACAAAAGACAAACACCAATTCAACCACCCAAGGGAAGAAGACGATCACCCCAGGGCGAGCAAAAGCCCCAGAGCGCAAAAAGACAAACCCGGACACAAACCATGGCCACTCAGGAAGAAGACGAACACCCCAGGGCGGGCAGAAGCCCGAGAACGCCAAAAAAGCAAACACCAACTTCAACCAACAAAAGGAACAGAGACACCCCGGGTAGGCGGAAGCCTCAGAGCGCCACGCACCAGCAACAAGCAGCCGTAGGACCCATGCCAACGGCAGCCACCAAGAGGAAGAGAAACGCAGCAAAGCAGGCAGAAGCCCCAGAGCGCCAAAAGACAAGCACCAACACAACCACGCAAGGAAAGAAGACGAACACCCCAGGGCGAGCAGAAGCCCCAGAGCCCCAAAAAACTAACGCCAAACATAACAACAAGAACAAAGAGAGACAGCCCAGGGTGAGCAGAAGCCCCAGGAAGCCCAGAGCACCAAACAACAAACACCAGACACAACCACCAAAAGAAAGACACTCCAGGGCGGGCAGAAGCCACAGGGCACCAAAAGAGAAATACCAACAGCAGCGACCAGCAACAAAGGACAAATGCCAACCACAGCCACCGAAAAGAAGAGAGACACAACAGAGGGGAAAACCACCAAACAAAAAAACAAAATAGACACCTCAACGTGGGCAGAAGCCCCAGAGCGCCAAAGGGCAAACACCGACCACAAACCACAGCCACTCAGAGAAGAAGACGAACACCCCAGGGCGAGCAGAAGCCCCCGGAAGCCCAGAGCACCAAACATCAAACACCAGACACAACCACCAAAAGAAAGACACGCCAGGGCGGGCAGAAGACACAGGGCACCAAAAGAGGAACACCAACAGCAGCGACCAACATCAAAGGACAAAAACAACCGCAGCCGCCAACAGGAATAGAAGCACAACAGAGGGGGCAGAACCTCCAAAACAAAAAAAACGAAAGGCGCCCCCGGGCGAGAAGAAGCCCCGGAGCGCCAAAAGACAAACACACAAACCGCGGCGGATGAAAGCCCCAAAGCGCGAAACGCGACACAAGCGGCAACGCCGAAGGCCAAGAGCAATCAAACGCTCCGCTTCGCAAAGCAGTCTTGGGAGAGGGGATGGGGGTGCTCGTCGGGAACAAACAATTATGTGCCGCCCCCGGGGTCCACTCCATCCCATGAAATTTCACCCAGCCAAATAGTGCAAGACCCGGGGGTTTGTTCTCTTGCAGGTTGTTTTTCAGTTCCACCAAAGCTTCTGTTGCAACCCGGTGCACGGTATCCCTCAACCTGCTGCTTCTCAGAGCTGCCAGTAGCTGTTGGTTTCCTCCTGGTCTCTGAACCTTTGAGACACCTCCTGTCCCGACTGACAGAATGCCAACTTGAAAGCCTGCAGGGCCACGGTTCTCGCAGAGCCCAGGTTTGGTGTCAATTGCGATCCTTCGTCACGAGGTTTGAATGACCTTGTAAGAGTTGCTGATCCAAGAACTCCAAGCGTAGCCAATGTTCTGGATCCAACCAAAGAAGCCATTCTGCTTAGATCTTTCTGCAGTTGATCGGTTTTCCAACCCAAAGCTTCCAGTCTCTCCAATTTTGTTTGCAGAAGCTCCGCAGTCACCGGATCCAACTCCTTCAGCCCGGTTTGTATTTCTCCGTTCGCCTCCTCCATCACAGTCATCAGAGTTGTGTCTGCTCGTCTTCTCTCTGCATAGCTTTCGAAAATTGTCAATTCGCGCAGAGAGGGAATTGCTGCAGTTGCACTTAGCTGTAAACTTGGTGAACCATACGTTTTTATCGGCTTGGTTAATATCTACGGATCTATGGTTCCAAAGCAATGACTGTGGGACAATCACACTTGGGGTTACAAGCACCTTGTTGGGGAGTATTTGGGGTTTAAGTTTAAGTTCCCAGAAGATATTTGGATCCATATTAATATAGATCCATATGGTAAGTATATGTAGAATGAGCTCTTGTGCAGCAGAAGTGAAATCCTAGGGACCATGAAAGAGCCAGGTACTGGGCCGTCTGTTTTTTGCAGTGGCCATTTAGCAAGGAGCACCTAAAGGGATCATTCTCGATTCCACGGCGTTACTCTGGCCTGTAGATCTTTGTAGTGATCACCAACCACTGGCTCCCAGATAAAGTCACGGAGAAGATACTTGAAGTAGGGTTTCCCATTGATTGTCTCGTGAGACACTTGAGTGACGACCATCTGACCATTAGAGTATTCGGCTTCCTTTATCAGCTTTCATCAGCTTTCCTTTCCAGGTTGTGTAGGCAGCATCAGCCCCGAGAAGGCCCATTCCAATTCCACAGATTTTGTTGAAAGCCTATCAGAAAGAAGGGGCCTTTGTCCATAGAACGGGATCTGGCTAGCCAAATTGGAAGAGACAAATTGGAAGAATCCAACATTTGGGATACAGTCTGAGGTCTTAGAGTCTTAGAACATGGTCTTCATATGTCTTCAGAATGTCATCTGGAAGGATACCAAATTTCTTATCCTATAGGGATTTGGTTTAATGGGGATTTAGATGGATTGAGTATCATTTAGTATCCCCATAACCATACAATGTGCCCCCCCAGTGATGTTAGTTGGTTTAGATTCGCCCCAGTAACTATAGTTATTTGCGTACCATAAACCATAGTTATTGGAGCTATGTGCACCAACTTAGCTATCGAACGGGGGCCTCACATTGTATATATATATATATATTGTTGGTATTTAATCCCATCACCCTAATATTTTTCACACCCCATTTTTATGATCCCAAACTATGTGGTTTCATCCTCTACTAAGCCATGGTTTCCAAGGTTAAATGTTTAATATTAGGGAGAAGGGATTAGTCAAATCCCATTCCCCTCATTTCTCTTCTGGGAAAATGCCCATGTTCCACCATGCTTGGTCTATCCATCCCCAATCTCCCCAATGTTTGATGCTAAAATTACCAGCCCGGCAGCCATGCTGTGTATCCTCACAACGAAAATAAAGGTTGCATCACCAAGATGCCAAAGCTTTCTCCCAACGGCGCTCCAGCCCTAAGACCTCAACGTTTTTGTTGGATCAAAAGCCATGGAATCTCCTTGTTTGTTCATGTCAGAATAGCTAGTACACGCCGGCAATCAAACATGGCAATGGACAATCCTCTATAAAGAGGTTTTAATGGGGCAATCATCTATAAATGGATGATTGCCAATTGCTATGTTCGATTGCTGGAAGGTAAATCAGGTTCATCATGGTTCTACCTCCCAAAATATGGCTTTTGAAAATATGGCAGGAAAATTGGTTTTGAGCACATAGCCATACAACAAAACCATAAACCTCACTGAAAGAAGATATCTGCGTGCCCTTTCAATGCTTTATTGAAATTTAGTTCAAAAAAAAACAATCGGCCTGGGGATTCTCTTTCAAGCGACTACAGGGGCATCTTTCAACCGACTGCTACAGAACTTCCACTCAGTCAGCTTCCGTGGCGCTGGGAGGTGGATCCAATAGCGGTACCACTGGTTTTTCGTGCCCCCCCCAGTGAAGTGAATCTTGGTTTAGATTCGCCCCAGTAACTATAGTTATCCAGTTATAAGTTGGTTTTTAAGCCCCAGTAACTATAAGATGTTATTTGCACCATAAACCATAGTGAAATTGGAGTTATGTTCACCAACTTAGCTATCGAACGGGGGCCTCACATTGTACTTTTACGGAGCCAAACAAATGCATATTCCCAGCGCAGACCTGAAGTCAGTGGAATTTTCTCATGCCCAACTTGCGCTAGCAAAAAGGGTCCCAGACAATCCCAGGAGTCATGAAGGGGATCCGATAATCAAACATGGCACGGCTATGGAAAACTCGCATTGCGGAATAGATGATATCCCCATTAAAAAAAGCTGGTTGCTGGTTTCAACCCCTCTGAAAAATATGAGTCAGTTGGGATCATTATTCCCAATATATGGAAACATAATCCAAATGTTCCAAACCACCAACCAGAAAATGAACATCCCCATGCTAAAAAAGGGCATTGTCCATTTCGATGTTGGATTTTGAGAGGCTATCAGCACACTGCTTCTCCCAGCTTTTCCGCCCACATCCAACCACCAACTGGGATTCCAGAGTCCGGACTAGCTAAACCCTGAATTTCTTCAGGTCCATGATTTCTTGGAATGGTTACCCGAACATACAAGGCGCTGCCCAAAGTTAGCTAAGTTGACTCAGATGACTTATAACTTGCTTGACTATGGTCTATGGTAGATATATCTATAGTTACTATGGTTTTTTGAACCAACTTATAACTGGAGGGGCACCATCTTGCACAAAAAACATGTGAGAACAACTCCATGTAGATCATTTTACCAATGGCTCTCCCCGGCTTTCCAGGATAGAAACAAGGGCCGGACACTGGCAGCAGCGTTGTAGGAGAATTCATCCTCATCCCCCCGAGAAACCAAGCTGATGTGTGTGTGTACAGATCCACAAAAAATGGAGGTGCTTTCCAACAAGTTAGTATATTATATATATATATATAGAGACATAATATCTTGTATGGAAAATAAAACATGAAAATAAGGCAATTTCCGAAGAACCATGGGTTTTCTATATATATCTACGGTCACAAGATTTCGGTGACCTGAAATGGGTGCATGGGTGCCGTGCCAGGCATTTCCCATGACGGATCCATGGTGCGCTTGTATATATGCGAACAAACATAAAGGGGGTATATTGATGGGATCCATGGAGCACCATATATAGCAGCACATAAATGGATCCGTCATGGGTTTTGATATGACAATCATGGTGTTGGTCGAGAATTTTTTATATATGTGCGTGGCCTTTTTTCAGCTGGAAAGCTGTGTCTTCCCAGGCGCCATGGGGGGTTTATCTGAGAGCAACCTCAATAAAAACATTTGGGTTTCATTATCCATGAATATGCTACCATGTTGGTAGGTGATATATTATACATATATACAATGATATACGTATGGTATAGAGTATGCCAAATCTGATGAGAAATTCATGTTCCCCATTGGGGACCGCTAGGGACAGCTGCCAATCCATCAAAACCATCCTCATTGGGATAGCCATAGAGTCTCATCGCCCATTATTGAACAATATTCGACAGACACGAAGGAAGCCAATATCTTTTCCTACTGTGGATGGAAGAAATCCTGCATCACCTTGGATGGTTGAAACCCCAAAAAATAATGGGATAACCCACCCATCAACTGGTGCAGGATTTCGCAACCATCCACCGTAGTGAAGTCCCAACCTTGAATCCAACTACAGACCGAAGATCTGCGCCGTCCCTAGCTATATAAGTCCCGACAATCCAAGCCTGGGAATCTTACGATCTTCATGGGTCCTAATGTTTAATGCGAAAACAAACCAACAAACAAACATGTTCCCATTGCCAAGCCTCAATTGTTCACATTTAGTCGTCAATGAAACCCTAGGTTTTCCAAATGCCCGATTTTCATGGTACTTGAGCATTCAAACTCATGTTGTCCTTTCAGGAACAATAAAGGGGTCGGTTTGGTATATGCTTCGTTATCATCTACCTATTGCTTGGTTTTGGGGGAAGCCTCTATGAATCAAACGTCACCAGTGGGCGAAGGAGGTCCCGTCATGGATCCAAGATCCTGCTCGAAGGTGCTGGATCCATAGGGTTTTACCCAAAAAAAATACTTTACTTCGTGTGATCCCCACCATGACATTTACACATTTTGTTACTCGCAAATCTTCTGGCATTCTATCTGACATATCCTCTGGCATTCTATTTGGCATATCTTCTGGCATTGTTCTGGCATATCTTCTGGCATTCTATCTGGCAAATCTTCTGGCATTCTATCTGGCATATCTTCTGGCATTCTATCTGGCAAATCTTCTGGCATTCTATCTGGCATATCTTCTGGCATTCTATCTGGCAAATCTTCTGGCATTCTATCTGGCATTCTATGTGGCAAATCTTCTGGCATATATTCTGACATATCTTCTGGCATTCTATCTGGCATTCTATCTGGCAAATCTTCTGGCATATGTTCTGGCATATCTTCTGGCATTCTATCTGGCATATCTTTTGGCATTCTTTCTGGCATAAATTCTGGCATTCTATCTGACTGACATATCTTCTGGCATTCTATCTGGCATATCTTCTGGCATATGTTCTGGTGTATCTTCTGGCATATGTTCTGGCATATCGTCTGGCATTCTATCTAGCAAATCTTCTGGCATATGTTCTGGCAAACATTCTGGCACTTTATCTGGCATATCTTCTGGCATTCTATCTGGCATTCTATCTGGCATATCTTCTGGCATATCTTCTGGCATTCTATCTTGCAAATCTTCTGGCATTCTATCTGGCATATCTTCTGGCATTCTATCTGACATTTCTTCTGCACATTCTTTGTCCCATATCTTCCTACATGAGGTCCGGCAGGGAACACTTGGCGTGGATACTCGCGGTTGACGTCCGGCAGGGAACACTGGGCGTGGATGGTCGTGGTTGAGGTCCGGCAGGGAACACTGGGCGGGGATGGTCGTGGTTGAGGTCCGGCAGGGAACACTGGGCGTGGAGGGTCGTGGTTGAGGTCCGACAGAGAACACTGTGCGTCGAGGGTCGCGGTTGAGCAGGAGGAGGAGGAGAGGAGAGGAGGAGAGGAGCAGGCAACTGACATAAAATCTAACAACCCTCACCTGGCAGGTGGGGAAAAACTCGTTTCCTAAAGAGATCGTCAACCACTTTAACTTTGCCTTGTGAGAACACTCACACAAGGCAAAGCCCAAAAAACACTTTCAAATGGGCCTATAATTTATGTTATATATAGTTAAAGGAGTTATAGGTCTATTTATATATAACATTTTATAACTGTTGAGGGCTTGACCGATCTTGTCCTGGGTTGTTGAAAAAACATCGGTCATGTATACATGTATATATATATATACACCCTCCAGTAATCAAATGGTGGCAATGGAAAATCCTCCAGTATTTGCACCCTTTAGTATTACCCAATAGTATTACCATATATGTATATATACCCTATAAATTCATTTATTACCCTATAGTAAATGAAGGTTTTCAAACATCAACGCCTTCGGGTTCTGAGATCCCAGCACTTGGCGCGGATCTCAGAAACTCCAAGACCTGGTTAGACCGTTAGACCCGCGGCGTAGAAAAAACAGAGGGAACAACAACGAAACCACCAACCAGTGGTGGTTTTTGAACAATAAGAATAGCTGGTTGGTGGTATACCATGGTTGAGCCCTACCCCTCTGAAAAATGATGGAGTGAAAGTCAGTTGGGATGATGACATTCCCAATATATGGAAAATAAAAGTGTTCCAAACCACCAACCAGAGAATGGTGATTTGAAGCATCCCAAAATGGTGGTTATAGTGTTTATAGTGCATGTTCAGTGTATTTTAGCAAGATTTACCAGTAGAAACTAGTAACGTTAGGCGTTGACACATATTTTCCTGGGAGTCTACATATTGTGGATGGTTCCAATTTAAATATTGCACCAGTTGATAAGTATTGATAAGTGGTTTAACAATTTATCCCATTATTTACAGGGTTTCACCCATCGTTTGGTGGTGCAGGATTTTTTGTTCCAAGATCCCGAACTGTTCGCAAGTTTCAACCCCAATCTGTTGGACAGGTCCGCTGCGGTCACTGCAGCTCGGCCGTGAAGCCATGATGGCCAAATCCTTGCCCTGGTCCTGGTTGTACAACCTTTGAAAAAAAACAGCCTGAACAAAAATCACCATTCAAATCCATATATATATATATATAAATGTATATATATATATGTATACATATATCCATAACTATCTCTATATGTATAATATAAGTGTATATATCTAAATATGATAATATGTATACAGTATACATAACATTACATAACTATGTGTAACCAAAGAAACATGGCTTAAACCCAAGGAAAATCAACAGGAGACAGCCGGTTCTCCCCCGTCACCTTGTTCCAGGATGCACGAGCTGCTCGGTCTGTGGGGATGCCAGCATTGAAACATGCCACCTGTTGTACAACGTGGAGCCCCCAAAGGATAGCTAAGTTGGTGCAAATAACTACAATAACTATGGTTTATAGGTGATATATCTATAGTTAATGGGATTATAACCCATGTATAACTATGGTTTATGATATTTCTAGTGCTTAAATCATCAGGTAAACACTAAAACATACTAAAACCGTTCTCAACAAGATGCCGCACATTGTACTTGATTATGATGGGTTAAACTCAGCTATGTGTATATTCCCATGTGTAGGTATTCTGGTTGGTGGTATACCTACCCCTCTGAAAAATATGAGCCAGTTGGGATTATTATTCCCAATATATGGAAAAATAAAAAATGGTCCAAACCACCAACTAGCTATGGTTTATGATATGTGTAACGAACTAGTTAATGGAGTTTACAAACAAACATCGCTGGGGGGGGGCACATTGTATACTTATTATTATATAATGGAGTCATAGAGGACTGAGATGGACTTAGTAACCGTAGGGTTATTAAATGTTATGAACCAGGGCGCTGTCAGGCGGGACTGCATTGCCACGACGCATCATGTTGTCCTTACAAGGTGGTGTGCCCCAGTGAGCAATTCATCGCTGAGGTGATGCAAATGAAACTTTCTGTATTAACGAACTGGATGGTAGATATATTGAACTAGTTACTATTGTTTGTAAACCAACAAAACATACCCTCTGGTAATTTAACGTAGCTATTGAAAATGGCCATTAATAGTTGATTTTCCCATTAAAAATGGTGATTTTCCATAGCTATGTTAAATTACCAGAGGGTAAATGGGGGGGCACCACCTTGTACAAAAATTCTCCACTTGTCCACCACCACTGGGTCTCCCAGACATCTGGTTTTAAACCTCGTGTTATCCACCTGCAGACGTGAAAGACCACAGTTTTTGACCGTTCCGCCCCAGGGAAATGTGAGTTGGTTGAGTTTCACAATGTTTCACACTGGAAATGTCAGAATTATATATGTATATATAATTATATACATATACCCTCTGGTAATTTAACATAGCCATGGCAAATCACCATTTTTAATAGGTAAACCATCTATTTCTATGAGCCATCTATACCATGGCGAAAGGTTAGTCATACCCAGAGGGTAAATGAAATTCTATGATTTTGTCTAAAAAGAAGTCACCCCCTAAGCTGATGGTTCATCAGTTTATCGCGTTCCCTCTGAACATTGCCATTTGGTCCGAAGAATTCAAACAATTTCCAGACACCGATATATGATGTACAAAATCCATCATTTTTTTGCATAATTGGCTACGGGTTGGAATACTGAATACTGCTGGATATTACAGATGCTCAATGGATTGGAGGCACACGGGTGTGTCTGGAGACGAATATGAGCAATACCCAATTTAATAGGAATCTTATGGGAGAAAATGATGGTTCATAGTCATGGTATTCAGAGGTATCCTACTTTCAGACAAATGAACATCAAAAACCATATGATGTTTATGAATCCATGATCCAATTATTGGCTAGGCTTCACTCGTTATGAAACAAGGATATGGTTGTATCTTAAAATGCTTAAAATGCTCAAACTGGAGTATACCCCAAAACGACAGCTTGAACAAGGTAAATTATGATAGACCTGTAGGTTTTAGGGTACCCGATTTTTCAGACACACGCATGCAGAAATGCCTAGACCCTGGAATCTGACATGGAACCCGGAACCCCAACATTTGGCAATCTTCGGTAAGAACATGTCCATAGCGTATCTGGTTGGTGGTATACCTACCCCTCTGAAAAATATATGAGTCAGTTGGGCCTATTATTCCCAATATATGGAAAAAATAAAACATGTTCCAAACCACCAACCAGGTATCTTTGGGGGCCCATGTGTTTTTGAAGCAACTAAACCTTGGATTTCCTTGATTTGAAGTGATTTGAAGGGCTTTTTCAGCACACCAACAAGGACCAAGCATCAGAGATGGGTGGCTACCCATTTTCACTGCGATTACTGGCTGTCAGTAGCATCTCACATCCAGGTATTGAAGGGGTGCAGTTCCACGGCCTGCTTTGAACGTCGTTTTCAGTTGCTTGTCGTATGTTAATCTATTAGATCATGTATGGCACACAATACTAACTGATATCAACCTATACTATACAGCTATGGCCCTTTACCAGTTATAAGTTATAAGTATTAACAAAGCCCCATTTATGGAATGCATAAACCAGAGAAATAACCAGTTATTTCCCAATTTATCATTGGTATTTCCGGCCATGACTGAACTAAACTATCCTATCCTAAACTAAATTACCCATCCAGCAATAATGTCCGTTTGGTAAAGGGCCGGTTTGGTATACCATCTATCAAACAAACCTGTTAAAGGGGTTTCTTCAAGCTCCTCCAAAAAAATCAACCAACCCATGGGAAAAGGACGTCTATGCCATCCAGTGGGTTTTCTCACATCTCCAAACGCTCAACAGGCGGCACAAACCTTCCCAAGATGGTGCGGGACTCTTCCCATCGACCTCCTGCGAAGGACAAGGGCTACTGTTCTAGCCCTTACCATTGGATAACAACATTGGATAATATGGGATATATGTCATAAGAATAACATTATGGATTATCATAGAATGTATATGTGATATTATATTCATGTTAAATAATGGTATGATAATGTTAATAACATTGGATACAAATATAGCCCTTCAATGTTAATAACATTGGAGAACAACGGGATACAACGTTAAATATTACTACTAGATCATAATTCATGTTACGGGATCATAATGTTAATTATGGCCATGGGCTCACCCATACCTCCTGCAACTGCTTGGTGAAACGGGCCATGCACCAATCATTGGGATTGAGTGATGAATTGAGGGTGATCTAGTGACTCTAGTGGCACACGAAGCATTTTATGGGAATTTTTGAGGGGATGCAACTGATATAATTTACTTGATATAATCATAGATACCAGGTGGGGCCCCAGTTCTGGAATCGTTCATTTGGTTGATTTTTAGGTAATGTTAAGTTCCTATTACTAGACACACCCGCATTAACCAACCCACACAGTCCGTTGGCAATACTACTTTGGGTTGGTCACCCCTATTCATCAACATGGGTGGTCACCCCTATTAAAAAAACACACTTCTGGAAGTCTGGAAATCCTATTTTTTCGGTGGTGAGAAATAAATCTGGTTCTGATGCTTCTGACCTTATGGTTCAAAGTCAATGGAGGAGATACTTTATAGCTACGTCAACACATATGTATATATATATATAATATTATTGTTATATATAGCACAAAATCCCCAAAACCTAGGAAGAACCCAAAACTTGAGATTTAACAAAATGCATTTCCCTTGTTACTTTCTTGTTAGACAAAGGCATTTTGAGAAGCTCTTAAAGGGTACCCCTTTTTGGGTGCGTTGTCCCCCCAAATAATGTGCATGTGCACCGCCAATTAAAGAACACCTTCAGCCCCCCCTGGTCATAAATTGATTTCAATTGAAATCCTCACTTTTCATGTAGATTTAAAAGGAATATCAATGGACAGTAAGTTGATTTCAATTGAAATTCTTGCTTATCCTTTAGATTAAAATGAAAAAACATGAATTCAATTTGTTGGTTTTGCTGCTCATTCTTTGGGGGTGAAAACATTCTCATGGATCTAGACCTTCTGGGGGGGGTTATTAATAATACAAACTTGGCATCAAATTCAATTCGTTGAGGTCCCTCGATCATTTGCTGAGATATCGGGCAGAAAACCCCACTGCGGATTTTCAAGAGATGAACTTTATATTGTTTCACTAAAACATCGCAAATACGCAGAATCACGTTGAACATTTACCACATTACCTAATAGGAGGATCATCCCACTTCGTAGACAATTCCTCAATATTGATCCACCCTTTTCCCTCTAAATTTGCCCCGAACTGGGGTCTATTGAACAATGGGAACTTTCATGAAGGTGGAGGCGTCCTACTTTGTAGAGATCTTGCAAAATATTGCCACGCTTGGCAACAGGTCAAGCTTCACCCCATCAACTGGAGTGATTCATTTCAACCATAATTTGTCAATCCATATTGTTACAACATGTTGGGAACCTGTTGTAGTGGGTTTGAAAACGAGGTCAAAACCAATCATTACAAGAGAAAACAAAAAACATCATAAGTTAACTACGTTCATCCCATTTCTGTGTTAGAAATACATAAAGACATTATGGTTAGCTCATTTTGTTCTTTCGGTCAAATCCCCACTGATGAATGCGTGTTGATCAGAGATTCTATACCAATGGTATCCAATGGTCAAATTACATTTTTGAGTGGTACAGCTATATGTTATGGCCCAAAAATCAGTTCTAGTTGGCTAAGACAACACCATTCAAATGATATGTAACCAGTTGCAGGAGTTCCATCCCATGGCCATGATTACAATTATCCAGTAACTAGATCATTGTCCAAAACTATAATATACCATTATTACATACTATTACCCAATATCATTACGTTATCAAAACATATATGCCATATATCCTCAAGGAAGTTAGCACACGCTTGGACGCCGCGTATGTTTAGCATGGCCTTGTCCTGAAAACCAAAAGGCGCAAGGTGTCCTCTAAAATAATCCCAACCAGGTCCCTCTACAAAATCAAAAACCTGTTTGGGAATGAATCAAGATAACCAACGATTTCCCACACAAAAATTTGTTGTGCTAAACGATTTTGTAGATGTTTCTTTGGAAGTATCATTTTACCATGATTTTGCATAGGTGTTTGAAGCATGTTCTCTGTTTTCTGTTGTGCCAATAGCCCGTTTTTGACTCTCGTTTCTTGGATGTTTCAGTTGTGCATGTCAGAAACTGCAGCCCCGCACGTCATTTGAAATTAACGGAGGTCAGTTAGAAGTTGTGCACGTCAGAAGTTGCGCACGAACAACCAGGTGATTATTATGGGGATCTAGGTGGGGTGGGGGGGTGGGGCTAAGAAGGTCCTTGTTTGGAAACTTCAACGCGCTGTGCTTCGCTCTTCACCGTCTCTTTCTCTTGGAACTTCCAACAAGCTGTTGGTATACCAGGCCCGGTATCTGTATTCGACATCTGCAGTAGTTTCGTCGGGGCCCATTTAAGAGAAGGTGCAAATTTGATGGCGAAGGTGGTGGTAGTTCCATAAAATGCTACTGCCATCAAGCGTGTACCTATTTAATTCTCATCAAATCCATTTGAATCCCATCAATTTCCATGAATGTCCACTAAATTTCCATAACATTAAACTTCTAAAAAGAGCCTGTTTTGGGACCCTGTTATTGCGGTACCCAAAAAAACAGACCAACGACACACAGCTTCGCAACGTTCAACGGTCGCAACGAACCTCCGCAGGCTTTTAACACAGCTCCCAGAAGGATGACCTGATTCAGAGCAGTGAAAACTTCACATTCATGATAGCAGTGATGCTACCCTCTGGCTATTTAACAATGGTTCATAATGGTTCATAATGGAGATATGCTGGAGATATGATGGTTGATAGTGGTTGATAATGTTAATCATGGTTGATAGTGGTTGATCATGGTTGATAGTTGGTTAATCATGGTTCATAATGGTTAATAATGGATACTGGACGTGCTACCCTCTGGTAAACGTTTACGGTTTGCTATAGAAAATCACCATTTTGAATAGGTAAATCAACTATTTCTATGGGGTATTTTCAATAGCTATGTTAAATTACCAGAGGGTAATTCTACTGGAATTAATTAATGTTAGTTCACTGGAATGTTACTTTAACAAATTCCTTCTATGAGTTAACAATTAATTAATTCCTTCGGTTTTTAATTAATGTTGGTTATAACTGGTTATTTCTATGGGATTATACAGTCCATAAATTGGGTTATAAGTATTTATAACTGGTAAAGGGCCAGAACTGTGGTTCGCTCATGGAATTAATTAATGTGTTCTATGTTAACGAAAATATGTCATATATTTTATATGTCAATTAAAGGAAATTAATCAGTGTTAATTAGATAATATTGATTCCATTAATATTGATTAATGATGGGGTAATATGTTCTACACTAATGATTAAATAATATGGGATAACAACTCAAGATTCCATTAAGCACAGTGGATGGGATAATGATGCGGGAATGGAGAATAATGGGATAATATGTGCCCATTGATTATATAGATATTCTAGTTCGCTGATGTGACTACATACACATGTGTATAGATATATATATATATATATATACACATCTACGTAAATAATAATAATTCACTAACCTGAAACAAGGCTATTTTGGGATAATTCCCCTTATTAAACCATGATTTCCAGGGTTTGGGAGAACAGGGTTCGGTCGTGATGAAATTTAGCCAGATACATGTACACATCCATTATTCTATATCATCCCAATAAATTATCTCTATCAAACCATATAAAGGGATAGACAGTTATGGCATGTTCTGGCAGTGATGTGATTAATCACATACCCGGATCAGATCCAGGTCGTTTCTGACTACGCTTGGATCCATCTGGTAAAAAAAATGATTGCATACAGCTAGATGAATCTCATGGTATATCAGGTGATTCTTGTTGTTGATCCATAGTGCACTGGTTTGTTATAAACTGCTATGATCATTCTGGGTAAACTATAATAATTAACCTGAAGTAAGGCCATGTGGGGAATATTCCCCTTACTAACTAATAGTGAGGGAGAACAGTGAGGTCGCTATAATCTACCCAGATCCTGCGGCTACTGAATGTTGCACCACCTCCACTGAAGATTCTGAAGATATCGATTCAACTGCCCAAGTTCCTGCTCCTTGCAATACGTTAGGGTTGCCAGTGAAACCCCAGCTCTTCGCGAAGTCGTGTCCGGATTGTAGAACCCAAGGATAACGTTTTGAATAGTGACTCTCACTCAGCCCCACTGAAATATGTTTGAGCTTCTGCTTGTAACCTCGTTTGCCTCCCCTTCCCTGCAATGCTCTCCACAAAGGATCTGAAGCTTGCTTCTTACGGTCTGGTTCGAGCGCCTGGTCGAGGTATGGATTGTTTGCAGAAATGATGCCTTGTCAAGAATGAGCCAACAAAAACTGGCTTTGCAAGAATACGGCACCGAGATGTTGTGAGACGATACGGCTGATAACCAAAGAAACTGGGGAATTCGGGAGTTTCCACCAGATCAATGGCGCTGCAGCAAAATGTTTTCACCGCTTGAGCCAAATGCCATTGGCATTTGACATAATGTTTGATAACCCTGGCCCCTTTTTAGGTTTGGGTTAGAGATGGATTCTTAATTAGTAAAACAATTATGTGCAAACTGAGTTCCCGGTTATCCCATTTAAGGACAATTCCATGCCAAAATGGCCTGTACAAATCGGTGGTAACAGTCTACATTGAATGATTTGGTGACACTTACATGCAGGAATCATGCATAACCTATTGAAACATGGTATAGTAGAAAAGGGGCGGTTTGCACCGTATCACTTCTTCTTTACTAACTAATAGTGAGGGAGAACAGTGAGGTCGCTATAATCTACCCAGATCATTTGATTCTTGGTGTTGATCAAGAGACATTATTTGGACAATCATGCTATGCCTCTATGAGTCGATGCGTATATATATATATGTATAAATATATATATATGTATATGTATGTATACCTTCTGTTAAACGAACATAGCTATGGAAAATCACCGTGCTATAAATGGTCATTTCTATAGCTATGTTCGTTTACCAGAGGGTATATGATATATGTATCTGTGCGTAACCCCTTCCTTAATACTAAACACAGCACCCTTACCAGACATCCTGGTTCAGGACCATAGATTGGTTCATTGGGAAGTGTTCAGAACTCCATCGTCCATTTATACTATATAGTTGGTTTCTGTAATAAAGTGTGCCTGATGGATTGTCTCAATCCCATATATTATAACTATACTTGTACTATATATATATATATACGATAGGAGAAGCCCAATAATCATCAATCAACAGGGGTTGAACACTGCAATTTGGGTGTGTCTGAAATAAAAAACGAAAAATCCATTGACTAATCATCATGTTTTTGTTTGAATACCAATTTGTAATCCATTGATTAATACCAAGTAAAAAATCCTTACAAGGTGGTGCACGCCCCAGTTACAAGTTGGTTGATAAGCCATAGTAACTACTTCGATGTATCTACGATACATAGGGAGTATGGTAGATATATCCACTAACTCAGTTATGTTAGGGATTAGTAACTAGTTCGACATATCTCCATAATCCCTAGTTAGTGGAGTTATAGTTCATAAACCATAGTTAGCCAGTTATAAGTTGGTTTATAAACCATAGTAACTATAGTTATATAAGTTATATCTATCATAAACCCTAGAATTCAACCATAGTTTAATTTCTTATTATTAGACCATAGTTATAAACCATAATCATAGACCATAAACCATAGTTATATCATAATATCTACCATAAATTATTAGTTATAAGCCATACGTTGATTCACCGTGTACGGCGATGACTCGATGACTCGCTGCGTACAGCCATGGTGCATTGCAACGGACGCCGGGCGAGGCCCTGAGAGAGGCCCAACGTGGTGCAGGTGTATGAGATTAAAATCAGGTGGTGAATGAACTATGGTTTATGGTAGGCAGATAGATAGAAAGATAGAAATATAAAAATATAGAAAAAATATACATATTACTATAATTATCTATGGTTTATAAACCAACTTATAAGTGGGGCGGGCACCACCTCGTTTAATCGCATGGTATGTGCGGTTGTATCTTGGCTCTCAGTTGACTCCTAGAACCTATTGAACATATTAAAAATGTGGGTATAGATAGGATCAATACCTGTTTAATACTATTTATACAACCATTTAATACTATCTAAGATAGGTAAACTAAGGATATAATATCATAGTTTAACAATAGGTTGAATAGTTTATTTATTGACCAGATCTGGATGTATCTGTGATGTCTGGTTGGATGGTCAATTCCACCAAGATCCAAAGTTTTGTGCCATGAAGTTGCTATGAATGTCCGCTTTTTTGGGCCCAATTAACCGTTATTTTTGATGGAATGAACTAACTCCCAAAACTAAGGTTATATATCATTACAAAGGCCCCAAATTAGATAAATTACAATCCCATTGTAATTCAGGCAACATGTTCGGAGTGTGAATATTAGGGATACAGTGTTTTGTTCCGCACACATTGAACACTGGAATTTGAGGTGTTATGAATTATATATACACATATACATGTATAAATATAGAGAGAGAGACAGAGAAGCCAATCACACATCATTTCTCAGCTGGAATTCTTAGCTATAGCATGTCTGATCTGAAGTACTGTGCAAAATTCGCAACTTTGACCCAAATAATTGAACAGAATTCGGTACATGATAGCAGCAGCCAAAAAAAAAAGTCCCCAACTTCAAACACTGTCCATGTAGGTTGGATGATTCCCTTCCTTGGCGCACCATTGAAACATCGTGACATCGCAGCAAGGTGTCATTTATCTCTAGATTCCTATGTGCATACATCATTAATCATAAATGTTACAATGTTTAAATATACATTAATGATTAGACTATATACCATCATTAATCATTAACATATCATATATACATCATTAATCATATATATATAAGTGGTTTTACAATGTTTTGTGGTAACGGGCCGTAAAATCAGCAGCAAACCAAGTAAACAACTACTCTTTAATCAGTAATAATTAATAATAATAATAGCTTTTTGGCTAACCAGTACTTAACCAACAATATCAATCAATATAGTATAGTATATAGTAACTAACCAGTTATTAATCAGTATAGTATATAGTATATAGTCTATACAGTATATTAACCAGTAATATGTTCATCAGTATAGTAACCTTGTTACAAGTTAATATTAAAATAAACAAATAAATAAATAAATAAATATATATAAATATAAAAATATATAATATATTATTAAAATATAGTAACCAGCCCATAGTATTAATCAGCAACTAACAGTTTTTTTTAAAAAAAAAACTTTACTTCGTGTGATCCCCACCATGACATTTATACATGTTCTTACTGGCACATCTTCTGGCATTCTATCTGACATATCTTCTGACATTCTATTTGGCATTCTATCTGGCATATCTTCTGGCATATGATCTGGCATATCTTCTGGCATATCTTCTGGCATTCTATCTGGCAAATCTTCTGGCATTCTATCTGGCATATCTTCTGGCATTCTATCTGACATATCTTATGGCATTCTATCTGGCATTCTATCTGGCATATCTTCTGGCATATATTCTGACATATCTTCTGGCATTCTATCTGGCATTCTATCTGGCATTCTATCTGGCATTCTATCTGGCATATCTTCTGGAATATCTTCTGGCATATCTATCTGGCATATCTTCTGGCATATTTTCTGGCATTCTACCTGGCAAATCTTCTGGCACTCTATCTGACATTTTATCTTCCTACATGAGGTCCGGCAGGGAACACTTGGCGTGGATACTCGCGGTTGAGGTCCGGCAGGGAACACTGGGCGTGGATGGTCGTGGTTGAGGTCCGGCAGGGAACACTGGGCGGGGATGGTCGTGGTTGAGGTCCGGCAGGGAACACTGGGCGTGGATGGTCGTGGTTGAGGTCCGGCAGGGAACACTGGGCGTGGATGGTCGTGGTTGAGGTCCGGCAGGGAACACTGAGCATGGATGGTCGTGGTTGAGGTCCGACAGAGAACACTGTGGATCGCGGGTCGCAGTTGGACGAGGAGGACGAGGAGGAGGACGACGAGGAGGAGGACGACGAGGATGACAAGGAGGACGAGGAGGAGGAGGAGAGGAGGACGAGGCAGGAGGAGGAGGAGGAGGCAGGAGGAGGAGGCAACTGACATGAAATCTAACAACCCTCACCTGGCAGGTGGGGAACTATTTGAACCAGCAATCACCAGTAAACCCGTCTTTTTTCCAATGCTCCAGGTGCCTCAGCATTTGGCACACCACGTTCCACACGTTCCACGGGTCACTCCGGACTCCCAGGCAACTCACCAAGGCCTGTCCAGGTGGCCATGGGATGAGATGATTCCTGCAACTGGTTGGTAGGTTAAACAAATGCTTATATCTCCCTTAAATGGGGCTAGGTCATACAAGTTATATATATATGCTTATTTATCACTTAAAATAGGGGTTACAAACCAGTGAAATCAGGAATAAACCGGTTAGAACTGTTAAGGTTAAGGATTATAACTAGTTATAAGTGTTGATTGAGCACCATCACTTATCAGGATATCATTGAGAAATGATGGGTGAATGTTGACACATGGTGATTCAACCAACAAATGCGGAACAACAAACAAAAAAAAACATTCAACCCACTTGGTAAGTGGTGTATTACGCATATGTGACCTATAGGTAAGTGAAGGATATTCCATATATAATATAATAATTCGTTTCTGAGATGGCTGTTAATTACCAACCGAAACTGGTTGGACATGTGGGTTTATGACACATTTCTATTTACTTAATTTGACACATCAAGCTATCAAGAAATCGTTAGCTCCTTCAGTTCGATGAATCACCCGTTGCCACCACAAGCCAGGCGGACGGTGTGCGTAACCACGTCTGGCACATCGGCCTGGCACATGGCCAGTCTTTGGTCAACAAAACATGTTCGCTGCAAACCCTAGGTTTGCCCGCGGCGAATCCCGCATATCCATTGACATGCTCAAATCCCTGCGTAGGGTTAAAGCTGTTTACTTTCCAAAACAACAACCCCTAAAACCCTTAAACCCTTAAACCTTCAAACCCTAAAACCCAGAACCATAAACTGTAAATTAACACCCTAAATCCTGAAAATTTACTGTCAAAATCACTGCGTATAGCTGGTGTGTTCATTCATCCTCTGGTGATAAGTATATCATATTGTTTGGATGTGTTGTTTGAGTGTGGGCGAACCGGGGTTTGGAGGGAACCCATTTTTTTTGGTCTGGTTATTCTCCATCTGCAAAAAGAAACTATCCAGGGTGAAACATGATTAAACTACCTATCCAAGAAAAACACGAAGAGTGAACCCAAATATACGCAGTGAAAAAATCTGGCATTGATAGCTAAACTTGCAGCAAAAACAAGAAACACATTCCCGGCACCACAGAGGTTTACACTGCATCAGGTTTGCGGTTTTGAAACATGACACTTACCTCATCAGGCTCTGAGAGATGATGCAAACCAACGCAAATGGAGCAATATACTGTTGTCCGCTGCAAATGTCAATTCTGCCACTGTTGAGCGTTATTGCAAGGCTATCTTTAGCTGGGTACCTTTCTATATCATTTTTGTGCGACGCATGCAAATTTGGGTGGTGGTCATGGTCGTGTGGGAAATAAATGTATCATGGCTTCCAGGGTTCGCCCTGCAGATTTTGCAGCAAAACCACGTTCAAATTTTAAATTCCCTTGGCATAAAGACATGGGAAAACATGGAAAATGCCGGCAGCAAGCCTGAGAATCACAACGATCCTTTCCAAGCACGTAACCGGATCAAACCAAAGATAATTTCACAAAGACGGCGCTGGGTGAATCTGCGCCTTCTTGAATAAGAGCAGGGCCTCACTGAGCAGGGGGTTTGAAAGTTGGTCTACGACCACAATGAAAACTATAGCATCTATGGTGAATATATCTAGATGAGCGATGGAGTTGATAAACTATGATAAACTAGTTCGTAAATGCATCATCACTGGGACACCGGAAATATTGGGATTTGTGTTGTGGCTTGCGAGCCAACATCAGTAACTATAGCCAAGCTCCTCGTTGAACCATGGGAAAAGTGAGAAATTGACCCATTTGTTGGGTGTGTTGATTAAAAAAGCCTATGGATCCATGGCCACTGTCTGAGAAGGTACGGCTAACCCTCCATATTATAGTAAATTATACCCCAGTCCCACTTCCTAAGACTAAGAAGGTATACTTGGATCCATAGGGAAACACTAGTTGGGTGGATGTGTATAAATCAGAGTTCGAATAGCCATAAACATCCAGAAATCCAAGAGTTGACTTATGCAAGAACTTGGCCCTGAAGAAAGGCTGAGGTGCAGGACCGCATGCCATTGCTGGCCCTGCCAGAAAATGCGCTGGATTTCAGTCACAAATATTGGGTGGCTCATCCCAGGAATCGTAAATGGATAACTCCACTTAAAATGTAACGCACAACGCACCCATTATGGGGCAATGTCCAGTCGTAGAACTGCGCTGAAATGCTGAGAACTACCCACCAATTGGAGCAAAAACCTGCCAGCAAGTAAGAAATGACCAGAATTTACCAACAAGATTCGGGGTATCATGGGATAAGAGCAACAGTTGGGAATGTATTTACCACCATTTAACGAATTTTCATGAGAAGCGACTGGTGGTCCAACTCCTGCTACAGCGACCATCCAACGTTGTTTTGTGCATTGTTTTACACGGTCATGTTGGACATATAAGCATGCGATCTCAAGCCCCAATCATAATGGAATTCTATCAGATCATGGTTAATTACCATTTATGGAATGTATTATCCAATAGAAATAACCAGTTGTAACTTATTTATAACTAATAAATGGCCATAACTGTATGGCAAAAGCTTAAGTACCAAGGATTGTCAGAGGTAGCTCTTCAGGATCAGCAAACCATCCCCTGCTGCGTTGTTTTTTTTCTCCGCTGGCACGTTTCGCGTTTCGCGTTTCGGCGAAAAAAGGCGCCCAGTGTTGGGCTGTCCTGAACAAAAGCAACTTGGGAGGTGAGTGAATCCTAGGACTGAGGACCATGGAGATTGACCCCGCAGAAATGGTAGTTTCACCATCAGAGAAAGGGATTCAATAGAAAGGATTCAGCATGGGGAATCAAACATGGGATAGATTTAAATGATTCAAATGGGAATTCCCGGAAGATTCTACAATGACTTCCCCATGAGTGCTAAGAGTGGCCATTCAACTCAGTCTCTCTCATTTAAGATAAACTAAGCCTGGGCCTGGTCCCATAATATAGCGGTGTAGTTCCAACGTTTGTTTTCTCGGTCAAAGCATGTGAAAACCTTCAATCGGCTTGGTGAACTGCATTTTGGCGTGATGAATCCAAAAGTTTGCTGGATACATTCCCATTTTGTTTCACTGAGGCTGAATACCAACAGGCGATGGACATCGTGAAAACTGGTTTGTAACGGGGTTAAATCTCCAAACATCACTGGATATATTTCATTTCATGGTATTTCATGGGTTAGTTCACCCAGTTGCAAGCACAAGTTACCTTCTGTCTAGCAACTGGGCGAAATCCGCTCCACCAACTGGATTTGTTTGCCTTGTTTTATATTGACTTGCTCCAGGGTGTTATCTCCTAGATAGCTAAGTCGGTTTGTAAACCCATCAAAAGTATATCCGAGTCTCACCAAATAGGCTAACTATGGCTATCAAAATATATCAAACCCATCAATCAACCCTGAAAATCTCCCATGTTTGCCGGTGAAATGCCCATTTTCCTCGCGATCCTCGCCTCAACCAGCGCCGCCGCAGCCCCTCGCAGAGCTGCACGCAGCGCGGAGCGTCGTCGTCCACTGCACACAGCAGGGCCCAGTAGCTGGGGCCGTCCATCTGCAAACCCCTCAGCTGCATCTCCTGCGGCCAAGGTATTCCCTATGGGATTTCTACAGTTATGGCCATTTATTCGTTATAACTTATAACTGGTTATTCCTATGGGATTATACCTTCCACAAATGGGGTTTTGTTAGCATTTATAGCTGGTATTTCGGGTCATAACTGAATGGCCATTGGGCCATTGATTAGTAATAACATGATATAACATGTAGTTCTACTTGATATGGATTCCTTTTGGGCATTCCGGTATTCCCAATGGAAAATTTATTAACGTTCACATCACCGGAAACCAAAAAGATGTTCCCATCTGAAGAGATCATGGGGATTTCATACCCGGTGGATGGCTATGGTTGTGAGAATTCATGAGAATCATGTGGATCACTATGTGGAAAACCGCCTTTTTGTTGGCCATTTAGAGTTATAACATGTCATAAGTTATAACTGGTTATTACTGTGGGATTAAAACATGTCCATAAATGTGGTGACTTAGGACTACTGGTGATGGACCACAACTGCCATAACTCTATGGCCCCTTATATGGTTTAATAGTGTTTAATAGGCATAATTCATTGGGAGTATAATATAGACTGATGGGATATGGATAACTACAGATGCAGAAAACCTACGGTAATGGCCCTATAGCCAGTGACTGGCTAACTGAAAACCCCAATTGGAGTCATATTTTTCGCCAGCTGGTTGCAGTTGTGGCTTGGTAGTTATAAATTGGGATAACTGCAACTGGTTGGCTATATATGTAGATTACGTATATATATATGCATATCTCTCATTTAAATGGGGTTGCAAAACATATAAACCTGTTATAGTGAACTGAGCGTTGTGTGACCTAAATTCCGATTCATGTCGTGTCATGAAAAATCCGAATGTTGGTGGAGAAAGGGATTTCCCGTCCAAGGAGAGTGATCATCCCCAATAATATCTGGTTGGTGGTATACCTACCCGTCTGAAAAAATATGAACGTCACTTGGGATGACTATTCCCAATATATGGAAAACTAAAATTCATGTTCCAAACAACCAAAATGTTCAATCAGTAGGCAACAGGGCTTTTGAACACCACTCAACAACTGTTAAGAACTGGAGAAGAAGTGAAAGACACGGAGATTTCACTCACATGATGATTGAGTGATGGTTGAGACGGTTGAGAGTTGATCTGATGATAGCTCACTGGGATGATATTGAAACATGGCCATAAATTGGGCTCCTCATAGAGCTTCAATACATCCTTGCGGGGCAAGGGAACTCCAAGGCCGTGGTAAGTTTCTGCCGTTTTTCGCTGCTTGAAACATGGAAAGCCCAATTCGAACAACGGAATGTTTGGGGGTGAATTGTTCCTCTCTATGCCTTCGGATGCCTTTCTTCCTGGCAGATCGTAACACAATCCACACTTCCCGTTTCTGATTTATGATGTGCCTTTCTATGATTTTCTGATGTTTTCGCGTAAGCTTCACTAATGTCCTTTTGGTGAACATATTTCGGGGCCGGTTTGGTATACCATCTATCATCAAAGAAGCCTGTGTTTTCAAGGGGTTTCTTCAAACCCCTGCAAAAAAAACAACCAACCAATGGGAAAAGGACATCATTGCTGGCCACAAAAACCCCATAGAGGTCATGACAGAGATTGGTGGGGTCGAAAAAAAAACTGCAGTTTGGTTTTTCGGCCTCATGAAAATCTTCCCGATCTTCCCGTAGTAAAATGACGCCTTGATGTAATCCCAATATTCCCATTATGGAGAAAAAACAAAAACAAAAACAACAAAAACCATATCATTCCACATCATTCCCATAGTTGTCAGATACCAACAGGATCCCTAGAATACCGCCATATGTATCGCAAATAATCCGTGCAGTGTTCAGAAGCCTCTGTCAACACCGAGTCCATGGATGATTGTGGGGGGTGGAGGTACCCCATCCAATCTGATGCTCCACAATGATAAGCTGGTTTATAAAGCCTATCTGGTTGGTGGTTGAGCCACCTACCCCTCTAAAAAAAATCATGGAGTGAGTTCGTCAGTTGGGATGATGGCATTCCATTCCCAACTGAATGGAAAGTCATAAAAAATGTTCCAAACCACCAATCAGCTACTATCTAGGCATTATATCTAATATAGCTACTATAAACCATAGAATCCACCTAGGATACACCAATTTAGCTATCATTTGTCAGATCAATCAACTATATATCAATCCCCAGTTTTGCTACCCAAGAATCTCCATTTTCCCAAGAATCTCCAGAACAACCGCCCAAGACGCAGCAAAAACCACCAGCGCCAAGGCCAAGACTCTGTCACGTCACGCTGACGGATCATGACGGTGAAACTCCGCACATCGAGATCATCAAGCGACAGCATCTCCTGCGACAGCTGCAGAGGTATCGGAAAATATGGAGGTTTCGGAAATTGGGGTATCCGAAATGGTAAACTAACAGTTTAAACCATTGAAAAAGGGTCATTTAGTTCGTTGATTTACCCATTGAAAAATATTATTTTCCATAATTATGTAAGCGTTTACCAGAGGGTACCCCAATAGCTGGATGGGTTATAATATGTTATAATGGACGATTCCTATAGGATTTGGAAATACCTGACTTAGGACACCTCCCAATCAGATATAATATATAATATCACCATGATTGAATTCTGAGCCTCTTAAATTGGATCACACGGAAAACGATGGGCCTGTCATCCACTTGTGGCTGGAACTGCCGTGAATCCAGTGAGATTTGAGCCAAGTTGGCATAATGAAGGATATATATCCCATGTGCTCCATGTTGCTGGATTTTTTACCTACATGTGCCACATGTGCCGTCATTTGCCCTAATAATCACCAAATGTAGGAAAATATGCTATACATGGAGCACATGGGATATACATATATAGTCGGATATATGATATATCTATATAATTATATTATATATATATAGTTTTCATAGATCTTCAATATGGCATGATGAAGGATGTATATAGTCCGATGATATACCTATCATTGGATCGGTCAGAACTGCTGGCCATTTTGATAAATCCAGCAAGTTGGCCCGGAAAGCAAAGACCTCGGTAGAAACCGTAGAAAGAAAACGGTAGGAATCATTGGATGTGTCGTCGACATAGGTCCGACCTAGACTTTTTTGATTAGACTTTTCTTTGCCAATGAGCCTCAATCGGTATATGGCAGGATGGTTACTGGTCTGAACTGGCCTACCATTTCTGCATCGGGACATTTGGCTGAGTGGATGGCTCCATTCAGGGCTTTTTCGCCGGCCACTCCGCTGTGGTTTCTGCCCTGGTCAGCAGTGCAATGGCCTCATGGAGTGAGTCAGGTATCGCAAGTAGGTCCTTTTTGGAAATGCCATCCAGCTCTGTGGCTGTTCTTGTCCTCTTTTGCATGTTTGTTTTCTTCCATGTTGCTAGGTTGATTGGCTTGTAGTGCATTGGTTGTGGAGGACCATCCCAATGGCCCAATGGAAGACCAAGGTGCAAAACGTCCCCAGGCACCAGTTGATGTGGCAGGTCAAACTTCAAGAAATGGTTGTCTTGCGAGACAACTGCATGGGAACCCTGAGAAGACTGCCATGTCTTGTTGGGTTTATCCTCTCCAACTTTGTCAACGGTCACGGAGTGCATATCTTCCACTGACTGGACTGTGCAGACGTGTTTGGCTAAAATCAGCTAAAACCCGAAATGGCATCCCTTTATAGTGGTTGGTTAAGAAGGGATGTCCAGTTCATGATGTGTTATCCCCAATCTATGGTACAACAGCCAAACTCATCATCAATCATGATTTATCACTTGTGGGCCCAAAAACATCTTTGATGACTGTTGGTTATAAGTTATAAGAACTTATAGAACTGATATGCACTTATGACATTGTATCAATGGCCATTCCAGGAACCCAAAGTATATAAGGCCTATTTTTTAGGCCAATCCATTTCAGGGAATCTCACAAATTTGGCCGTTTACATATGGTACGTTAGTTAGTACCTCCATCTGTTGGATCCTGGAATTCCCATTGATTTCTACCCCCAAAAAACTTATCATTCCCAGTCCTGCGGCAGCACACCCAGTGAGATGTAGGAGATAACCTGAGGCGACAACGACAACGGTGGCGACGTTGACGTTTTTGATGAGAGTGTTTTTGGGAGGATTTTCTAGACATATTCTTAGTTTTTTTCTATGTTATTATGTTGGAATATGAAGAGAATTCAGAACTCATGATGATTAGTTCCATCTGATGAAATTATATAATTACTAATCAGATCACATTGTGTCTTATATTCTGAATTCTGAATATTCTGATGAAATGAATATATAAATGAATATATATATATATAATACAAATATATATATATATATATACATAAGAATATAAGTGGGATATTCAGAATATCCTGATGTAAACAAAATATTTTTCCGTCGTATTTGTAATTTCGCACTTAAGCGATTGGAACTCTGATTCTGAAAACGGAACTCTGATTCTTGATGGAAAAAATATCAGAAAATCCCGAAGAGAAGTGACAGTACTGCTATTGTTTGCGACATTTTTTCCAAGATGTTGACGGTTTGTCCATGTTTGTCCTGTTGCTGAGTTCCAATAAATCATGACCAGCAAAGATTTGTAACCCACCGGCCTATGGGGCCTATTTTGGAGGTTTTGACACATCAAATCGCAGAAATTGGATGCATTTTATTTCATCTGCCCTAGATATTGTGAAGCACAAGAAAGCAAACCACCCAATTTCCACAATGAGTCCCAAAAAAAATATGTTGGTTTTTTAAAGGCAAATTCTATGGTGGGTGACATTTCAAACTAGTTGGATGCAAGTAATAAACCAGCAAAACTGAGGGGGGCCACATTGCCAATGTTCCAATTTCAATGTGCCAATTATCCCTTTCCCCTAATAATACTTAGCCTCTTAGAGCAGCCCGAACCCCTGTTTTAGTTCTGGATCCATCTCCCGCTGTCCATTTCAGAATGGTTGAACCATATTTCAATGGGAATAAAAAAGGATCCAACAGATGGAGGTACGTAAACGTACCATATTGTTGACCATATTTTGCTGGGATATTCGGATATTCCCTGAAATTTAGGCCTAAAACATAGGCCTTATATATGGAATCGGTACCTCCAATCAATCGGCTCCTATTGCATGGCCATTGAATATTAAAACGGGCATGTGTAATGTTGAAATCCCAATGAAAAACACCACCTCTAGTGGGGCCCACCCTAGTTATTTTTGTTGCTTGACAAAAACAGTGGTAGCTACAGTAATATATCTACAGTACAATAAGATTTATTTATTAGGTAGCTATTGATTTATGAACCATAATATTACTATCAATAATATACATATATATTTATCTACAACTATATCTAAAGTTTTCCATATAGAGTTGATTTATAAACCATAGTTCAGCTGGAAAAAAAAATGATTATTATGGATTTATATGCTACTATCACTACTTCAAACCATCTACAGACATATGTATATATATATATATGTAGGTAAAATCTATAAATGGCTGGTATCTGGACGAAAAAATATACAGATATCTACAGTTATCCACACTTCACCTGGGCTAAAAACCAACTTAGCAAACTGGGACACCACCTTTGATCAACGAAGAGTGGCGTCTGCTTGCAGTCGTCGACTCTGCATGGCCTCGAAGAAGTGGTGCGCCAGCTCTGGAGACGAGGCACCTGACACCGGCGCAAAAATGCGTTTACGATAGCGTTGGTATGCTATACAGTAATTTGCCGTTTACCAGTTATAAGTACTTATAACCCCATTTATGGAATGTATAATCCCATTTATAACCAGTTATAACCATTTATAATTGACAGGGACATAAGTGTATAGACATAAGATGACATAAGTAGCTTAAGTATGCTTAAGTAGGGATTATAGTGATGCATAGTGATTCTAAACTATGGGAGTCTTGACCAACTTTGCCAAGCATCGCTCAATTTTCACTAGGCTTTATCCTAATTACTGCTAAGTTAGTTTTCACTGGGATATCATAACTATCTGGGTGGTGGTTGAAAAACCCCTCTGGGATGATGACATTCCCAACTGAATGGAAAGTCATTATCCAAATCTTCCAAGCCACCAACCAGTATTAAAAAATATATATATATATATGTGTGTATGGCTTGATATGTATGGGTTATAAATATATATATATATATATATATAATTCGGATTATAAACCAGATACTACGTATAGTTGACAGAGTGAATCTAAAGCAACGTATCTGGTTTTCCCCAACCTGGTCCTGAAATCCTCCACGACACTGGATGATCACCATCATTGGTGCGCTTAAAAAACCTGAATGTCGGACACGAATTTCCCACTTCAAAACACGAAATTGTTACGTTGTTGGTTCAGAAATTACTGGGACGATCTAACTGAAGTTCATGTTAATTGATCATCAATCTATACTTATATAATTATCTAGTTATACATATAATTTATATATAATGTATTATAAAGTTCTATGATGGTACGGTATATGATTTTATTTGTTCATTGCCGGTCTCCCCTGGTCATTACTGTGGCCTTTCCAAGACCTGATCGCCCTTTGTTATCCGAGGAACGACATGCTGAGATCAGAGCGTTGTAGGTGATCAGATCCGCTTGGAGGCGATGAACCTTCGGAAGGATCTGGAGCGATTTTGGTGGTTGGAAAACGAACTGGCGAACTAACCATGGGTAAAAATAACACAAATGAATATCATGACATTTATACCATAAATGGATATCTGGTTGGTGGTTGAGCCATCCCTCTGTTCGTGGATTAGTTTGTGGATTTAGTTTGTGGATTTACCCATTCATAGCATGGTGATGTTCCATAGTTTTTTGTATGTTTACCAGAGGGTAACCATGGGTAATAAAACCACCAGAGTATCAATGGATACTATGTTTTATTGTCTTGGGACTATCCCAGTATATTTCATTATATTTCACTATCCTTATAACATTCCCATGAGATATCTCAATGGATTGGTTTTGTTGGGAAAATCTTAACCGGAAACCATCGATAAAATCCCATGAAGTTCATGGGGTTTTCCGGTTAATCCATGTCCCTTTAAACCAATCCATTGAGAGTATCCATGGAGATTTCTACCATAAATGGACATACCATCTGGTTATTTAACATAGCCATGGAAAATCATCATTTTTAATAGGTAAGCCATCTATTTCGATTAGGGCCATCTATACCATGGCTATGTTAAATAACCTGAGGGTAAATGATGTATACAAGAAAATGGGAGAATGTTTGCAAACTAGTTAGGTACCTGGTCTGAATGTGTCCAAACAAAGGGCTTGGTAATGGATTAATTATAATGACTATTTTAAATTCAGGACAACATCATTGTAAAATGTTAAACACTGATAAACCATTCTGTGGAATGTGGCACTTCATTGTCAGACAAACCCAAGTCCATGAGTTGTTCACAACAGTGATTGTTATAACATGTTGTAACGTGATGGCAACCAATCTACTATAGAGATAGAAATCGATGTACTTCAACCACTATCTGCTGTAGCAACCAAAAAAGTACTAAGCCATAAGACCTCTACACTTGGATTGATGCTATTGCAAAGTTTATGGATTGGCAGTTGAGCCCCCCAGCCCCCCAAAACAAGCGAATAACGTTTTAACAAGGGATCGACGATCGTCATCCCGAAGAAATTCCTATCGGGATCTTATGGCCATGCTCGACATGGGTCAAACATGGGATACAGTACCCAATAAACCCACCAATGACTGGCTGTTGTCATGAATCATCTGTCTTTTTGGTTGACAACTCTGCAGCGCCATTGTGTGATGATTTGCGTTGCATCAAACCACGGACAAACCTGTGTGATAGTCGGTCAGTTGAGCAGTGTTCCAAAGCCAAAGTGTCTTGCCATGTCTTCCAGTTATTAGTTGTTGGTGTAGAACGTATTTCTCACATGGATTCTGATTCATCCCCAAGGGTATACATGGGTATACTATAACCGGCTAATATCATCGTATATACCCTCTGGTAAACTAACAGTTTGCTATTGAAAATTACCATTTATAGTGGATTTACCCATTAATAGCATGGTGATGTTTTTTGTATGTTTAACCATTTTCAATGGGTAAATCCACTATTTAAATGTTGATTTTCCATAGTTTTTTGTTAACGTTTACTAGAGGGTACATTCATGGATCAGATTTTTGACTCCCAAAATGGGGGTCCGACTCGGAAAAACATCGAAACGCCTGGAGCTCCTGAAAGGCTCTCAGGGCCATGTCAGTCTTGCGGCACTTCTCCTCGATCTGCGAGACGCTTTTCGGACAGGGCCCACGCACGGAACATGAAAAAAAATGACCGAAATACCAGTTATAAGTCAGTGAAATACCACATTTATAGAATGATAATCCCATTTATAATCATAGAAATGACTGAATAACCATTTACTTTAAAACGGGTAAAGGGCCGTAACAGAAAAGCACGTAAATGCCAATATTGACCATCTTCATATGATTCAACTGGTATCATCCTATGTACGCAGTGACACCCTTCACATGATTTAATTCATTGTTACCTTAAAGTTATCAACTGAGTAATATTCAACAGTAATTATTTGAATTACACATCAAGTTACCATTCTGTGATTTACAACTTACAACTGTGTAAAACGATCCTCTTTCTAAAGCCCAATCTTTTCTGCAAATCTGCTGTGATGACCCAGCATCTCCATCCTGGTGATCAGCCTTTGTTCTACCCACTCAAAATGAAAACAGTTGCAAAATTCAGAGATCATCCACAGTTTTGGCCCAAAAAACGCTGATTTCTATGGGTTTATTTCATGATATATAACCTGAGTTCTAGGAGTTATAGTTCCATTTATAATTGTCAAGGACCATAACTGCGACTTGGGTGTCATCACGAGCCCAGTGAAAAACATGTGCGGTGAGAGTGTGCTGAAAGACGCGACACAGCTCTGATGATCTCAAAGATCTCAGTCACATCTTTGAAGTTGAAGCATTTGACCCAAGGGAAACACATACATAAAATCACGTCTTTTTCTTGCCACGAAATCTAAGTCTTCATGAGTTTGTTTTCTTGCAACCAATTCTGAGATTGATCCATAACTATAACTATGGTCAATATTATTAGGGATCATAGTGTGTTGACTCGTTGAGATAATTCTGAGTCAAAACTATCAATCTGCAGAATGGGTCCATCTTGAGGTACCCCAATGACTTGTACAATACGCCATGGCCCGATGTCTGAACATGTGGGGAAAACCATGTGGGGAAACCACAAATCCAACAGCTACCTATCCGTTGATATGTTTTTCAAATCATGTTCTATTATGTTCTTCATCTTTGAAGCATCATTTGGGACATTAAAAATACCCTGGCTGATTGTTGGGAACTATTTGAGCCATTAGAAGCACCCTGGTTGGTTGATTGGTTATAGGGAGTTAAGTTGACCTACCTGGTTCTTGGGAATCATTGCCTACCATAGTACGTATGACAATCTATCAACCAACTAGCACATGAGATGGGAAAACGCGGTATGGCATTGCTCATGTTTCCCATATCTTTTCCCGAACATTGCAAACACAATTTCATCCAACGCTGGGAGCCTGCAGTTATGGCCCAACTAAGAGTTGTAAATGGAATGAACTAGCTCCTATAACTACTTGGTTATATATCATGAAATAAACCAATTTACAACTCTTAAGGTAGGTTATAATATATCAGTTTAAACACAGGAAAAATAACTGTTCGTTGGGCCATCACTGTGGGACACATCCATGGGATGTCTCCGTATTTTTGTCACGTTTCTGCTGCGCTGATCAGGGCATTGTACGTGCACAAGTCCGCCTCAACCGAAGTTTCCTTGGATCAAATTTGATCAATGGGGATACCCTCTGGTTGTGTTGAACAGTCAGATATCGTGAGCTGCAATGTATCTATAGTGGGGATACAGTGGGAAATATTTATGGGATTGATAAGCCACATGATATGAATGACGTGCGTTGCTGAACATAGATGATTCACCGAACTGAAAGATGGTAATTTTCCAGTTCGCTATGTAAACGATTACCAGAGGGTATAAACCATAAAAGGCCGACATTAGATGGGCACACCTGGGAGAAATGTGCGTTTAGTGTTTTGTTTTTCCCCACCTGCCAGGTGAGGGTTGTTAGTTCCCCACCTGCCAGGTGAGGGTTGTTAGATTTTATGTCAGTTGCCTGGTCCTCCTCCTCCTCTCCTCTCCTCTCCTCTCCTCTCCTCTCCTCCTCTCGTTGTCCTCCTCCTCTCGTTGTCCTCCTCCTCTCGTTGTCCTCCTCGTCCTCCTGCTCAACTGCGACTCGCGATCCACAGTGTTCTCTGTCGGACCTCAACCACGACCATCCACACCCAGTGTTCCCTGCCGGACCTCAACCACGACCATCCGACCATCCACGCCCAGTGTTCCCTGCCGGACCTCAACCACCCACGACCATCCACGCCCAGTGTTCCCTGCCGGACCTCAACCACGACCATCCACGCCCAGTGTTCCCTGCCGGACCTCAACCACGACCATCCACGCCCAGTGTTCCCTGCCGGACCTCAACCGCGAGTATCCCCGCCCAGTGTTCCCTGCCGGACCTCAACCGCGAGTACCTCCCTCCCTGTATCTGCCAGTCTGCCCAGAATGCCAAGCAGATATGCAGAAGAAGATATAAGATAGATATGCCAGAATATTTGCAGATAGAACAGATAGAATGCCAGAAGATATGCCAGATAGAATGCCAGAAGATTTGCAAGATAGAATGCCAGAAGATATGCCAGAAGATATGCCAGATAGAATGCCAAATAGAATGTCAGAAGATATGTCAGATAGAATGCCAGAAGATGTGCCAGTAAGAACATGTATAAATGTCATGGTGGGGATCACACGAAGTAAAGTAATTTGTTCGATTGGTTATAAATTAAAAGATGTCATAAACCAACTTAGCTAATTATGGGAACCCTATCTTTCAAATGTTAATGGGCCTGCTATGTGGGTTATCCGCTGTAGGCTCAGACTTTATCAGATGGAGCGCCTGAAAATGAGGCCAGGGTCGGTATTAACCCCAATTTGTCATTGGAACAGTGTTCAAAGTGAAATCTACAGGAACCCTTGGTTTTTCAATGTCTTTAATCTTTAAATGTTTTTAAGCATCAAGTATAGAGATTTCCTGCAAGATATCTGTTGTGATGGGCTCTTCAACTGGCTGAAGCGGAGCGGCCAGGGCGTCGTTGGCGATCTGTTTGAGCTGACACAGATCCACGCATGTTTGGAAGATAAGGATGGCGTCGGTCACCACCGCATAGGTCTCACAATGAGTATTGGCATCAAAGTGACTCTCAAACCAAATCTTGAAATCGCCAAGAGCCACCAAAGTCGGCTGCAGCTTTTGGATGCTGTGGGCCCATCACGAAGGATTGCACTCAACTTCAGGGATTCAGCGGGGGTAAGGGCATTGGAGGCCAACGACCAAAGCTGCCACTGTTGAGAAAAGGTGGACCACAGAGCTCGAGCAACGCCACGCACCCACTGAGGATGTCTTCAAAAGCCGATATGCCCTGTGCTGTATAAGGGTCCACACCTGAGGGTCTGCTCAAGTGACGACTTCATATATTGCATCGCTATGGATATTCCGCAAGTGATCAGTGCGATCTCTGCCGTGTTCATTATGGCAACTTTCGCTCAGAGCTGCGTTTTGGGTGGGAGTCTGAAAGACAGGGTGGGACAGGCCCACTTGAAACAAAACGGTTACTTGAGTAATGAATTAAATGCTTATTGGAACATGCAACTGAGACATGAGACATTCAAGAATCCAATATTTTTTAACACGTTTCTTCAGTGCAAGTCCGAACATGAAAACAGCGACATCCAAGGACCCAAATTTGTTTCACTTGTTTGTCCAATATTATTTGTTATTGTCACTCCGCTCTAAGGTTGTTTTACGCGGTTTGGAACATCTCCATAACCGGGCGTCCATGGCATGCTCACATTGTAAGTATACGACGGCGTGCGTACATGCGAAACAGATACACGGCTTGCGCTGTACAAACCTGGCTTACACAGACATACATTTCGGATGGTCCTATGTGCATATTGTTTTACCTGCATGCTTTAAAGCCTTATCCTTTTGGCACTAGCAGTGCGCATTGGATTTACGCAATGGGCATATGCTTGGCTCAAAATTCCCTGCACCAGGTAATTTTGTACGCTTAAGCATTTAAGGCGCTATCAGTCCCTGACCGCTTGCATCTTCGGGTGATTTAGGGGAAATCACCAACCATTAAACATGGGAATGTGAGGGAATATGAATGATATAACTCACTAAACAGCGGGAAGATCCTCCACGAAAAATCCCTGGGACCCCCAGTTTGTTCCATGGTGAATTCACCGAAAGAAAATCCCATCAAATCCACAATGAAATCCCATGAAATCACCATTAAATCCCATGAAATCACCATCAACTCCCATTGAATCATCGTCAAATCCCATCAAATCCATCATGAAATCCACCATAAAATCCCATTAAATCACCATTCAAAACCATCGTTCAGTCCGTCTCATCGGCGCCATAAATCTTCACGACGGGCCGCCGGCATTCGCTGAAAGATCTCCCAGGCCTTGTCTGCCATGCGTCCCTTTTCACAGGCGCTGATCACCTGCGTTGAGCGTTGTGGATTTATGAAAAATAAGGATAGTACAGTTGTGAATTCCAGATGGTATAGGACCATACATATTTTTTATGATTACCTTGTAATCCTTAAAACTGTTATAGGTATGATGGCCTTAGAATGATATATATAATATATATATGTAACCTTAGGTAAAGGAATTGCAGTTCCATTTAAAGTTTGTAGAACCATAAATGTATGTCAGATTTTTGATTTGAAGAAACATTCATTAAAATTAAAAATCATATTTAATTCTATTGCAAGGGCACTGGGATTTTATTGTGATTCATGCGCTTAATGAACGGTTAATAGGTGTTAATACGATTATCCCTTGCGTTTAAAAATTATGAGACATCAATAAATCAGGGGCCAAAATCAAAATGTCAAAATTTGTTAAATGTAAATAAATAAATATATATATATATGTATACATACAACACACATATATATATGTGTGCAATATAAGTAAATATATATATATACAATCTATATATATATATATATAGACAGTCCTTGAGCCGCATAATTTTCGATCTTTGTGGATTTTCCGGCGCGGGCCTAGAAATCACTTTTGGGCTAAGAGTGATGGATTCAATGACACAGCTTTGGTGTCAAAAAGTTGGTTTTTTGCGTCTTTTCTGCGTCATTTTGCGTCATTTTGCGTCATATCTTTGGTCCTTCCAAATGTGACTGACAGAGGGTCGCTCACTACTTTTCAGTCCCGACCAAAAAAATGCCGTTTTTGGATGTGCAGGTATATATATATAAGATAGCAAAATTGGTTTTCGATTTAAATCACAAGGGTTTCAGGCAAATATACATGCGTGATATATCCATGGGTAGTCGGGTTGATAAATGAACTTACAGCTTGTAGATCCCCATAGTTGATGGTAATAACATCAAGAGTACAGTTACATGGGGTCAAAAACAAACATATAATTTTCCAGCGATGGGCCTCACCTTGTATCAGTTGGCATACCAGTACCAAACCAGTCAAATCGGCCCAGTCTTGGCCAACCAAGTCGCTGCGTTGAACGTGATGACGTTTGCTCTGACCTGGCAATTTATGGAAACGGATGGAACACCAATCGATGGGGCATGCTCAAGCATTCTGTACATACTTGCGCAAAGGCCCACCCCGGCCCGCACCCAAATATAATATATATATGTTTATATATATATATAAATACAAATGTATATATATATATATACACGTCTTCTTACATGTTGAACAATAACGCTCGCCTTTGGCATCCATCTGTTCACTGTTTGGGAACGTGCTCTTCTGGGCAAATAGCGGATTGGGTTGTGTGCTCCAATTTTCACCAAGAATTTCCGCAACAAACAAATTTCATAAATTTAACAAGAACATGTTTTGAGGCAATTTGTGCGCATGTTGGCCGCGGTCTTTGATTTTGCGATGTCTCTGCATTAGCAACGGTCCAGTGGTTTGGTTGCATTTTGCCAGCTCGGGCCTTCCAGCCAGGACAGCCAAATATACTTAGATATATATACGCAAAGTTGTAAAGCATTATAAATATACAGAAAGTACCAGTATAAATGGATATATATATATATATATGTATGTATGTATGTATGTATGCATGTATGTATGTATGCGTGTATGATATATCCGTGCTACTTAGTGTTCCAAAGCATCCCAGTTGGAAAGCAAGAGACTGCCAAGCAGCAGATGTGGCCTCGCCTCTTGAGTTCTCATCTCCTCCAGGAGCTCTATAGCCTCCGGCGCTTGACGACCTGTGCAGGGTGCTATGCAGTGCCAGTCAAGCTAACTACAGTTATGGCCCGACATACCAGTTTTAAGTACTTATAACCCCGTTTATGGAATGTGTCATCCCATAGAAGTAACCAGTTATAACATGCTATAACCATAAAATTATAACTGGTAAAGAGCAATAACTGGAATGGTGAGCCCCCCGCAGCCTTTTTCGCAGGCGCTAATCATCGCGTTGTAGACGATGGCGTCCATCTCTAAACCTTGGTGCTGGCATGGACTGCCTCAGATCAGATACAGCGCGTGCATGGACACGAGCCATGGCAACCAAATAGTAGCAAACTCAGCAGGAGACTTGCCTTTTACCATCTCCATCTCCTTATCATCTTATCTGTTGGCCGTTGTGGCAACCCTTCATGGCATGGTGAAAAAATAGTGTCCGCCCTGCATTTGCCTTCTCGTGGCTTAAATCCATAACGTGGTTCAATGGCGATGGGCCATGGATCGAAGCCCTGGTAGCCTGGTGAACCCCCAAAAAGCTGGGAGTAATGGATATTCATCCCCCGAAAATATGGGTAAATCAATGTACAGTAAATCATAGGTAAAACAAAGGTAAAACCATAGGTAAAACATAGATAAAACAACCATAGGTAAATGAAATGTATTTGACCTTTTGACTTTTGACCATAGGTCAAACAAGCTAACATGCGTAAAGATGACCAACAACGTGTGGTTCCGCCGCTGCACAGACTCTCAAGGGCCTCGAGGAAGGTCCTCAGATATGCCCACGGATGGTACCCCCAAATCATCCACTTTAATAAGATTTTCCATTATAAACCATCAATTTTGGGGTCCCCCCACTTTTAGAAACCTCCAAATGGTGTATTCTTCTTGCTTCAATATTCTGAACCGACCTGATGTAAAAAAGGTCATATTTGAAAGCCAGTGTCTACGGAGTGACTAGAAGACGAATCAAGACTCATCAAGTGACCAGTACATCAGTTGAGGTCAGAATAAAAATAAGAAATGAAGCATGTAAGCTCTTGGAAGATAAGCATATACATGTATATATATATATTTAAATATCTATGTATATATATACACCTGGATTTTCAGATGACCCCTGGCCACAAGACTCAATACGGTAGATTCCTTGTGGATCAACCTTTAGAAAATCCATGAAAAGTCGATGTTTTCAAAAACGGGCTCGGGGTCCATCTGGCCTCCTAAATCTGTCTAAAACCTTGGTTTACCGCATGCCATTTATAACTGATTACTAGATAACACAGATAACACCGCTAATCTTACAATGTGGGGTCCCCAGGATAAATAAGTTGCTTGACAGCCAGGCTGAGGTTTACGGCAGGTCACGAAAGAACCCGCAGAAGATATTGGAAAATCCGTGATCAACTCCATGATGGAGAATACCAAAAAACGAAAACAACAACAACGCATTATGAATGGACACTAAAATAAACATACATCAATCATCCCATCAAGAACCAAAGAACATTGGATAGTTTCCCTTTCAACACCCCTTTGCCACATGGGGGCCATGTAAAAAAGCGCCAAGAGGGCTAAGGCCATATATCACTACAATGTGAGGCCCCCAAGATAGCTAAGTTGGTTTATAACTCCAATAACTATGGTTTATGGTACGCAAATAACCATAGTTACTGGGGCGAATCTAAACCAACTAACATCACTGGGGGGGCCACATTGTAGGATAAACCATTTATAAAGACTGTTAAGGGCCATGGGCCATACCTGTATACTTGTTCACAGTTCACACATCTGTTCATCCATGGAGCGTATGAAAGGATTTCGAAAATACCCAGGATTTGTTGCGCCAGAGCATCACATCTGGTGACGGTGGGGGAATGGCATGGAATGGCTATATGAATGTGGCTCAACACAACCACAAGCAAAGCATCAACGATTTGATGGTGGTTAAAAAAAAATACTGGAAGAACCTCATCTTCCCAAATGACATGTCAGAAATTGGGCTACCCTCTGGTAATCATGCATGGTGTGCTGGAAAATTTCCCATCCCTTTATTCCATTGGGACCCTCTGGTAAACGTTAACAAAAAATATAGAACGATCCACCATTTTCAACGGGTAAATCAACTATAAATGGCCATGTTCAATAGCTATGTTAGTTTACCAGAGGGTATAGTCGAGTTGTCCAACTATAAACCTGCATGGGGCGCGGGGATTTCCCAGTGATAAGGGCAGCTGAAAAGCTGAGATTTTCAGCAGCCTTTTGCGGATCTAAAATGGTGCAAGCACGGGGCCCAAAATGGCCCAAACGATAGGTCATTTGATGTCAAACTAGGCCAACTATTCGATTTGCAGTGGATACATCTATAGTTAGATGGGTTTAAAGTTTAATATCAATGTTCAACGTCTTATAACGGGGGGAGCCTCATAGTGTTTCTGTTGGATCTCTACAATGTGGCCCCCCAAGTTATAAGTTGGTTTATAAGCCCCAGTAACTAAGGTTATAAGTACCATAGACCATAGTTATTGGAGTTATAAACCAACTTAGCTTTCTTGGGGGCCTCACATTGTAGGTATTTCAGGCGTCCGACTTTGCTGCGTCATCTCCCTGAAGTATGACCAAGCTAGGTCAACCTGCACGGCGGCACCCTCGTGGCCTCGTGGATGGGTTATTTCAATTGCCAGAGGGTACTCAACAGAAATAAATTACAGTTATGGCCCAACTAACGGCTATGGGTTTATGGGTTTATGTCATCTTATTTCATGATGTATACCCTCTGGTAAACTAACATAGCTATTGAAAATGACCATTTATAGTGGATTTTCCCATTAATCATGGTGATTTTCCATAGCTATGTTAAATTACCAGAGGGTAACCTTTCTTATAGGAGTTATAATTTCATTTATAATTGTTGGAGGCCATCACTGTATCATAAAGTGATGTTTCTCCAACCGCTCGCTTCGTCCATCACAATGGATCCTCATGCAACCAACAACTGCCTTAACCCTCAAAGCATAATGGGACATAATGGGATGATATGGCTAGTTTAATGAACATAGAATGGGCGATATATGACCAAAATGATATGGGTGTGTTTAAAGTTGAAGGACACCCAGGATCCTCACTGGAAATGGGCTATGTTACTATCTGGTGGTTAAGGAGCGGTTAGGGGCATCCACACCATGGGGAGCCAGTTGGAGCTACAAATTTGAGTTTCCCAACCAAATGGGTAGTATAGCCACCCGCTGAGGTCACCAAACATGTACCCACGTCATCCATGACGACTGGATGATGACTAGTGTACCATGACTGAGGAGTTTCCCCACATGCCACCATAAATAATGGTGGTTTTGTATTTATTCTTGATTGTATGTGATATAGTCTGATATAGCATATCCCATGACTATCCCATGATTGTCTACATGTCGAAAAATTGGGAAGTATGACTGAAAAAACCGCCCACATGTTTTGCTCAGACGATCAAACCGTCAACCCAATGCTCCTTGGTGCAGGAATAGTATAGCAATATTTACCCCCCAAAAAAACCAGTGATGTAGGTAAGTATGCCATACATTTACATGGAACATACGGGAAAATGAGGACAAACATGGGGACTATCCAACCATTGGTCATGAAATACCCGCTGTACTTGCGTCAACCGACTGATGGAAATGATCAGTATAGTGGGCTACTTTCCAAACTAACAAGTGAAAATTGATCGGAAATGTTATGAATAAACATATTGTATAAACTAAAAAAAACCTATGAACAAGGTGGTGCCCCATAATCAGCTAAATTGGCACACATCACTCCAATTTCACTAGGGTATATTGTAGATTGTAGATATAGAACTAGTTACATAATGGTCGGTATAAACCAACAAACGTACCCCCCCGTAAACTAACAGGTCGATGTGGAAAACCCGTTAGAAAACCCACCATTTGTAGATCATGCTCCTGTGGAAAACATGGGTTTTCCATATCTTGTTGTTAGTTTAAGGGCAACTGGGGTGGCAACCACCAACCATGTCGAGTCGTCTTGGGGGCCTCTGAGGACTTCTCGCAGCAGCTGATCAACGAACCTCGGGGCCGCTATTTTTTTTGTTTTAACTCTCTAAAAAAATAGAACGGCAAATTCACCGTATATGTATGTATATATATATATATATATAGTTGTGTACTATATATATATATATCTGTTTGTACTGTATATATATATACATATATATATATATATATGTGTGTTCACGTTCCTATCTTTTTTGGGGTTACAATATCCCATTCATATATACATGTATACAGTATGGATCCAGCCATACTTCCTGAGAAGGTACGCCTGGATCCATAAGGATAGGCATGTATGGTGATATATGTATAATATATACATGTTTTATTGTACATATTACATATATATATATATAATATATATATAATATAATATATATATATATATTGAGAGAAAGAGAGAGAGAGAGAAAGAGAAATAGAGAGAGAGAGAGAAAGAGAGAGACACTTTGATGATCAGGACAATGAAGAGATGAGTCAAAACCTATGGAACCATATTGGGGAAAACATCTAAGTGGAGCCAAAAAAGGGGATCATCAGTCCAGGTGATTTTGGAATTTCTTGGTGTGTGGGTTTACAACACTCTAAAATATGTGTGATTATGTGTGTAGATATACATAATTAAACATAATTAGTCATATTACATACATATTAAGTTATACATATTATGTTATACATATTATATACATATTACATACATATTATATACACATTGTATACATATTATATACATATTATATACATATTATATACATCTTATATACATATTATATACATTGGGACCATCATGTCATTTGATGTCATTTGCATTTATTTCTTCAGATGGCGGAATAAAAGCACATGTGAAAGCATGTAGTTGTGGTATGTTCGTCACCACACATTCCATCAATCCAGTGACACCGACAGCATTTTCTGACTCCCCAAACATCCCCCGACACAACTCTGAAAGGAGAACTCAATAGCCATATCCACCATAAACCCCAGACTAATCCTAGTTATAAAAAGCACTATCTATGATCTATCGTTCGATGTGTCCATGTCAACTATAAATCATAGAATACACCTACAGTTCATAGATAAATAATAACCGTATGATCAATGGCCATTTCAGGAAGCTAAATTGGAGGTACCTACCATATATAAGGCCTATATAAGGCCTATGTAAGGGAATATCCCAACAGCATATGGTCTTATATGGTACAGTACATCCATTTTAGGATCTTGAAATTCCCATTGAAGAACATCAAAAATGTAAGTGACAAGGGTACCAAAGGTATCCAAAGGTAGCAAATCACAGACAGAGGAAACTACAATAGCAGTCTTTGCGTAAAGAGTATCCGATCGGCCACCAAAAAAAAACAAAGAATTCCAAAACAGCCCAAACTGTCGAGCGGGCCGAGTGGCTGTAGGTCACGTGATTTGGAGAAACCTGCTGAAACTTCATGGACTGAAAGATCTCCGTTGCCTCTGATACCTTGGATGCACAAGTCATTGCATGCAGCTCCCATCAAGGTGGTGATCCTGAAATCCTTCGCCAGGTTGGTTTATAGATGTTTATTGGTAAATCTGAGGGTTTTTCTGGTGATTACATGTGATTTTCGGTATAACTGCATAACTATTGGGTGGGTTTAGATTGCTGATTTTTGACTGGGCACCACCTTGTAGGTGTCAATAGGACCCCACGGCCCTACGTTTTAAGAGTTGGGAAAGCACACGTTGGGAGATCTTGAGGGAACTTTGACCAAGGTCTGACCCGAAATGGCAATTAATTGTCATTGGGGAAATAATGCTAAACTGGTTGGTGGTTGAGCCTACCCCTCTGAAACGTATTAGCCAGTTGAAATGATGAAATTCCCAACTGAATGGACAGGCATAAAATCCCATGGTTCCATTATTGATTATTATATCCCATTAAATCCCATTAAGTCCCACTATCAAAAATCCCATTAAAAAGCCATGGTTCCAGTCACCACCAACCAGTAAAGCATGGATAAAATGGTGGTACCCCATTTTCAGACCCAAACCAAAGACGTGACAACCACGTCCTATGGGCGTCTCAAGATATCAACACCAGGGATGTTTAAATCATGTTAAATTCCCAGCAATTGGATGGGGAAAATTCACAGAAACTCCCACAAAAATGATGCTTAAAACATGTGAAAACACCATTTAAAACCATGGTTTCCTGCAGATTTGTCCTTAAAATAAGCCATTGATCTGTCCATTGGTACACGTTTGAGGGAACTAAAACTCTCCGACTATATGTTGAAGGGATGTTGAAGGGAATGGTGTACATGCTGTTGTGCAACCAGTCTTCTAAGTCAATATTTGTGTCGGCAACTTCGCAACGGTGGCCCAAAATCCAAAACACTTGCGCAAGTGCAAAGATTGGCCTCTCGCGACCATTGAACTGGTGCTCAAAGTTTAGTTTATTCCACTTAAAAGTCTTCGACGAACGACATTGGCTGAGCCTCGTGTGGGTCCCAATTGCCTGACCGTGACCTGCATCTTCTTCAGCGATAGCAGGGATAGTAGCACGTGTGGAAGGCGCTCGATGATACCATATATTATATGTGCAAAACACCACTATAAGCTCCTATAGGTGGATATAAATACAGTTAAAGATGGTTATTGTGCGCACTTCCTAAGCTGGTAAACCACCAGAAAATCATCCGATAGCTGTGTAATCATCCCGCCTTAAGATGATCCTTCCAGTAGTGGGATTGCTAACTTCATCGTCCAAAAATACCCTCTGGTAAACATACAAAAAGCTATTGAAAATGGCCATCTATAGTGGATTTACCCATTAAAAATTGTGATTTTCCATAGCTATGTTAGTTTACCAGAGGGTACTTGAAATCCCAGCTGATGACATTCAAAGTTGGTCTGCTGAAGTCCACACTTGTCAGAGGATCTCACCCTGAATTCTCCGTTGTTCTGAGACCCACATGTTTGTCCTAGTTGCATCCCATTTTTCCTTGGGCATCTTGTTGCGATTAAATTTATGTTTTTCTCATGTCCATCCACATTGTTTCATGGTTGTTTGTTTTTTCTTCAGCATGTTTCATTGTTTATGGGTAAAACCATACGTGGTTCAGTGGTTGTTTTCAACTGCCATGATTACCAGGGGGTCTCTCTGACCCTCAACCATCAAGTTCTCATGCTTTCTGTATTTTAGAAACCACCATTTTCCCATAGTTTTCCTGGAAAAAATCGTGTTTTTTTCCCACAAAACCACCATTTTTCCATAGTTTTCCTGGAAAAATCATGTGTTTTCCACAAAACCACCATTTTTTCCATAGTTTTTCCTGGAAAAAATCGTGGTTTTTGTTCCACCACCATCATGTCATGTCCCGACCAGTGGTACCGAGGTGCCGGCCGTTGGCTTTTCTCACAGGCACTCAGCAGCGCGCTGAAGGATGTCACATCTGCCTGGATCTTCATCGCCTGGGGCCGCACCAACAACGACTGGGAGGCACCGAACGACCAAGACATGTACCCTCTGGTTATGTCAAAAAAGCTATTGAAAATGACCATTGATAGTGGACTTTCCCATTAAAAATGGTGATTTTCAATGGCTATGTTAAATTACCACAGGGTAAAACACACATGTGCATCATGTGTAGTGATACTGGTTGGTGGTTGAGCCCTACCCCTCTGAAAAATCATGGAGTGAAAGTCAGTTGGGATGATGACATTCCCAATATATGGAAAGTCATAAAATTCATGTTCCAAACCACCAACCAGTATATGTCATTATAACTTGATTTACACAATATGATATATTACATAAGATGTGTATATATATATATATGATGCATATACAATGCAATAATATATTCATCTGTACACATTACAGTAGATGTTGGAGCGCAAATCTATTCACCACACATGGCGTTCCAGTTGGATGAAACAAAACCAACAATGGCATAATCGAGGTGCTAATATCAGGGAATTCAGGGGACAGTTCAGGTAACTGAATTAGAGGTATAGGATCTACCATCTGGTTATGACTAACAGTTCGCCATGGAAAATCCCAACCATCAATGGAGGTATTAATGCTGGGAAAATCATCTATTTCTATGGGCCATGGCTTCCTTGGCGAACTGTTAGTCATAACCAGAGGGTTTAACATATGTTTGTGTCAGGACTGTCAGGTTCCAGGCAACATCCCCAGAACATATGGCCCAATGAACAGCTTTTTCAATGGAATTTTCACTAATGAACTAGAACTAGTTGGTGAAATATATCATGAAATAAACCCATATTTTTCTTCGTAAAATTAATTGCTGATATAGTTGGCCCTAAAACATCAAGAACATATGGCCCGAAAAAGTCGCGAAAACCCGTTCGCTACCGTGGACGATCCCCGGAACTGAAGAGTGGAAGGTGGGGCTAAGTTGGTGGGTTTATAGATCCAATAGCTATGGTCTGCATATGGTTTATGATATAAATATAGTTAAGTTAAGTGGATTTATAAACCTGAACCATAGGTTTTCCAGATCTGTTCTTTGTATTGGATTGTGATAAACTTATACCTGAAAAGATGTGGAAAACCTATATCATGAATATGTATATATATATATTATATACATTCATTTGGTTTTTCCTGTACGGATATCAGTTGGGTTGGATATCCATGATCCAATTTGATCCAATTTGATCCAACTCCAAACTGGGAATCACCCAATAATTTCGGACATGTTCGAACAAATCCAAAGGGTGATCCAAATACCTTAATGAGAAGGTATTTGGCTCACCCCCTAAATCATAGCTCAGCCATACTTCCGAAGAAAATCCATGGATCCATATGGAATGAAAATTTTCGTAAACCTTTCTTCTTTAACTATGTCTATCTATTTCTACTATTTTTACCCGTATTGCCTGGGATAATTTACATTAATTCAATATAAAGTAAGGTATAAAATCACCAACTATTGGCATTTGGCTATCAAACGTGGCAAGGGAAATCCACTGAACATGCAGGTTTATAGCTGGGAAAATCATCTACAAAAGGTGGATATTCCATTGCTATATTTGATTTTCCGGAGGGTATCTCGAATAATGACTAAGCAGTATTTACCCTATTTACGTTCTGATATCATTATTCCAAATATTGGTAATAAAATTTTGGCAGGTATCATATGTATGAACTACCGAGGTGTACCCTCTGGTAAATTAACATCACTATGGACAAATCACCGTTTATAGATTGATTTCCCCAGCTATAAACTTCTATTTAGTTCAGTTTTTTTTCAATAGTTACCCTCTGGTAAACAAACATAGCTATTGAAAATGGTCATAGAAATAGTGGATTTTCCCATAAAAAAGGGTGATTTCCATAGTTATGTAAACGTTTACCAGAGGGTATGTTAATTTACCAAGGTATAAATATGGCTTTGTCTGAAAACATTATACTCCAAGATCCAATGGTTTATCATCAACCCATTAAAGTGGTAATTGTGGGGACACACCATTTTCATCAATAATTTTCAGACAAATCAAAAATGATTTCCCACTGTCCCCATTACCTCTCCATTGTAACAAATTAAAACGCTTTAGTTCAAACGCCTACACCCATGATCATATCGAACCATATCCCATTTGTTGTATAATGTTGTATGTCCACTATTGGTTGGTGGTTTCAACCCCTCTGAAAAATATTAGTCAGTTGGGATTATTATTCCCAATATATCTAAAAATAAAACATGTTCCAAACATTTCCAAACCACCAACCAGTTATCCATGCTTATCTCCCTTCTTGATGGTTAAATCCCTTCACCCATCTTCAGGTCGCCTCCATCTCCCTGAAGTGTCGCATGGCTGCATCGAAGTCACTGCCTGGGGGACAAGTCATGGAAGATTGCCCCATGTTCACCAGGTGCAGTCATGGCCGCAGTTATAAGTGGCTAAAAAAGGCCCAATGAAGTGATATTATGTTCACCATTGAAGTGATATTGTTCACCAACTAGTTACTTAGGATATGTAATTTAAGATAGCTATTGAAAATGGCCCATAGAAATAGATGATTTACATTGATTTGCCTTATAAACAATAATGATTTACCATAGTTATGTTAGTTTACCCAGAGTGTATGTTTTGGTGTGGTAAACCCAAGCTGTTCCAAGGGTATGCAAGGGTCCTGGTGTGGTAAACCATATGACTAGTGTGACTCACCACCTCGTTGCAGGAATAGCCCATGGCCTCCCATGGCTATGAGTGTTAAGGGATGTTAAGGGCTATAAGGCTATAAATGTGAGGCCCCTAAGATATGCTCGTTGCTTTATAAACCAATATCTAGTTCGATATATCCCCCTAATCAAGCCAACAGTTCATCAAGTGAGTCAAGTTTGGCTATCGTAAACGGGGGCCTTACCTTGTGGGAGAAAAGTATAGGATAATCCAAACCTCTACACCGGTTGGATTACCTCAGGCTAATGAACATCAAAACAAATCTGATGTTTGAAGATCCTCAAAAACGTTCTATCCTATCCATTATCATATGGCATCTCATGGCTAAACTTACATACTAACCATGAAAAGGATACATTGTTAGCTGGATATAGCTGGGCAAACAAACATACGAGAGGAAAAACCAGTCACCTGGGTCATCTCCCATAGATAAAGGCGATCTGATCTGACGGCAAATCCGCAGCCGGAGGCTGCACCAAAGTCAGGTGTGTTGCATCTACGCCGGAAAAATAGGACACTCTTGACATGACAATACTGGACATTGATTGATTGCAATTTGCCACGAAAGATTGTCGCTCTGTCAAACGACATGGTGCAAAAATACATGTGGCGCACGGGTAAAACATGGGTTTTGTACGCCCCAAAATTACAAGTGTCATATGTCGTCATAGGATCACAATGAAAAGCGATTAATTACGGGTCTTTCCATTGTTTTGGATAAACCCGTATGCCAAGCTATCTAGCTTATAGTGTCCATCCCAATTTCCCCCCCATTCCCTCAGAATCCATGGCAACAAGAACATAATGTGTATGCATGCATGCTACAAGAACGTAATCCAAGAGCTATACAACAGCTAAGAGGACTTGCAAGCAGCGTATCCGAATTGTAAATTTATGTTAAAAAGCGTATCCAAAACACTACCATCTTTCATTCCCAGCACCTCAGTGGGTGACATGTGGTTCCACCGTTCCACCCCTCGGCCTCGGCTGCAAGCACCAATCAAAGCACCTTATGGATTTGTCGACCGAAAATCTGCGGGGTGTTTTACGTGTTTTGCGTTCCACATCTTTTCACCATGTGATCTGGTTGGTGGTTGAGCCACCTACCCCTCTGAAAAATGATGGAGTGAAAGTCAGTTGGGATGATGACATTCCCAATATATGGAAAAATAATGAAAAATAGAAAATGTTCCAAACCACCAACCAGAATATGAAGACAATCAGCTTGAGTGAACATAAGAATTGTGAACCGCATCCAAAATGAGAACACATCGGTGGTCCTGACTTCTGATCCTTTTTCACGACTATGTCGACTGTCGACATCCAGACTTTTGATGTGTGTATGATGTTCCGTGATACTTGTAGTCATGGCCTGACTCGGTGTGGCGTCAGTTTCTCTCTTGAAATGGGCAGAGTGAGGTATTGTGTCCCCCATTTTAGGACAAACATACCCGAACATATCCCTATTATAAGACGGTTTACTTTGGTGGATTCGTTGATTCTCTATCTTAAGACAGCCCCTGTAAAACAGCAGTGGCTATTCCAGGGCTGTCTGCAGCCCAGGAGCTGTAGGTGAAAACGTCCTCAGCAACGGTCAGCGTTTGTTTCTAAAGGGACATGGTGGTAACGCGGATATGTTTTCTATGCTAGGAACATAAACAACATAAACTGCATCATCAAGGCACCCCTACACTAACCTCAGCAAAACTTAAATAGTGCAAAGAATAATGCGGCAGGATAAAACGGGTTCATCTTCCTGGACTGGATAGAGGAAACTCAATTGGATCCAAGAGGAGCAACATGCTCAATCCACCCATTGAAAATTCTTTGCTTTAAAAAACATCTAGTATAATATTCCAATATTCTATGATAAGTAGATTATTGGAATATCATAGAAAACTGGAATACTGGAGTATTATAAATAGATATAAATTGTATATTCCAGTATTGATAGTTGCTGCATCTATTTCCCCATTGTTTCTTTTTTTGGCAAAAAAACAATGAGTCAATGGGAATTTCAGGATCCTAAAATGGAGGTACCTACCATATATAAGGCCTATGTTTTAGGCCTATGTAAGTGAATATCACCACAAAATATGGCCAAAAATATGGTACAGTACCTCCATTTTAAGATCCTGAAATTCCCATTGAAAATAGTAGCCTCTGGTTTTGACTAACATAGCCATGGTATAGATGGGCAGTACCTCCATTGAATGAGTAGTCGGGCAGCGTCAAGTGTCGGGCTGCACTCTTCGCCGCAGCATTTCCTCGAAGATCTCCTGGAGCAGGGGCCCGCGGGGAAAAACCGGGGCCCCAGCTACGACACAAATGGCACCTGGTGATCCATGCAGAACCGGGTAGATGCCATACTTATGCATTATATTACATTATATTACATTATATTCTATTACACTATACTATACTATATAAATCTATATAATATTATATCATATCATGATTGTGTATATGACTATATGTATATGATTATATGTAGATTATATGTATACGTATGCCCATATTGGATCCAGCTGTCGCTCCACGACTTCCAACGCTGCTGTCTCCGCTATGGTGGATGTGTGTCACTCACCTGTTGATTAGTTTAGATTTGTTTACTGGATGGTCGCCATGATGCTATGAAAATCTATGAAACATATGAAACCCACAAATTTCCCTGCATTTGCTTCAGGTGCACACACAATTTTTATAAACAAGAGAACAAGATGCCCCAGATAGCCCGGAAGAAATGATGATAAAGCAAACATAAATCTTCGACTTTGGTCCCAAACTGCCAGACTGCCTGGCGATTCATCCCACTTAACAACTGGTTAGCGTTTGTGAGGTTAGTTCACCGAAGTATGAAAGGGAAAACCCGCAGGAAATCAGTGACTTACTATCACCAGGTTATTAGAACCAGTTACTGAGGGGAAAAAATACATATGCTAATGAGTAACATCATTTACTAGCCATTTCATCCTTGAATTTTCCGATTGGGAAAAACATCATAGACATATGATAATATATGAAAATATATGAAAATATATGATCATATATGATAATATATGATAATATATGATAATATATGATAATATATGATAATATAATAATATATAATTATTCTCATACCATAAACCGTAGAATCATAGAATTCACCTAGGTATACACCAAAGTTAGATACTAAGATTCAGCAAATGCAGCGCCATTCACCATGCCATTCCCCGTCCTCTGCTTTGCCATCTTGACCCCCGCAGCACTTCACCAGCACCGCGCACGTCACAGCCGTCCTGGGCTCGACACAGGCGAGATGAAAAAATGTGGGGCAACCATAGTGAAAAAAAACATAAGCTGAGATATAACCCCTATATCTCTGGTTAAATCAGGTTATATATATATAATTATAATGAGAATAATTAATAATCATAATCATAATGATAAATATATATATATATAGACACATAAATATCCACTGATAACTGGAACCACATTATTTTTTATGAATGTGAGATTCACCCAATGCCATAAAGCATCCCCAAGTCATCACCATTTTTATGGGTGCTAAGTTTACCATCCCCAGCCATGGTACGTGTATTGTTGGTTCCCACACTAATCTCTCCAAGCCGGGGCCCCCGAGTTATGTTTGTTGGTTTGTTTTATAAACCCTATCAACTCATACATAATATATATATATATATTATATATATATATAACTTTATCTACCATAAATTAGCCAACAGTTCACTTATGCTACTGAATTGGGGGCCCACCTTGTATTGTATTGTCTGTACAACTGGCGGTCAAGGTCAAAATTGGTTGAAACCACTAAGAATGCTCAAACTTCTGCTTTTTTCTACTAAAAACCTGTGGTTTCTTCATGAAACCACCAAATTCCACCAAATTCACCAAATTTACCCATGTTACCACTTTTTGGTCCCACCCAAAAAAAAGCCTGGATTCCTACCAGCAAAAAATTATGCTTTCTACGTTGAAATCGAGCCGCGGAGCCACCGTTTGAGCTTTCAAGGTCTCCAAGAGTGCCAGTGCCTGCAACCACTGCCTAAGATCGAAGAACGGCCTGGTGTGTTTCACAAATGGAACTCGGGTATAACATAGTCACCATAACTTGGAGATGGGGGCCCTCTAATAACTATAGTATAATCTGGTTAATCTGGTTAATAATGGTTAATAATGGTTAAACTTGGTTAATAATATAGTATAATGTGGGTGAAACAATGTCATAAACCACCCATGACTGGGAATGGTAAACATACCACCTATAAAAAATGGTGATGACTGGGGGATGGTGCAAATGGCATTGGTTTTACCCACATTACTATAGTCTATAGTTATTTACCCATGTGATGTTCACGTGAACTGCACCCCTAAGTGGGCCCCTCAGAAAGTTGGGAGATGGCCATTTTTTGGGGGCCCCAAGAACTATGGTTGTTGTAGTCGGTGCAGGTCAGAGAGCTGAGATTTGCAGTCGTTCGGATGTGCGTTGCCCTCGGCCAGCACCAATACTGGCACCACGAACTTCGTGGAAACCACAGCGGTCCCAGCGCCCACCGAGCCTTGGTTGCACCGCTCTGCTGGCTTTGCCGTGGAGGCCACCAATGGCGATACTGTCAAGTACCGACAAGTCCCTGTGTGGACAGATGTCTGCACGCATGTTTGCACGGCCTCACAGCGTACAGTGGTCGAAGCCTTGGCTTCCCTTCCTCCAGAGGACTCCGCAGCGAGAATTGGCACAGGCCCGCGCGCGTATGGCACGGGCTGTACCGAAAAGCCGCCAAGCACTGGTCCCAGCCCTGGCGCAAGACGAAAGCGGGCAAGGTCAGTGGTGGGACCCCAAAACCATGCCCATGCAAAGGCCAGTAAGATCGTCAACGGAATAGAAGCGCAGCGCAATCGTCAATGAAGCCTGTTTAGCTGGTGAACACTAAACTAATAAAATAGCTGGGATTTATGTATGTTCATCCCACCAAAATATGATATAAATTGATATAAGAGGTGTGACCTATCCGCATATATTCGTCTAAATGTTGGAACCTCAGTGGAGACCCACTGGCAGTTCTATAATCACAGTTTTTCTTCAACAACTGGAAGCAACACATGACTTGGATGATTTCCCTGAATCAGAACATCAATGCATGTGATGCTGTTGCGTCGTTGCTATCACTTCACCAAAGACATCATTGCTAGTCAATTGGAGCAGGTGTCAAAAGCTTGGTGAATTTCCTTTCAAAATGAAGTTTTGAGTAGGGAATCTCTTGGGTGTCGATCCCACTTTGAATAATTGAATAGTTTAACTAGTCTAACTCCCAAAAAGTCATTTCAGGCTGCACTCCCGTTTCAAAGCTGTTTTGCGCCAAACTGTCTAAGTTGGGTATAGTTTGATGCTCCACACAAGTCAATTTCTATTGGAAACCCATCTACTTGGATGTGCATCCCAGTTGGTAAGTGGTTTATGCCCTATACTATGAACCCGATAGAATATGTATACATATAAGAGGGTTATATGTTGGTCTTGAACCACTTTCGAAGTGCGACTCACACTCAAGTAGTCCCGCAAGACATGGAATTGTATGGCTAGGATCCCTTCAGCGAGTCATGCTAAAACTCCATCTGCTCTGGACAACAACAAAAACATGTTCTGTTTCACAAATCTGAAGGGTTCGGCCAATTGGTAATGTTATCAACAATCCTTTACAGTGACAATGCAGTAAATTCGTTACAATTCATCCATAAGATTCCATAAGTCTATCCTCACTATACCACCATTTTTGTTGAATCAAACATGTTTGTTTGTTGACTCACCACAAGTCCACTATACATCCCTAATGGTTGCTTCCCACCTGCGAAGTTGCTTCGACTTCTAGCGATAATGTATACATTCCCTATAATTATTGGTTATGCACTATGGATTACTTAAAAGACATAATTACCATGGGGGTTAAATAAGCATGGTAATGTTTACTACTATTGGAAATGAATCGTAATCTAAAATATCTTAAACATAGCAATGGAAAGTCTGGCTTCCGAAACGCAAACACAAAATCCCAAAGGGTGAATCACCATAAGTCCAACAAAGAAAAGTGGGCCCCCCTAGTTCTGTTTGTTGATTTATACACCTCATTAACAGTAAAAATCTACCATAAACCATAGTTGTTCAACTTATAAGTGAACTTAGCTGCTTAGCTATGGAACGGGGCCCCCGGCCCCCACCAATCGTACGTATCCCCAGTTTTGCATCTCCATTCACTGACGTCCAAGGTGTACACCTGCGGCTCAGCTACTTCTGCTGCCCAAGTGTTTTCCTTGGAAGACTCGGAGACGGCCGGCGATAGGGTGGAGACAGCGCCTACCATTCCGTTTCAAACAGCTTGACCCTGCCGTTCACAAGGGGTGTGGCAGCTTACTTTCCACTAGTATAGCATATGCATTTACTGGAGAGTATATTAATATTTATATATATATACACGTATAATCGAATTGTTTGCATGGTTTTTCAGCCAACAAAGACCTGGACCATCCTGGACCTATATTTCGTATTATTTAGTGATATCCATCTTGAATTTTTGTAAAGCCCCCTGGTAGTCGTAAGCCACTGTTTTTTGGTGTTTTTTTCCTGAAGAAAATATGCTGAGCAATTGCGATGATGAGATGAGATATCCCATCTCTTGGGATGAGAATATGAAAAAACCATACAGACTTGAGGACTCTATCTGGTTGGTGGTTTCAACCCCTCTGGAAAAATATTAGTCAGTGTCAGTTGGGGTTACTATTCCCAATCTAACCAGCCGTTCCAAACCACCAACCAGCTGTTCACTGGGCCCAGAGTCTAACACACCCCGATTGGACAAAGCATGGCCGTGTTTTTGTTCCGTTCATCATTTTGGTGTACTTGTGGACCCCGCAGTCTGCCATGCTTCAGTGACCCGGGGGCGATCTGTATCTGACTCCAAAGAGAATCATGCTGGTGAAAAATTCCACAGGTTCTTTCTGGACCTTTATCCATATTGCAATGGGCTTCACAGTTCACATATTCGATTACTGACCGATTCCCATTAAACATCATTAAACTAAGTGAGGCTAGTACTCATGAAGTGAGCATCAGCGAATCATCATGTACAGGAGTTAGAATCCTCATTTTGGAAGGTTAAGACAAGTCTTACCCCAGTTTGGTTGGTTCACCATCAACTAACAGAAATGAACTTGTCTTTCTCCATCTTTCTCCTGCAGAGACGATGCTTAAACAAATTAACGATGTTTATATAACAATTGTCATGGAAGTGCGTATTTCCATGGGGATTTTCCCAGGAAGTCTCCAAAACCTCCGGTGTCTCCAATGATTAAAATGGAAAATCCCCATGGAAATACGTTTTTTGTTTTTCTCTCTGGAGAATTGTCCAGTAATTCACAATCAAAGGGTATCGCTGCTCATGGACACTCGATTCGAATTTTTGTACCCTGCGAACAAAAACACACTATTGCAGTACAATGTGGGGCCCCCAAGCATCCTCCAGCTATAAGTTGGTTTGTAAGTCCATGAAAAGCTATAGTTACAAGTTATAAGCATCATAGACGTTATTGGATTTATAAACCAACCTTGCAATAGGCCCCACTTTGTCACTTGTTCCATTTCTGACCAAAGATAGTTCACAATGGAAAGTCCTTTCAAGCAGAGGCCCAAGTTGTAAGTTGGTTTCGTTTGTTTCACCGATTCTGGAATGATAAAGATCCACCCTAAACCCAACAGTTCATGAAGCTATAAATCAACAAAAACTGTTCCCAAAATCACCAATGAATCCCTATGTTCAGTAATGCTTCAAAAAGGGGCCCTTTTAATCCTACGAGAGCTGATCTGCAGGATGTTCAATAAGATATACAAATACTCACCATCCGTTGAACAATACAGGATGCCTATCTGTTTATAAAAGGCAATGATTGATTTGGGTCTATAAAAAATGAGTATACACCTGCAAGCGCGATACCTGACAATAACCCCCGAACATGATTGATAGTTGTGGAAGGATATTGAAATATGTTTACTAAATTGTCACGGGGTATAATGATTCCGCAATAGTTATTCTCGTCCCAATTACCATATCCATTAAATAAAACTTACAAATCGGGCACATGTATAGACAGTAGTATGATTTAAAATTGAAGAAATACACCAACATTACCATATTCATACAAACAATGATGCTCGGCCAACAAAGTTGGGTGTTTTCCCCTGATGCTCGGCCACCAAACCCACATTAGACTTATAAGTGGAAACACGTGTAAATAAGGATACCAAAAAAAATACGCATACAGATAAGAATAGAGATAAAACACAAGTGTGTATATGCATGTATAAAGTAAATATGTGGCAATAAATAATCATAACTGATAGCTTCATCTTGCATATAGAATAATCCACTATCAAAACACCTTATCCATATAAGAAACTTGGGCAGGCATAGTTTGGAAATGCCCAATTTCCTTTGGCCCTTCTGTTTGTAATTTGTTGCGTCACTTCTGCAAATAGAACCATAAATGGAATGGACATAAATGGATAAAATATGATAAAATGATTTGAAACCATAACAATTTAATAAACATAAAATACACATCGATTTATACCATGTCTGATGTATTATGTCATAATAATAAAAATGAAAAATTGTACTGCTATATCATGAATAAATGTTATATTATAATCCCCATCATTTCTTCAGCCGATCACCGGTCACCGTGTCAACCCTCTGCTCCGAGACACATTCGTTGGGTCGTTTTCTTCACCACCGAAGTAACTCTGGTTGTTTCGATGCTGGCAGCAACAGTTCCAGCACCTCCGGCGTACCAGAGCCTTGGGCGTGGGGCTGATTGTGGGATGGCAGAGGCAGAGTGAGTTCCTCGGCGACTGCTTAACACGTTGAATCATGAGATTCTAGAGGATAACATGGGAAGAATTTCATATAATTTCATATTAGATGAGCTTTTGGAGTTTTTTTTGGTTTAAAGAAGGATGCCAATTGGATTTAAAGCATGTTCTATACAGGACTTGATTGGATTCTAAAGATTCTAAAGGATTAAGTTGGGATTTGGAGGATAATGAGGAGTTTTCGGGGCGTGATATGATATGAAAATCACCTACGATCAAACACACTGGGGATGTTATTTTTGGACACATGGATACACATGGTAGATCATCTGAAATAAGTTTGTGTTATTGGTCAAATTCGATTGGTAAAGTACTAAAACCACCACATTTTTGGAGCAAAGGCCATGGGTCAAGGCCAACATTTCACTTGTGATTTCACCCAGGCGAACACTTGCCCAATTTTGACCCACCATATAACACCGATCTATGTAAGAGAAATTGTGGGAGATCTGATGAATGTTAAAGGGTCCAGCTACTTCGAGATGACTCCGGGTAGCCACAAAGAAATGTGGGGCCCCGTAAGTTGGTTTACGACTCCAAAGACGATCGGATTTACGGTATCAGTTGAATGGGGTTTACCAACCAGGCAAGACTGGCAGGGGGCCATGTTGTACAAATTACTAATTATACAGGAAATGCAAAGACATAACCATCCAGACTGATGGTCAAATATATCTTTCTTGAGATGCTTGGACTCGAATACTTCACTGTTAAAAGGGACGTGTGAATATCGCTATAGCATGTTTGATGGGGTTCTGGACAGTCACCAATTGCATTTTCCTGACCACGTGCCAATCACAAGAATATACGAGAAAGTCTGTCTGCACATCCCATTTTGGAGCCAGTCCATTGAAATAATTATCCTTGTTTACCTTGCTTGCGCTAATGTTCCCGCTATACCTCATTTCCTAGATGACATGCTTACTCTTGGGTACAGTGCAAAAAAAATGATTTTAGCACGACAAGAAGTGCTACATCTATCAAACCTGCTCCACCAATCCCCCATTTTTTTCTACCAACCAATCTAATTGCGCATTTCACAAGGCAATACATATATATATATATACATATTCCATAGACTGGGTATTTTCCCATTTAATGATGATGAGATCATGTCAAATCCCCAATCAAACAATGGCTTACTGATCAACCCTTCCAGTTTGAAGCCCAGCTTTCCGTGGCAAATCCGATTCAGTCCAGATTTCTCCCAGCCACTTTTAATTTCGGGTACCCAGCTGATTTTTGATACACGAAATTTGAAATCCTCAGTGTCCATGATGAGTTCTGATAGCACTCCCATGTTGATGATAATGATATACATATTATATATGTAGTAGATGCACAGCTCAATCATGGGGTACCGGAACCACAAAGACTGGTTATTTTCGGTATGTGAAGCATCCTTTTTGGGCGGCAGTTTTCGCTGAGCCACAGGAGGATCAGAACATACAGCATCCATGGCGATGAGTGGGCGAGTCGCGAGATGTGGAAACAGAAACTAAAAGGCATCTGGCATCTGGCAAATAGGGGAGTTGGTTTGATGTTTGTAACTATTTTGCCAACTGGATTACAAAGTTAGGGTTTTCTCAGCAACTAGTTCAACTATTCACCAAAATAAAAGCGTATAACAGCACAATTATATACATATACTGACTAGATTAACTAGGGGAAATGTATGCTTAAATAGATGCTTTTTTTCGATGTGTATGGATATGATTTTTTAAGCTGGGATTGACAGATTCGGCAATGGTTAAATGATGTTCATCTATCAAACATAGAAGAACTCCAATGTTTTCCATAACTTTTGGAATATAGATCTATCTATTGGCAATGGTTTTCCATAACTTCAGGAATATGGATCTAGGAAAAACATCTTTCACATAGCTACTTCATTTGGCCATGTTTCATTGGCTTCTTTGTAGATTCCATGGTGGTTTTCCCATGGTATTCCAGAGCTGCACCAAACACACTGGGTGCCTCTGATCTCTCGGCTCCGGTGGCCATGGTGGATGAGTTGCATACGGTGAATTCTAGGGTTGATAGATCATAGACAATGATTTACAGGTAAATTATAGGGTATAATATCATTGTTTGTAGTATGATATCATGGTAAATTATAGGGTATAATGATATTACCTATACTAGTATCATGGTAATTACTGGGTATAATATCATTGTTTATATAAATTAAGACAATGATAGATAAATTCATGGATTATAGTATCATTATACACCTACATATTATCAATGGGAATTTCAGGATCCTAAAATGGAGGTACTGTACCATATAATATCATATAAGGCCACATTTTGTGGGGATATTCCCTGAAATTTAGGCCTTATATATGGTAGGTATCTCCAATTTAGGTTCCTGAAATGGCCATTGATCATACGGTGATTGTTTATCTATGATCTATAGGTGTATTCTATGATATATAGTTGACATGGACATATCGAGCGATAGATCATAGATAGTGCGTTTTATAACTAGGATGAGTCTGGGGTTTATGGTGGATATCTGCAGGGTTCTACCACATCCTAAAAAATCAAAATTGTGAATAGGAAAACTTAATGATTCTTGGAGGCGCAGTTGAGGTTACTTTTATAACCATGGTTACCCTCTGGTTATGTCAAGATAGCTATTGAAAATGACCATTTATGGTTGATTTACCCATTAAAAATGGTGATTTTCCATAGCTATGTTAGTTTACCAGAGGGTATGTGATATAATTATGTTGTATATCTACTTAGTTCACTGGAACTATTGGAACTGCACTTCCAGGTACCGGATCATTCACCAACGGTTGAAAAACATCTTGAATGAATTAGCGTAAGGATATTTTTTACAAGTCACTGCTGATATTTCATGGGAAAAAACACATTCACATTTTCACATATTTGTCCGGTTAGTTCTGGCGTCAATGGAGTGGTGTAAGGGACAATTTGCATGGTGGTTTCAACCCCTCTGAAAAATATGAAAGTCAATTGGGATGATTATTCCCAATCTACGGAAAAAAAATGTTCCAAACCACTAACCAGTACAGGAAACCCCTATTTTTCATGGGAAAATCCATGGTTTCCGGTTTCGATGTTCCCCAAGAAACCAAGCCATTCAACGGTCCCCAGAGATCCCAACCATCGCGACCTCACTGTTCTCCCTCACTGGAAATCATGGTTTTTATAGGGGAATCATCCCAAAATGGCCCAACAATTCAGGTTAGTGAAATATTATAATTTACCCATATATATATATATTATATATGAATACTGTAAATATTAGTATATGTATATATATATATATATGAATACTGTATATATTAGTATATGTATATAATATATATATGGATACATATTACATATTATATAATATTACCTATATATATATATATGCCATTAATCATAGGGATTTATATACCACTTTTCAGGATTCCCACTATGGGATGGATGACCATAAACCATATACCATGCTTTGACCATGGCTTGGCTAATGGTGCCCTCGTACGGGTCGGACCGTCGAACCTACAGCACTTATATGCGGTATGAGTATATCTGGCTGCGGATCAAACACAAACCCTGAAGCCCTGCGATAACCAAGATTTATGGTGGATGTATATATATATACACACATTATATTATACATTATATCTATAGTTTCAAACCAATTCTATATTGTGGAGCTATTTTTCAACCAACAAACACAACATGAATAGAATAGTTGTAGGGTCCAGATACGTTGAGATGTTCTCTCCATTTTCGGGTGAGGATGTGGTCCCATCTCAATCCCTGGTGAAGCCAACCGAAGGTAGGATCGATGGGTGCTGGTTGATTGGAGAGAACCTCGCGAAGTCACGACGTATGATATGGTTAGTATAGGGAAGATGTGGGAATTAGTGTAAATTATCCAGACCGTTTCAACTGGATGTTTCTTGAGATCTTTCTTTGAAAGCTATGTTCGACTTGCCATCCATTTCATGTGGTAAACCCACTGACATTAGCCATTCTAGCAACGAACCATTTGGGGGTAGGCTATACCCAATGGAAGGAAAAAAAATAGGGATGGTGACTGTGGCATTGGGTTCAACTCAGTACTAACTTCAATTATCCCTCAATCTACCCGCCTACCCGCGCCTGCTTACATGCTGTGATGGCACTGTTGATGGCTTGCACATCTCCTTAGAGGTGCTTTCGCATGGATACAGCATGGATATTTTTCCAAACCTTGCAGGGCATCCTTGGGAATATGCTGTGATCTACCCCCCAATATCAATGGAATATGACGGATCATCAACGACTAGGTATTAATATGAGTTCTTAAATGATCATCGAGGCACCTCTTTGGTCCTGACAGGCACGGGTATCAAAAGAACACAAAGATCTGGCGCGAGAAGACCGCAACAAAAACCCTCACCTACTTTTATATACGGTTGTAACACAAAAGGAACGCAACTAAATGCCCCCACCTACCTCTCAAATTTTGTCAACGCACGGGGCCAGGCCCCAACCTCTTTCTGAAGGCCTTTGTAGGCCTTGACGGTCATCTTGTGCTTGTTGTTGAGGCTGATGACCTCCTTGCTTTTCTGTTGAAGTTCGTGCTCGGCTAGGAGGGCACGATTGGCTTCGTCTCTTTGCCATGTGGTCATGGGATATTCACCCAACGATATCCACAACCAAGATGCTCCCAGTTTGGGTATCCCCATATTGACCTTCACGATTCACTGGCATGTTGGAGGAATGGTAGTGCACTTCCGGGGTCCCCAAGGACCCAAACATGACATGTTCAGGATCTGAAAGCAGGCCATTTTGGGAGGAATTTAATGTTCAGCCATTCCGATTGCCAATCTTACCTTGCAAAAAATAGCTGGTACCATATCTAGCAAACAAATTAAAACCATTGTCAATCTTTGGTAGTCCATGCGCAAAAACATGCTGTCATTTCTAGCAAAGTTTTACCAAAAAGCAGTGAACTACCTATGTTTTTTGATGGTGACTAGTGACAATTTGGTATCCATTTTCCACCTTTGTAGCACATCCCAAAAAAATCCACTGGGAATGTGACGAAAACGAAGCTAGCCCCGGCTACATGTGGACCCAGTTGGAGCTACATGGCCGTCTATAATCTCTCTGCCGTCTCATCGCGACAACGTGTAACCCGCAAGAATGGAGTGCTACAATGTGAGGCCCCCGTTCGATAGCTAATTTGGTTTATAACTCCAATAACTATGGTTTATGGTACTTATAACTATAGTTAGTGGGGCTTATAAACCAACTTATAACTGGGGGGGACCACATTGTAAGCAACATCAACGGAAACTAAGTTCCATTCATCGCGGTAAATGAAGCCATCTTTTTGACTGGTAGTTATGCGTGTTTTTCGGTCAAGAAGATTTCCCGAACTATTTTGTTTGATAGATACAGTATAATATTGTGATATACTAATTCACATTCTGGTGAGAACTGCGCCAAGCCTACAGTTCTCTTTCCTTTTCCCTTTTAGATCCTTTTTCGTACATGATGGGTTATCACTTACAAGTCATTTCGCTAACTCCATAGCCCATTTTAAGTCGTGATGGTAGTACTTTGGAATTCTAGCAACCACCTTGCCAAGCAAAGCATGCACTAAAGTTATGAAACTGATTAGAACTGTTTTTTTCCAAGCAAATACACATATTTTATTTAATTGGTTTTAACATGTTTTAACCCCCACAAATTTCTGACCAGGATGAGATTGTAGCAAGGTTTTCCTGAGCGACTGGATACGCTATTCATGGCGCTAAATGAAACATTGAAATTAATTTTTGGTAAATGCTACAATGTGGAGTGATGTTAGTTGGTTTAGATTCGCCCCAGTAACTAGTTCGTTATACGTACCATAAACCATAGTGAAATTGGAGTTATGTTCACCAACTTAGCTATCGAACGGGGGCCTCACATTGTAAATGCTATTTATCAATTTGAAAGAAAATCAGTAGCAAATCGGCAAATCCCACGGATTGAGAGACCCATTGAACCCAGCTACTTATCACAGTAGAATTACCAAATTACTTTATAACATACTTTCTCAAGATACACTGACTATTCTAATCGATTTCATATTTTTATTGTTTTTTCCAAAATGTAACAATATGTAACAACTATTTCAACAACCACTGCTTCATAAGCAATAAATAGTGGTTGACACTGAGAATACTCATCTGACAGTACCCTGACTCAGCCCAGCGACCACCTTCTTCCACCAAACGTAGCCTGGATGACTTGGATCAGCTTAAGGTGTCTTTATGCATAGCAAACACAAAAACACATGTATAAAATATTAAAATTCTATACCCCAAAAACTCAGATATGCATTTATTAATGTCTATTATGTCATGTGCGAATGCAAGCAGCTATCATAGCATGTTTCTAGAAGATTCTATCTACACTTCCGCAGGCATGATTGCATTGTTTTTCCTCAGCACAGGTAAGTGGAAGCCTATTAAACACACCTGTACCCATAGTGAAGTTTGGTTGTTTCCCCTTTTTCATCAGACAAACACAACCAAGCACAGAGCGTGCTGTCAATGGTTTCCAAAGTTCATGATTATCAGAAGGAGTGACAAATTTGCAAAAACCATGCAGTACAAATTGTTGCCCCCTATATTGTTATGTTGGAGGATCTACCCATCTAACGACTATAGTTGTAATCGCCATAAACCCAAAAGGTTTTGTAGTTGGAGTCAATAACAAATTATACTACTTGACACTGGGTCAGTGTCCCGACCCAGTCGCGCACAACCCAGCGCTTGGGGTGCCCCACGCTACAGGCCACGCACTGGCCCTGACCGAAAACGATACAGGGTTGCTCTCTGGCCACCCCAGATACAAAGCGTAAGACTGGTTGGATGAACACATCTTGATCATCTTGCATCAAACCTGCAATAGATCAATGGGTACATGAAACCTTGACGTATAAGACGTGTATTCCAGGCATTTCCAGGCTATTTGTGTTTCACCAAGAGTGTTGCTGGAGGGGAAATCTTCACCGACCAGCAACTCGTTAAAAAATTGGGGATATCATTGGATACATTAAAGGGACCATACGGAGGCATAACAGTTACCATACCCTCCAGTAAATGGTGTAATTTAATGGTGATTTAATGGGATTTATGGTGGTTTAATGGAATCTAATGGGATTTACCCTCCAGTAAACTAACAGTTTGCTATTGAAAATGGCCTATAAATAGAGCTGATTTACCATGATTTACCGAACTGAAAAATATGCTGATTTTCCAAAACGCGCAATTTTTAAACGTAAAAACCAGGCCGGGTATGTGCTGGGAAACCTGGTGTTCACCCTGGAGATCTTCACCACATGACCTGTTTTGGATCCTGCAAGGTGCTCGAGTTAACTCCAACTACCGTGGGTTTATTGTAGATATATCACTTCATGCAGTTCGGGCCCGAGTTATAAAATGTTATAAGTACTAAGTCATCTGATTTATGGTTTATGTACAATCCCGTAGAAAAAAAAAACAGTTCTAAGCCATTATACTTGGTAAACGGCCATAACTCTGGGGCTTATAAACTCACACATATACAACTCAGGGGGCACCACCTTGTAATGCTTTGATGGCGACTCCTGGACCTTGGCTCCTCGTTCTCATGGGGCTTTCCTAAGTCATAGGGCTACCCTCTGGTAATTTAACATAGCTATTGAAAATAGCCATTTATAGTGAATTTTCCCATGAAAAATGATGATTTTCCATAGTTATGTTAATTTACCAGAGGGTACCCCATTTCTCATCCATTTATAGATGGATATTCCCTGAAATAAACCATCCAGCGATTTTCAGGGTATCCCCATTTGTGGAAACAACCACATGTCTCGTTCTCAGCATACCAGCTCTGAGTTTCGAACCCCCGTGGTCCCGTCAGATGATTCTCACAATGGAATCCACCATTTCAAGACGATGTTCAACTGGGGTTTCCCCATGGGTGTCCCACATCGTTTAACGTTTCTTGACCATCTATTCAGGTGAAAAAATCCCGCCTGGTGCCATCATCCCTGGTGAAGTCCCTGCAAACACCAAACGTATCTCCCACTAGATCTCAATATATCATATTATCCCATTATTACCCATCATTCATAGCCATTGCATCCCATGATACCACCATACATCATATCTCAATGTTTCCGAGTTCAATCCCTGACTTTATGTTGGTTCATATGCCCAATTGAAGATCGTTGATGGATTTTACCCAAAACCAATCCGAACCAATCCCAACCATATCACAGGTATTCAGGTTGTATGCCTACTATATCCCTGTTCTATCCGATCCTGATGGTTCTTTATGTTGGTTCCAGCCCCATGCTTGTCTTTTTGTTCCCATGAAACGCAAACTAACATCGATGTGGAAAAACCAACCATTTCTACAATGTGGCCCCCCCAGCTATAAGTTGGTTTAGATTCGCCCCAGTAACTATAGTTACAAGTACCGTAAACCATAGATATTGGAGTTATAAACCAACTTAGCTATCCAACGGGGGCCTCACATTGTAGATCATCTTCCCAAAAAATCCTTTAAAACACATGATGTTTGACCATTTGTCACGATCATTTTCCGAGAGAAACCCAATGGGTAAACTCCACATCTTTTTCTGAGGAAAAGGGTAACCCCCAAGGCGGCACCTTTCACAGGCATTGACAGCAGCACCAAGGGCACCGACCTTGACCGAGACCCCAACAGCTGGTCTCTTTTTGTTGGAACATGCGATTTTTAAATGATTAAAAAAAAACATGATTAGGGAAAATTCTGCTAATTTACACATTCGAAAATTGTTTCCCCAAATCTTTTTTAGGATTTTAAATTCGTATGATTTGGGAATATCCTTCTAGGAAACCTCCATTTTTGGGGGCTTTATACCATGTGATAAACATCTAAAATCTACCCTCTGGTTATTTAACAGTTCGCCATGGAAAATCCCAAAAATAAATGGAGGTTTCTAGCTGGGAAAATCATCTATTTCTATGGGCCATGGCTTCCATGGCTATGTTAAATAACCAGGGGGTGCCACATGGGGCTTCCTCCAAATTTTGGGGATCCATGGGGATCGATGATTTGGCATAACCCCCCGGGAAAGGAACCTGGAATTTGTAAATCCAATAGGAATGGGACATTCATGGAATATTGATGGAACATGGGAGATTCAAATTGAAATATGGATCTATCATGTGGTAAATCCGCCAATCCCTTCCCCACTTTTATTAAACATCCCCAAAAAGCCTGTGGTTTATGGGACAACAAAAAACATCTTTGGGACCATACAATGGGGGTGTTGTGTAGGATCGGGGGAAAGAGACTAACTAAGCAATGGCTCGGAATCTTTTGTTGATCCCTATGAAACCTCTCATCACTGCGGTGTTGCTTCTTCAATGCCCAGTTCGACAGTTCGACCGAGGCACCCCCTGAAGTCGCAAGGAGCAGATCTCCTTCAACAACTCCACCCTGTGACGTTGGCAGTGAAGGGATCCCCATGGGCGATGAAGAAATCCACAGAGAATCCATGGGAAAATCCATGGAATACATGGAGGTTTTAATGGGAAAATCATCTATAATATATATATATACGGATTATATGGATTATAAAGGATTATATATGGGTTATATGGATTTTATCTGGTTGGTGGTTGAGCCTACCCCTCTGAAAAATATGAATGTCAATTGGAAGGATTATCCCATATATTATGGAAAAAAAAGATTCTTGTTCCAAACCACCAACCAGTTATGGATGTTTATGATAGATCTACACTAATATGCTGGTGCTGAAATATCTACATTTGGCTAAATTTTTGAGATGTTGCTTCCATATAATGGGGTTGCGACTAGGATTTTCATGGCATATACCTGCAGGGATCCCTCTTGTAAACTAACATAGCCATGGAGAAGCCACCATTTGAACAGCCTTTTTTTCAACCATCCATGGGTCATCAATAGCTGCGTGAAATTGCCAAGGTGGGCCCCCCTTGCCCGCCTCTTACCTTGGGAGTCCTTATGCTCAACTAGCCATTTGGGAGGTTTTGGGGAGGGAGGGTGTGATGTTGATGAAGTTGATGTTGATGATCTTGAAAAAAACTGTTGTGGCTGATGTTGATGATGCATGTGATGTAGATGAAGTTGATTTAGATTATGTAGAGGATGTATGTGGTGTAGATATGATATAGATGATGTAGATGACGTAAAGGATATAGAAGAGATCTACGAGATGCAGTGCTCCGTGCAATGTAGATGAAGTTGATAAAGTTGATGCAAATCATATAGCTGACTGAGGATCATCTTCTGCATTCAGGCAGAATCTGGGAAAATCCGGGTGATGGGCGGTGCCAACATCAGCCAACCAAATTAGCGAGTGAGGTAAACCAAAGGGTCGCGTTCTGTTGGATTCTACAAATGGAGACCATGATGCGAAAAGGCATGTTGAAGCTGTGATCATGAATTCTTCAACTGCCACTACTGCCAGGCAAATGTTGGCCATTGTGAAAAGAGTATGTGAGGTATGCCCTGAACCAAAAACTTCAAAGGTTTGACATCTCCAGCAGTCTATCAGCTCGATGCCACCTCCCACAGCCTCTTTGTTTGGTATAGCTCACTATATCCAAAATACCTATGGTGTCATCATATGTCCGTTATGGTGGGTGAAATCTCACTTTTGGTGGAAGTGTCCGTTAGTGTCTGGACAGACCCATTATCATAGTTTCGTCTGTCTCAACCCAGAAGATTCATACCTGATGTTTGTTGGATAGTTGTGGGGACAGTTCCAGTTATAACGAACTAACTATGTATGTAACATAGTATGTATATAATATATATATGATATATGTGACCATAGTCCTACGGGTTTAATCCCAACTTCTGCTGAAATCCCAAGCTTTTGTCATTTTTTCTTCACATCACCGTATCACCCAACTGGGAGTAGCCAGCCAAACGAGCCAAATAAAGTCAGGTTTTTGCTCATAGAAAAAAAAGATTTATAAATGGTCCATAGCTGCCATAGCTCTTACCAAAGGGTATCCCATAGGAAATCCTCCCACGGACTCCCGTTCGTGTGACCCCACGCTGCTGTCCATGCGGCAGAAGAAGCACAGGAGCCTGGCGCCGGGGCCTGGTATCAAGGGGGTATCCTGTGGGTTCAGCTATGGCCCTTAAGAGTTACAAGTTATAAATGGGCGTATAACGGCGTATAATATGTCTTATAATGATATGTATAGATAACCTAAGTTATAGGATAAGGGCCAACCAGATCTTCAACCACAAGACAGGAGACATGGAGAATCAACTCAATCGGGAAACATCTGCAGGTGGGTCCAAAACCTGTAAAACTTCCATACATTTTGGGATAAACATCCATTTACCCTCTGGTAATTTAACATAGCTATTGAACATGGCCATAGAAATAGTGAATTTTCCCAACATGGTGGATCTTTCCAGTTTGTTTTTTGTAAACGTTGACCAGAGGGTAAGAAGCCCTGATTTGTTTCTTGCCCCATCTTTTGGGGACCTTGGGACCCCAGGCTTGATACCCTGAGGATACCCAAAGAGTAGCAAAATCCCCTGTGATTTTTCCATGTGTCCATGGTAATTCACATGTCTGGCTTGCTGCTTTGCTCATTTTTGGAGGTGTCCGCTGACTGTCATGGGGGTACCCCCAGTTCTCATCATCCATTTCTACATAGGGGGAAATAAACCATCCATTTGGGGGTACCTCCATAGGAAACCTCCATATCCCTTATTTTTAACAGCATTTAACAGCCATTCTTTCTGCTTGGTCCCCCCATGTCTCCCCATTTTTTGGGTTTAGGTCTCCGCGGTGCCGCGGTTCGCCAGAAACCTCGACTTAGCCCCCAAAAAGAGAAGCAACAGGACATGACATGACGTTTTTGCCCACCATTCAGAGAAATCTGCCCTAATTACATGAAATCTCTGACCATTTGCCTACCACCCTGTGCTTTGCCACCAACCTTTGACTGTTCTTGCACACAAATTGGCCACTGGGCCACCAAGGTTGAACGGTTGAACCAACCCAGGCATGTGATCCCCACTTGCAGACATAAGACCCTATAATGGCGGGGCCCGAAATCACCTTAGGGCTCTTGGATCTACAATAAATCCAATAGCTACCCTCTGGTAATTTCACAGTTTGCTATGGAAGCCACGGCCCATTTAGATCAAATACCTATCATCATAATGATAATTGTGATTTACCGGTTCGCAAACTGTTGGACTACATGTGCGCGGTAAAATCGCCATCAATCAACAGGGATCAACTGGGAATTGCTCACATCTTATACTAAATGGGGAAACAAAAACATACTTTTTAGCTGGTTAATGCTGGTTAAACGGTTAGTCTATCATCCAATTTATGACAACCAATAAATCACTACAACGTGAGCCCCCAGCTATACTGGTTGGTTTATAGTTTATAAACCTGTTCAACTGGAGGTATAATATATCTACCACAGATCCTAGTTATTATAGAAAAATAATAGCAACTTACCTATCATTAATCGAATGAATCAACTATCACTCCCCAGTTAAATCATGCTAAATTAGAAATATTAGAACAGTTTTCTGAATGGTTTTCCCCATTTTTTGATGCTTCACTAGGGCACCACTGGATGTGAAATCCACCATGCACTGCCGTGAAAAAACAGAAGTCCGCGCACCAATTGCTGCCGAGAGAATGATATAGTTGGGCTGGAGAGACATCACCTGAGGGATGTATAGAATTCACCCTGGCCCTGGCATCACCATGCCAAGTCATCCCATTTTAGGGATTTCAACCCTGGTAAAAATGCTAGGTTTATGGCAGAGGTTTTCCCACTGGAAAATTTTGGAGGAAATCCTGTGGACTTCAGCGGCGAAATGAGCCAAACAATTCGGTGTACCAGGTTTTTTCGTCCAATCTGCGCTAGCGAAAAACCAGAAAATGCTGAACATATCTCATAGACGATCCAAATTGATGACTCTGTAGATTGTCGATTTTCCACCCAGCAATCTTCTTTCACCAGAAAGTATAGAAAATTATTTCGGGCCCCTATAGATTGGTTTGAGGCAAAAAACGAAAACATGGTGACTTTGCATCCACGCAAAAGGTTTTTGTTGATGGTTTTTGTATTTACTTTCCCTTCAACTACTGAAACATTGATACCCTTTGGCAATCAACACGGCCAAAATTCCCATTCAGATATGATTTGTTCATTAAAACCTCCAGGGCCTAAGGGGATTTCGAAGCTAGCCATGTTTGAGGACTGAAGGGTTCCAGTTATCATGCCATGTCAACCATCATTTTTGGCATGTGACCCATGCCGAGGGCTGCTGGTTCGAATTGAGTGACCTTCAAGATTGGACAATTTTGAAAGACATCATATATCATCTTATATATCATCATATATCATCATATATCATATATCCCATATAGCACCCCCAAAAAAGATAGACAAGTTGGAAACCTATAGGAAATACCATGCCTGGTTACTGGTTCAACATTTTTTGGCATATCCTTGATTGTTGGGAATCAGCGCCCATGTCCGAAAATTCATCGCCATTTCCCCAGCCCAATTGCCGGGTGTGGGGACCAATTGTTCATGATTGCAATGTATCATTGGCCATTCATGGCCCTTACATAGACCTTCTACTGTACATGTCAGGTAGCTCCAAATTATAGGTTCCGGCAGCCACTTTCCTATCGATCTTTCTGGGGGCTTCGATGCTACGGGCAGTTGCGGGGAACTTTCTTGGGCACTATGGTTGCAACCCCCATGAATTGGGATCTATCCGATATAAACTATACAATGTGAGGCCCCCAAGAAAGCTAAGTTGGTTTATAACTCCAATAACTATGGTTTATAGTGCTTATAACTATAGTTACTGGGGCTTATAAACCAACTTATAGCTGGGGGGCCTCACATTGTACTAACTGCACAGGTGGCACTGCCGCCTCCATTTTCCGCAAAAGGCCGACTGCCTGCGGGATGGGTTTTTGCCATCAAGTTCCCAAGGGTGGTGCCGCCGTTAAAATTATGATTTGGTTATAACCACTATTAACTGTTGATAGATCTACCATAAACCATAATGAAGCAAGTTACGAGTCAACTTAACTATGGTGCACCACCTTGTCTGGTAATCTATGATAAGCATGGAAACTCAACGTGTTTATATAGTTAGAAGATAAGTCATTTGCCATGGGCCATTCTCAATGATACATCAAAGTGGGGCTTCATTGAAGTGGTGACACATCAGTAGTGTTTGCTTCCTCACTTTCCTCTCAATCCCTCCAAAAAAACTTATCAATATGACCCTCTGGTAATTTAACATAGCTAATATGTTCATACCCCATTTAGTTCGTTGATTTACCTATTCAAAATATTTTCTGTTTTTCTTTATGGTATGGCATCCTCTGGTAAACTAGCATAACTATGGAAAATCACCATTTTTAATGCGAAAGCTCACTTCAAATGGCAATGTTCAATAGTTATGTTAAATACCAGAGGGTACATTAAGTATCAACACATATTGGACAATTTTGGGATCTCGCCCAAACCCATTGTGAATGAAGTCACTATGGAGTCCTTGGCGTTCGCCCCATGTTAAGGATGATGTTGAAAATGAGTGGTAAAAATCAACCCAAATATGGAACACCATTGCATATTTGGTGGATTAACACCACATCACCCAAACAAATACTGAAGAAGTAAAGATCCCAACGCAAACCATTCTGGCAACATCGGCCCTGTTCAATTCCTTAGTAATTTCTCCCCGTTGAATGATCATAAAATCCACCCTGTCATGATGCTTCAACCACCTTGTTCAAACGTCTTTGGATAAATTCATATGCTTCACCAACATGATATAAGGTCCCAAGAGGGATGATTCTCCTTGAGAAGCATCGTTCCTGTGATGTCACAGTCAGGTTGCAACATCAGGTTGCAACATCATCTTTTCAGCTTAATTATTCATATGATGTCCCCATTTCTACCCTCTGGTAATTTAACGTAGCTATTGAAAATGACCATAGAAATAGTGAGTTGTCCCATTAAACATGGTGATTTTGCATAGTTATGTTAGTTTACCAGAGGGTAATTACAACCACATTTTTTCCCCATGACCATAATCCTACTATACATCAATGACTGCTGGTTGAACCGCTACTTGGGGGTGCATCCCACTTAGTAAGTGGGTCAAACATAAACACTTATATATGTATGGAATATCCCCTCAGAAATGCATGGGGTTATACATACATATACTGGTTGGTGGTATACCCCTCTGAAAAATATGAGTTCGTCACTTGGGATGATGATATTCCCAATATGATGGGAAAGTCATAAAATTCATGTTCCAAACCACCAACCAGTATATATATATATATGGGTTTTATATTATGGATGATAAACCACAGATCCCAAGTGGAGCCCGCAGATTCAGGTCCCGCGCCATGTGCCATGGACAACTGCTGATGGCCGCGCTCAAGGCCATCAAATTCACACGCGAAGCTCCTGGCGATGGCCTTGTGTTGGGTATGGCCATGGGAGGTTTCCATACAATAATGGTACATAATATGTAGGTATATAATGATACTATAAACCATATCAATATCAATAATGGTATATATATAAGATGGTATACAGTGTTACTATAATATGGTGTATACTATAATGATACTATGTTCCATACAATAATGGTATATAATATCAATTGCCATTTCAGGAACCTAAATCCGAGGTACCTACCATATGTAAGGCCTATTTTTTAGGCCCATGTAAGGGAATATCCCTACAAAATATGGTCTTATATGGTACAGTACCTCCATTTTAGGATCCTGAAATTCCCATTGATAATATGTAGGTATATACTGATACTATAAACCATATTTAGGTATGGTACATAAATGTAACTCTAATATTCTATAATTGTCATATATAGTGGTTTCCTAAGTCATGGCGGTAGTACCTGGTGGTATCTGATAGATAGCTAGCAGCCAGGTCTAGGTCTAGGTCTAAGTCAGGTCTAGGTCCAGGTCGGTCTGATGAACTGCTCTGCTAAAATGCTAAAAACCATACCACCAAAGGCAAAGGCAATATGCACCATCAAAGTGTATGGCATTGTTTTCAACAAAACCATTCACCATTCATTACATGGCAGTGGGTCAAAAACCTTGTACCCCTGGTGAACATAAAAATAGCTGGTAAATGGATGTTCATCCCTCTAAAAATGGTATTAATAGGTATTGATTCATAGCCACATCATTATACTCATTAGACATATGAGATCATATGAAACACTGCGTCGGCAGAATGGTATACCCGGTATCGGCCGGCATCGGATAAATCCTTACCGATACGGCCTGATAGCGACATGATATATATATATATATATAATAATATTAATAACAGAACGAAGAAATTGAATTTGAATAGCTGACCTGAATTTTGAAGTTTGATGACATAACAAAACGAATCCGAATCCAAGAATACAGATCTGTCAGGGCACTCCATTGAGATCCATCACCTTCTTCATCAAGGTGTCCATGGTCACCAAGTGTGTCCGTCCAGCGCATTTCTCAGCATTGTTCCTGGCATTGAGGTTTTTCTCCATGCACATTGCCATCACGTCTGCACTTTGACCTTGCCGGATCTGAGTGTGACCTGACATCACCTGGTCATTCTGTACCACGACAATTTTGGTCCCGATCCGCACTTGTCTCAAAGAATCTTTCATGTTCTGATCCATTCCAACAAGGGAAAGGTGGTGACCAGAAATCCGCCCAGTCCCATCTTCCAAGCGAATTTGAACCGGTTTCAAGCGCAGTGCCTTGGCTCCAAATCCCAAGAACTTGACAAGGTCTGCTTCAGTTGCAAATGCAGCTTCATAGAATGACTCTGTGTAGTTGCTGACGTGAAATCCAACATCACTGGTCGGAAGGAGGTGGGGAAAGGACGGCTGTGCCATAAGTCTGACCATGTGACCTGTTGAGGCGTCCAACTCTGCACGGAAAGCTTTGCCTTCCTCGGTCTTCTCATGGTACTGCCTTGCAACCTCATCGATGCTCATCCTCGTGTAGCCAATTTTGCAAGTCGCTACATGGGCTTTGCAACCTTGTCCATTGGCATCAAACTCTCCAGCCTCAAAACCGACATGACACCCAAGGCCCAAGGTTTAAACAATATATATATAATTGAAATTTAGTTTAGTTTAAATTTAGTTTAGTTGATCCCTTGCCACCTACCTTTAACAGTTCCATGTTTATGAGGTCTGTTTGGGTTCTACATGAACTCAACAAAAAACTGTAGCAATAGCAGCAGCAGTATTCATATTCAATAGCAATATCAATAGCAGCTACAGCTATGGCAGCTATGGCAGTTATGGATAACTAACCAACTATGACTATGTAACTATGGTTTCTTCGTTTTGGTAGATGTCAAACAACGTTAGTCAGCGTCCATTACTCAGCTGCTACCTACGGACCTACTTATTCAATGAGGAATGGCCAGTGGTCTGAGTCATGTTTCATCACTAGTCACTAGTCACTAGTCACTAGACTCAAGTCACATGCCAACCAATAGCCAATAATCAATATTCAATTATCAATCAGTTAATTCATAAGTCATTAGTCATAGTCCATAGTCATAGTCATGGTGATAGTCATTTATCACAATCCATCAGAAAGTAAAAAACAAGGTCTTTGTCACAGCTAGACTCATCAGTGGTCCCCAGAACCGAAAGTTACTTTTCACAATCCTGAGAGAATGGAGCACAGCAAACACCCACATGGTTTTTCCCCAAGGCTAACCTACCAGATCTACCAGCTCAACTAGACGACGGATGGCCCGAGAGCGTAGAGGAGCAGAGTCTTCTGTTGTTAGTATGGAGACACTATAGTCACTATATTACAAGACAATATATATATAATACATTAAAGATGTATTATTATTATAGGCAGACGAGAAGAGTAGTAAGTAGTATCAGAATCAAGAAAATTATTCAATATTCAATATACTATACTATACTACAAGAACAAGACAATAATAATAAATATTTAATATAGTAATATAGTAAAGTAGTTAGTAGTTTGCATCGTCTCTCTCGTAAAGTTTATCACACACAGAACTTTTTACAGACAGTCAGACAGACGCTTTTGCACATAGAGACTTTTACACTCGCACAGAGGCTTTTACACACAGACGCTTTTACACTGACACTTTTACACACAGACGCTTTTACACAGACACTCTTACACACAGACACTTTTACACAGACGCTTTAACACACAGAGACTTTTACACACAGACACTTTTACACACAGACGCTTTTACACACAGAGACTTTTACACACAGAGACTTTTACACGCAGACCCTTTTACACACAGAAGCTTTTACACACAGAAGCTTTTACACGCAGACCCTTTTACACACAGAAGCTTTTACACACAGAAGCTTTTACACGCAGACGCTTTTACACACAGACGCTTTTACACACAGACGCTTTTACACACAGAGGCTTTTACACACAGAGACTTTTACACACAGAAGCTTTTACACACAGACGCTTTTACACACAGACGCTTTTACACGCAAACACTTTTACACACAGAGACTTTTACACACAGACGCTTTTACACACAGACGCTTTTACACGCAAACACTTTTACACACAAATTACACACAGAGACTTTTACACACAGACGCTTTTGCCGACAGAAGCTTTTACACACAGACGCTTTTACACACAGACGCTTTTGCACACAGACACTTTTACACACAAAAGTTTTTACACACAAACGCTTTTACACACAAACACTTTTACACACAGAGACTTTTACACACTGACAGACGCTTTTACACACAGAAGCTTTTACACAGAGACACTTTTACACACAGACGCTTTTACACACAAACGTTTTTACACAAAGAAGCTTTTGCACGCAGAAGCTTTTACACACTTCGCCGGATTTCGTGCGTAAGGGTTGCGATTGACACCTCAAAATTGCAATTTTACCGCAGTTTTTGACGATCGAACCTCATTTTGTGCAAAAGGGTTGCGATTGGGCAAGAGGAATCGCAATTTTACCTCAGTTTTTGGCGATCAAACCTCATTTCGTGCGAAAAGTTTGCGACGGGAACCTGGAATCACAATTTTACCTCCGTTTTTGGCGATCAAACCTCATTTCGTGCGAAAGGGTTCGCGGGACAACTTGGAAATCACAATTTTACCTCAGTTTTTGGCGTTCAAACCTCATTTCGTGCGAAAAGGTTCGCGGGACAACTTGCAAATCGCAATTTTACCTCCGTTTTTGGCGATATAGAACCTCATTTTGTGGATGGTTTATAATGGAACAAACTATTCGAAGGAAGTTTAGAAGCTATACTTCCGACAATATGGACAGTTGAAAAGCAGAGGTGAGAAGAGTCAGAAGAGAAAAGATCAGAAGAAAGAAGATGTAGATGCGCGAAAAGATAGGAAAGTCGCGATTCACTGTGTTTTTCCAATGATTTGGGGCTCCGGAGGGTCGAAAAGTAGGCTCGCTAAAGCGGCGGGTGCGGAGCCAGCTGGCCAGATGAGAGATGAAAAATTGCACGCCGTTGTGGCGCGAAGCACATTTCCAAGTGAAAAGTGACAAAGCACCAGAGGATCGGACCACTTTTGGAAGTTGAGCTGTCGAAAAAGTGCACGCCGTTGTGGCGCGAACCACATTTGGAAGGCAAAATGTGCAAAACACCGCAACCTCGGACCACTTTTGGAAGTTGAGATGTTGAAAAAGTGCACGCCGTTGTGGCGCGAAGCACATTTTGAAGTCAAAATGTACAAAGCACACCAATGTCGGACCACTTTTGGAAGTTGCGATGTCGAAAAAGTGCACGCCGTTGTGGCGCGAAGTACATTTCGAAGTCGAAATGTGCAAAACACCAGGGGTTCGGACCACTTTTGGAGGCTGAGATGTGGAGTTTCGAAAAAGCGCACGCCGTTGTGGCGCGAAGCACATTTCGAAGTCAATAGTGTAAAAAACTGCGGGTTTTGAGCCTTTTTTGACGTGAAGATGTCGAAAAAGTAGACACTGATTAACTTAACTAACTTGACTAACTTAACTAACTTCACTAACTTAACTACCCTAACTTCGACGACAACAGCAACAGCAACAACAACAACAACACCACCAACACCAACACCAACACCAACCACAACAACTACAACTACAATCAACAACTACAGCTACAACAACTACACAACAACTACAACTAGAACTACAGCTACAACAACAACAGCAACAACAACAACAGCAACAACAACAACAACAACTACTACTACTACTACTACAACTACACCTACACAACAACTACAACTAGAACTACAACTAGAACTACAACTACAACAACTACAGCTACTACAACAACAACAGCAACAACAACAACAACAATAACTACAACAACAACTACTACAACAATTACAACAACAACAACAACTACAACAACAACAACTACTACTACTACTACTCCTACTACTCCTACTACTCCTACTACTACTACTACTACACTACACAACAACTACAACCACACAACAACTACAGCTACAACTACAACAACAACAACAGCAACAACAACACCTACAACTACAACTACAACAACTACAACTACAACTACAAAACAACTACAACTACAACTATATGACTGCAACTACACTACACTAATTACATTACACCACAACTACAACTCCACTACGCTACAACTACAACTACAGTTGCAGTACATCACACTACATCCAGCAGTTGTGGGGGAGGTGACCACTGCAACCATTGCAACCATTCCAGCAAACACAACTCCAACCACCTTTCGGTCAATCAGTGGCTTCGCTCTGCCATCCCTGATTCACAACAACCAACTTCTCCTATAGGTTTCCTATTTTTGAAACTTCCGCCACCGCCTTGTGCGGTACTACTGGTAAAATGGATGATGACTAGGGGTATTAAAATGGGAATGTGCCCATGGAAATGTTGGATGGATTTATCATTGAACATGAATTCATGATAAGTTGTTAACTGGGCAAGTTATCAATGGCCATTTCAGGAACCTAAATCCGAGGTACCTACCATATCTAAGGCCTATTTTTTAGGCCAATGTAAGGGAATATCCCTGCAAAATATGGTCTTATATGGTACAGTATCCTGAAATTCCCATTGAAGTTAGCTATATTGTCTTTATGGTAGAGATATGGATCTAGCCCTAGCCGGGGCAACATATAGTCCCTGCAACAAATCATTGATGTTGAGCTGGTTCCTTGGCGGCTGCATCCCAGCTACTAGGTGGGCAATGAAAACAAACATATTATAATCCAATTCTGTGTAAATGAAATTACTAGTTATCTATACAATATATTATTGTTATTACTGTTAAATAATCATATATAATCCATATACAATTACACTATGTCATGTTGTACATATTATAATCCAAACAAATATAGTTATAATAATTATGATAATGATAATAACAGTAATAACAATAATATTTCTTTAATGTAGGATATTAAACCACTTACTATCTGGGATGCACATTCAAGTAGCACATACCATGACCTAAATCTGGAGGAAAAAACACGAATCAACGGCACTGGGTAGAAAAGTTAATCATATTGGAACCACCAAACACTCTGTGATACTGTGGATGGAAGAAATCCTGCACCACCTTGTATGGTCGATACCCTATAAATAATGAGATAATAAAACACCTATCAACCAGGAATTCCCCTGCTGATTTCTGAACTATCAGGGACCCTCGGTTGCAGAACATTCAATACAACGCTGGGTATGTAACGGTATATGTAGATATTTTCTCTCAATTTATCTGGATCATATTGATTCACCTGAAACAACCACAGCCACGTTGGGATATCACTCCCGGATTTGAGGCTCGACAAAATCACCCAAAGAATTGCGGACCCAACATGACCCAACCGCAAAGCCCTCGATTTTGCCCACGGTCTCCTTGTTCGAGAAGCGTCATTGCCTCAGAAGTTGGTCAAATGCCGAGACCAGACAGCTGGCGAAGTTTGTTTCAGCTAGGTGACTTTGATGGTAGATATGGCCTGATATGGCTATGCATCCAAAGCCTGGCACCCTACAGTTATGGCCCTTAACAGCTATAAATGGGTTTATAATGATATATAACCTTAGGAGTTATAGTTCCATTTATATCTGATATATGTTAAGTGCCATAACTGTAGGTACCCTAAATTAGCTGGTTAATGGATGTTGATGAGCATTCCATATCATTCCCCCAGTCATATGGTACTAATAGGTTTTGAACCCATCCCCATGTTGAACTAGATCATGGGGTGAAAGGAAATCAGCAAATTATCATTGCTCCTTGGTGGCACCAGCGAACCTAGGTTTTCATGAACCCTTCATAAATCGATGATCATTAAAATCATCAAAGTCCACATTAAGCTACAGCCTTGGGTCATTTAGATCCTATGGACATGCCAGCTTCCGGGGCGGGTGCGACTCTGCAGGGAATGTGGGAAGGAGTTGATCAATGTGAAAGATGATGAAAGAAGTACAGGTCCAAATACAACAGAACTGTGTTGCCCTCTGGCTTCCAAACATGAGAGATATGAGAGTTTCCACCAATGCCAAGGGCGAGAATTCAAGATCAGCGCCTCAGCAACATTGCCAGAAGTAGCAGTGGCACGCCAGTGAACTGTTCTGAAAGCTTCGGATTGTCCACTTCGGAAAGGATTACCCTCACAAAAAACGAACTGGAAAGATCCACCATTTAAACAATGGGAAAATCCACTATTTCTATGGTCATTTTCAGTAGCTATGTTAAATTACCAGAGGGTACAAAGTCCAGGTCTACAAAATTCACACCTCCAAACGTGCCCAAAGTTTCTGATCGGAGAAGAAATTGCCCCAGTTGAGGGCCATCCAGTGAGTTTCCCTCATGGGCTACGTCCCAGTTAGTCAGTTACCAAGAGTCAAATGGAGTTGTTTGATCTCGTCATGAAGACTCAATCTCAAGGAGTTTCGAATAGATTCGAATAGTTTCAATGGTTTGTTTCTTGGAACAGTTTTTGGATGGTTCCATCTGTAATTGTTTCAAGCTTTTCTCGAAGAGAAACCACACACTGCTGAACACACACACAAAACAGATCAGCAACACGAGGCCAAAACACTGTCAACACAAAATTGTTGATTTCTAGTCTTCCCAAGATACACACGTGTTTCCAGGATGTTTTTCGATGCATTCCAACGTCTCTATCTATGGCGGTTGCGGAAAAGCACACGTTTCACCACTTTGCTTCGCCACTTACTAGGTGGTGCCCTGACAATTATGAGTACTTGATTTACAAAGCCACCTAACCATATAAATGGCATCAGTGACTAACATCAGTGATTTCATTGTGGCATGATTTTGGCTAACTAAGAAAAACATGAGTAAATAACTACAAGGTGGTGCCCCCAAGATAGCTAACTTGGCTAATAACTCCAATAACTATGGTTTTTGTTGGTGATATATATATATATATATATACATATATATATATGTGTGTATGTATCATATCTATAGTTTTCATGGGATTATAACAAATTTCTAGCTGGGGGGGGCACCACCTGGTTTCGGTTTTATTCTCGGTGATCTTGTGAGTTACAATGAGGATCATAGGAACCATGGTCATCCGGATTGCTGGTTGGCCGTTTATTTTCCATTGCAAAAAATGGCCATAGAAATAGTGGATTATCCCAAACATGGTTATTTTCCATAGTTTTTTGTTAACGTTTACCAGAGGGTATATCCTCAAATAGATCAATAAGATGTGTATATATATATATATGGTATGGTTGGTGGTATACCTACCCCTATGAAAATATGAGTTCGTCAGTTGGGATGATGACATTCCCAATATATGGAAAAATAAAAACATGTTCCAAACCACCAACCAGTAATACAAACAGGATCAGTTTCTACCTACTCAGCCGGAATGATCTATATAGTCTATATAATTAATATAGTTAATATACGCTAATGTCCCGAATGAGTATCCCGAATTATCCCGATGAATGATCCCTATTCAACCACATAAAACCACACTATTCGAATGAATTTCCCATGTCTTTCCCAAGACTACCTAACCTTGGGCCCTCACCAGTTGCCACTGCGACCCTTCTTTGCAAGCCACCAGTGCCAGGGCCTGGGAAAAAAATCACTCACATCAATACAAGGCGGGGGCCCCTCTTCTTCACTAGGGTCTATGGCATTCAAATAACGAAATAACGTATAATTAGTTAATAGGGTGAACCTGAACCAACAAACATAAGGGGGTGGCCACTCTGTAGAATCGAATTCAAATGGTTTATTTGATAATCGATAAACATGTGATGAACATGTCCTCTGAAATCGAGAAATGAATGTATAAGTGTACAAAAATGTTGGCTTTGTAAAGAGATGGGACGGTATTATTCAATCCAAAGAGCCGGGTGGAAAAAAATGAACTTGGTAAATGCGGGTGCATAAATTGCAATGCACAATCTAGATCACCTGCATGAATCTACATGTCGTTCCAATGGAAAATCATGAAACTCAGGATCTTTCAACCCGGTCGTGTTTGATGGAATTTGGGTGATGCATCAAATATTCATGTACTACAACCTCCTAAATATAACCTCTGGTTGCATGAAACTAAGTTAGGGGCGGACCCTTTGTTGAATCGCATTGATGGGATTAAAGGAGAATTCACCACGGAAAACCCTATATTTGATGGGGAAAACCATGATTTCCTGTAGATTTTCCCTGCAACCAATCCAGTGATACAGAGAATTCATGAGAATTTCAGGTAAAGTCTTGAGTTCTCCATGCGTTTTTGGATTCTGTATCGCCTTGCTGGGCAAAATCATTTAGGATGAACAAGGACCACCTAGGGCCCTAGGGGCACGGGACCAATCTCCTTGGCTCATGCCTTGGGATTGGCTACCCACATTGAGGAACCAGGAAACAGCTCCTGACCCGACATCACGAAACAGGAAACACACCAGGAAAGAATCACCTACAATGTGAGGCCCCCCAGTGATGCTAGTTGCTTAACAAAAGCCCCAGTAACTATAGTTATAAGTACCATATACCATAGTTATTGGAGTTATAAACCAACCTGTAGCTATCTTGGGGGCACCACTCTTCTGGATCCAACGATCTTCTCCGGAAGTAGATCCATAAATTGGCAGGGAAAGACATGTCGCTGCCAAGGTACTCCCGTGGCGTCATCAGCGCCTGGGCAGTCGTGGCAAATGAGTTAAGAATGCGTGGATACAGCAGCTCCCAAAACAGTAATGTGTAGAAAATGGCTATCGAAATAGTGGATTTTCCCATTAAACATTGTGACTTTGCATAGTTATGTTTGTTTACCAGAGGGTATTCAATAAAAGATACTGGGATAATATGATTATATAGGTCTATGACACATGAAAATGGAATATTGTAATATATATATTATTATATATCCCTATGGATCCATGGCCACTTTCTGAGAAGGTACGGCTAACCCCCTAAATGATACCCCAGTCGTACTTCCTAAGAAGCTACGGCTGGATCCATATCTCCAGAGATCACAAGAACAAGTTGCCACGTGTGGCACGGAGAAAATCGTGAAAAACCGCTTAATTTAAGTGGCAAAAGTCAATGACTTTCTGCGAATTTTCCCCACCAACTGTATATCTGACATAAACTCTGACAAAGAATCCGACATTTTATCTGATCTATCTGACGTTTTGGCATTCTAATTCGGTGTTTTTTGGCCAACTTCACAGGGGCAGTTGAGGTTCAAACAATTGATTATAACCATGGCGATGTTCAATGATTTTCACCCATCTTTGGCGGGATATGGGAAACTATGGTGGATTATACACATATATATATATATATCATATATACATAATATGTAAATATATATATATATATTATCTATACAGCCATACAGCTATATAATATCTAATATATATATACATATAATATATAATATATAATTATATAATATATAACACATAATATGATTATTATATCATATATAATATAACTATATCATATAATATATACACTGTGCGCTAACAACTGGAACAACACTTTCAAGAATCTTAAAGAACAAACCCATGACGTCAACTCACTCGGTCACCGCTCCTGGTCCTGCGTTGGCCATCCAAAGAGCCTGTACAAATGACAAGATGTGACGTGTGAGGTGGTGGCATTTTGGGAACCCAAAGAATGGTGGATTTCACATGATTTAACCAATGAAAAATGGTGTATAGGTGGTAAAAAAAAATTGTATATGAGTGGTACTTCAATATGATTTAAAGAGTTTCAGTCCAAAAACGTGTCTTTTTGTGTATTTCCAAAGGGTTGTTTGGCGGTATAGGGAAACCAGAGAATATAGTATTAGTAATAGATATATATATATATATATATATTAACATGATATTATATAATATTATATATAAATGTGATAGTTCACTCACTGATCCCATTTCTCCAGTCATTTTCCCATCGGCGATGCATTTTCCCACCTTCCCCCAGGTCTTTCCACCACCCTTGAGGCAGGCGTCCACCGCAGACTTCACGCCTACGGCAGTAACGTTTACATCGCTTTCAAATTAATGTGTTAATCAATTTCCCACATTTTTCTATTTTATGTGTTTCTATAATTTCATTGCACATGTTTCTATATTACCCTCTGTCTGGAATTGTCCATTTCGCTCATGGGGGATGAGCATCAAGCATGATGGCTCAAGCAACAAAATATGGCGAGTTGATATGCAAATATGCTTTTGGTAGTCCTGAATGTTTTCATTTCACTTGTTTTAAATGTAAATATCCTCTGGTAATTTGACGTAGCTATGGAAATCACATTTTTTTTCATCAATTGCCATGGCTTCCAGAGGGGAAATCGTTAGGTTCTACCCCATATCCCAATCAAAATCCCCATGATACCAGGATGTTTGTTGGTTCTTCAATTCTTTCTCCTGTGACCATTGGGAACTTTGACAACCACAATTGCTATGGAAGTCGCCAACTTTTCATAAGCTGACCCGGTTACCAGGTCACGTAGGTCACATAGGTCGTTCCGTCCAGGATCCACATGGATGGGTGGAACCAAGCATCCAAAAGGCTGGTGCGAATGATATTGCTGGTTCTACCGTTCTACCATGGAATTTAGTCTAATATTATAGTATTCTATATGAATATGGAATTATATTATATATGGTGATTATATGGTTATATGGAACTATGACTTATTCTTTATTGGAACTACTGGTTGGTGGTTGAGCCCTACCCCTCTGAAAAATGATGGACTTCGTCAGTGATGATGACATTCCCAACGAAATGGGAAAAATGTTCCAAACCACCAGATTGTATTTATGTATATATATATATACACGGGTAATTATATGTCGCAATGTAGATAGTTCTAAGCGATATGACCTTAAGTTACAGTATATCAACCAACATAATTCACGTATAGCGATAATTACCGGCGATACCCCTTCATTATCCTGTATTAATTCGGTAAGCCTGAAAATGGGGGTCATCTCCAATTATAGCATTATCCAGGGAACATTATGTTTTAAACATGTTTAAACTATGGACGGAATGCCAGTAGTTTTGATAGCGCATTATCCGGATCTCCACGTGAGTTGTGTTTTTTTTTCTGATGTAGGGTGTTATCATTTTATAGGTACCTACGCGAGGCTTACATTTCGCGTACGCGCGCACAATTTCAGCCTACGCGGAAGCTTGGGTGGGGATAGGTTGCCCACGCAGGCCTACGCGCCTGAGGTTTTATGTAATTTTTAGCTAAATATGCCGACGCGCCCACAGTCTCAGCAACATTTTCGTATGATTGCGCACCCTTTTACAAAGCTGTTCATGATCCAATGATCGCATTAAAAACAATGAGGAGGAAGAGGGCCATGTGCTTATTCATTGGTTGTTACATGGTGAGAAGACATTAGGCAACTACCTATTTCGGAGCATGTTTGGGGGCATCCCTGGTCATGAGAGTTTTCGCCTACGCGTTGCCTACTTTTCGCCTACGCGGTGCCTACGCGGGGGAGCTCCTTTATTTTCGGATTTTGGCCACGCAAACTTCGAGGCTTGAGACTCTGCAGAAAAGGGAACGGAATAGTTCCATTTCTGATCAAAATGCAATGATGAAGGCGCTCAGCAAATGCAGTTTGTTTTCCATGCGTCGGCTCACGCAGAAAAAGGAGCAAACAAGGCTCAGGATCCTCGAGGAGTAAATGGCCACAGTGAAGGATCAACAGATGAGTCAGGAAGGTGTGGCACAACTTTGTCACCATTAGCTTTTGTTTCTCAGCAAAACAGACTTGTGTTTTTTGGACAGCGGAAGTTTCACATGCCGCATCGAGCTACACTCATTAGACCCTTCAATCTTGACCCACAGGCTGCAAAATTCGTCGAATCCGCGGTCGCCTACGCGGCGTCTGCCGCAAAATGAAGCAAAACATGCCTACGCCAGCCTACGCACCCCAGCAAACTGCCTACATCCAACCATGTAGGTCAACTTTCATATTAATCTTTACTTGTAAAAAAAACTCTGCTCACGTGTATAACACGATAATAAATATATACAATGTGCCCCCCCCAGTTATAAGTTGGTTTATAAGCCCCAGTAACTATAGTTATAAGTACCATAAACCATAGTTATTGGAGTTATGTTCACCAACTTAGCTATCCAACCGGGGTCTCGCATTGCATATATATATATATATATAAATAGAATTTCTATCATCATCAAGTTGCTATCCTTCAAGATCCATTAAAAGCAGTCCTTTTACATAATCGACTAGCAATCTATCTAATTAGATAGTATATAGACAATAATCAATATTACCTATTTAATGTCTAGTTGTCCAGCTTTTAGTTGTTATAAAGACTCAAAGTACTAGTACTAAACTACGATTGAATGCACCTAAGCAAATAAATCAACTTAGCCATCGAACGTGGGGGCCCCATCTGTAGTCACTTGGATTCACGGAAAAAAAAACTGGTGTCGCGCAACGCCTACGGCGTTGCTGCGCAAGTTGTGCTGGAGCGAGGTCTTCAAGATTCCAAGGGCCTAAGAGCGACGCAACACGGGCCATGGTTGTTTCTGATGTTTGTAGAAGAGTTTATTTTAATATAATCATGGTATTTAAACCCTTCTAGTTGATTTGTGATGATTTTGAGTTCTTTTCGATGGCTTTTGGTGAATTATATACTATGTTTGAGTGGTTGTTTCCGATGACCATGACCATGACTATTTATAGAATGGTTTTAGTGGTTTGTAGGTTGTTTTTTCAAGTTTACAAATAACATTGTTGTTCAACGGTTTAGTATGCTTAATGACATGACTACAATTGCTTTTTGCCAAACATCATATTATATTTCTCCTCCTGCACTCAGTGCTAATACATCATGGTTAGGTCCACTTCTATAAGTTCCAGCGCATGTGATTCAATAACCATGTAGAAGTCATCACTATGTTGTTTATAAATTCTAAGTTCCATTCTATGTGGTTCAACACTAATAATTCAGAACCCATCCTGCACTCTTGTAATCAATACATTATATCCAATATTGTCTGATGTGTACAGGAGGCAAATGAGTATGTCTGAAAAATGTCTGAACATGATTGAAATTGGTGTATACAACCAGATATGGCCAGTTTGATGTTGAAAACATTAGGTTTTAAACTCTGGCCCCATCTTGAACCATTTTGTGGGGCCAGGTTTTGTCCCGTTTACCCCACATTTTCAGGTACCAACATGTACTAAAGCCATCAGATGGGGCGGTTGCTCTGGAGCCCCCAGAAGCTGGGTCCTCCAAACGTTTTGCCAGGCACTGTTAGAGGCCTGAGCTAAGCGGGGCCAGTTTTTGGAGCGAGTCTGACCACAGTGTGTGGAGAATTCATACGCCCAACTAGTTATTTTTATGGGTTTATTTCATGATATATAACCAACTATAGTTACAGGAGTTATAATTCCATTTATAACTGTTAACTGTTAAGGGCCATAACTGTACTGAACACCAAGAAAACACAGAGATCTTTTTTAATCAATGATTCTCTTGATCAAGAAAACAGAGAAATGACAATATTAGCAATGGGAAACGGAGAAAACTAACCCCCAACCATAGCAATCAAAGACTTGCCATGTCCAAGTTCCTTGTAGAAATGGGTATGGTAATCCATCCCATAATTGAAATCCTTATAAATGGTATGACCATATATAATTAGTGGATATGGTCACCCATCCATGGGGATTTATATATATATATAAATATATATATATATCCATCCATGGGGATATATATATATATATCCATTATACCATGGGTATGGATATATGGATCGCTATTTTTCTGGATTGATGACCGTCCCCCTGGCCATGCATATGCAATCCAACTTTTGACCCGTGGCACATATGAAAAACGTAAAGAAAAAAGCTAGCTGGTTGGTGGTATACCTACCCCTCTGAAAAATATGGGTTCGTCAGTTTAGGATTAATATTCCCTAATACTTCAAATGTTCCAAACCACCAACCAGCTAGTTTCTTCCACTTATCCCCACAACACGTGATTCTGTCGGAATTTCTACCTGGCATTCTATCTGAATCTGGCATGTTATGTGACATTCTTCTATCCAACATTTTATCTGGCATTCTATCGGACATTTTATGTGACATATATTCTCACATTCTATGTGACATTTTATCTGGCATTCTGTCTGAGATTTTTATCCGGCATTCCATCTGACATATTGTTTGGCATTGTGTTCGGGTCCGGGGGGGGGCATTGAGTAAATAAGAAGGATTAATAAAATGGGGATGGTTTATGGCGCTTTTACCACATCCCAAGCCATCAAAGAAGACTGCACGGTTTCCAGAAACTGCCGAAGTCACCTTGCAAAGAACCACCAAAATTCGAAATAGATTATGTCCTCAAGCCGACAATCCCTACAGGCGTTTGCTCATCCTGATGTCGAGTGTGAGCCAGGCTGCCCATCACGGGTACAAGGTGAGCAAGGTCCGCACCAGGTAAGTTAATCGATACCAATCTGGTTGGTGGTTTCTAGTGGTCACCGGCCACCTGAACCCCCCAGCAGCGTCGGCCTAGCGGGTTTTCCTGGGCCTGTGTCGTTTCGTCTACCCTTAGTCTAGGGCCTGAGTTTCAGTGGCTACCATGCAGGGGATGTCAACCCTACATGAAAACTAACATGTTTGGAAAACAGCATGGGGTATGAGCACGTGTCAGCACTCCCCCTGGTTCTGGACCGTCAGGCCTTGAACCATCGCTTCGTGCATGCCTGGGAATTTCCATCCAGACATCTTCGGTGACAGCTGCCACCGGATCAAAACCTACCAGTGCAACCCAGCATTGGTCTGGGGTCTACGCACGGCATCTTTGTGCCCTCAGCTCAAGCCACTCTCAGTACCTCTGGTACCCGTCGCATCGTTGCCATCTTTCCTCCTCCTTTTTGTGCTCCAGTCTCTGGGACTTCTTCACCTTATGCCTGGCCTTTCTTTCCTTGGCCCTTGGGTGCCCCTTTCTGTGGGCTTCCTTCTCCTTTCGCGCCTTTGGCCGCGATCTCATCATCACCTTTCTTTCCTCCTTTCGCGCCTTTAGCCGCGATCTCATCATCACCTTTCTTTCCTCCTTTCGCGCCTTTGGCCGCGATCTCATCATCACCTTTCTTTCCTCCTTTCGCGCCTTTGGCCGCGATCTCATCATCACCTTTCTTTCCTCCTTTGGCGCCCTTCATCGGCGTTCCTTCTTCACTCCCTTTGGCTTGACCCTTCTCGGCCATCCTTTGGAAGTATGCCTGTGGTGGACTTCCTTTCCCTGGGTAAATCTGCCCATGGGTCTCCGGGTCCCAATCATCTGGGTGCTAGTGTTCTTCTTGTACGAGTCCTTGGAAGAACTCTTCCACCAGCCGTGGTGGCTCTGCGCCTGGCTCTTGTGGTGGTGGTGGTGGTGGCACAAGCATGTGCACCGGTGTTGTGCTGCTGCTAGCTGCCTGTTGTGGGCGGCCTTTCTGTTGGCCTGCCTGTTGGCCCGGTCGGCCTGCTTGTAGGCCCAATTGGCCTACTTGTGTGCCTGCTTGGCCTGCTTGCTGGCCTTTCTGCTGTCCCTTTGGGATGGGATACATGTGTGCCAGCTGTCTTGGCGGTGCTTTTGGGCCCGGCGAATTCCTCAGGAAGAGGTTCCCATCACGATCTCCGTGAGGGAATGGAACACCTGGGTCTGTCTCCTCCTCTGTGTCTTCATCATCCCTGGCTTCCACTCTCCTTCTCCTCCTGATGCTCTCTGGGGTCCTCAACGCCTGTTCTTCTTGGCGTCTTGTGGGTGCTCCTCTCACCCTGCTTCCTTCTTCTTCTGCGGGCTCTTCCTCAGGCTGTCGGTCTCTCCGAAGCCAGCCCATCAGACAAGGGATGATCCTCTGGATCACTGAGACCACTCCCACAAGAGCAAACATCAGAATTAGCTCAATGTGGAACATCTCTGCCCTTTCTTCGGTCTCCTCATCATCTTGAGCTTTGGCTCCCTGAATGGCGATCATCAACGCCACGCACTGGAGTGCCTTCTCTACTTCTTTTGGGACTCTGGTCCCCTGTTCCTTCTTCTTGATCTTCTCTGCCTCTTCTGGTGCCGTCTTCTCTTCTGGCTCCTCATTCTTTTCTTCATCTTTTCCAATCTTCTTCATGCCAAGCCCCTTCTTGAGCTTTTCCAGCCTGGCTGACGTCAGGCTCTTCGTCCCAATGTCTGCCAGCATGTCTTCGCCTGGCAAATGTCGCAGCAGCCAGTCTCCTTTGGTGAATCTCTGTTTGGCATGCGCTGCTCTCAAGCGCAGATGTCTGGTCCTCCAGCTTCCTCCTTCTGCCAGACAGATGTTCACCGCTGCCTGCGAGTCTGATGCCATCATCTTCATGATGTGGGGTTCCAGCTCCTCCAAAATCGCTGCAACACTTTCCCCCATCATCAGTCCTTCTATGAGCTCGTTCAGCTCTGCCTCCGCTGTGCTAAGGCTGACCGTCGACTGCCTTGAGCTCTTCCATAGCAGCGGGGCTCCCCTCAGAGTCACAATCACTGAACCGTGACTTTCTTCACCTGAGGGTGCGAAGCTTGCGTCAGCATAAACAGCAAGCCCTGACTGCTCTTCCCATCCTTCCCATGATGGACCTTTCTCAAAGGTGATCCCTTCATGGATCGTGGCAGCCATGTATCCCCACAGTTGGGATGCGCTCTCTGCGACCCACTGGGGTTGATGCAGCACTTGGCTGGCCATCTTCGCCAAGGCGTACATCATGTCTGGTCTGGTCCTCGTGACTAACCAGAGTGCTTCGCCCACTATCTTCTGGGCTTTCCTGACTTCTTCCACCTTTGGCTCCTCTTGGTGTTCAGCCGGTGGATCCTTGGAGATTGGCACCTTTCTCTTGGGCCATTTCTTCTCATCCTCCCCCACGTTCCTCCTCAGCAACTCCTTGACATAGTCCTGCTGGGATGCTGCCCAGACTTCAAGACCATCCTCTCCTTTGGTCTTGGAGATTCCCATGCCGAGGAATCTTGTGGGATCTTCGTTGATCCACTCTGGAGTTGAGGTGTTCCATTCCTTCTTGATGGTCTCAGTCAGTGCCTTCAGTAGCTGTGTTGGACCTGTGGCGAACAAGTCGTCCACGTAGACCATCATCAGGGCTTTTGGAGGCCCTTTCGGCTTCTCCTCTTCTTCATCCTCATCTTTCACCTCATCTATCCTCCAGAGGTTGGGTTCCGACACCAGCTGTGTCAATCTGTGTCGCTTCCCTTCATGTGGGACTTCCATCTTCCTCATCGTGGAATCCCTGTGGTTTCCCCACAACCTTGGGCTCTTTCTGAAGCCATACAAGGCCTTCGTCGGCCGCCACAGCGTGCCTTCTTCGACCAGCTTCATCCTGATCAGCAAGTGGGGTGGCTTCACCAACACATCCATGTCTTCCCATGGTGTGTTGAGGAACGCTGTACGGATGTCCAACGTGACTCCGTCCCACTGGTTTTCTGATGCTAAGTTCATCATGATCCTCAAAGTCACTGCATCACCAGTGGACGCGTACAGTTCGTCCTGGGCATCTTTCGCCGTGAAGTTTCCACACGCCACTATTCTGGCTTTCTTCTTTCCTCCTTCTGGTGCGGGCTTCACCACCGTCACCAGCTTTCCTGGCACCACCTCCAGCTTTCTTCCTTCGGCGTGTGCCTCCCTGAACATCTTCTCCACCTCCTCCTTGGAAATGGCTTCAAGGGCCATCTTGTCTTCCACCAAAGACTTCAGTTCTTCTTCGATGGGCTTCTTCCATCCTTCAAGGTCTTTCATCACCTCCCCCAGGCCCACGATCCTCGTCTGCAGAACGTCTTCACTCGTGCCCGTCTCCATCATCATTCGGAGTTTGGCCACAGACTGCATCGTCGTCTTCAGGGCCTCTTCTGAGGGGTCTTCCATCAGAGCTGTCATCTCCTCCATGATCAGCTGCAAAAGTCTTGATCTTCTTCTGGGTTCAGGGTCTCTCCCCTCTTCCCCTGGTTCGTCTTCTTGAACCTCCATCTTTGCCAACTCTGGTGGCGTCTTTCTCCTCAATCTTCTTTCTTCAAGTGGATCTGGCATCTCTGTCATGACTGCCAGCCACGAGTGGTCTGTCACGGGGTTCCACACATCAGCTATGCAGAACCGGGCTACGATGGTCGTCCCATCTTCTTGCTTCACCCAGTGACCGTGACCTTCCCAACATGGAGCGATGTATGTCACTCGGTCCATTGTTGGCAGGAACTGTTGCGCGTTCCACCTTCTCTTCTTGACCAGGACTTCAGCTCCCAGTGGTGGAAATTTCTGCTTCAGTCCACACCTCCACATGCGCAACTGTTCGTCGCAGTGGCGCGCTGCAAGTGGCCATTGGTCTTCGGACCACCCTGCTTGATGCAGCAATCTTCTTATGTGTGTCTTCACCTGTTGTACGGCATTCTCTGCTCTGCCGTTTGATTGTGGGTTGCTGACACCCGTGAATGTTCGGATGTATCCTCTTGCCTTCATCCATCTTTTCATGGCATCTGAGGTGAACTCACCTCCGTTGTCGGAATGGACTTGGGAAACATCAAATCCGTCGGATCTGAGCTTGAGGATCATGTCGATGACTGCTTGGAGGACTACTCCCCCCGCCTTCGAGGGCAAGGGAGTCACCAGTCTGAAAATCTTGATTTCAAAGTCCTCTGGCTGATCCACCTCCTCCTTGGCTGCTTCTTGTGGCTCCTGGGGGTTGATGGCTCTCTCACCACCTTGGGGCTCCTCAGGGTTACCAGGGGGGTCTTGTTGGGGATCCTCCTCTGTGTGTTCTGCTTCATCATCAGCCTCTCCTTCACTGTCATCGATCCTCAGCCCTTCGATCGCATCCACCTCCTCTTCTGGAACTCTCTCGTTCCTTTTGTCTTCTAGAGGTGAATCCTTCGGTGCAAGCCATGTGTACGCACCCACCAGAAGGAATCTCATCTTGTTTCCCATCAGGTCCTCACCCTTCACTAGTGGGCCTGTGGTGTCCACCGACAATACTCCCGCTCTTGGGAATTGTCCTTTCTTGGCGTTCAAGCGCCGGTGTGGAGCGGACTTAGCCCCAGACTGCTGGCATATCTTGCAGTCTCTTCTAAACGGGACGTGTCCATGCTTCACATGTTGTTCCCATGACATGGGCCTTAGCTGGACGGGTCTTTCTTGGCACTTCTTGACCACTTCCTTCGCCAGCTCTTTCATCAAACCCGGCACCCATCGGCTCAGGCTCTTTGAGTCTTGGACCCTGTCTTGGGATCTTCCTTTGGCTTCTGGGTTCCTCTCTTCTGGAACCTTGATCTCGACGTTCCCGCCGATCGTTGTGGGCTTTATGCAGCCTTTGCCGCCTTCTTCTCCTTTCCAGTCTCCCTGGTTGAACTTGATCTCTTGCAGATCGTACATCTCTTTCATCTTTCTCCACTGGTCCGTCCACCAGAAGGAGACCGTCTTTGGGAGGTACTCAGGAGCACTCGGCTGCTCGAGAGCCAGGATGATCTTCTTCCATCCCTCTCCTCCTGTCTTCTGTTCTTCTGTCTTGGCGTCTCTCTTGATGCCTTCTTCTTTTTCTTCTTCGTCCTTTGTCTTCTCGACGTGGACTGCCAGGACGTACAACAGCAGCGTCCTGAAGAGCATGACATCGTCTTGCCACACCTTCGTCTTCTCATCTTTTCGCAGGTCTCTCCTGCCAAATTCTTCACCACCCCACTCTCGAAGCGGTCTTGGCCCATGACACTCTGGTGTCATCCTGTAGTTCCTCAGCACTGATCTTGTGCGACAGTTTGGGCCTGCTAGGATCCCTCTGATCCTGTTGTCAAATGCCAACCTCAACAGTGTGGCATACGGATCTGAGCTCATCAGGTCATGCCCAGGTCCTCTCTTCTGATCCAGCTCTATCAAAGTCTGGACATCGCCGCCTGCACTCTTCACTGCCTGGCCCAGGGTGAATCCGTCGTCCTCCCCCGCAAACAGGTGCAGAGTGGCTCCTTCCCTTTGGATCTTCCGTCTTTGTCTACGGTTCATCCCTGGAAGGGCTGTCAAATCCTTTGATGGCATCACCACCAGTTCCTTCTTTACCTCCTCTGGCAGGTCTCTGAAGACCGGATGAACGGCCACCATCTTCTTCAAGACATCTTCTCCGTCTTCTTCTTTGATCTTCATCTTCTTCATCCATCCAGACTTCTCCTCAAGCTCCTGGATGATGTCTAGGGCCAGTGGTCTTGGGATATGAGGGCATCCTCCTCTTTGTGTTGTGGCCAGTCTTCCCCTCTCTGGGTGAACCACGACAAGGCCTCCCTCATCCCATTCCACCGTACAGCCGAGCTGGCTGACCATCTTTCCAAGTGGAACGATTGGCTGTGTCTCCTCATGTTGGCCAATCATTGTTCCTCCTCTTGTCATCTTCAGTGTGGCGTCTCTACCACAGGCCAACGTCACTCGGACCTCTGTCAAGTCCTTGAGTGATTCTCCTGGCTGTCTTCCTCTCAAGGCGTGCGTCGCGCCAGAGTCTAAAAGACCATAGTCTCCTTCTTCTGTGTGGATCTTGGAGATCCTGAAGACCTTCAGGGTCTTGAGTTCATCAAGCTGCTTCTGCAACTTTTGCAGCCTGACCTCCTTCCCTTCGTCTTCTTCATTCTTTCCTTGTTGCAAGGCCTTCAACATCTTGTTGGCCTCTTCCAGCAGTCCCTTCATGGCTTCACTGCTGTCTCCTTCGTTGGAGCCTTCCTTGGCTACCTCTTCTTTCTTGGTGGCTTCCTCTTTCTTCACCACCTTTGCCGTCGGCTTCATGTCTTTCCCCTCCCAGGGTTTTCCGCTTTTTTCCGGACTTCCCTCTTTGTTGGGTTCTCGGGGTCTGTCACACGCTGGTGCGTAGTGTTGCGTCGAGCCGCAATTCCAGCATCTCTTCTGGTCGTCAAGGTTGTGGGCCCATCTGCAACCCTTTCCCTTGCGACATCCTTCTGTCGTGATGAAGAACTTGCAGGGGGCTCTCTCACCTTTCCCTGACTTACCTTCACCTTTTCCTCCTTCTTCAATCTTCCTGACCTTCACCTCTGGCTGTGCTTGCTTCTGCGTGTCCTTGCTGGTGCTCTTCTTGCTGCCTTCAAGGTGTGCTATCTGCTCCATCTCAGCCAAGAGGTGGGTCGAGAACTTTCCCACTGTGTCTTTCGTGGGGATCGAGTCGACCTGGAGCATCGACCTGGCCAAGCTGATCCTGAAATTCAGCTCTCTGTTGGCTTCCAAAGGTCGGCGGACGATGCGTCCCAAGCCTTTGAGCAAGAGGAAGGGATCAGGCTCGCTCACCTGAAGCTCCATTGCTCGTCTCCTCCATCTCATCCACTTCCTCAGTGAACTCACTGCTTCTGCCACTGTTGCTGCTTCCTGTGGCATCTCCAACGACCTGAGGATGACCTCCTTCTCAGCCAATCCTCCAGGCTGAAAGGTCGTGAAGAGGTGGCAGATGATCTTCAGAGCTGTGATCCTCTTCGTCGACACTAGCTCCTCTTTCTGGGCTTCAGGGATGCTCATCATGAGCAATGTGGACGCCCTTCTTTCTAGGCGGATCCACTTGGGCTGGTCCAAGTCTTTGGAAGGCTGTGGCTCGTGTGTCAGCCTGTCCATTGGACTCAGAGCCATGTGGTCTTGGTACCACTGTCTTGCTTCTTTCAGCAGCCTGTCCCACCAGTCGTGTGAGGTGGCTGTGAGGTCTGCCATGATTGGCTCAATCAACGCCAACCAATCGTTCAGGTCTATCGGACCTGTCGAGGGGTTCCAGTCCGTCAGTCTTGGCACTTCGGGGTGGCTTCTGACGTACTCTGCTTCTCCCCCCTCTCCTTCTTTTCCTCCATCCTTGGAGAGCATCTTCTTCTGCATCTCTGTCATTGTGTGCATCATCATTGCCATCAGCTGCAACGTTCCTGGGGTCTCCTCTTGCCTTGAGGAACCTGCAGCTTCTGTCTTCAGGGGTCTTGTGGCCTCTCTGGCCGTTGGGGGTCTTTCAGCCTCGGGCTTTGGGGGTCTGTCAGCCTCCTCAAGCTCGTCTTGAAACAGCTTCTTGGCTGTCTGGCTTTCTTCTTCAGGGGTCCTATACTGGACATCTTCATCTTCTATGGCGTTCTGGCGCCTCTCATCATGCCTCTCTCGGCCTTCATCTCTTCCTTTGTGTTGCAGCAGTCTCTGCAACTCCTCCTCATGCCTCTCTCGGCTCTCGTCTCTTTGTTTGTGTTGCAGCAGTCTCTGCAACTCCTCCTCATGCCTCTCTCGGCTCTTTTCTCTTTCTTTCTGTTGCAGCAGTCTCTGCAACTCTTCTCTTTCTCTCAGGAGCATGGTCCTCTCCATCTCCAATTCTTCTTCTCTTTTTCTCAACCTTTTCAACTCCTCCTCTCTCAGAGTTTCAGGTCGCATCTCCTCAAGTGTCCTCTGTTGGACTTGGGGCGGGTTCTGCATCGGTGCCTGTCTCCGCAACTCTTCATATCTCCTCAACTGCTCATCGTCGAACAGCGGTTGGGGTTCTGGCTGGTTGGCTGGTCGGAGCGTGGTCGGGCTGGTCTTGGGTCCCCCAGGCCATTGGGGGCTGGTCTCAGGTGCTCCTGAGGGTCTGTGAAAGGGGGTCTGGGCTGCCGATGCCGTTCTTCCTCCTCTCTCTTCCCTTTCTCTTGTGGAGCTTGTCGGGGGTTCTGCTTGCCGGGGTGTCTCAACCGGGGTCTTCGGAGTCTTCCACTCCTTTGCGGGGGTTTCCTCCTGCCGTGGAGTTCTCCCCATGTCATCTTCCAGGGTTGGCTGTGAGGGCGTCTTCAGGAATTCACCTCCTTGGCTTGGTGTTCCCTTTCCCCTCAGCGCCATTTGATCTTCTTCTGGCCTCTTATCTTCCAGGGCCTTCATCTGCCCTCCCTTCAGCACTTCCACCTCCTGGTCAGCCTCTTCTTCAGCCACGTTCTCTCGCAGAGTCTTCCTTCTGCGCTCCAGCATGGCTTGGGCTCGTAACCTAGTGGTCACCGGCCACCTGAACCCCCCAGCAGCGTCGGCCTAGCGGGTTTTCCTGGGCCTGTGTCGTTTCGTCTACCCTTAGTCTAGGGCCTGAGTTTCAGTGGCTACCATGCAGGGGATGTCAACCCTACATGAAAACTAACATGTTTGGAAAACAGCATGGGGTATGAGCACGTGTCAGCAGTTTCAACCCCTCTGAAAAATATGAAAATCAGTTGGGGTAGTTATTCCCAATATATGGAAAGTCATATGAGTCATAAAATTCATGTTCCAAACCACCAACCGGCCAATTCAATCGAAAGCATCGTCTCAAGCTCCATAACAGGGGGCTCAGCAGGCTGTACCATGCCGTTAAAATCCCAGACTGGGAGTACTGGCCATTGCAAGATGACAATCCCCCTTTTTTTACAGGCTAATCTAATGCAACTGTCACTTGGTGACAGTTGGTGACATCTCATTCTATCCTCAATATCTATGAATCCTTTGAAAATATCCTGAAGATCTCCATGTTTGGATATTCATATCCCATAAAATAATAATGTTTTATAGTTCAATCCGATTAACTTGAGGATTTGAGGCACATATCTTCCACCGGCCCCTGGCTATTCAGAAACGAGAACCTTAGTCTTCTAGGCATCCAAGAAGCACAGACTCCAAGCACGGCATTCACGGAGACGGTCGTGGCCTTGTTCCATGTGGAGCGGAGCGGACCGACCCAGTGGACTAGCTCAGTCACTAAGTTGATTCAATTACCTGTAGTAGGTTGACTTCTATGTTTTATGGTGTATATATATATATAAGTATACGTATGGTCATATGGTATGTATATATATATATGTGTATACATATATGGTCATATGGTGTATATATATATATATATATATTATGGTAGATATGTGTATATATATATATATCATATATCTATAGATTCTATAGATCACGCGTGTATAAACCAACACACATATTTGGGGGGCACCACCGTTATGTTCAGCCATTATGTTTTGAAGGAAGTTTTGCGCGCTAATGGGGGATTTACCCCCAAACAACATAACAAGTCATGGGATGCCCTCAGCCCTCTGTAGTCTAACAGTTTGCAATGGAAAATGGCCATGTTTAGTAGGCAATTCATCTTGAGATGAGTTATGTTCCATGGCTATGTTAAATCACCAAAGGGTATCTAATTGTTGGACTCCGAATCCAGCATTGGTTTCTGTGGCTCTGAACATGTCTATCTTGACAAATGCAATGGAGATCCCCTATGAAGACCATGAAACAACTGCAACCAAGACTTGCAGATGTGAGCTTGTCCAAAAACAAGGTACAAAGACTTTAATATGGCTCAAAAACTCATGTCCAAAATTCACATGGCAATTTCGGTGAATCTCACATGGCTGGACATTGACAAACCCATGGTGGTTTAGGATGGTTTAGGCATGTTCCAGTAGGCTATATCCCTTAACCAGTTGCTACTAGTAACTGGGATGCAGCCCCAAGTACCCTGGGAACTTCTCAAGCGAAAAACAACTGCAGCCTCCAACCGTCTCTGAAACAATTCGGAGAAGAAGTGTTGAGATCTCCTGCAAACAAGAGGTCACCAGCTGGAGGATTTTACATGGTTTTACCAAGTAACCTATTCAAAAAGTGGAGAGCTTTCACCAAACACGGAGATTTTATCAAGTTCAATCGATGGCACCATTTCTTGCCACCAAAAAACGGATGGTTTTCCACACCCTCTGGGATTTGACCCCTAATGGGAGGCAATGGGCCCACTAAAATGATTTGTCCTTTTAGAAGCATCATTGCAGTTATGGCCCAACTAACAGTTATTTTTATGGGTTTATTTCATGGTATATTTCACCAACTAGTTATAGGAGTTAGTTCATTCCATTTATAACAGTTATAAAATGCACTAACTGCTACAACTAGTTGGTTATATATATATATATATATCATGAAATAAACCCATAAAAGATACCCTCCAGTAAATTAACATAGACCCTGGTAGATAGGAGTTGGAAGATGAGTTTCCACTAAACATGGGTTATTTTCAGGGTCCAACTGTTAATTTACCAGAGGGTAACTGTTAGTTGGGCCATAACTGCAATCATCCGATCTTAGAGAGATCGTTTTGACCCTCACCTTCCTCCAGGCACCGTGAAACTTCGAGTTTTTGGCGGCGATGAGGGAATTGAAGCCACTGACCTTTGGCGAGGGAAATTTCACGCTATGGAAAATCACATTTCTTAAAAAAAACTAAATCATACTTTAAATAAATCACAGATATGCAATTCTATAAATTATCTATAAAATTCAAAAATAAATCATTTAATTATCTATAAAAATCTATAAATATGCAATGTTCGCTATGTTATTAAATAACCAGAGGGTAAATCACGGAATTGCCCGTTGCCCACTTGCCAGTCACCAAGATGAACACATTGCAAAACACGAAAATCCAATCAAAACCATCCCAGAAACCAATCACTTGGGTGTCATGTCATCATGTTTCATCATCCCAAACACTGATTGGGTTTACCCCAATATGATCCAAAAGCTGACGCATTCACCACAATGCTACATTTGGGGATGGTTTATTAAATATGGTTTGCTCATATCAGTTTACCTCACATTATTATTACTCATTTACCGCTCGGACTCGGGTGTGTCTGAAAATTAGGTATACCCCAAATGGCAGTGTTAATAGGGAAGATGATGAGTGACCGTTGGAAATCGTCTTTTTCCCCTACATGTTCAGACAAACTCAACGATATCATCCATATAATATATATATATAGAAATTATATATCATAATTCGTGCTTCTATGTTCCATGAAATCACTAGAATTTGAAAGTTTACCCTCTGGTAAACTAACATAGCTATTGAAAATGGCCAAGGGAAATAGTGGATTTACCCATTAAAAATGGTGGATCTTCCCAGTTCGTTACGTAAACGTTTCCCAGAGGGTACTCTGCATGTTGAGTGGCACAGTATCCCCAAAAGTCCGCAAACAGAATTCTGGATCTGGATCGCACCCACCGTCAACTCCAGCGCGTTTTCTCGGTGATGCACAGCCTGTGAAGCCGTGACCCATGACCGCAGACCGCGGGTTCGGAAACAACCCGGCAGTGAAAAAACTGGCCAGTTGAACATCACATTTATGGCCAAGCATCATTGCAGTTATGGCCCAACAAACAGTTATTTTAATGGATTTATTTCATGATATATTTCACCAACTAGTTGTAGGAGTTTTTCTCCCGTAACTGTTACAAGGCTTGTACCTGTTGGTAATTGCGCTATATGTTTAACAGTACATATATTCTCTCAGAACCCGGTGTAGAATGCAGCATCTAAGTATATAGATTGGATGGTTTTTCATGGGCATATCATCAGATGGTTCCATACCACCAACATTCACCGACAAACAGAAGGGAACAGGAGACAATAGAACCATCAAAAAGTTGGTTAGATGCTTATATCACAAACATATCCCTATGATGTTTCGCAAACTACACTGCTTGGTGGTTTCAATCAACCCCGAGGTACCAAAAAACCCTTTGGTGAAACGAGAGGCAACCATGTACACTAGCCGCTAAAATGGGTTGGTGACGATCCCCATATTTGCAAACATCCCACCCCATTGGTGGCTAATCCAATAACAGCCGTTTTAAACCTATAAAAATTGCCGGTTAGAAAATCAGAACATTGATGGTATAGATTAAGTTGACTGCTTTGATTTTCAAGAAAATCCATGAAACACATCTTCAACATACTTAAATCTAACCATCAACCTAATCAACATCCACTTGATGATTAAGTTTCCATCAAACACATCTTCAACCTCATCAAAACCCTGGTCAATCCCCACTTTTTGCCAGCCTTGAAGATCTGAATGGCCCAGCGCCACGCCCTACCTTGCCATCAGGTATTCATCATATCTTGATGTGATCTTCATGTCACATACTTAATGGGGAATCTTAAGCAACAATAGGATATATACTGGTAGGAACATAGTCGGTATACACTAATTGGAATACTGAACCGTGATATCGAGAAATTAGTGAGTTGTTTATTGAAATATCCATATATCTAGTCTTGTGTCGGCGCCTTGTGGGCTTATCTTAGAAAATTGGAATCTTCAAAAAATGCAGCATGTAAGCAAAAAAAACGGATCTTAAAAATGCAAACAACAAACAACTGCAGAAAGAACATGCAAAAAAAAGGAAATCACAAATGCACAAAAAATGCAAATGCAAAAACGCAATGCAAAACAAATAGAAATCAAAAATAAAAAGATGCTGTAAGTTCAAAAATGCAAATGCCGAAAGTGCTTTTGGACACCCGCTTGATTCACATTTAGGCGTGCGGGATATGCAGTCTTGGTTGCCTGGCTTTCATGCATTCCGGTTTGCCTCATATGCAATATGTGCAAGAATGAGTTTCAGTTCGGTTTGGGTTTCTGTCCCTGCATCAACACTTGAATGGGCACATAGATTTTCAGGAAAGGGCTGGTGGTTGGCACGGCCCCCCAGCCCAAGTCCCAGACGCAGCTTTTCGGGAAAGTGGTGGCCCATTTCCCAGGGGATGACCCTGGCCCAATTGTTTTGCTTTTTCTTTGCATGTGTTTTGTTTTTTTTTGTTTTTTTGTTGTTTTTGTTTTTTCTTTATTTTTGCTTTTTACCTCCGTTTTTTGCGATTTCTTTCAAAAAAATATCCAGTTTTGGAGGTCCCTAATTATTGATCGGGGACCTGGCCACCTGTCCACTTGGCAGGCGTGAGCCTCAAAATTGCGCGTTCTTCTTTGGCTTCACGGGTTCTTCTCGGACCTCCCTTTTCAAGTTGAATGTTTCCTTTGTCTTCTGCGCAGGTTTTACTACCTTGTCCAGGTTAACTTGTTGTTTCCATGTGTGCTGCATTTGGCATTTTCCCTTTTCCCTGGTTGCATTTCATCTGTCTACATTCTGCACATATCATGTCGCCTGCTTCCAATTTGCATTGGTTCCTGCCATATGTTCTTCATTTGTAAAATGTGCCCTTTCCAAGTTGCATTTGTTCTTTCCATTTTTCCTCCATTTTCAATGTTTGCCTCTTTTCAACTTGCATTTTGCTTTCCCGTTTTTTCTGCAATTGTCATGTGTGCCTCTTTCAGATTTGCATTTTCCAATTCCATTGTTTTGCATTGTTTCTCCATTTTTTCAAGATGTAAACATCCTAGAACAAGCGCTATTCGACAGCACAAATCTAGTCCAAGATGACGATATAACTTGCTGAATCAAAAGAATTCACTGAAGAGAAAAAAATGTTGTTACCATATGTTACCATACCGCCATTTGCGGATGATTGCCCGAATCCTAACCATCATTCCAGTGACGTCACGATGTGAGGTCATCACAGTTCATGCTCATTCATGTTCTTCCCAGATAATGAGAAGGTGAGCCACCATTGTTGTTCCCCATTTCATTGTTGTGGTTTTAGCCAGCAAAAAATTGGAGTATAAACTCAAGAACAATGGAGATATGTTTCCGAATATTCTCCCAAGATGCAGACAATTTTATCAGGTCCATGGTGATTTAACGGTTAACATGAATCAATATGATTTAACCAGGAAACAAACCGTTTATGTTTTTAATATAGGCATATCATATTAATATACCCTCTGGCTATTTAACATAGCTATGGAAAATGGTCCATTTATAGAGGATAAACATGATGATTTACCTATCCAAAATGGTGATTTTCCAGTTCGCTCCGTTAAATGATCATATCAGGGGGTCGCAGGATGCGACGGGATGGTTGGTGATTTTTTTCTGGTCACCTTCGGGGGAATCTGCACATGGTTCCAAACGTTTTTTCGGGTTGGCTTAGGGTTTAGGGTTTATATCGTGATCTATAGAACCTATAGATATATCATATATCTACCATATATATATATACCTAACATACGACCATATATGTATACTTACTGGTTGGTGGTATACCTACCCCTCTGAAAAATGATGGAGTTCGTCAGTTGGGATTATGAAATTAAAAACTGAATGGAACAATAAAAATGTTCCAAACCACGAACCGGTTAAATATATTTATATACAGCACAAGTGGACACTTAGCAGCTGCAAAATGGAAATGGACTCTATATATCTGGGTAAATTATAATATTTCACTAACCTGAATTAAGGCAATTTGGGGATGATTTCCCTTACAAACCATTATTCCAGTGAGGTCGCAGTGAGGTCGTTATAATTTACCCAGATAGATATATATATATATATAGTTTTTCTTAGGGAGAAACAAAATAGCAGAAACGCACAAAAGAAAAGAAGCAGACAAGTGGGGAAGCAGAGAAGCAGAAAAGCAAAGAAGCAGGGACAAGCAGAAAAACAGAAAAGCGGAGAAGCAAAGAAACAAGCAGGAAAGTGGGGAAAGAAAAATCCAAAATCTCCACAACAAAAAAAACCACCCGAAAATATATATATATATATATTTCCTTGGAAAATATAACCTGAATTGACATGGATGATATTAGTGGAAATGCATCACCTTTTGGATGTGCATTGCATTTAGTAATTGGATAATCATCACTAATCATCCACATGTGGGATCGAATTATCCCATGGATGAGGTGAACCAGAAGCCCAATCTGACCAAAAATCTTCAAAGGATTGAAGGGGAAAAACCAGCATCCAATATGCAGCTGGTTGGTGATTTTAACCATCTTGAAAAATATTAGTCAGTTGGGATCATTATTCCCAATATATGGAAACATAATCCAAATGTTCCAAACCACCAACCAGGCAGGTTTTGAAGCGCGCCTTTCCCGCAAGCCGCGAGGGTCAAGTCTGCCTGTCTCCTGTGGGATAGGGAAGGAAATATGAAGAAATCAGTACAGTTCATTGGATGTCCATGGATGTCCTACTGGAACAGCTTTCCCCAATGCTCCATAATATATACCCTCTGGTTATTTAACATAGGCATGGAAGCCATGACCCATTTATAGATGGTTTACCTATTAAAAATGGTGATTTTCCATGGCTATGTTAAATAACCAGATGGTATATATATATATTATTATATATATCCCAACATTTAATTCTTCATTAGCCAAACACATTTCTTTTTAATAGCTATAATTCCCTATAATTGCAACATATACCAACATTAATCCCAACATTTTAAATCTTCATTAATTACCGTTAAACATTCAGCCACATGTACATATAACTCAGCACCCTTCGCATATGGCATTAATGGCGACCTGGTACCGGTGACCTGGGTGACCTGGTAACAGGGCCCAGGGCTTTACGGCGAGCCAAATGGATGTCTACATTGGATGGAAAATACCAGTGACTTCTGCATATCATTTACAAAATTTGGGGAACTTCAAGGATTATGAACTAAAAGAAACTGGTTGGTGGTTTTTCGCCCTACCCCTCTGAAAAATGATGGAGTGAAAGTCAGTTGGGATGACGACATTCCCAACTGAATGGAACAAAATAAAATTCATGTTCCAAACCACCAACATTATTATATATACTATTCCTGTCGCTCTTAGATACCCTCCAACAAGCTGGATTTGTCATAGCTGGTCAGTCCAATGTCTTATCAACGTTGCATAGAAACGACTACAATGTGAGGCCCCCAAGATAGCTAAGTTGGTTTATAACTCCAATAACTATGGTTTATGGTACTTATCGAAGGAAGTTTAGAAGTCAAACTTCCGACAATATGGACAGATGAAAAGCAGAGCAGGGCAGAGGGAGAGAGAAGAGAAAGATTAGAAGAGAGAAGATCAGAGAAGAGAAAGAGTCAGAAGAAAGAAGATGCAGATGCGCGAAAAGGTAGGAAAGTCGCGAAACACTGCGTTTTTCCAATGATTTGTGGCTCCGGAGGCTCGAAAAGTAGGCTCGCTAAAGCGGCGGGTGCGGAGCCAGCTGGCCAGATGAGAGATGAAAAATTGCACGCCGTTGTGGCGCGAAGCACATTTCCAAGTCAAAATGTCCAAAACACACCAGGTTCGGACCACTTTTGGAAGTTGAGATGTCGAAAAAATGCACGCCGTTGTGGTTCCAAGTCAAAATGTCCAAAACACACCAGGTTCGGACCACTTTTGGAAGTTGAGATGTCGAAAAAGTGCACGCCGTTGTGGCGCGAAGCACATTTCCAAGTCAAAATGTACAAAGCACACCAGGTCCGGACCACTTTTGGAAGTCAAGATGTCGAAAAAGTGCACGCCGTTGTGGCGCGAAGCACATTCTGAAGTCAAAAGTGTTAAAACTGGCGGTCTCCGACCACGTTTGGAAGCTAGACAGAGAGACAGATGAAAGAGAGAGAGAGAGAGAGATAGATCGATAGATAGATAGATACATAGATAGACAGATAGACAGGTAGACAGCTAGACAGAGAGACAGATGAAAGAGAGAGAGAGAGAGATAGATCGATAGATAGATAGATAGATACATAGATAGATAGATAGATAGATAGATTGGTAGGTAGGTAGCTAGGTGCACCATAGATAGATAGGTAGACAGACAGACAGACAAACAGATAGATAGATAGATAGACAGGTAGACACCTAGACAGCTAGACAGATAGACCGATGAAAGAGAGAGAGAGAGATAGATAGATAGATAGATAGATCGATCGATCGATCGATAGATAGATAGATAGAGTAATCAAATGAAAGAGAGAGAGGGAGAGATAGATAGCTAGATAGAGAGATAGATAGATAGATAGATACATAGCTAGATAGATAGGTAGGTAGGTAGACAGTCAGAGAAAGAGTGAGAGAGATCAATCGTCTTTCGATCCATCAGTGGCTTCGCTCTGCCATCCCTGATTCACAACAACCAATCTCTCCTATAGGTTTCCTATTTTTGAAACTTCCGCAACCGCCTTGTGCGGTACTACTGGTAACTATAGTTACTGGGGCTTATAAACCAACTACTTATAACTGGGGGGTTGTAGAAACGACTAGAAAATAACCCATGAACTTACCGGAACATTCCAGTTCACTGCTGAATCCGGGTTGGATCTCACAAGTGTATACCAGTTGCTGTTCTGGCAGACCGCTCAGCAGCTGCTGAAACACGGAAATTGCGATCCGCTCCTCTCGCGACAGGCTGTGCTCCACGCGCAGTTCACCAAAAGTGACCCAGTGACCGATGTCGTGACAATAGAAATGGGATAAGTTGCCAGCGACAGAAACTGACAGACCTGCGCTTCCCTATGTCAAAATCGATGCGAGGTGCGCCCGAACGATTCCGAACGATAGCTAACTGGGGATTGAATCTGAATGAACCTCTGGTAAACGTTAACAGTTTGCTATGGAAAATCACAATCTTTAATAGGTAAATATGGCAAATCACCATCTTTGACAGGTAAATATGGAAAATCATCTTTGACAGGTAAATATGGAAAATCACCATCTTTGACAGGTAAATATGGAAAATCACCATCTTTGACAGGTAAATATGGAAAATCACCATCTTTGACAGGTAAATATGGCAAATCACCATCTTTGACACGTAAATATGGCAAATCACCATCTTTGACAGCTAAATATGGCAAATCAATCCCCCTTGAAATTCGCCCCGAGAGGATGGGCGCACCAAAGTGTAGGGTGCCCAGCCTACCCCCCTACAAAATGGTATGGGGACACCTATAAAATGGTAGCACCCATGGGGGTTGCTGCCTACAAAATGGTTGCCCCAGGGTACCCCACCTGCCCACCAACATCAAGTATTTTGGGTTAACGTAGTGTCCAAAAAACTGTGAAAAATGGAAGAACCATTTTGTAAGACACAAAGCCACCCTGTGGTCGCACCCTGCTCTTTTTTGGGTGACCAATTTGTAGACAGTTTACTCTGAATGAAATTTCTTGTTAAAACCTCTCAAGCAATCCTTGCATATCTCAATTTTTTGCATCTTGTGCATCTGGCAATCGGGTTTCATAAAGTATCGTCCAGCAGAAGTAGTCAGATAGACTGGGCCGAAGTAGTGGGCATCGCTTTTTTTTTCTGGACCGGGGCTGGTTTCAAAATTTTGGAGGCTTTCAAAACTTTGCGATCATCTCCACCACAAAATCCACATGGTCGGTTGATATTTTTTTGTGTTCAAATATATTTACATTTGTGGATGTATTTATCAACTCCCCTTACCCATCTACAAAATGGTATTCCAAATCTTCTACAAAATGGAGGTGCCTGACACTGGCATATGATCTTGTTCTCATATAAAGTGATGTTGGGTGTGTATAAACAGGTCTCTTTCTACAAAATGGAGTGCCCCGACGGCAAAAAAAAATCCATAAAATCTGATTTATAGGGGGCCCATGGCCTACCATTTTAAATGGGATGGGCCTACCAAAGTGTAGGGTGCCCAGCCTACCCCCCTACAAAATGGTATGGGGACACCTACAAAATGGTAGCACCCATGGGGGTTGCTGCCTACAAAATGGTTGCCCCAGGGTACCCCACCTGCCCACCAACATCAAGTATTTTGGGTTAACGTAGTGTCCAAAAAACTGTGAAAAATGGAAGAACCATTTTGTAAGACACAAAGCCACCCTGTGGTCGCACCCTTGTCTTTTTTGGGCGACCAATTTGTAGACAATTTACTCTGAATGAAATTTCTTCTTAAAATCTCTCAAGCAATCCTTGCATATCTCAAATTTTTGCATCTTGTGCATCTGGCAATCGGGTTTCATAAAGTATCGTCCAACAGAAGTAGTCAGATAGACTGGACCGAAGTAGTGGGCATCGCTTTTTTTTCTGGACCGGGGCTGGTTTCAAAATTTTGGAGGCTTTCAAAACTTTGCGATCATCTCCACCACAAAATCCACATGGTCGGTTGATATTTTTTTGTGTTCAAATATATTTACATTTGTGGATGTATTTATCAACTCCCCTTACCCATCTACAAAATGGTATTCCAAATCTTCTACAAAATGGAGGTGCCTGACACTGGCATATGATCTTGTTCTCATATAAAGTGATGTTGGGTGTGTATAAACAGGTCTCTTTCTACAAAATGGAGTGCCCCGACGGCAAAAAAAAATCCATAAAATCTGATTTATAGGGGGCCCAAGGCCTACCATTTTAAATGGGAAATGTCAACGGGGATGCAAATCACCATCTTTGACAGGTAAATATGGAAAATCACCATCTTTGACAGGTAAATATGGAAAATCTTCATCTTTGACAGGTAAATATGGCAAATCACCATCTTTGACAGGTAAATATGGCAAATCACCATCTTTGACAGGTAAATATGGAAAATCACCATCTTTGACAGGTAAATATGGCAAATCACCATCTTTGACAGGTAAATATGGCAAATCACCATCTTTGACAAGTAAATATGGCAAATCACCACCTTTGACAGGTAAATATGGAAAATCACCATCTTTGACAGGTAAATATGGCAAATCACCATCTTTGACAGGTAAATATGGAAAATCATCTTTGACAGGTAAATATGGAAAATCACCATCTTTGACAGGTAAATATGGAAAATCACCATCTTTGACAGGTAAATATGGAAAATCACCATCTTTGACAGGTAAATATGGAAAATCACCATCTTTGACAGGTAAATATGGCAAATCACCACCTTTGACAGGTAAATATGGCAAATCACCATCTTTGACAGGTAAATATGGAAAATCACCATCTTTAAGTTTGGTAAATATGGCAAATCACCACCTTTGACAGGTAAATATGGAAAATCACCATCTTTGACAGGTAAATATGGAAAATCACCATCTTTGACAGGTAAATATGGCAAATCACCACCTTTGACAGGTAAATATGGAAAATCACCATCTTTGACAGGTAAATATGGAAAATCACCATCTTTGACAGGTAAATATGGCAAATCACCACCTTTGACAGGTAAATATGGACAATCACCATCTTTGACAGGTAAATATGGAAAATCACCATCTTTAAGTTTGGTAAATATGGCAAATCACCATCTTTGACAGGTAAATATGGAAAATCACCATCTTTGACAGGTAGATATGGAAAATCACCATCTTTGACAGGTAAATATGGAAAATCACCATCTTTGACAGGTAAATATGGAAAATCACCATCTTTGACAGGTAAATATGGCAAATCACCATCTTTGACAGGTAAATATGGAAAATCACCATCTTTGACAGGTAAATATGGAAAATCACCATCTTTAAGTTTGGTAAATATGGCAAATCACCACCTTTGACAGGTAAATATGGAAAATCACCATCTTTGACAGGTAAATATGGAAAATCACCATCTTTAAGTTTGGTAAATCAACTAATGCCAAGTTAGGATTAATAATCCCCGCGGTATTAATCAACCCCCTCTGCCCATTTTTTTTTTTGTAATTTAAAAAAAGGTGGTCCCCCAGGATTAATAAACCGTTTGGCTGGGACATGATTAATCAACCCCCTGTGCTGAAATCCATTTTTTTATTCAACAATTTTATTTCCAATTCTATTTATTTCCAATTGCGTTTTACTTTTTTTTTTATCATCATTGTTATACTTAAGGTTTAAGTTGATCATTGAAAATTTCAAAAAACAACTATTCCCCAAATGATCGATTTCTAATTAAAATCTTTATAAAAATCATCAGTTTGGATAGCTCCCAAAGGGTACCCCCCATGAGCCCATGTCCCCCATTAATAATAACCACGGTTTGCCCCTGATTAATCAACCACCTTTCTGATCCATGAGATTTTAACAAATCCAATGGAATTCTATTAAGATCTAATTGACGTAAGCCATATCCAAAGTTTTTTGGTTCAGAGTTGCTTATTATTAAGGGGCGGTCAAGAAAACTAGCCAGAAGGTCCGACTGACCTACCAGGGGGGGGGGGTGATTAATCCGATGTTGGCATTATTTCTATGGGCCATGTTCAATCGCTATGTAGCAAATTACCGGAGAGTAACTAGCAAAATTATGCCGAGTTAAAGGGACTAAGAGTTGATTTATCCTTGTGATAGCTAAGTTGACGCGCTAATCACTTTCTTACGTATATTTTATGAGGAATGTATATACATATATATATACATATATATATATGTATATATATATATGTATAATTATATATATAACTAGATTTAATATGATTCAATGGGTTTACACAGCAACAAACATCACTGCGAGGGCCTCACCTTGTATGCTGTCCCAGCAAAAGAAGAATCCAAAGGGGGAAAAGAAGTCGCCGAAAAATATGAGAAATATGTGGATTGAAATTTGGGTATCATATTATGTGTGATTATATGAAATATCTTATCATATCAGTATAATTATCAATAGTATACCAAATCCCATGCTTATCATATGTTATCATCATGCCCTTTGACCTGCAATCTTCCGCAACAAAACACTTGTTTCAGGACTTTGCTTCACATCTTTCAAATGAAAAAAACCCACGTACATTGTTTGGTGAGATTGGTAGTTGTGCTTCTGGGGTAAAGTAAACCCTCTGGTTATGACTAACAGTTCGCCATGGAAAATCACCATTTTTAATAGGTAAACCATCTATTTCTATGGGTCATGGCTTCCATGGCTATGTTAAATAACCAGAGGGTAACAGTATAACATTTTACTGACCTGAAATCTTCGGCCATTTGGCAATGATGCCCTTACAATTCCCATCATTCCAGGGTTCGATCGCAGTGAGGTCCCCGTCCTTCCACCTTCATCCTGAGATTTTGCGGGCAGGATTAGGAAATATATGAGTATATCATATACGGTACATCACATAACTGGGAAACCGGACTGTGGCTTGTGTATATTGTCTGTATATATATAACATATAATTATATAATAATCAGATATGTATGTATATATAATATATATGTCAACAAACATAGACACACATAGTGAATTGGGTCTAATCCCCCTTACATCCCCCTGCAGGGTTTTATCAACATATTGTGCCTCGTTTACAGTGCCTTATCAAAACAGTTGTAATCTTTTCACAGGCCCTACGAGTATAATGACGTTCGTGTTTCACTGCTTTTCTCCATGGACTGCGGAAAGGGACATTGCCATTGGTAAAAAGGGCCGGCCGAGAGTCCTGGGGACTTCAACCTACCGAGAAAAGAAGGTGTGTAGATATTCACTTGATAAGTTTCATTTACTAGATATAAACATACACTGTAAATTATATCCATATGTATATAATGTGTATGTGTACTAATTGTAGATTGATATGATCATTCGATCAAAAGAGAGGTAGTTCTGGAGTACAACGTAGGGCACCCAAGATAGGTAAGTTAGTTTATAATTCATAATCATAATAACTGGATATAACATGATATAACTGGGAGATCTATGCGGGACCGGATCGTTTTTTTCACATGGAATGTGTGGTGATGAGGGTCAACTAAAGCTACCACGACTTCCCGAGAAAATCGGAATATGTGTGGGATCCCTTAATACCAAGCATGGGGGATCAACTGGAAGGGCAGTATTAAATAAGAACTGATAAGAGCGCATCATTTGACTTAACAAAAAGCAATCCAGACTTGTTCGATGATGGAACTGATGTTCTCTGGGCTCAACCCTACTTTTTTTCAGTGCAGTTCCATCCCGTTCAGTGGATAACCATCCCAACTATTCCCAACTTATGGGGGTTAAGATAGCATGGTTATAGCCGTAAAGTAATCTCAACGTCCCAAGTACTCCGGATCCGGATCAAATGGAATTCTGGTCTGGATCACTAAGTCACGACATGTCACGACATGTCACGACACCTGGATGAATTTTGGAGGCTTCTTTAAGAATGAATAACACTATAATAAACTATATAGATATATTATATATATATATAGATAACATTGGGATATATTGAGATTACCATGTTAAATTTGGTCAGCAAGAAAGCACTAAACCAAGACAAGAACAAGTGGGCATATCATGCAAGCAGACCATCGGTTGGATTTACTGCTCCGCATGTGCGCCTTAAGTCACGCTGGCTAAGTCAAATGTCATCCTGTCATGTCAACTGTGCACAGATTTCTGCAGCAAGAAAACTACTACACCACCACTTTGCAAGCACCCGCCGTGCACAAAAGAACTGTTATCTAAAACAAGAACAAACGGGCAGATCATGCAAAGCAAACCATCGGTTGGATTTACTGCTCCGCATGTGCGCCCTCAGTCATGCTGGCTAAGTCAAATGTCATCCTGTCATTTCAACTATGTACAGATTGTTGCGGCAAGAAAACTTCTAGACCACCACTTTACAAGCACACGCATTGCACAGAAGAACTCAATCAAAATAAGAACGAACGTGCAGATCATGCAAATCAGACCATCTGTTGGATTTACTGCTCCGCATGTGCGCCCTCAGTCATGCTGGCTAAGTCAAATGTCATCCTGTCATTTCAATTATGTGCAAATTGCTGCGACCAGAAACCTTTTACACCACCACTTTGCAAGCACCCGCCATGCACAAAAGATCTCAATCAAAACAAGAACAAACGGGCAGATCATGCAAATCAGACCATCTGTTGGATTTACTGCTCCGCATGTGCGCCCTCAGTCATGCTGGCTAAGTCAAATGTCATCCTGTCATTTCAATTATGCGCAAATTGCCGCGGCAAGAAACCTGTTACACCGTTACACCACCACTATCCACCACTTTGCAAGCACCCGCCATGCACAAAAGATTTCAATCAAAACAAGAACAAACGGGCAAATCATGCAAATCAGACCATCTGTTGGATTTACTGCTCCGCATGTGCGCCCTCAGTCATGCTGGCTAAGTCAAATGTCATCCTGTCATTTCAATTATGCGCAAATTGCCGCGGCAAGAAACCTGTTACACCGTTACACCACCACTATCCACCACTTTGCAAGCACCCGCCATGCACAAAAGAACTCAATCAAAAAAAGAACAAACGGGCAGATCATGCAAATCAGACCATCTGTTGGATTTATTGCTCCGCATGTGCGCCCTCAGTCATGCTGGCTAAGTCAAATGTCATCCTGTCATTTCAATTATGTACAGATTGCCGCGGCAAGAAACTTGGTACACCACCACTTTACAAGCACCCGCCATACACAAAAAAACTCAATCAAAACAAGAACAAACGGGCAGATCATGCAAATCAGACCATCTGTTGGATTTACTGCTCCGCATGTGCGCCCTCAGTCATGCTGGCTAAGTCAAATGTCATCCTGTCATTTCAATTATGTGCAAATTGCTGCGACCAGAAACCTTTTACACCACCACTTTGCAAGCACCCGCCATGCACAAAAGATTTCAATCAAAACAAGAACAAACGGGCAGATCATGCAAATCAGACCATCTGTTGGATTTACTGCTCCGCATGTGCGCCCTCAGTCATGCTGGCTAAGTCAAATGTCATCCTGTCATTTCAATTATGTGCAAATTGCTGCGACCAGAAACCTGTTACACCACCACTTTGCAAGCACCCGCCATGCACAAAAGATCTCAATCAAAACAAGAACAAACGGGCAGATCATGCAAATCAGACCATCTGTTGGATTTACTGCTCCGCATGTGCGCCCTCAGTCATGCTGGCTAAGTCAAATGTCATCCTGTCATTTCAATTATGTGCAAATTGCTGCGACCAGAAACCTGTTACACCACCACTTTGCAAGCACCCGCCATGCACAAAAGATCTCAATCAAAACAAGAACAAACGGGCAGATCATGCAAATCAGACCATCTGTTGGATTTACTGCTCCGCATGTGCGCCCTCAGTCATGCTGGCTAAGTCAAATGTCATCCTGTCATTTCAATTATGCGCAAATTGCCGCGGCAAGAAACCTGTTACACCGTTACACCACCACTATCCACCACTTTGCAAGCACCCGCCATGCACAAAAGATTTCAATCAAAACAAGAACAAACGGGCAAATCATGCAAATCAGACCATCTGTTGGATTTACTGCTCCGCATGTGCGCCCTCAGTCATGCTGGCTAAGTCAAATGTCATCCTGTCATTTCAAATATGTGCAAATTGCCGCGACCAGAAACCTTTTACACCACCACTTTGCAAGCACCCGCCATGCACAAAAGATCTCAATCAAAACAAGAACAAACGGGCAGATCATGCAAATCAGACCATCTGTTGGATTTACTGCTCCGCATGTGCGCCCTCAGTCATGCTGGCTAAGTCAAATGTCATCCTGTCATTTCAATTATGTGCAAATTGCTGCGACCAGAAACCTGTTACACCACCACTTTGCAAGCACCCGCCATGCACAAAAGATCTCAATCAAAACAAGAACAAACGGGCAGATCATTTTTTATCAGACCATCTGTTGGATTTACTGCTCCGCAAGTGCGCCCTCAGTCATGCTGGCTAAGTTAATCCCCAGGGTTTGCTCCTTTGCATGGTGCATTTTCGATACCAAAAAATCAACCCTTCGATGGTGAGTAAATGATATGTCCACTAGCTACGGAGAGTAAATCAACATTATTGTTAACTAAATTGAACTAATTATGTTCAAAATATACTTTCTGAATACATCATATACCCGGTACCTTCTGGTAATTTACCATAGCTATGGAACATGGCCATTTAGTTCGTTGATTTACCCATTAATAGCATGGTGGTTTTCCATAGTTTTTTGTTAACGTTTACCAGAGGGTAATCATATAAAAATAACTGTTAGTTGGACCATTATCCATCATCATTCATTATTAGCCATTATTATCAATCATTATCCATTATTGTCCATCATTATCCATCATTATCCATCATTATCCATTATTACCCATAATTATATAACTATTTTCTGCCATGGAAACAGCTCCATTTCCCCAGTTCCTTGGTACATCTTGGTACCCCGCACCTCGCTCAACAGACTCAACAGCTGCAATTCCGTCGTCCAACTCGGCGACCTTTTTCGGAGCTTCAAGATGGCTAGCTAGGGCCAGGTGCCCGTCAGCTATAAGTTGATTTATAACCCCCATGAATTATAGTTATAAATATCATACAATGTGGTTATGAATCACTAAATTCACTAAATATCATAAACCATGTAGTTATAAGTTGCTGAAGATAACTAGAAAATAACTATGGTTTACCCTGTGGTTATTTAACATAGCCATGGAAAATCCCTTATAAATGGAGGTTTATAGCTGAGAAAATAATCTATAAATTGGCCATGGTCCATGGCTATGTTAAATAACCACAGGGTAAACCATAGTTATTTTGTAGTTATCTTCAGCAACTTATAACTACATGGTTTATGATATTTAGTGATTCTAAGTACTGTAAACCATTAGAATTCACCTGAAAAGTTCGGCCATTTGTGGTTGATTCCCCTATAAAAACCATGATTCGATCGGGAGGATAGTGAGGTCACTATGAATGTCTATATGAATTACCCAGATATACTGACCATAAAGTCAGCAGTTGTGCAAGTTCTGTTTGCCAACTTAGCGAAAACGGAGCCTGAAGATAGGTACCCCCTGGTAAACGTTTACATAACTATGGAAAATCACCATTTTATAGCTGGGTAAATCAATGAACTAAATGGCCATTTTCAAAAGCAACATGTTAGTTTACCAGAGGGTTTTTCTGGTGGTCTGAAACAAATCAAAGATAATAGCTGGATGGTCTATTACTAATTACGGTTTAGTTCATGGGAAATCCTATCCAAATGGATGATAAGCTGGGTATAAGTAGTAGCTGTATATATAATCTATCTGGGGGATCATATAATCATAATATATTAATGATTAACTGTTAGTTTACCAGAGGGTAAGCTGACCTACCTCCGCCACCCTTCCGGTACCTCTTTGCCAATGAGGCAGATGTGGCAGATGCAGCAGCGTCCTGTCGCAAAAAAACGTTGGAGTTATCCACGGCAAGATCAGCGATTTCCTGAAAATCATGGGGACATGGGGATCCAATACACAGAGGGATTTTTTGTCGGCTTTCACGGGGAATTTCATGCGGATTGAGTGGGATTTATTGTTGTGTTTAATGATTCCATGAGGATTCGATACAGATTTAATGGAATTGAACGTGGATTTAAGGGGATATCAGCAAAATGCTAATTTGGGAAATTGAAAAATGAATTGGTTCACCAGTTCATTTTTTTTCTATAAAGTGTTTTCCTTGTCAACTCCGACCCAAGAAAATGCAAACACATGCAAAGAGGATCCTACTGTCTTCATGTTTTCGATGAATGGATCATCAAAAAAACACACATTCCCATTGTGTATCATTGTTTATTTTGTTTCGGATGGAACTCATAGATCCAAGATCTCGGAAACGTAAAACCAGTTCTGACCATTTATTTTTTCGTTGGCCTCACTGCAAAATCGCTGCGTTTCATGTGGGGTTAAGTCAAAATGAAGTCCGCCCAGTCCGCTTGGATTGCTGCGCCCTGCTGCGCTGCAAAAACCGTCATATTAATGGAGAAATACACATGATTTCTATTGATTTGAAGATTTGTCATGCAATTACATTTCTTCACATCAATTCATTCAGCCTTCCATAATGCGACCATGTTCTTAAAAGAATTCTGCCTCAAACACAAATTCATCAAGTCTTAGATTACCCTCTGGTAAACTAACATAACTATGGAAAATCACAATTTTTAATGGGAAAACTCACTATAAATGGCCATTTTCAATACCTATGTTAAATTACCAGAGGGTAAGTCCAATGTTTGTTTTGTCTAGAAATAGGGTAGCTCTACATTCACTGGTCTATTATCATTCGCCGTATCAAAATTACCATTTTGGTGCCCACATCCACCGTTTTCAAACACACCCATATGATATCAAGTTTATTGTGTTCATTCCACTTGATCCAATTTCATCACCATGAAAATATTGATCACTGTTCCCAATTCTAGCGTTGGTTACCTCCCATTATATCCGAACTATATCCGAACTATATCAGAACCAATGGAGAGTTCTGAAGTCATGGGGAATCCCCAGTTGTCACCATGGTTTCAACTTTCTAAGTCATAGGATAGCTCCATCTCTCTACAAGGTGAACTCCAGTTATAAGTTTGTTGGTTTAGGTCCCATTACCATCTGGTTATGACTAACAGTTAGCCATGGAAAATCACCATTTTTAATAGGTAAACCATCTATAAATGGACCATGGCTTCCATGGCTATGTTAAATAACCAGAGGGTAACTATAGTGATAAGATGTGATAAGTACCAGAAACCATACTTATTTTCATGTTACTGGATTTATAGTTATCATAAACCATGGTTATTAAACCGAGTCATGTATGTTGCTTTATAAACCACCCAAAAAAACATACTTATTATGTTATTGGATCTATTGGCAGCAACGTAGCTATTGTAAACGGGGATTATGACACAGGATATCCCTTCCAAGCTCAGGACATTTCAGGACATGTCCGGACTCCCCGTCCGGAATTCCGCCCACAAAAACCACTGGCAGAACACCTCGCGAGGGATTTTACCACAAGACACGTGAAACTGGTGGTTTCAACCCACCCCTCTGAAAAATGATGGAGTGAGTTCGTCAGTTGGGATGATGAAATTCCCAATATATGGAAAAATCAAATTCATGTTCCAAACCACCAACCAGAGATGAATCATGGAAAGCCTCACACAGCAAAGTAAATACCTACTAAATCAAGAGTCAGACATGTTTTCCTTCCGAGGGTTACTATTCAATTCATCAACAACACAAACTGTAGTAATTAAGCATAATTTCCTTTTTCCAAAGTCACTAACAACTATAAATCTAGTCTTACATACCCTGAACCCGCAAAAAAAACTGATATCTGGCTGGTGCATTTCGTTTCGTATAAACATTGCAAGAAATACCCAGCAACTCTCCAAAGCCAGATAAACCCATCAAGATTCATATACAGTTCAATCATAATCAAGGCAAAATAAAACTTCGAGGTTTATTGAGCTGCAGTCTGGTAATCCAAGCTGGCAAAGGAAAATTATAGTCCAATTCATTGATCAAGTAAAAACTTTAAACAATCAAGACGCATAGTGGTTGACCACTACATTTCAGGCACCCTAGCTTTTCCGGTTGCTGTTGGACAATTTGTTAGTTGCACTTCTGTCCCTGGCTATTCCAGTTGCTGTTGGACAATTTGTTAGCTGCACTCTAGCCGAAACACCATGGCCCAGCTTAGGATACATTTACAATCATTTACAGCAACTCATCTACCCCAACATAGTTTATCCAAATAATGATTTTTGATGTTTTTTTGAGTCCCTAAGTCTAAACCCACTTGAGCCGTCATTGGTGCTCTCCACCCACCCCACAAATATTTGTCACTGGGGATTATGATCTAGCCTCGGGCAAACGTTTACATAACGAACTGGAAAATCACCATTTTTAATAGGTAAATCAACAAATTAAATTGCCATTTTCAATAGCTATGTTTGTTTACCAGAGGGTAAAATAGAGGGAACAGCTGTCCAAAAAAATGTGTCTGAAATCAACAACCCGTGACTGGAGCTCATTAGCTCACTACTGTGGCATTCCCAATATATGGCCTTGGTTGATGGGATGGGATTGGGTGTATAATCCATGATGTCCAATATGGGGGTTTCCATAAATGGGGGTACACAAAAATGGTAGCTTTATTTCATGGAAAATCATGGAAAATCCCATTGAAATGGATGATTTGAGGGTACCCCTAGTTCAGGGGTAGGGGGCCACACACCCAAATTGCCATTTTGTTGACTATATCCCATCAATGATGATTATACATTATACACCCACAAAAAATCACCTTGATATCACATTTGTTCATGCTGAAATCCACATTTTTGATGATTACTGTAAATCGGAACGAAATCCCATAAAATCACAATTTTTCATGGGTGAAATCCCATAAAAATCACCATTTTTCATGGTTTAAATCCATAAAATCACCATGTTTGATGGTTTAAATCTTCATATTTTTCGGTGGTCTATGATAGCCCGGTTCAAAAAACTCGCCAAGGCCGCAGCCTGCCATGGGTAGCCCGCCATGGTCGGGCTGTCTCCATGGGATCTTTGATGGAACCACAGTTGTGGCCCAACTAACAGTTACTGGTTGGTGGTTTCAACCCACCCTTCTGAAAAATGATGGAGTGAAAGTCAGTTGGGATGATGACATTCCCATATGGAAAAATAAAAGTCATGTTCCAAACCACCAACCAGGTTATGAATTGGTTTATAGTTTATAGGTGATATACAACCTTAGTTATAGGAGTTATAATTCCATTTAGAACTGTTAAGGGGGGCCAACTATCTTTTAATGGGAATATATATAATGATATATAACCTCAGTTATAGGAATTATAATTCCATTTCGAACTGTTAGTTGGGCCATAACAGCAACTGGTTCAAATTGAGAACTTAAAAGTTGTTCCTAAGTTGAAGCAATGGGATGATGTGTTATGGAATGGAACGACTTTCAAAGTTCAATGACTTTGTTGTCCGCAATTGAAAAACTCAAAGAACGAACAGAACTCAAATTGTATTATGAATACTGGTTGGTGGTATACCTACCCCTCTGAAAAATATGAGTTCGTCAGTTGGGATTATTATTCCCAATATATGGAAAAATAAAAAATGTTCCAAACCACCAACCAGAATATGTGCGGTTTGATTCACCGGCCATCTGGATGAACAGAATCTAGCTACTTGACTGATCAACTTGGATTTGCCATCCAATGCCAACCACCAAATCGATTCACATCAATGGTGGATGCCAACTTGGGAAAAAGAATAAACAGCAACTTGCATTCAGAATACAGCTTGCTGCATCATGCGCCTGTTTCTGACAAACCGCCAGCCAAATGGCTCTGCAGAAATTGACAATCCCAAGCGCAAATGGATCGGGTATTGGCTTTTGCTTTTGGCAGTCACCATCCGTATGTGTTATTTTTCCACAACAAGGTGGCCGCCTCCAAGTTATAAGTTGGTTTATAAACGCTATTACCCACAGTTCTAGTATGTTTTTTTGTATCACCACAAACCCACACAAAACCTTGTTCTGGGAGATATTTTATCGAACTGTTCGCTATCATTTGGAGGCCCCGCGGCCCCGCCTTTTGTAGATTCAAAAAAAAACGTTGGCCGGTGGCCGTAGAACTGGGTGACTCAATGCAATCATTTTTCCAGTTCCTGATGGATGGCCTAATCGTGTTTTTCAACCCATGGCGACGACTGGGGATCCGCCATGACGGCTTTGAAACACCCGTTCATATCATTGGAAAGTTGAGGGAATGAATTTCTGTGAGCCTTGGATGGACTACGCGGCTCTTCTTTTGCTTCGTACGCAAGCAAAAAAACTACTCCCTCCTTTTTTATTTTTATTTTTTAAGTGGAGAGTTTCAGATCATGATCACATGCCATTACCAAACATACGAAATGATTTCTCAGTAGCTTATTGGTGATTGTAAGCGTAGTCAGATGGATTGATAAGATAAACCTGTAAGCAGGGGGCACTACATTGTACCAAACATGTTCCAAACATGTTAACCTTCGCCGGCCGACGCCTTTTTTGGGCAGACGCCCGGACCTTCTTTCCTTCCTCACTTGGTAGAAGCTACCAGCTGAAACCAGGCCAGCCTTGGTATCTGCGGAGCTGTCCGACTTACTCAGCTTGGTTGGGGAAAATCAAAAAGGCCCTTCTTTTTAGCCTCAAATCCAGGTCAAGAGATTTTCCACAGATTTTCCCATCCAATGTTCATGCATATCCTCAAAAAACAAAAACGAATATGGCACAATTTAAGGTACCCCATCGAATGTATCACACGTCGCAACATCTCCATAGTTCGAGGTTCTGGCCATGGGATTCAACTGCTGCAACTGGTTGGTTATATATAGTTGGTGATATATATATATATATATATATCACTTAAATGGACTTAAGTGATCTGCCAAATACGTTTAAGTTGAAAGTGCAATTCCAGTTATAAGTGGACACGTGTCACCATGGTTCACCATAGTTATGGGGGTAATAACCATAAAAGTAGCCTTAACTGCACCCCTTCAGGTAGGTTGTATCCCATCGTATTCCAGTTCATTCCCTGTAAATCCAATTACATCACCATGTTAAACTAACATAACTATGGAAAATCACCATTCTTCATGGGAAAATCCACTATTTCTATGGCAATTTTCAATAGCTTTTTGTATGTTTACCAGGCCGGGTACATCACCATGTTTGATGGTTGAAGCCCATTTTCTTCATCGAAAAATCAAGTCACCAAGTTGAATTTTTTGGTACCCCAACATCCGGCGATGTATCATCACATGTTCCCATTAATATGCTATATGCATACCTGCAACCTCCATGTGGTCCTTTTTTCTGCCGTTGCTCCTAAAGGCAGAAATTTTAGTCGTTCTTGTTGAAAACTGCCGTTCTTGTAAAAAACTGCCGTTGCCATCGAAAAAATGCCGCCACAAAAAATTGGCATACCATGAGGTTCTTTGATTCTTTAGGATCTTTTGGGTGAAAACATTGCCCGGCCAGCGCTGCTCCATTACAGTCAGCTTGTGGGTTATGGATTGCACCTACAGTAGTTGGATACCAATGTCATTAACAAATCAGATGAAAAACAAGTATCAACCATTGAAGGCTTCCCAACTCCACAGCCCATGACCTCACTGCCTGATCAGCAGAGAAATTTTTCCTCGTCTCGTTGATTGGCTATGTCAGCATCGAATGAGAGGCAGGGCCCCTGCAGCCCAACCAAAATTCACCTTAAGCGAATTTGATTTTGTCAAATTAGAACGCACAGGCATGCCATGTAAATCACTTTTTGGAGTTTGCATTTGATTTCCGAAATCTTCGGTGAACAGCTTTGGCTTTGCAAAGGTAAAGCTGCAGTGTTCGTTTCATTTGGAGTCTTGAATCCACACGGCGTGACAACCGTGCTAATTTTCCGATTACATCTTCGTTCATCTCCCCTGAAAAGATCAAAGGCGATGGTACAAACTCGACTGATGGATCGTCCAACATAACTGCAATTTCTTGTGCGGTGTGTGACAGCATATGGTACTTTGATTTCATCGCATATCCAGTGAAAGAGTGCTCATTGATACATCGAAATGCTAGACCGTTGTAATGCTTCAAAAATTCGTAGAGCTCTTGGTACACACACATTGCACAATGTCGTGGCAACCAAAGACCATGGCTGTAAAGGGTCCTTTGCCACGTTCTCACACACACAGCCCCCAAGTACATAGAAGTCAGGGTTGGAATGTAACTTTGAGCCAATGGGTCATTCATCAATCCTTTGACTAACACTGCCAACCACTTCACCAGAAGTGTCACGTCAGAACCTTTCGCATTGACCCACCCATAATCTGTTTGCTTTTTGGCATTGAAGAACACCGGACTGAAACTTCTGAGACCAGGTTTCCCACCAGTTGATAGACAATACAGGTAGAAATGTCTGTGTCCTCGTTGCAGGCAGATGTCGCGTCTGTTCGAGACGCCGGGCCCTTGGTCTTTGAAGTAGCCAAGGAAGATAAGGAGCAACACCGAAGACCCCACAAAATCCCTGAGCAAACCAACTTTGGAATTGTGGAACAGATCTCGACGAAGAACCCGCTCAGGTTTTCCAGATTCATCCAAAGGTTCAAACGGTATTCTTGTAATTGTTGGAGCAACATCCCAGGGTCGATTTTGGAACAAATGGTTCCTCCAGCATGGAAAATGACCAGCATCTTCGAAGGGAATGTCGGGTGAACCCGCCTCACATTCATGGCACATTTGGAGACCACTTCCAATCTGTTTGTTGAAACATCGTTTTAAGTTGGCGATCTTCTCGTACCATTTGAGATCTCCTTTCAAGCCAGTAAGGGCAACGAACCATCTTTGACCATCTATCTCAAGTCCAGTCTCAAACAATTCCTTGAAGTCATCGCAAACTTTTTGCAAAACCAACTCCAAACCATTGGTTTCTTTGTAAAGATCATTTGGAAGAATTGACAGAACGAACTTGGTGAGGTTCGTGTTGTGCTCCTGGTAAGAGCACGCTGGTGCACAATCTGGTAGGTTGCCACAATTCATTTTTCCTGCATTGGTTTTGAAACGCTTGGCACATGGTCCCCTTAGGGTGCAGTCATCACACTCATCATGTCTGCGTTTCTCACGGATATTCGAAGCAGTTCCCACACCCAAGCACGATTCAAACATGATCACAGCAGTATTTCCCTTTTTTTCCCTCTACCTTCATCTCCATGAAAACAGATTGCCAGTGTATTCCGGGGGCTTCGAATTGCATGATTCTCTTGGAACAGCCGGTGTGTAGGATGAAATGCCTCATAGTTCCTCCAGAAACCTTCTAGTTGGGATTGTCCTTTGTCAAGTTCAATAACTCCTCCCGTCAACACTTCGGGAGCATTCTTCAGCAGGAATCGTACAAAGGATTTTGGGCTGATGTACGAAACCACAACTGTCTCCCCGTGGTGGTTCTCAAGGGTGAAGTCTGTGAAAGGAACTTTCCAGGTAAGACCCCATCTGTTCACAAATGCATGGGCTGCCCTGGAAGCATTTCCTGTTTGTTTACCCAAGGTATGCTCACCAAGTTCTTTTCGAGCTTGACAACCGAAAGCTTCCAACCTGGCTGCTGGGGCCTCAGCTGGCCACGAGCGAGGGGATGAGAAGGGACAAGGATGGATCATGATCAAGTTTTCAAAGTCAGGTTACCTTGAGAAAACGATATTGAGAAAGTATGAGAACCAGACTCCATCACCAAGTAGTTCAGCATATTCATGCGCTAAGTGAGGATCACCTTCCAAATCTCTAGCACCTGGCATCCAGGAGAACATAGCCGAAAACTCAAATAAAAACGATAGACTTCAGATTCATGAATAAGAAACCTTTTTGTCTTGCTGGAATGCGGCACCGATCAGAAAGAGGATTGGTAGGACCAGAATGGGCCATGTGCTGTAAGATACGGACGGACAACATGTGTTCTGCACACATTGTCATTTTGAGCTGCAACATTCCCCTTGCCAGTAACGAAGCAAAATGAAATTGGTTCATTTTTTTGGAACAGAATGTATTGCCACTGAACAATTCCATGGCTGAGGCTGAGGTGTCACTAGCTCAAGCAACCCCAAGATCTAAAGAACTGAATGCTGCGCACGCTGAATCTGTTCAACGTGAAAAGCATGTAATGAAACTAACATTGTCCATTGTCACATGATTGAAGACTTCACTTTGCAGAGCGTTGGCGCTTCGCCGGGGGGGTCTCAAACTTCACTGCTTGAGCCTTTGCCTTGGGGGCCATCTTTGGCTGCACCTTAGGTCGTGCCCTGGGCTTCGATTTGGCACCAGCCCGAGGCCTCTCCCGGTGAGGCCGACTTCGGGAGGAAAGGCCTCCCAAAGTTGAAACTAATTGACATCAGCAGGCATTGGGAACAACTGTGGGTAACTAGATGAAATTGACTGATGTCCCAAACCCGACCTGGAACGGGCCTCCAATGACAGGGAGTCAGTGGCCCTTAGGAATGCAAAGATGAAAGAAGAACTCATAGACTCATAATACGTTTGCACTATTAGAATTTCAAGATATTGTTTCAGGCTTCGACACAATCTTTAACATTCTTGTTTTGAGTCTCGGGCATCTTCTGCACAGTCTCAAGCTTTGTTTTGAGAGCAAGCTCTGACCTGGATTTCACTGGGCCAAGAAATAATTTGGGATGAGCAAAGCTAGCCCTAAAGCTAGCCCTAAAGACAAAAATTATGGTTTTCTTCATTTTGTTTCCATGTTGGCTCCATGACAACTAATTTAGAACAAGTAGCTTCTTGCTGTAGCCCGTAATCACCCCATTGGAGTAGTCATCAGACATCTCCTTGTGAACCCCCTCCATGTCATTGATGGACTTCGAGATCGAGATCTTCAGCCTCAAACGATTCAAGTCTTTACCATGACTTTTTGACTTCAACCACTTCAGCTTCGGGTATATAACTTGTTGGATCCTAGGAACCTGGATTGGATCTCAGTCAGATCCTCAGCCTTCGGTGCGTTGAACTTATCGGCCAGGTCTTGCATTTTCTTCATGCGCTTGGCCAGAGCTGTCCTGGAGCCACATGCGCTGACCCAGGCAGACTGGGTCAACTGAGGGATTTGCTTGGAGAAATGGTTGAAAAAAACATGGGGACACTAAGTGCAGTCTAGAAACAAATACTTTGTGACCATGCTGCTGGGCAAAGCATCAGGATCAATTTCTGGCAGTCCAATCTGCTTTCCCTTTCGCTGGGTGGCTTCCTTTGACTCTTGCTCCTCGATCTTGTCGATGTCGGAGTCATCCAGCCCTGGACAGGATTAAGGGAAAAATTGGTATAAGCATCAGCCATGGATAAAATATGTTCAAAACATAGATCGCAGTTGCATGCTAAATAACCATGGGTTTACAGGAAAGCTGTTGATGGGCCTTCCGCATCGTGGTGATCAAATTCAACAGGGGCATCCATGGAACCCACGCCGGTTTCCTCAAACCGGACCCGCTTTCGGATGTCCAATCGGGACTCTTTCCTTACATCAAACTAGTTGCACAGCGAATCAACTGTCGAGAAAACAGCACTTCGTTTTTTGGGACACGGTCGAGACACATGCTGCCAAGAGTCTTGTGGCTCCCCTTGACTGCCAATTCCACGTAGTACATCCACAGGTTCTCGTAGGTATCTTTCCTGCCAGCAACGCTGCGGTGCATGCAGGGTCGTGTGGGACTATGGGCTGGACTTTGGGCTGCATTCAACAGTGCGGGCCTCATGAGCTTTTTGGGATTGGTCTTGCAGTGTTTCTTGATCGCCTCCATCCGCTGCCTTAATGGCAGGGAGACCATGGCTTATAAACACATAATTAGATGGAAATGGGCGAGTGCTAATGTTAAAGGAATGTATAATTTGTTGATACTTGTTTGCCGAAATGCTCGCTAAAACCCTTCTGAACCATCTGGTCATGGGATAAGAACTCCCCTTCGATCACCAGCTCTGAGCTTTGCATTTCCTGCCGGAGCACCTCCACCTCTGCACAGAAAGTTTCCTTAGCAAGCGGGGTGGAATAAGCACAGTAATGATCAGAAATGGGATGTACAGGAGTTGTGGGATGTAAAGGAATCCGGAAAGACCCAGAAAATGAAATTTAAATTCAAACTAAGGGTCAGGGTCGTAACCAACACTCTTAAAGATCTGCTCCAAGTTTTTCCTGGCCTGTCCCTTACCTTTCCACTCATTGAAGATAGTCTCAGAAACCTTTAGGCTTCCATCGGCTCGTGGGGTGAAAATTCTCTTGGCTCTCTGACGAACGGCATTTGCTGAAATGTGGTGTTCCCCAACATCAAAGCGTGGTGCCGATTGATCCCCAAAAGCAGGAACTTCAGCTGCATTAACCCCATCTAAGTTCATCATCGGTTTCTCGGGGTGAGCTGAGCCTGGGGCCAAAGGGTCTGGTACCTTTTGAGTCGGCTCAACATCATCTTCAACATCGTCATCTAAAAACTCAGCCGGAACGTCTGGCACGGTGGGAGCTGGAGACAAGCAGGGGCTCCTGTCAGTCTGCTCACTTTGCCAATCCTTGCCTTCACAAACTGATGGGGATACGACGATGGGTGAGGATGCCCGAAGTGGGGCAGCAACAGGTCGACCATCCTTGGGCAACACTTCAGTCTGGTTTTGCTCCAGCCAAGCTCGCAGTTCCTAGGATTACCAGGGATACGCTGAATCATAAGTAAGGGTTTGTCACTATTATTGGACCGTTCCCAATCAAGGATTTTGACAGGGCAAAAAGTGGACATGTTGGGCAATCATATCTAGGATAGTTTTAAATTCCTGATTAAAATAACATTACTGTCGTGTAGTCAATGAAATGGGGTTACCTCCATTTTTGGACCGACATCTAATGGGATCAAAATTGCAAACAAATAATGGGTTCAACTATAATGTACTTGAACCCTTTTTCCCCCGGTTGTTTTTCTTGTTTCTGTGACTAACCCACCCCAATATAAGGATGATCCAATACCAGTAACTTCAGTGGCTAGCTATTGGGTTATTTATGTAAGAAAGCCCTGCTGAAGAACTGAAGCTTGAAACCCAAGCAGATTATTGTATACCACCTGTTGGAAACTGGAAGGGAAATAAAGTTTTGGAGTCCAGTTCAATGGAGATTCTGCTAACTCTCGGACCATGTCTTCCTCACACTGGGACGCATGCTTTTCATGGGTGGCCTGAGTCAAGTTCATGGCATCCTCCAAGCTGGTGCCCGACCAGGTCTTGCTCACGATGGGCGGCATGAAGCAGGCAAGTCTCTGCGGCTTTCAGGATGGATCTCTGGATCTTCGAATGGCTAAGGAGGTAAACGCTATGGCATGTTTCCATCTAGGATCATTGAATAAACAACACCTTGAATGGATTTTAATGGATACTTTGAATTCAGCGCCTCTAATGGGGCTTACTCATCAGTATTTTGTTGGCACAATCACAGCATTGCATTATCACCTTACAAGAAACAGTGGGATCCCTTTTTGTCAGTGGACCAGACTGAGATGTTCCAGTGAATTGGCCTCCCCAATTTAGAAGGCATTGAATTGGAAACATGACATTCGTAAGTTGTAAGCACAACTTGTGAGAGTTGCAAAAACCATGTTTTTGGGGTGGTCGGCCAATGTCGCCGTTTGGTCGGGTAATGTCGCCGTTTTGTCGCCTAAAGTCGCCGCTGCAAAAAATGACATTTTTTTTGGAACTTGTTTTTTTACATTGATTCTCCCATGCGTTTGCAACTCTCTACTCCAACCACTCAGTGGGGAGATATGGTCGAAATTCCGCAGGAATTCTCAATTTGTCACGTCCTCGCAGGTACAGCAAACAATCCGCCAAATTGGCTTCAGGCAGCTCCGACCATTCAAGTTTCCCGAACAACTCTGGGAGGGGCGTCGTGAGATCCACCTGGGCCACGCGTAGGAGTGGTGTAAAGATGGGCAGACTAGAAGGGGTGACCTCACCAAAACAAGGATGCCCATTGAAGTTCCATGAGTGTGTCATACTGTGCACCATGACAGCTGTTGCAGTATGTACATGAACTTTACAGAACCAAGGGGCAGGTTCAGTCCATGTTGATCCTTCATTCTGCATATCGGGAATCATTTGGATCACAGCTTTTGCAAATGTTGCTGTGTACGTCCTTAGTTTGATGAAAGGTATGATCAATCAAGTTCCCACTTGAAAAGACACATCTATACTACCATACATAACTGTTGAACAGTAGGTACACCTGTTGCTAAGTATATTCCAAAGCACTGGGTTGAACGCAGCTCGGGCGTCCCTTTGTAACGGACCCTGCCCTGCCCATCCACGTATTTGGTTGCAGTACGGATGGTCCCCTTCTGTTTGGTTTTTGACAGCTTGCCAGTCTGAAGACGTGCAATCCCCTTACTGTTGGAAACCAAAGTTGTTCTTTTCGGCGTTGGGTGGTTGAATGCAGCCATCCACATGTAGATTTGGTACACCTGAATATCAGGGTTCAATCATGTTCAGCATTGTTTTTAATAAAGGGCTGTTGTATTCCCCGAACCCCATTGACACTTTGTGGAAACTCAACTTCCAAAAAAAAGAGTTGGTTACCCACAGCCCGTTCCCAGCACCCCGGATCCCTAGGTTCCTGGGCACAATAGCTATTGCTAGGTGGCTACTAGGAGGACCTCTTGGGGGTTGGATTTGCTCATAGGCTTGGAATACAAAGATCGGCACCCCATGAAAGCAAATTGGAAAAGGTACCCCAAAAGAACCATCCAACAATTTTCATTTAGGGGAGAACATGTTCAAACCATTTGTTCAAGAAGCCACGCCTTTAGACTAGCCTGCTTGAGCAGCCGTACTGCCTTCAAGAAGGGCTCGTAGAGAAACACCAATGTAGAATGTGGATTTTCAGCTACAAATTTTCCATCCATACAGCAAACCAATAGCAACACCAAACTCATCCTGGGGCTCGAAAAGGACAATGCTACAAGTTGATACTGTTTGAACCACCATTATTAAAATCAAGTTATTAAGAAACCTTCAGGTTCTTTCCAACACTTTGAAGCACTGGCTTTGAAAAGTCTAATGAACTTTGATTACCAATTCATGGAGAACGTAAACCCTGGTCCTCGCACACATGATGTTGCCACGTCTGGTGGCAACCGAACCATGATCACCTCCTGGTACTAGTATCGACCGTTTGCTAGTACCAACATTGATGGACACCCATGTGCTACATACTATTCCACAGAACACGAGCACAGCCGCGAAGGAACTCTGGATCAGCAGGATCAAGATGAGCCTGAGCACCAGGAGACTCCCCAGGGACAGGTTGCAGGGAATCCTACTTGGTGGTGCCCCCCCTACGGTGGGGAAAAGAAAAAGGCTGTTTGTAACTAAGGAACGGGAAGCCAACGTGACCATTAAAGTCCATCATATTTCGTTTGGGGAAACGCGACCGATTGGATTTTCTTTGGCGATTGAACCTTCTAGGAATGTTCACATCAACACTGGCAGTCTTTAGGCCAAGTGCAGCTGCCAATTTTGAAATCCTTGCTTTTCCACAAAAGAGATCCACCACAGTCCAGCCGGACCCCTTCTCAAACTTGACATATGAAAGCCATCCGCACATCAACAGCAGAAACACGAACTCCTGAGCGGGCTGGACGTGGTCTGTATGATTACCCATGTTTTGAGAACTATGACTGACTATGTCTAGTCATTTTCTTGGCTGTGATGATTAATAACATGATGAATTTACAACCCCAAAACGGTTTTTTCATGAATGGAATGATTCAAAACCACATAATTATATAATTATATATAATGTTTATATATATATATATAACTTACTACTGAATACCCCGGTAGCGATTCATATCCCCAACAGGATTGTTTTACCCCAGTAGTCATCCATAAATGGATAATACTCCCACAACGATTGTTGACCCCATAGTCATCATAAGCCGATAGTGATCCACAACCCCATAGATTTTTTAGCCATTCATAACTTCTTGGTGACTCAAAACCAAACATGATGTTTATATATTGTATGTATGAAACACCAAGATAATGTATAACCCCACAAACAATATATTTTATTTAACCCAATAATTGCTGGGATACTAAGTTGAGCATCCTTTGGTGCGCCAAGTGCTATAAGTCTTCTCACCACAAGATCGAACTCTTCAGGCAGCATGGCTCTCAAACAGGGCCCTTTTCCAACCAAAAAGGGAAAACTCTCAGCCAAGAAATTGGCTGAGGTATGCTGAGGTGGTGCATGACAGCACATGCGAGCTAGCAAAACAAAAACAGTTCGGTGATCTATACAAGTTTTATTCGTAAATCTAATTTGACTCAATGTTTTTGCAGCTTTGCTTCCCAGCCGACCCGGGTCAAACATGCCAGAAAGCACGTCGTCCAGAGTAGTAACCCATGCCAGCCAAGGCTGCAGAAAATCTTTTCGGCATACCTGCGTGGGGATGCAACGTGGGTTTAAGGGTTCAAACAGTTGGCCACCAAATTATAAGATGACTAGTACCCCCGGACTAGCTGCCATCACATTTTCTCCCTAAAGTCCAAAGCTCCGAAGTCAAATCGCCAATCTAATGTGCCAAAATTAGGCCACACCAGCCGTTGCCACTACTAGAAGCTAGCAGAAGCACAGGAATGATCTCAATCGCAGAAACGAAAATAAAGAAGCATGACAAAGGTGCAGGGTTTTTTCAATATAGATGGGGTTTCAAGTTCCGACTGTGCAATTAGCTTCACCCCAGGCAATCTAAGCTGATGAGCCACAGTCGAACAAGATTAGGGCAACCACACCCCATAGTCGCGCCCGAGAGTGTCAAAGTATGGAGCTCACGGCTTCCTGTAGGCTTTCATCTGGGGCTGCTGCCAAAAAGAAATGGCCTTCTGAGATGCCATGTTCTGGTACTTTTGGAGGGTAGGCTTCGGCAAATTGAGGAGGCTCTTGAATGCCCAGTTCCACCAAAGGACCTGAAAGGGTTTGAAATGGTGGTGGACGAAACTAGTTGGCAAACACAAAAAACTTTTTGGAACACCTGTCCTCGACCTGACTTCCATTGGTGACGAAGGGGCCGATCTGATCCTTGTAGGTGGCAACCATGACCTCATGTCGCTGCTTGGCTTGCTCATTCTTGGGAGGCACACGCCCAGCAAATGAGACACGTGGGCCCGATCCTCGTTTGCTCACCACTAAGTTGCTACCATCATCATGGGGAATCTTGCCATCCTTCTTGTCCTCGGGTTTCTTGGTGCGCTTGCCATTGGTCATTGGGTTCTCTGTGTCAGCAGCCTTCTGTTTTCGTTTGCGAGTCTTGGGCGGGTCCTCCTTGCCATCGTCATCTTCTCTCGAAACTTCTCCTTTCTTCTTCTTCTCATTGGGTTTGGGATTCTCATCCTCATCCGAAGCTTGGCGCTTTGCAGCCTTGCGACGACCAGCCACTGTGTCATGCTCAGGGCTGGGGTCAGCAGCATCAAACTTCTTTTCCAAATTCTTCGGCGAGACAGGTGACTGTGAAGGGGAGTAGTGCTGGGTGCCATCGACCATCTCTTCTCCCTCAGACTGCACCTCCTCTGGCTCCTCGGTGATCTTCTTGCTCTTGGCGGGTGCCCTGGCTGCGGGCCTCTTCAAGACACATGGAGTTTTCTTTGAAGGTGGTCTGCCCCTCTTTTTGGGAGCAGCTTTCGCGTTGGGCTTCTGGATTCCCAACTCGTTCAACTCCTTCAAAGCCCTTTGGTCATCCCGGGTCACCATGGGCGTCTCAGGTGTGCTTGGTAGGTCAGGGTATACTTCATCACCCATGCTGCTCTCATCCGCAGGTTCTGGGGAAGGTTGGGTAGCAGGTGGCTCCTCATGATTTTCGCTTTTCCCGGTAGGTTCTTCTAGCACTTCAGCAGCATCAGCAGCACCAATGTCAACCGTAGATTTCCCTCGCTGGAGCTCAGCAAGTGGTTTCGGCGACGGCGGCGACCCCTCTGAATCAGTCCATGCTTCCCCCAACTCCAAGGTCTTGGCCCTCAAGATGTGATCGCAGGCTGATTCTTCCAAAGGTTGTGTCTCAGCATTGTCCGCACCTTGGGTTGGATGACCCACATGACAAGTTGAGGGGAAGGGGGTGGAAAGATGGGAATCCGTTCTTTTTTCAAACATGCTGAAAAAACCAAAACCACCACCGACACAAACCACACCACTTACTGCCCCAACAGCTCAAAGCTAGACAAGGCACAAAAGGTCTTTGTGGCTTCACTTGCCTTCTTCGATGCCAAGCGTTGCCTCAGCAGATGGTTCCAAGAGAGGAAAAACACATAAACAATCTCTTAACAACCTAGAACCCCCCCAATTCAAGTAGAAGGATGGTAGATTAATTGGCAAACTGAGTAACTCCAACTCTTTGATCCGCAGCTTCACCAAAGCTTGCACACCAGGTTTGTTTGGGACAGGCGGAGGTGGCATGGGATCCTTCGAAGGTGCTTCAGCGGCGCCAACTCCATCAGCACTGCTTGCCGGGGACGCTCTATCAGTACTGCTTCCTGGTGAAATTTTCTCGGGGATGCTCGCTGGGCTCGTTGCTTCCGTCGCTGCAGGGCTGGGAGATTCTGCTGCTTCCGCACGGGCGGGAACTGGTTCTGCAGGAGTTATGGGCATGGCAGGTTCAGGATTGATGGGGCGTGCCACCGTCGAAGCATCAGAATCAGGATAACCACCAACATCATCATCACCACCACCATACCCATCATCAGACTCCTCCTGGTTGCCACCGGTGCCTTCAGACTCACCCCAGTAAGTTCGCAAAACGTTGTAGAACTCATCAAGCTCTTCATCCTGGGAAAAGTGTCAATAAGAACCCCTTTGGTTGGTAAGTTGTTTATTTCTTTTTTAAACAACACATGGTGCGGTAAGAAGCTTCTTTTTGAATCCCAGTACCTTGTTGGTTGACCCCGATGTGAAGCGCCGAATCCCATGTGAAAAAAGACGCTTTAAGCCAGCTGCATCCAACTGGATGCATGCCCTGTCCGCTTCAACGCCACACAGCCCCCGAAAGGCAACCACCTGAAGGGGCGAGGATTTTGAAATTTAACCCAAACAAAACATAGTTCAAACAGTATATAATACAAACAGTGTTTGAACATGGTTCTTTATGAATGCATGTTGCCTCATTTCGAAGTACGTCAATGGGAACTGACTTCGGGTAATCCAAAGTGGGGCAATACCACTCAGCAAGGCAGGTAAGAGCTTTGCTGTTGAGAAGCATCGCTTTCACTGAAGGCACCCCCACCGCTCTTTTGTTCAACCATCGAGTCATGTGTGACTCATCTTCATCTTGAACTCGACGGCGCAAAAGCCGCTGGGCTTCCCACGCAGCACCAAGGGCACCCCCAATGAGATAAGCCCCTGTGGGAACAGAAGCGTCGGCCGCCATAACAGGCAACCAAGGTCAGGTGGGCAACCCAATCTTTTTTCGATCCACTGGGTAAAAGGCCGGCGATATTGATTTTAAAAAAACAAGTACCACCAAAGTTGATCTATGCCAAAAACATGCAAGAATGTGCAGGGGGGATCAACGTGCCTGTGCAGGACGATGATCAGTGAGAGCAGGGATCAAAACCATGGCGCTCAGATGAAAGAATGACAGATTGGATGTAGTGGCAGTAGTAGCTTGAAATTGTAAGGAACCGTTTCCACCCAGGTTACATCATGGACCTTGAAGCTATGCCAGTGGTATAATTCACACTTCATAGAGCTGCCATGCCTGTCAAGGACATTTGACTGAATGTTTGTCCAAACCATTCCAGCCGCTCCATAAAAAGAGCTGATCCAAAGATACCTGGTGACCGGTGGGTACTGGTGGGAGATGATGGCATATGGATGGATCGGGATTTACAGATCAGAAGGTTCCAAAACATATGAAAACTTACCAAATCGCTAATATATAAGAAACGCCGTTCTTCACAAGAAACGCCGTTCTTCACAAGAACATGGTTTTCCACCAAAAGGCAGAAATTTGATACCCTTTTGAAGACGTAGGTATATATATATATATATATATGGGGGTTTTACATTTCAGACTAAGCCAAATTACCATGTTGTTGATTATATCAATTATATCCCACGAATTCTGATTATACCCACTATATCCCATTGATATACCAATTCTTCATGGTCATTTACCATTTTACCATTGAATCCCATGAAATCACACCTAAACGTCCCATTGAATCACTATGAAATCCCATTGAATCACTATGAAATCCCATGAAATCACTATGAAATCCCATGAAATCACTATGAAATCCCATGAAGTTCCAATTTTCTACGGTCAAATTGGTTAAATTGGATGAAACCATCACCCAAAGCGCCACCTTTGGTGAAACCCATGGCTTTTTCAACCAACCCTTCGGACCCTTCGGCTCGGCACTACAAAAGGCACCACGAAGTCCAAAAAGCTCACCTGAATTCATGGAATTCCGCTGTTCTTTCTGTGATAAAATCAATGGATCCATAACATTGGGGGTATATTGATGGTAAATGTTACCATATATAGCATACATGGATCCTATGGGTAAAATCACTGGATTGGTTTCTTGGGGAAAATCTTCACCGGAAACCATGGAAACCATTGATTTTCCCATGAAATAAATATTTTGGAGGTTCCTGTATTTTTTCCCGTAAGCCAATCCATTGATCAAATTCATGGGGATTTCCATGGGGGATTTTGGAGATCCATAATTTTGAAGATGCTGAATCTGTCATGGTGAATTACTCATATTTTTTGGAGGTGATATACATCTAGTAAGAAACATAGAACCACAAAGTATCAAACATCTCTATGGATCCAGCCGTACTTTAGCTGATTTAGGGGCAAAACCGTACCTTCTGGCATGTTTTTTGAAACAAATTAGGGAACACCTTGAAATCCAATGGTTTTATGGAGCATCTTCCATCTTCAACTTGCAGGCGGATTCGGATCAGACTCATCTGAAAATCCACCGAAACAAAATGTACCCTCTGGTAAACGTTCACAAAAACCAATGGAAAGATCCACCTTTTCTAATGGGAAAACTCACTATATCTATGGTCATTTTCAATAGCTATGTTAAATTACCAGAGGGTAAAAAAAGTGTGCGAATCCAGCAGTGACAAGGTTCTGCGCACAAATTGCTGGCTTGGAGCTTAGAACTACTTCCTGTACACTGTACACGTGTCAGTTCATATAATTGAGATGTACTTCACAACCCAATTGGTTAATTCATGGTACTACAAAATCATATGTCCAGAAGAATTGTGACGAATTTGGTTGTCAAATGATCCATCCATTCATGTTCCTGGCATCCATCCAATTTCGTGGCCAATCTTACATGTTTTGCAAAACAATATGTTCAGCTGGCTAGATTCAAACCCTGAAAATTCAGTACTAGTATATATTTCATGAGTGCATTCGATGTTAAATATCCCCATCTATGGCAAGCATTTACAATCCCCCCATGAGTTGGGGCTTGGGCCTGACAGTTTTTAAACAGCGATTCTTGGGGTCGATATTTTAATCACTTGGGGTTTTCGGCATCACTCCCCATCTTTGTTTTTTATCCCACTAGCTATGCATCTACCCTCTGGTTATTTAACATAGCCATGGAAAATGGCCCATAGAAATAGATGGTTTACCTGTTAAAAATGGTGATTTTCCATGGCTATGTTAAATAACCAGATGGTAAATCCCCATTAAATCCCCATGACATCCCAGTACTGGATCCATCTGAAAAACCCTAAACCGTTTGGATGTTCACATCTTTAGTGTTTATTCATTTTAAGACTAGCAACGTTTTTTTTCATATATCCCCAAGTTCACGACTCAGAAAACCGTTTGGGCCTCGTCCCCACCGCAAAAAAAATCCCAGTTGTAGATAGCGTAGACAACTTAAGTTGGTTATTCATTGACCACCCTAAAAATCACTTAATGAGTGAAATCATTCCCATGATTTGGCCCATGTTTGGTGAAAAATGTGTATTAGTTATCTCTCCATTATACTACCATTCCCTCACCAGAAATCCCTCTATATATATATATACACACTGTTATATACTATATGCTTACTGACAAAGTGACATCTAGAGTTTTAGTTACTATACACAGTATTTATACACCCCCATACACCCAGAGTATAATATACTGTATTACAGTTCAAATGCCCTAAGTCCTACAGTAACCAGTTCAACCCTCTCGGCGCCTCTTCCACTGCTGCACCTAGGAAAGGCTCCCTCGGCTGCGGTCTGGCTTGGAAACTTACGTGGTCATGTGGAAACCCACCGATGAACCCGGGATGGACAGATGTATTGAGTTTCGATGGACAATTTGAGCAATAACAAAACCACATCTTTCTGCGCCATGAAAAAAAACATCTACGTATCTATATATATATATACACTAGTTATATACTTATATACTATTTTTCTACCAGATCTTCCAAAAAAATCTTCCAAAAAAATTGGAAGAATGGACATCTCTGGAACTTCAGGACTTTCCTTCTGGTAAACATACATAGATAGCTATTGAAAATGGAAATTTCTAGTGAGTTTTCCCATGAAAAATTGTGATTTTCCATAGTTTAATGGTGGATTTACATAGATTTACCCAGCTTTTTTTGTCGCATGGTGATGTTCCATAGTGTTTTGGCAAAACGTTTACCAGAGGGTATGGTCCCCCAAAATTTTGAGTAGTAAAAAAAAATCCCCGAACTCATCGAATCAGCCAACCAGGGGTTTTGAAGAAACTGCTCAATAGAAGGTGAGAACTGGTTTGATTTTTTGGTCCTTGTCACTACAGACATGTTATAATAAAAAGAGGGTATCTACCAGAGATTTTTTTCAGATCAGAATTCCCATGTTGAAAAAGGAGCTGAAAGGGATCATCCTACTCTCCGAAAGCAGGTGACTGGCTTACCTGGCGACATGTGGCGACTGGCCACTCCATTTTACAGCATGGTAGAGTCGCTGACCATCATCTAAGGTAGGTGATAAACCACTTTCAACTATGAAACAGTGATGTTTTTCAATCCAAAGAATCCACGGTCCAAAAATTGATGTACCCATATGTACCCTCTGGTGATTTAAGAGTTTACGAAGTGGACCATCAGCAGGTTCAATCGGTAAATCATCGAACTAACTGGGCTATGTTCCAGTGCTTAGGTGTTGCCCTGGCATTCGAATTGAAGATCAATCTTGCGCAGTTGGTCGACACTGGGCATTGACATTTGGTTTGACCTTGAAGGTTTTAGTCTTTAGGGATGTGTTGGAATGGCTGAGGGATGTTGATATAGAGATGTGAAGGGTCTATATCAAGGTTTGTTTCGGAAACTCACAGACAGCGGGCCCTTGTGGAGGCAGACCACCAAGCAGAACTCGATCATCCTATCGACTTGGATGTGCATCCCACGTGGTAAGTTGAGACCTCTATAACTGGCATTCCTGTAAGCAATAGTCAATGGCCATTCCAGGAACCTAAATTGGAGGTACCTACCATATATAAGGCCTATGTAAGGCCTTTGTAAGGGAATATTCCCCCAAAATATGGCCTTATATAGTACAGTACCTCCATTTTAGGATCCTGAAATTCCCATTGAAATAGCTGGGTCATTCCTTTGGCTTTTGACTAAATACCAGCATACTTTTGTTAGCTTAGTTTCACCCATTCAACATGGCCAATCTTAGATACCCTGCCAAAAAAAAACTTAGCTGGTTGGTAGATAATCCCATTGATTCCAAAAGACTATTTTGGATTAGTTTCTGCCCATCTAGTCGATTGTCCTAGTCAACTGGAGATACCCTCTGGTAAACTAACATAACTATGGAAAATCACCATGTTTAATAGGTAAGTCAACTATTTCAATGGCCATTTCCAATAGCTACGGATGGATTGGTGGATGGTTGCGAAATCCTGCACCAGTTCATAGGTGCTTTATCTACAGGTTTTCTACCATCCCAGGTGGTGCAGGATTTCGCAACCATCCACAGTAGGTTAATCCCCAAAGTTGGTTTAGAATTGTCATTGACAATGGTGTCTATGGCCATTTCCAATAGCGAACTGTTAACTTACCAGAGGGCTTTTCTGGTGGTCTGAAAAAATCAACGATCCCCAATAGCTGGATGGTTTGTTACTGTTTATTCTGTTTTTTTCAACTATTGCTGTTTAGTCTTACCAGAGGATCATTCAAAATCCTGAGGGTAAATCTTCAACAACTGTTTATTCTGAAAGTGAAAGAAAGTTGTTCAACTGTTAAATGACCAGAGGCTAAATCTCAACCATAACTCCGCAAGCCAAGTGACAGACTTCCGAAGTCCAGGCTTCCAAAGTCCAGCTCGCGAAAGACGCCTGGCCGGTGTGGTGCCATGCTGGAGATCTCCTCATTTTGGAGTGCAACGGGCGCCCCAACAATAGGAACATGTCATATAATTATACTATAGTACTATATACTATAATAATCTATAATATCCATATATCAGTATAATTATTACCATAATACCAATAATGACTATTATAGTCATTATTGGTATTATGGTAATAATTATACTGATATATGGATATAATGTAATAAGATATAATAAATATACTATATATATACTGGTTGGTGGTATACCTACTCCTCTGAAACATATGAATTCGTCAGTTGGGGTTATAAAATTCCCAACTGAATGGAAAAATAAAATTCATGTTCCAAACCACCAACCAGATAGGAACATGTCAATTTAACCAAGAACTATGGATATTTTTTTATATATGATTCAATATGATTTTTCATGGGATCTTTTTTGCTGATTTATGCTGATTTATGGCTAAGTTCCAAGAAACAATGGAGATCCAATGGGATCTATAGCTATAGCAGCTAAATCTATTATCCAAGTTGACGCACGCACAGAACTCACGACTGGTGAACGGGTTTACATCGTAGAGATATCGAACGACTTACGAGTTGCGTTGAAAAAAACCGACGTTCATTCCATCACTGCTGGGGGAACCAGCTTCCTAAGACAACCACTGAGGGGTGTTTTACAGAATCCCTTGAAATTGGGTATACTCAATCATAAACCTTAAACCTCTATTGGGGGTGGTTTGTTTTTGTTAGACCATAATTATATATATATATGCATTATTATCCCACTATTATCCTATATCAATCAATATTTGTCTATTAACATCCTACTACATCAATCAACAATTATTGGGTTTAGTCTACCACATCAATCCTTAACGACCAGTATCTGAGAACACCACGTTTTCGCATGTTGAGTAAATTGGATCTACATGAAGCCAACCGATATTTACCCCTGAAGCGGGGCATGTTCAAAAAATCAACATGTCGTCCCATGAAATATTGGCGAAGAACCGATCATTCCCAATGAATCTAAAGGGCAGTGTAAACCAAAGTCATCAAACAACAACTCATTTGTCAACGATCTCCTCAAGATTTTTGACATTATTTGACCATGAAAACCGGGAACAACTAAAAACATGAACTAATCATCTGCCAACAGTGGTTCTCTGTCGCAGCCAACTGCTGCCCCAAGCGTTCGTCGCACCTTGGAAGTAGAAGGCCACGATGGCCAAAACCACGCCAAAGGCCAAGGGTAGGACCTCAGAGAAGCACAAAAATTTGGATCCAGATTGGAGTACAGTGCTTAATCCGTATTGGATTGTTTAACAGTATCATGGTATATCATGGTTTAATAGATCTATATGGTATGTGATAGTATATAATAGTATATATATATATGTATATATAATATTCGTATTCAAACATATAATGGTGTTTTTAAATGTGGTGAACATAGACACAATTGTTGATAAACATCAGCAGAAATCAGCACATATCCCATTGTTTGTGGATGTTTGTGGTTAAAGTGCTACATCTTTGCATCCATTCCATCTGGGTAAATCATACTAATTCACTAACCTGAAGTTCGTTCGGCGTTCTATTGGGATTCCCCGAATCCTAACCATGATTTTTTTGGCTTCGGGAGAACAGGGCGAGGTCGTTATGAAAATTTAACAGTTTGCGAACTGGAAAATGGTCCATTTATAGTTGATTTATTCACTGAAGGTGGTGCTTTTCAACAGCTATGTTCGTTTACCAGAGGGTAATTTACCCTGATCCATCCACCACAGTTCCACAAAGGTCAAGAATCGGACCTCTGTTCGATGGACCGTCTGACCATCCCAGATTTTTCCGAGAGACTGTGTCGACCAGACCGCGCACGCCAACCTCAGGTCTCATTAGGTTCCAGAGTGGAGGTTTTTCGCCCAGCTGGATCGTTGATTTCATGAAAAGCCCATCGAAAATTTGGATGATGACTGGGGGTAGCCAGTATTTTTTTCTCAAAAGCCCCATTGTTGTGGGTGAAATCGGCGCTAATTTGGTGGAAATCGGCTTGACGCCTTGGATCACTTCACGGAGGAATTTTCACTTCGGATTTGGATCTTCCGTTGCCATGTTGGTTTACCGGTAGGATACATCGACGACAGAAATAGCATCATGAAAAGCAGCAATCCAGGGTGAAATCCCCCGTGGCATCAGCACTTTCCTTGGGAAAAAGTGTGATTTTCTCATTCGATTCGATCAATCCCCGAGAAGCAAACATGTTGCCCGAATCAAAAAGGGACCCAATTTATGTGAAGCGAAGCCCAGTTATTTGATGTTGAGGATAGGATTGGCAGATTAACAGGTGATCTGGGTCCACACCAGCCCTTCGACATGTTGACATGTTGAAATGCTTGAGATTCAGCCCATGACTATATATAGGTGTAAGTTATAGATTTGCCATAAACGCTGGTGAATTTTGAAGGATTTATTCCCACCTTGTTGGTGTGTCCATCGGAAACTGGCAAAATAAACCAGTTTCGCATCGGTGGTAATCTTCCCATCTGCCAAAAAAACTGCTTATGTCCATGAACAAAAATCCGAAAATTTGGGTTACCCTCTGGTAAACGTTTACATATGGAAAGATCCACCATTTTTAATAGGTAAATCAACTATTTCTATGGGCCATTTTCCAGTTCGCAAACTGTTAGTTTACCAGAGGGTAATTTGGGCTAAGATTCCTAGTAGTCCATCTATTTCACCTATGCTTCCAGTTTCCCAAAAAAAATTCGCCGTAGCCATGGACTGCCATGGACACCAGCCGTCCGAGGAGCCAAGGCGGCCGCTTCAAGAGCCAAGTTGGCCAGACCCTCTTGCCACAGGAATTTCCTGACGCGAAACGGCTGAGTCCAATGGGTTTTCGTTGGGATTTTGTCATTTTTTTGTTACCCGAAACCATGGTTTTTACATGTTTTTACCGTCAAATGTATGGGTTTGCTGTGATTTTTGTTCCCATCATCCAATTCTATGAGTGGGTGCTTCGATCGTTTTCAAAGTATGGAAAAGCCATGAGAAAGAACAGAAAAAATTGAGGAAAGTCCAGCGCTGGACTCTTGGGCAACTCAAGTGTACCATGGTTCAGAACAGTGTGAAGCATGAGGATATGATGTGGGCAACTCAAGCGTGAAACAAAGGCCATGCTTCATTTGGAGAGCGATGATGGGATCAGAGCAGGAGGGATGAAAAAGCACACAGAACGTGCTCTTGTCTGACGTTCTGTATCATCTCCATCACAGAACCAGCTGCTTCCAATGAGAGAAATTGTTCCATCCACTCGATTGCACAAACATCTTCTGCTCTCGTGCAGTTTCCTCCACTTCCGGAAGAAGTGCAATACGCATGCATGAGCCGTTTGATGTCACGTAGCACGGCAGCAATGCCGAAATTCTAGCAATCCGACCGAGTTTTTTGAGATATGTTGAGATCGCATTTGGTAGAAATTTCGCAACAGCATCAAGGTCGTAGGCAGACTGACGCATCAAACTTTGAAGACGTAGGATCAAGGTCATGACATAGATACATAGATCGTCAGGAAGGTCATGGCCAAGGGCATTGAGCGGCAACTGTCGTCCAGCACCCACTGAATCCCTCTGATAGGTTCTGTACAGACGAAGCACAATCCTATAGAGATTCTAGGAAATAGTAGAGCCGAGGAAGGAACAAGGATAAGAATCTAAGAAGTTTAGTTGTGTATATATGCATTGTGTATGGGGGGTTAAAAAATGGAGGATCCACACGTCACCATGGTTGCTTCAATACTGAGTCATGGTCATCCATTACTTGGATGATTTGGGGGACCCCCTGACTTGGAAAATCTCCATTTTATAAACCTTTCCAGCTGTAGATTTACACATCCAACATCTATTGTGGTTAATTGGATCTATATGTACAATATATGTATATAATATGATCCCGTTAACATTATTAATAGGGATATATTCTTAACATGATTAATATACATGGGACACATTCTTGCTAAAAAAATCATGGTATAATGAATTATTAACCTTAACTATTATTTTAGTAAGAATAGATAAGAATAGTTAACGTTAATACTGTATCATGCCATTATCTGTTAGTTAATAATAGTTAACCATTAATAGTTAATGGCAATGTTCATCCAATTAATAAAAATAATACTGTATTATAGTTAACGGCCATTACTAATTATACATTATTATACCATTAAATAATTAGTATACCATTAATAATAATTAGTTCTTCATTATATCTGGGTAAATTCTAATATTTCACTAACCTGAATTAAGGCCATTTGGGGATGATTCCCCTTGCTAACCATGATTCCAGTGAGGCCGCAGTGAGGTCATTATAATTTACCCAGATTATATGCCATGTTCATACCATTGTCCGACCCAACCGTCTGTCCTGAAGACAAAACCATCGAGGAAGCCTGGCACCAAGCGTAGCCGCGTAGCCGCGTAGCCGCGTAGCCCCCGACCCGTTTACGATGGCTAAGTTGGTGCAAATAACTCCAACAACTATGGTTTATAGGGGGATATATATATATAGCGCCGGACAACTACTTAGAACATTGGTTTTGGAATTCCAAAACGTGTTCTAAGTAGAGATCCTGGACCACTACTTAGAACATATATGTTCATATATGTTCTAAGTAGAGGTTTTGGGGGTTCCCCCGTGTTCTAAGTAAGAATCCCCCCAGCTATCTACGTGCATTTTTGGAAAATCCTGTGCTTTGGACCATTCCAACCGCTCAATCGGTCATATAATTTCAATATACCTCAATATAGACATCCCCATGTATCTTAACGCAACATCACACCTCCTGTATATATAATATAAATATGCAGTGTTAAGTTGTATGTATGTATACATATACATATATTTACATGTATATATGATGGCATGTTCTAAGTAGAGAATCCTCATATGTTCTAAGTCACTTAGAACATACGTTCCCCTATTCGCCGAAAATGTTCTAAGTAGAGGGCGCGTACCCACCGAAAAATTTCCAAAACGATGTTCTAAGTAGTTGTCCGGCGCTATATATATATACTTACTGGTTTATGGTTTATGGATGTTTATGGTAGATATAACTATAGTTAATGGATGTGACTGGTGTTTGTAAACCAACAAACATCACTGGGCACCATCTTGAATGAACTCTACGATGAGAAATTGTGTGTTTTGAGGTACCTTATTTTCAGATAAACTCCACTGTACAGCAGAAAAAAACTAAACAACTGCCCGCCAGAGAAGTTTAGTTTTTATTTGGGAAGTGTAGTTTTTTTTTTTTTTATGGCAAAACATAAAACCATTATCAATCATAGTTTCTGTGGTTGCAAGTTTCAAGGTCCAGTATCTGATCAATCCAAACAAAAAAAAAACTGCATTTTTCTTTCAGCTGGGTAAAAAAAAATCCGCATTTGGACAAACATATCATGTGAAAATAATGTGGGTGAAACAATGCCATTTGCACCATCCCCACAGTCATGATCATTTTTATAGGTGGTATGTTTACAATTCCCAATCATGGTTGGTTTATGACATTGTTTTACCCAAACCCATATGCTCCATGTATGGAATAGTTACCAACATTTGCCCTAAAAATCACCCAAATGTAGGTAAATATACCATACATGGAGTGTTTTACCCAAAAGTTACGTACGTTTTTCCCGTTGACATACTACGCATACGACTAGCATAGCGTCGCAGCGTCGCGTAGCCCAGCAACGTGAGCATGGAAAACCATCATTCCGATGGAAAACGACGTGAGGTCATGATCAAGTTCATCCATTGATCATGTATAAGTGATACATTATAACATATGGGTTTGTCTGAAAATAGTGTACCCCTACACCCAATGGTTAATGATCATTATCCCTACTAAATGGCTATAATTGGGGGTATACCCCATTTTCAGACATACCCATATTCATGACCATATCCATCACCTAATGGTCATGGTGAACTGTGGTTAGGTCATCATTTTTGGTCATGAATACTGAGTCACAATTATAACACGTGAGGTCATGATGAATATGGTCATGTTTTTATGTTTTTATGCGTTTTGAAAAGAAATCCATATTCATCCATGTTATATCTATTCAAGCAGTTATTTAGTTTTTTCCAAAACAGATTCACAGTTTTGACATATATTCCCCATGTTCAAGAAACATTTGTCAAATCCATAATCTATCATGAATCACTTTATAATAGTAATATAAAAATAGTTGCATATGACTGATCATCAAATAATTTGGATGTTTATTATATTATTATTATACATGTCAAAATTATTTGGATTAATTGTTGATTAATTATGCTTATTATACTAATCTACATAGTTTACAATCATAGTTGGATGGGCAATTATTTATTATGATCAATAGTCATAATTGATATATGACGATATATTAAGGATAATTATCGGTCTACACTAAAAATACTATGGATAATCAATAATACATCACAATTCATAATTATCATGAATTGCAATCATAATGCTAAAAATATTAATAATACTAATAATTCAAACAATACTAATAATACTAATAATGTACTCACAAACATAATTATGATATACTAATAATACACACAGGCCCCTTGTGTTGCCCAAGCCCAGAATAGCGTAAATTACAAGGATTTTTTGTTCACACTATACATCTCATATAAATTCTCCCACCCCCGTTAAACTCTTACATTCATTGAAGATCTTCAATAAGGGTTTAATTCTCCCACCCCCGTTAATCTCTTACATTCATTGAAGATCTTCAATAAGGGTTTAATTCTCCCACCCCCGTTAAACTCTTACATTCATCTTCAATAAGGGAAGTTAAATTCTTCCAAAGGGTTTAATTCTCCCACCCGTTAAACTTCTACATTCATTGAAGATCTTCAATAAGGGTTTAATTCTCCCACCCCCGTTAAACTCTTACATTCATTGAAGATCTTCAATAAGGGTTTAATTCTCCCACCCCCGTTAAACTTCTACATTCATTGAAGATCTTCAATAAGGGTTTAATTCTCCCACCCCCGTTAAACTTCTACATTCATTGAAGATCTTCAATAAGGGTTTAATTCTCCCACCCCCGTTAAACTTCTACATTCATTGAAGATCTTCAATAAGGGTTTAATTCTCCCACCCCCGTTAAACTTCTACATTCATTGAAGATCTTCAATAAGGGTTTAATTCTCCCACCCCCGTTAAACTTCTACATTCATTGAAGATCTTCAATAAGGGTTTAATTCTCCCACCCCCGTTAAACTTCTACATTCATTGAAGATCTTCAATAAGGGTTTAATTCTCCCACCCCCGTTAAAACATTCATTGAAGATCTTCAATAAGGGTTTAATTCTCCCAACCCCGTTAAACTCTTACATTCATTGAAGATCTTCAATAAGGGTTTTTAATTCTCCCACCCCCGTTAAACTCTTACATTCATTGAAGATCTTCAATAAGGGTTTAATTCTCCCACCCCCGTTAAACTCTTACATTCATTGAAGATCTTCAATAAGGGTTTAATTCTCCCACCCCCGTTAAACTCTTACATTCATTGAAGATCTTCATTGAAGATCTTCAATAACCCCCGGAAGTTTAATTCTCCCACCCCCGTTAAACTCTTACATTCATTGAAGATCTTCAATAAGGGTTTAATTCTCCCAACCCCGTTAAACTCTTACATTCATTGAAGATCTTCAATAAGGGTTTAATTCTCCCAACTCCGTTAAACTCTTACATTCATTGTCATCATCATCATCATCATCATCAACATGCCGGGAACGTCTCTGTAAATCTCCGGGCAACACAAGGGGCCTGGCCGTAATAATACAGTTACATCATTATTGATCATATTTGTAGATAATATATATAAAGGATATTTTTTGTCATATACCAATATTTATGGATAACCAATAATCACAATCGATAAGTACTACTATATTAGTATGATAATTATTGGATCATCTTAATGCTAATCACTACTATAATTATTGTATAGTATCAATAATCTAATATTATTAGTACTAATCAATAATTATTATTACTAATTGTATCAATAATCCAGTATTATTAGTACTAATCCTCGATTATCATACTAAGAAATTGGACTGAATATTATTGATATTTATTGAAATTATCATTATCACTATCCAGCATTATTATTGCTATTATACCATGATATGTATTGATACTATTAATAGTCCTATAATTATTTATTGGTCTAATAGTAATAATTATACTATAGTCATTATTGGTATTATGGTAATAATTACACTAATATATGGATATGTAATAAGTATACTATATATACTGGTTGGTGGTATACCTACCCCTCTGAAAAATATGAAAGTCATTTGGGATTATGAAATTCCCAACTGAATGGAAAAAACTGTTCCAAACCACCAACCAGGTATAGTATTCAATAATATCAATACTAAATATCTTTAAAAAAACAAATTATTCAATAATATAATCTATATATACTATCTGGGTAAATTATTAGTTTTATGATATTTCACTAACCTGAATTGTTGCGCCCTTTGGGGATGATTCCCCTTACTAACCATGATTCCAGCGAGGGAGAACAGTGAGGTCGTTATAATTTACCCAGATACTGTACTGTATATATATATACACATATACATATACATAAATATTCATCACCTCTATATACTATTACGCTATATCTTAATATCAATCCGTTGGAATCGTCACCAGGCCTGGACTGATGACCACCCGTGCTAAGGCTCGGTCCACTCCTCCGCTGGATGATCCGCTGGATCCGCGAACGAAGATAGTTACAATGTGAGGCCCCCCAGTGATGTTAGTTGGTTTAGATTCGCCCCAGTAACTTTAGCTATTTGCGTACCATAAACCATAGTTATTGGAGTTATAAACCAACTTAGCTATCTTGGGGGCCTCACATTGTAGATATTTTAACAATGAAACATATAGGTATTTCACCATGAAAACATGGTATTTGACAATGAACAAATTGTATGCTTTGTATTTAACCATGAAACCATTCTATTTAACGATATGCATGGTTACATATCGTTAAACAAAAATAGGATATTTGATCGGTAACAATAGGAATGGGATGAAATGGGTGGCCCACTGGCCCATTTCATCCATAGCTAAGTTGGTGCAACTTTGCGGTGACTTGTATGGTTTATCGCATTGAACTACACAATGGATCATAATGGGGTCAAACTACATAAACTCTATAAACCAACCTCCATTTCACGGAGCACCGCCTTGCACAAGAAATTTGGAGACCCTCGGGTCATCAGCTCCGCTGGAAACTCCCAGCTGATATGGGGATTTTCCAGCAAGGTTTGATGATCGGAGGGCAATCCTAATGTAATCTATGGCTGATTGGTGGTTGAGCCTACCCCTCTGAAAAATATGAGTTCGTCAGTTGGGGTGATTATATATTCCCAACTGAATGGAAAGTCATAAAATTCATGTTCCAAACCACCAACCAGTAGAGATGTTGATCAATCCATGGTATCCTATAGATTCTCCAATTCTCTGTTCAGTGATTCACTGTGCCATTCTCTACCCCAGATTCATTGCACTTCTTAGATACCCTGTAAAAAAGACACCTAATCTTTAAACTCTAGCATGACGAAGTGCAATAACAATTTATAGTCAAAAATAGTAAACAAATATAACTGTGATATCAATATAACCCTAAATAAAAATGTGATAAAATGATTTATATAGATTTATATAGATTTAAAATGATTTAGATACATTTATATAGTTGTCTTTGCCCCTCAGAAAAAAAAAACAGTCTCATCACCTACGAGTTGGATCCCCGGACAAATTCGGACAGCTGGTGAGTAGCTAGAAGTGGGACTTTTTCGTCATATTTCAGGGATCCCCCTGTGAGTAGTTAGATGCAGTTAGATGGCATGATGGGGGGTATAAACCAACTGACTATCTCAGTATCTAACTCGTTCAACCATAGAAAAAGTTGGTTTATAGTGAGTGACATATTTTATCTGGTTGGTGGTGACTTAACCATCTTGAAAAATACGAGTTCGTCAGTTGGGATGATGACATTCCCATATACTATGGAAAAATAAAAATATGTTCCAAACCACCAACCAGTGAAACTTTTTCTATGGTTGAACGAGTTAGATACTGAGATAGTCACTTGGTTTATACCCCCCATCATGCCATCTAACTGTAACTACTAACTCGTTGGGCAAATGCACAAAATGCATCCCTGAGTTTGATCGAATTTGGAACACACCTCCTTTTCCAAAGATCTTCGCACATGCGTCACATTGGTGGTTGAGGATTGGTGGATTGGTGGGGGCACCAAAAAAAAAAGATCATCCCAGCCCCTGTTGGAGAAGGCACCTGGTTTCTTGGAGAAGGACCCGAAGACGGAGGCCTGGGACACGGAGCACAGAACGGTGAACTCTTGGGTTGGGATATACTCAAAACATCTTGCCCTGATTCCCACTTTGTTACAGGTCAGTTCCATCCCAGATATTCCAGATGTTTGAACTGCTACCCTCTGGTAAACATACAAAAAACTATTGAAAATGACCCATCTATAGTTGATTTACCCATTAAAAATGCTGGATCTTTGCCATAGTTAGGTAAACGTTTACCAGAGGGTAACCAGCATGAACAGTTCGGGCATTTGGGTATAGTCTATGGCCCTTTTTGAAATAGATGGTTTACCATATTAGTCTAATAGATGGTTTACCTATTATTGTTTATCTATTACCCTCTGGTAAATTAACATAGACCCTGAGAATCACCAATTTTTAATGGAAACTAATCTTCCAACCCCTATCTACCAGGGTCTATGTTAATTTACCGGAGGGTAGAAATAGATGGCCCATTGAGTTTTTTGTTAACGTTTACCAGGCCGGGTAAGTCATGGTCAACCACCACGACCGGTCTTCAGTGACCGCGACTCTGGAGGTTGCTATCCATCATTCATTCACTATAAACCATATCAATATCAATAATGGTATATATAATATGGCAATTTTTAGTGGATTTACCCATGAAAAATCGTGGATCTTTCCATAGGTCTGGGTAGATGAAATAATATTTCACTAACCTGAATTGTTGGGCCATTTGGGAATGATTCCCCCTACTAACCATGATTCCAGTGAGTGAGGGAGAACAGTGAGGTCGTTATAATTTACCCAGATACAGTATATATATACACATATAATATACATATACATATATATATACCATGTTTGGTCAATGACCATTTCAGGAACCGATTGATTGGAGGTACCGATTCCATATATTTTTGGCCTATTTTTTAGGCCTAAATTTCAGGAATATCCCCACAAAATATCGCCTTATATGGTACAGTACCTCCATTTTAGGGTCCTGAAATTCCCATTGATTCATATTCAGATTCATCGTTCTCTCAGCTATCCCAATCACCATTCAAATATATTCAAATATCCGTTTCTGAAAGATATATCATGATATGGAGGTGTCCTAAAATGGGGCTACCCCTAAATCATCCATGCTAATAGGATTTTCCCTATAACTCCCCCCTTTTAGGAAACCCCCACTACATCCATCTACATCCAACAGTAAGCCTAGGGCCTAGGCTGGTTGCTCTTCCCGGCAGAGCCCGGAATTTTTGCTCTTGTGAAGCCGGCCAAGACACGAAGGATCCCTCGGTGTGGACCCAGAAGTCCAACATGGATCGCAAGGCTTTGTCCTCGGAAGCGTTTGGCAGCGCTGCTGGTTGCTCGTTGAGCCTACCCCTCTGAAAACTTCCATGTGGTTATAGGTAAATCACCATCAAATTACTACATCTATACTTATAATATATCTGGTTGGTGGTGCAATAACCATCTTGAAAAATCATGGAGTTCATCAATGGGAAGGATGACATCCCATATATGACATGGAAAACAAAAATTAATGTTTGAAACCACCAACCAGCGATTTTTGGTTGGTTTTGAGTGACTTGACTGATTAAAAACAATATATTCATGATCCCAAAAAACACCAGTTGAAACTGTTTGTGACTCACCGCCACCACCTTTTTAAGTCGTGGCTGACTAGCCTTAGATACCCCATTGACCCATGCACCACCATAGACCCCGCTTGAAAAATCGAACATTGCAGGATCCATTCGGAGCACGTCGAGCAAATGGAGATAGAAAATCGGATTTCTGATAAAGAGAGAGTCAATCCAATTTTAATAGGATTATATTGGGATACTATTATATATACAGTATATATATATATGGATTACAATCTATATAACTATCTGAGTCAATCTTAATTTGATTTCCTCAATGCAAGAAATAAAGGTAGCATTGTGGAATGTCTGTATTTCGTACCAAGGAAACTTGCTCTGGAAAAACATGTTCCAGCTGTAAACAAAATAAACACCATATGTCCAAGGTATCTTCAAGTCAAAAAAACATGACATTTTGACATGGGAGTCAGTGACAGCTTTACTTCATTTACGAGGATGGCTTGATTGTAGCAGCATCTTTGAGATAGGACAAGCTGTGGCCAGGGTGAACCTTGCATGGCGACCGTCTTCTCTATAGCGTCAAAAGCCTCGTATCCTTCTCTTCATACCAAAATCGCTGCAAGTCGTGAGGCCCCCGGCCACGAAATCGCGTTCAGTTGGGGTTCACTAATAACTCCAAGTTCACGAAGTGGTTTATGGTACGCAAATAACATCTTATAACTATAGTTTCTGGGGCGAATCTAAACCAACTTATAACTGGATAACGAACTAGTTCCTGGGGCTTTTGTTAACCAACATTCACATCCCTGGGGGGACCAAAATAGCTTGGGATCTCTGGATATCCGGAAAATCCATATGGTGATTTCTGATCCAGCCCCACAGTGTGTCACAGATCTGTATATATCTACCTGCGAACCATGGTTCCAGCGTGGTTTCTTCTTGACATCGGATTTAGCTGATTGTCACCATGTGGTTATAGGTAAATCACCATCAAATTACTACCTTCTGGTAAACGTTTACATAACTATGGAAAGATCCACCATTTTTAATGGGTAAATCAACTATAGATGGGTCATTTTCAATAGCTTTTTGTATGTTTACCAGAGGGTACATCTATGCTTATAATATAATATATGTATACACTATGGATCATGGTTAACTTACCTGACACATCACTATCATGTGGTTGGGAAACTTCGTAGCTCCTAAAGTTTTAAAGGCTCTCGATTAGAACAGGGATTATGGGGGTTTCCGGGATTCCGATAAATGGTGGTATCGCCAAATCATCCATTTTAATGAGATTTTCCATTATAAACCGTCCATTTGGAGATACCCCCATTTATATCAATTTATCATTTCTGGAAACCCACATATGGATATCCATGGTCCAAAAAAAACGCTACAAAATCCGCTCCAACAAGATGCATTGCCGCGACGCAGCAGCAACTTCACAATGAACTTATCCAGACCTGTCGTTGGTGTAACTGGAATAAACCAGCCATGACTGGTCAATCTATCGCTAATATATAATGGTTAATAATGGTTAAAATTGGTTAATAATTGGAATCATAGCGAGGCTTGCAAGTAACAGTTGGAATGAATTAGCAAACTGGCCATGATGTGAGGGCCATTCAGGGCTGCTAGTTGATTACGCTACATCCCAATCATATACTTCCAGTTGCAGCATTTTATGACAGTGAGGTTGCAACTTGCCCGGATCCATGTCCAAATGTAACCGCCCGGAGTACAATGACCCGCTAGGATTTGCTATCGCTGCCTACTTATACCCCAAATCATGGGCCTTCTTCTCCCGTCTTGTGGAGGACTGGTAAAAATACCGCTTGGAAGTGCCTTACTTGTGTAGGGCCCATAGTCTACCCCACGGCAATTTTACTCAAGGAATGTCAAAACTCTTGATGGAATTGATCGGGTGCAAATTTCGAAACGACCCTATGTGAAACCCATGGTTGCCAGCACGTTCACGGAGTGATACATCGGAGTTGTATAACCCTTCATCTTCGTTGGAGAAATGGGACGGGTTCGGTGCTGGGGCCCAAAAACGACAACTAAGAAGTAACCTTATAGTAGTTGAAGGGACAAAATCATTGGCTGAATGATATCTCCAGCATATGGGTTGAACAAGTTCAAACTCTGAGCACGGCCAATAGATATCTTAGAAATGGAAATCGTGCCAGGCAAAAATACTACTCAGGGTTCACATCCAGTTTTGGCCCAGATTTTAATGAATTTTTCCAGTCTGCAACATGATCGGATTGACAGTCACAGGGATGAGACATGAAACAAGGGATCCCACATGAGAATCACATGAGGCTGGGGGGCTTGGTTCTGAATTAAATGAATCAAACAACCCTTGGAAATTCACCCACTGGAACCCTTAACATATATGTATATATTATAATATATATATATATATTTAAAAAAAACTTGCAAGTATATGTAAATGTATACCAGATAGTGCCCGGCCCATGCCGGGGCGGAAGGTGCGAAACATTTTAAACCAACTAGAAGAAATGAATGGCCGCTAGGACAGTTCTTGAGATGCAGAAGCAATGAAGTGTTGAAGTTGTGAGGTGCATCAACGAATGAGCACATGCTGGTGGAGATGCCAATGAAATGACATGAGAGAAGGAAGCCACGCACAACTGATTGAATGAACCAGAGAAGCAATGAATCGATAAATCAATGAATCAATGAATGCATGAGCACTGAATCACAGAATCAATGAACCAGTGAGGCAACGAAGCAATGAATCAATGAATCAGTGGATCAATGAATCAACGAATCAGCGAATCAATGAACCAATGGGCCAATGAATGAATGAATTAGCGAGTCGATGAATCAGTGAATCAATGATCCAGTGAAACAATGAACCAGTGAATCCATGAATCGTCCATGGGTCAACGAATTGGTGATTCAGTGAACCGATGAACCAATGAATCAGTGATTCAATGAATCAGTGAATCAGTGAAACAGCGAAGCACTGAATCAATGAACCCATGACGCCGTGAATCAAAGAATCAATGAATCAGAGATTTTTTGAATCCATGAATCAATGATCAATGACTCAATGAATGAACGCATGGATGGATGGATGGATGGACGGACGGATGGATGGGTGGGCTACTTTTCTGCTGAGCTACTTCTTCACTGAGCGACCTCTTCGCTGAGATACCTCTTGTCTCAGCTGCTTCTTATCTGAGCAGCTTCTTATCTGGACTCGTTCTGCTCTTGACTGCCTCCCAGCTACCTCTTCTTGAGCTTCTGCATTCAATTCTTCCCTTCGCGCAGGCAGAACAGGACGTTTTGCAACCTCCAGTTGCTATGCCGCAAAACACAAGAGTAGCAATATGATCTAAAACTACCTTTCGCGAAGATGTTACAATGCGTCTAGCAACTTCCAGCTCTAATCCTGAATAGCAGGGGAGTCTCCGCATTGCCTGCGTTTTGTCACAACCGATTGCAAACCCTGCATAGCAGGAGCGTTGCACCAAATCGACCAACCTTCGCGCAGCGTCAACAGTGCAAACTCGACCGCGCAAATCCGGCGCTGCCCTGAAGGTTTTTACGTTTTTTTTTTGTGAAATCGGGGGTGGTTCACATGATGATGTGGTTGACATAATGGTGTGAATGCTAATCATGACCATCATCCATAACTCGGAAGTTTTCTAATTAAACTTCCTTTGATAAGTTGCTATTTTCAAGTCTTCAGTAGGAAGAAATTCAGAGGAAAGGTTGTTCAAACCCATTGTCGGGGGTCCGTGTTGAGTTTCAGGGGGGTTGCCAACGAATGATCTTTAAATCCAAGAAATTCAACCATGGTGTCATGGTGTCAAACCCAATCAACTATGTGGGACAATATTACCATCTGGTTATGACTAACAGTTTGCCATGGAAAATCACCATGCTATTAATAGGTAAACCATCTATTTCTATGGGCAATTTTCCATGGCTATGTTAAATAACCAGATGGTATGTTGTGTTGACTTTGACACTGGATTTGCAACACGTCGCTCCATCTTCTCTTCAAACGCACTTCCGACAGTCAATCAAAAACACTGCAGGACCCTGGAATACAAGATGACGTTTCGCCCGCCAGCTAAGCTAGAGGTATGCGAACCGGGCTGCAACTAGTCCCAAGTCACAACGGACCCATCCGCCAGGATTGCAGCAAATGCTTCACAATTTGCTTGAACCTGTTAGACACCGTTCAGCTGATCTTGAACATAAGAGCTGTCACCGCCACTATCTGGATCGCCCCAAGTCACAACAGACCCATCCACCAGGATTGCAGCAAATGCACCATAGGCACCATAGGTTGCTTGAACCTGTTGGACACCTTTCAGCTGATCTTGAACATAAGAGCTGTCACCGCCACTATCTGGACCGCCCCAAGTCACAACCGACCCATCCGCCAGGATTGCAGCAAATGCAGAGTAGGTTGCTTGAGCCTGCTGGACATCCTTAAGCCGATCTTGGACTTCAGAGCTGTCACCACCATAATCTGGATTGCCCCAGGTCACAACCGACCCATCTGCCCGGATAGCAGCAAATGCCCTGCCAGTTGCTTGAGCCTGCTGGACATCCTTAAGCCGATCTTGGACTTCAGAGCTGTCACCACCATAATCTGGATTGCCCCAGGTCACAACCGATCCATCTGCCAGGATAGCAGCAAATGCCCTGCGAGTTGCTTGAACCTGCTGGACTCCCTTGAGCTGATCCTTGACTTCAGAGATGTCACCACCATAATCTCGATCGCCCCAAGTCACAACCGAGCCATCTGCCAGGATTGCAGCAAATGCGCCAGAGGAAGCTTGAACCTGCTGGACACCTTTGAGCTGATCTTGGACAAAAGAGCTGTTGCCACCCCAACCTGGATCGCCCCAAGCCACAACCGACCCATCTGCCAGGATTGCAGCAAATGCTCCATTAAGAGTTGCTTGAACCTGCTGGACATCCTTGAGCTGATCTTGGACTTCAGAGCTGTCGCTACCATGATGTGAATTGCCCCAAGTCACAACCGAGCCATCTGCCAGGATCGCAGCAAATGCATGATAGGTTGCTTGAACCTGCTGGACATCCTTGAGCTGATCTTGGACTTCAGAGCTGTCGCTACCATGATGTGAATTGCCCCAAGTCACAACCGAGCCATCTGCCAGGATTGCAGCAAATGCAGAGTAGGTTGCTTGAGCCTGCTGGACATCCTTGAGCCGATCTTGGACTTCAGAGCTGTCACCACCATCATCTGCATCGCCCCAAGTCACAACGGATCCATCTGCCAGGATAGCAGCAAATGCCCTGCCAGTTGCTTGAACCTGCTGGACATCCTTGAGCTGATCTTGGACTTCAGAGCTGTCACCACCATAATCTGGATTGCCCCAGGTCATAACCCAGTCACCTCCAGGGCAAAACAACGCAAAAGCTTCGTCTGTTGCCGCTAGTTTTGCCTCCACAGCAATAGCTGTCAGGTGGTCTCCATCTTCAAGTCCTGCAGCTTGTAGAGACACTGCAGGATCCACCACGCTATGGTCTGCAGCCACAAGTTTCAAGAAGCCACGTTGAAATGATTTCTGCGCCAGAACCCTCAAGTCCCCTACTTTGGAGGACCGTTCAAGCGAAAATGTCTCAGCTTGACCGCTTGGTAACGCTACACTGACCCGAAGCATCTGTAAACGAAACACTACACTACCAGCAGTCCCTGCAATTGGATCTTGAGCCAAACTGCAACATTTCCTGATATCCATGTGGCGAAGTTTTATGCGCTAACAGTGATTTCCAGTGCTCGCGCTCTTCCAACACCAGATCTGTGGTCGCCAGCACCTCCACAGAATGATTTTCGGGGGTTACATGCTCTTTCATCGTTGTCTTTGGAGAAATATCTGGGAATCAGTTCTGAGGCCCTACACGTGCTAGGGCATCATGGATGAACGTGCTAATCTTGGATGTCCTAGAAAAATACTGATTTTGAGTTGGTTATCCTCCACCCCAAGAATTGATGGCAAAAAACAAACTCACTAAGTTACAGTAGCATTACTCTGTTCACCCAGGGAATACAGCACATGACTCCACCTCAAGAGTTGATGAAGGTATCTATAGCCAAGTCCCTCAGGGTTTTGTGGTAGATCTGTGGGTCACACGTCTATGTCTTCACAGGCCAGGCAGGTTCTTGTTCAATATGGACTCTGTGTGATCCCTATTTTGGCGGGCTACAGTATCAATAGTAGTCTCCAAAGTCTCATATATCATAGTGAATTTTGTGGCCAGATCACATGACGTGAATTTCTGAATGGCTTGTATCTAGCAGGAGTAGGCTTTATGATGTGTATGCTAGACATATCTACAGTGGGCTTTCTAAAGCAAACATCAAAATCGCTGCGGCAGCAGAAACGTTCTCGTTGGACAAGTACCAGGGATTCATCCAACAAATGGCGGCTTGATTTAACTAATCACCATTTAAAGACCCATTTTAATTAACCTGAATGACTTATTAGTGTTATCATTAGTCATTATTATCTAAAATGGTGGCTTTAACTGTTCTTCAGGTCTAATTCCCAGGTTGATTGAATCCAGTGTTTGGCTGGTAAGAACACAATCTTTTCTGTGGCTTGCAAACACATCTGGCCAGATTCTTGAATGCTTAAAGATCCCACAATTCACATTTGTTGATCCGGGTTGTTGGTGTTGATTATGGTGCTGGTTTTTGTCATACCCATTTCACCCCTTTTTGGTGCAAATTACCATCTGGCTATTTAACAGTTCGCCATGGAAAGATCCATCATGTTTAATAGCTATAAACCATCTATTTCTATGGGCCATACTGGGCCATGGCTTCCATGGCTTGCCCTGTTAGTCATAACCAGAGGGTAGTAATATTCCATTAAAACCACAATTTTGTTGGTTAAACCCCATTAAACCACCATTAAACCACCATGTTCCTATGGTTTTCACTATAGTAACGTCAGTTAGGCTATGCAAATTTACCCAGATGTCATCCCAACAAAAGCCATGTGGAATCTGTTGGATCACCCGGGATCACCCGAAAAATCACCGGTCGACTCTGTGAGGCCGCATTTTTTCCAGGAAAAGACTGGAGAAAAAACGTGTTCCTAGCAGCTGGAAAAAAAATGTTGAAGTAGCTGAAATCTGGAATTCTCATGAATTCTCTATCATATTCCATCTCTCCGTAGCCGTTAATGTTTGAAATCCCCAGTCTCCCGAAAAAAAAAAAAAACCTTCACCGCCTGGCTCTTGTAACATCTCGGTGATAAAGAGCATCACATCCTCACGCTTGGCGATGCGCGCGAACCACTTCTGCATTTCCTTGTCCCTGTTGAGCCACCTGAGTAGAATGGCTTTGCTGGGACCCGCGAAGTTGCTGCAACTTGCAGCAGCCTGGGCTTCTATGGCTTATGGATGCTTATGGTATATATATATGCGTATATAAATGAATTAGAAATCATGGGTATTCTAAAGCAACAGGCATCACCTTTCAGTGTCTGTTTCTTGATAGCTATAGGTTTATATATATATATGTACATCAGATGTGGCTAACAATTGATCACCTAAGCTACTAAACCATGGTTGATGTACATGGTTAACGACTGGAATTGTAATTCACTCAAGCCAGCACTGAAACTCGTGAAGGTCAACATATATTATATTATTACAGAGTCAAGACTCCGAACAACTGACTGTGCTATTTGCACAAATTTGAAGGTACATGGGAAACCGATGAACATTTTCCATATACCCCAACTACCATGAAGGTTTGGTATAAGGTATTTACACAATATGGGTATTGAAAAGGTGCCTCACAAATTGGGAGAACCCATTACAGTAACATTGGACCAAGATAGGTGGTCTCACAGGCGCTGCAGAAAATGCACGTTTCAACATCTTCAAAACCGTGATCAATATCTATATTACCCTCTGGTAAACTAACACAGCTATGGAAATTCACCATCTTTAATAGGTAAATCAACTATAAATGGGCCATGTTCAATAGCTATGCTAAATTATCAGAGGGTATATAACTGCTCCAAAAATCAAAGATATCAAGTTGATCTCTGCCGGTTGGTCGAAAATTCAGAACATCCGAAACGTCGCCCAAAAAAAAACAAGGTTATAAAAACATATCCTCCAGCCCCACTGGCTAGACTTGTTTTCTAGATCCCATCTAAAAAGTGGAACCCCAACTTTGGAGATTTGCAGGGATCCCTGCTGGTCATTAAGTTGGGGTCTCCAAAATTTAAATCAACTAGGTATATATATATATATATGATATGTGTATATATATAATTATATATATAATCTGCTATGGATATGTTGATCATTACATAACTATATTCTATATGGTATGTTGATGTATCTTTATATTGGAACAAACTTTTATAAACCCATCTGACTATACTTCAGGATCTGGTAGGACATTGGTTCCCTGGGATCCTCCTTGGTGTAACATAGCTTAACCTCCATGTATTTCGATGCATAATGCGTTTATGAATAATCTTAAAATCCCATATGTCTTGCTTGTTCAGCCCATGTTTCTCATTCTTAACTCATTTCTAGCGTGGAAACCCATAAACTAAATGATTGAAAGTAAACCACACATTGGATTTGCTTGAGATTAACCTCATCAAAAAAAAAAAAACTATTCCCAAAAGATTCCTGAAGTTTTTCCTGTTCCAGTTTTCTTCCACCAGTCCCTGCCCACCCCCGGCACCCCACAGCCGCCGTCACCAAGCGACGTCACAAAGCGATAGACCCCGGGCTGCCGCAGCAGGCGCAGCACGAAGCGGCGCGCCTCGGAAAGGCTCAAGAAATCCGCCACCTTGTCCTGCCATGGCACGGGGGGATAGAAAAACAACTGGGAACCAATAACTGGTTGGTGGTTTCAAACTAGCCCTCTGAAAAATATGTTATGTCAGTTGGGATGATGACATTTCCAACGGAATGGAAAAATAAAAAATGTTCCAAACCACCAACCAGATAATGTCCTTTTGGTAAAAAATAGAGGGGCCGGTTTGGTATACCATCATCATTGAACCAATGGGAAAGGGATATGCTGGGAACAACAGAAACAGTTTTTCTAAAACAACCATAGAACATGCGATATAGTTTTTATAGGGGTTGAACGTTGAAGGGGGTGTAACAGGGTTGACTGGGGGATAAACCACCGGCTTTTCAACATGGTGATATAAAAATAGAAACAACCATGGGGATTATGAAATTTCATGGAACAATTTCACGGAATACAAAGCGGAAAAACAAACAACCGTTTATTTTGTTTGATGACTGGTTCATGAAATGTAACAACTGGGGTTATTTTTACACCGGAAAAGCAGCAGGTCAGCCGTCCACCCGTCCAGAAAGCCGTCTTGTAACAGCAAGCGCTTCGCGAAGCCAGCGCCGCGTGGATCGTTCAGCAGCTCCCCTAACCATTGGTCGATGCCAGGAGTAGCACAGAAATTCATGGCCTCAGCGGTGGATCGTGCCACTTTAGTGTTCCTGATATAGCAACCCAGTAAAGAATAAATGACTTTAATGTGTACTAAAGAAGTAACATATAGTAACATCCCTAGCAAACCTAAAAAATATCGTTCTACCTTTTTTTGGGTGGGTTTTTCCTTCCTAATCAGGTAGCCAGTGGATGTTAGTGGGCGCGGCACTAACATGACCAAGGCCAAAAACCAACCAGCTGTGATCCGTGGATGATCCGAGTTCGTTGGTGATAATAACTCTATATCTTCTGATTGTTAATATATGGTTAATTAATCTGGGTAAATGACATAATATTTCACTAACCTGAATTGTTGGGCCATTTGGGGATGATTCCCCTTACTAACCATGATTCCAGGGTTCGGGAGAACAGTGAGGTCGTTAGAATTTACCCAGATATATGGTTAATTAATGGTCTAATGGTTGTTATGATATTAATGGTTATTAATATACCCACGCACATATGGTTTAATATGGATATAAGTTAATGGATGTTAATGGGTGAACCCCCATGATCTCTTCAATTTTCGTAGTTATAGATATGTCTAAAAGTCCATATTGTCTCTCAGTTTCCATTGGCTACTTGCATATATGCTTGCATACTCCCATAAAAGTTCAACTAAACCCCTGGAAACGGCGACCTCACAACAGACGGTCCATAAGCCATCAACAAGCTCTGGTTATACCTTGCTGGTGGGTACCCTCTGGCAAACGATAACAAAACATATGGAAAATCACTTTTTTTCATGGGAATTTTCACTATAAATGGTGATTTTCCATAGTTATGTTAAATTACCAGAGGGTAATTAGTAAGCGGTACTTCTTAGGTCACCTTTTTCGGGAGAATTCATAAGGACTTTGGCCACGAAGTGGGGAAAATTCCGATGAAGCTACCCTTTGGTAGACTAACATGGCCTGCTGGAAATCACAAATATCTATATAATAGGAGTTTAAGGCCCATGAATGAATATAAATGGGGAACGCTCTAAACGCAAAGTTCGATCACCGGAGGAAAACAGAAAACTGACTGCAGCCCAACAGCCTGAAGATTTTGAGGTTCGACTGGCTGGTTTGAAACTCTAAATTCACTTTGAGACCAGCAGCTACAATACATCCTCAATCTTGGATAATCTTAGACATCATCAATTTTTCGAGCTGGTTGGATGTCCCCATGTATGGTGAAAGGTTAAAGTACTAAAGTGAGCAGTGTTCAAAATTCCTCCATCATTCCATGAAATACTGGTTGGTTATGAACGGGATTCCCCGGTCTTGGATTCTTATAATCCCCATACTCCGTAGAACAAAATCCCCGAACTAATCATCAACCAGGGTAGATCGCAGCTGCTCAAGTAACTCTCCAGTTGGTTCTCCATGAGTTCGAAATCAAAGAATTCACCCAGAACTTTGCCAGACAACTTGCTGCATCTTGCAGCAACCACCCCGAAAACCATCGACTTCCAGCACTTGTTCGACTTGTTCCCCTCAGTTTCCATATTTTGATGCGTACCTGTTCCACCCTAAAGAAGGTAATTATTCAACGGGATGACCTTTATTAATCGTTTGTCCTTTTTTGATGTTTTATTCTACCAGAACGGTTTTTAACGACCTCGAACGGTTCTTTACGTATCTGGCCCCTTCTGGTATGAAAAAACCGGCTACCGCCAAACGTGTTTTTTTAAAGCATTTTTTATGCAAAAAAAAACGCAATTCTGAACGCAATTGAACGCAATCTCAACGTAATTGAACGCAATCTGAACGCAATCTGAACGGTTTGGATTTCGGAGAACAGTTTCGCATGGGAAACAACGTAAACATTACGATCTTTAATGACTCTGAACATTCCTGAACAGTTCAGTAGTGGCTTGCTGTGGTTTGTTTCAATATGCATATTTTCTCCCAAAAAATATTGTACCGGTTTTTATTGGCTGGGAGAATAATTATTCTCCAAAACAACGATTATTAATAGTTGGCTCCAAGAAAAATAATTGTTCTTTCAAAGGTGTAACAGGTATATCAATTCACATTATGAGTGAACACCCATGTCTCACATAAACTGAGTTCAAACATGTTAAAACCAGTGAATTGGGATTTACACTGTCTATTTTCCAGTCAGACCTCAATTTTTCTCAAAGATTGCCATTCCATGATCTGTCCTAGTTAAAACTAGGAAGAAACCTCCAATTTTCATTATTTTCCATCAATTTCCCAATTTTTTCGTGAAATAATTCTGGGATTTTCGCTGATTTTCGTAGATTTTTCCAGACGTTCAATAGATTTTCCCAACTTTCTCTCAGTTTTCCGTTTCCCATATGTTCCTGGGATTTCCCTTCGATCTTCCCTTGTTTTTTCTCAAATTCTCCCATCGATTTTGCATAGATTTTCCCAGATTATCACCAGATTTTCCCAAGATTTTTTCCCAAGTTTTTCCCAGATTTTCAGATTTTCCCAAGTTTTTCCCAGATTTTCCCAGATTTTCCCAAGTTTTTCCCAAGTTTTTCCCAGATTTTCCCAAATTTTCCCAACTTTTTCCCAGATTTTCCCAGATATTCCCAAGTTTTTCCCAAGTTTTTCCCAGATTTTCCCAGATTTTCCCAAGTTTTTCCCAGATTTTCCCAGATTTTCCCAAGTTTTTCTTAGATTTTCCCAAGTTTTCCCAAATTTTTCCCAGATTTTCCCAGATTTTCCCAAGTTTTTCCCAGATTTTCCCACATTTTCCCAAGTTTTTCCCAGATTTTCCCACATTTTCCCAAGTTTTTCCCAGATTTTCCCATATTTTCCCAAGTCTTTCCTAGATTTTCCCAAATTTTCCCAAATTTTCCCAAGTTTTTCACCAGATTTTCCCAGGTTTTTCCCAGATTTTCCCAGATTTTCCCAGATTTTCCCAAGTTTTTCCCCAGATTTTCCACAGATTTTCCGAAGTTTTTCCCAGATTTTCCCATATTTTCCCAAGTCTTTCCCAGATTTTCCCAAATTTTCCCAAGTGTTTCCCAGATTTTCCCAGATTTTCCGAAGTTTTTCCCAGATTTTCCCACATTTTCCCAAGTTTTTCCCAGATTTTCCCAGATTTTCCCAAGTCTTTCCCAGATTTTCCCAAATTTTCCCAAATTTTCCCAAGTTTTTCACCAGATTTTCCCAGATTTTCCCATATTTTCCCAAGTTTTTCCCAGATTTTCCCAGATTTTCCCAAGTTTTTCCCAGATTTTCCCAGATTTTCCCAAGTTTTTCCTAGATTTTCCCAAGTTTTCCCAAGTTTTTCCCAGATTTTCCCAGATTTTCCCAAGTTTTTCCCAGATTTTCACAGATTTTCACAGATTTTCCCAGATTTTCCCACATTTTCCCAAGTTTTTCCCAGATTTTCCCATATTTTCCCAAGTCTTTCCCAAATTTTCCCAGATTTTCACAGATTTTCCCAAGTTTTTTCCCCAGATTTTCCCAGGTTTTTCCCAGATTTTCCCAGATTTTCCCAAGTTTTTCCCCAGATTTTCCAAGGTTTTTCCCAGATTTTCAACATATTTTTCCCATGTTTTTCCCAGATTTTCCCCAGTTTTCCCCAGGTTTTCCAATGTTTTTCCCAAGTTTTTCCACAGATTTTCCCAAGTTTTTTCCCAAGTTTTTCCACAGATTTTCCACAGTTTTTCCCAAGTTTTTCCACAGATTTTCCCAGACTTTCCCATGTTTTTTCCCAGATTTTCCCAAGTTTTCCCCAAAATTTCCCAGATTTTCCCATCCCAGATTTTTCATATTTTTCTCAGATTTTCCCAAATTTTCCCAATTTTTTCCAAGTCTTTCCCAAGATTTTCCCAAATTTTCCCAAGTGTTTCCCAGATTTTCCCAGATTTTCCGAAGTTTTTCCCAGATTTTCCCACATTTTCCCAAGTTTTTCCCAGATTTTCCCATATTTTCCCAAGTCTTTCCCAGATTTTCCCAAATTTTCCCAAGTGTTTCCCAGATTTTCCCAGATTTTCCCAAGTTTTTCCCAGATTTTCCCACATTTTCCCAAGTTTTTCCCAGATTTTCCCAGATTTTCCCAAGTCTTTCCCAGATTTTCCCAAATTTTCCCAAATTTTCCCAAGTTTTTCACCAGATTTTCCCAGATTTTCCCATATTTTCCCAAGTTTTTCCCAGATTTTCCCAGATTTTCCCAAGTTTTTCCCAGATTTTCCCAGATTTTCCCAAGTTTTTCCTAGATTTTCCCAAGTTTTCCCAAGTTTTTCCCAGATTTTCCCAGATTTTCCCAAGTTTTTCCCAGATTTTCACAGATTTTCCCAAGATTTTCCCACATTTTCCCACATTTTCCCAAGTTTTTCCCAGATTTTCCCATATTTTCCCAAGTCTTTCCCAAATTTTCCCAGATTTTCCCAGATTTTCCCAAGTTTTTTCCCCAGATTTTCCCAGGTTTTTCCCAGATTTTCCCAGATTTTCCCAAGTTTTTCCCCAGATTTTCCAAGGTTTTTCCCAGATTTTCAACAGATTTTTCCCATGTTTTTCCCAGATTTTCCCCAGTTTTCCCCAGGCTTTCCAATGTTTTTCCCAAGTTTTTCCACAGATTTTCCCAAGTTTTTTCCCAAGTTTTTCCACAGATTTTCCACAGTTTTTCCCAAGTTTTTCCACAGATTTTCCCAGACTTTCCCATGTTTTTTCCCAGATTTTCCCAAGTTTTCCCCAAAATTTCCCAGATTTTCCCATCCCAGATTTTTCATATTTTTCTCAGATTTTCCCAGATTTTCCCAGATTTTCCCAAGTTTTTCTTAGATTTTCCCAAGTTTTCCCAAATTTTTCCCAGATTTTCCCAGATTTTCCCAAGTTTTTCCCAGATTTTCCCACATTTTCCCAAGTTTTTCCCAGATTTTCCCACATTTTCCCAAGTTTTTCCCAGATTTTCCCATATTTTCCCAAGTCTTTCCTAGATTTTCCAAAATTTTCCCAAATTTTCCCAAGTTTTTCACCAGATTTTCCCAGGTTTTTCCCAGATTTTCCCATATTTTCCCAAGTCTTTCCCAGATTTTCCCAAATTTTCCCAAATTTTCCCAAGTTTTTCACCAGATTTTCCCAGATTTTCCCATATTTTCCCAAGTTTTTCCCAGATTTTCCCAGATTTTCCCAAGTTTTTCCCAGATTTTCCCAGATTTTCCCAAGTTTTTCCTAGATTTTCCCAAGTTTTCCCAAGTTTTTCCCAGATTTTCCCAGATTTTCCCAAGTTTTTCCCAGATTTTCACAGATTTTCCCAAGTTTTTCCCAGATTTTCCCACATTTTCCCAAGTTTTTCCCAGATTTTCCCATATTTTCCCAAGTCTTTCCCAAATTTTCACAGATTTTCCCAAGTTTTTTCCCCAGATTTTCCCAGGTTTTTCCCAGATTTTCCCAGATTTTCCCAAGTTTTTCCCCAGATTTTCCAAGGTTTTTCCCAGATTTTCAACAGATTTTTCCCATGTTTTTCCCAGATTTCCCCAGTTTTCCCCAGGTTTTCCAATGTTTTTCCCAAGTTTTTCCACAGATTTTCCCAAGTTTTTTCCCAAGTTTTTCCACAGATTTTCCACAGTTTTTCCCAAGTTTTTCCACAGATTTTCCCAGACTTTCCCATGTTTTTTCCCAGATTTTCCCAAGTTTTCCCCAAAATTTCCCAGATTTTCCCATCCCAGATTTTTCATATTTTTCTCAGATTTTCCCAAATTTTCCCAATTTTTTCCAAGTTTTTCCCAAGTTTTTCCCAAATTTTCCCCAGATTTTCAGATTTTCCAAGATTTTCCACAGATGTTCCCCTGATTTTCCATCGATTTTCGCCCAGGGCGCCCAGAGCTCCGCGCCGGGCACGCGACAGGCGCGACACACGGCCGCAGGCAGCTGCTGGCGCCGGCGGTGGGCCCAGGCGGCAGAGGCTTCGGCCTGGGTTTTGACATGGTAATTTTCAGGGTTTTTTTCTACCCTCACTGGATTGGTTTAAGGGACAATTTACAGGAAACCATGGTTTTTACCATCAAATATAGGGTTTTCCTGTAAATTTTCCCATCATCCAATTCTATGATACCCTCAATCAATCCTGGCGGCCTATCATTGTACTGTAGTTTTTTTTGCCATATCTAACCATAGATATTAATGATATCTAAGCATAGATATATCAAATATATTTATGGTTAGATGTGGTTATTATCGTATGTCTATTACCCTCCGGTTATTTAACAGTTCGCCATGGTATAGATGGCCATTTTTAGTAGATGGTTTACCTATGAATAGCATGGTGATTTTCCATGGTCATGTGAAAAATAACCAGATGGTAGATTTTGATGTTTTTTTTCTATATGTCGGGATGATGATAATGCTCTATGTATGGTATATTTACCTACAAAACTGGGTGATTTGTCTATGGTTAATATATATATATATATATGTGATAATATGGATTATATAAATATGGATAATTATGGTTATACTACAATTTTGATGGTAATTTTGATGGATTTTTCTAGATTTTGATGGATTCTTCTAGATTTTTATTTGATTGATTTTTCTAGACTTTGATGGATTTTTCTACATTTTGATTTGATGGATTTTTCTAGATTTTGATTTGATGGATTTTTCTAGATTTTGATTGATTTTTTCTAGATTTTGATTTGATTGACTTTTCTAGATTTTGATTTGATGGATTTTTCTAGGTTTTGATTTGATGGATTGTTTCTAGATTTTGATGGATTTTGATGGTAATTTTGATGGCGAATTAATGTGTTAATTATCATATTTTATATGGTTAGTGTAAGGTCAATATCCATTTGGTTCATATATCATATGGTCATGTGGATAAAAGATGGCTGATTCTATATAGTTAAATATGGTTAATTATTTATATTTTATCTTAAGCATCCATTATATATATGGATTTAATATCTGCTTTATATAAGGGTATGGTTTGATTTTGTCATATATATATACTGTGCATCTACATGGTTCAATTATGGTATATCATATTTACATTGTTAGATAGTATATGGTCAATTCTATGGCTGATTATCCATTGACACATGAACATATATGGATTTAATGTATGGTTAATTAATGGCCTAATGGTTATCATTATATCAATGGTTATCAGTATACCCACACACACATATGGTTTAATGTGGATATAAGTTTATAATATAAATGTATGGTCAAATGGTATATCATATTTACATGGTTAATATCCATTTGATGGTGTGATATGGCTAATTAATGACCATAATTCATGTGCTGATGGTAATATGGTATTACCCAAAATGGATATCAATGGTGTAGCAGATGATATCATTATTAGAATATCAATAATATGGATGGAGAATTCAATGGAGAATGATGGTGACTGATTATGGTAATATTATGAAAATTGCTTAATCATGATTATATGAAGAAAAGTCAATTTATGCAGAATATATGAATTATCAAAACTGAGTATGGTCCTATGATGAACCATGGTCAATCTTAGGTACCTGCCAAAAAAAGCAACTAATTTTAGCTGGTCCTCAGGACCAATTTTACCATGTATAGCAAAATATTGAAGTACTAGTTCGTATCTAACAAAGGTTGACCCGGGAATAATATATATGTTATTAATGCTTGATTATCTGGTTGGTGGTTTCAAACCCTCTGAAAAATATTAGTCAGTTGGGATTTTTATTCCCAATATACGGAAAAATAAAAGATGTTCCAAACCACCAACCAGTTATGAATGTCACTTATTGTCAATTATGGATAAACATGATATATCATGATCTACGATTGATTAGAATCATTATGACATTATTGTGGATCATTGGGTATTCATGATACAAGGTGGTGCCCCCCTCAGTTATTTTGAATTACTTTACTTCGTGTGATCCCCACCATGACATTTATACATTTTCTTACTGGCAAATCTTCTGGCATTCTATCTGGCATATCTTCTGCCATTCTATTTGGCATTCTATCTGGCATATCTTCTGGCATATGTTCTGGCATATCTTCTGGCATATCTTCTGGCATTCTATCTGGCAAATCTTCTGGCATTCTATCTGGCATATCTTCTGGCATTCTATCTGACATATCTTCTGGCATTCTATCTGGCGTTCTATCTGGCATATATTCTGACATATCTTCTGGCATTCTATCTGGCATTCTATCTGGCATTCTATCTGGCATATCTTCTGGCATATCTATCTGGCATATCTTCTGGCATATTGTCTGGCATTCTATCTGGCAAATCTTCTGGCATTCTATCTGACATTTTATCTGGCATATCTTCTGGCATATTATCTGGCAAATCTTCTGGGATTCTATCTGGCATATTTTGTGGCATTCTATCTGCCATTTTATCTGGCATTCTATTTGGCATACCTTCTGGCATTCTATCTGGCATATCTTCTGGCATTCTATCTGGTATATCTTCTGCCATTCTATCTGGCATATCTTCTGGCATTCTATCTGGCATATCTTATGGCATTTTATCTGGCATATCTTCTGACATTCTATCTGGCATATCTTCTGACATTCTTTCTGGCATATCTTCTGGCATATCTTCTGGCATATCTTCTGACATTCTTTCTGACATTCTTTCTGGCATTCTATCTGGCATATCTTCTGACATTCTATCTGACATCTTTTCTCACATTCTTCCCGTTGAGGTCCGGCAGTGCCCACTGCGATCTGGAAGTCGAGGTTGAGGTCCGGCAGTGCCCACTGCGATCTGGAAGTCGCGGTTGAGGTCCGGCAGTCCCCACTGCAACCTGGAAGTCGCGGTTGAGGTCCGGCAGTGCCCACTGGGATCTGGAGCTCGCGGTGGAGGTCCGGCATGCCCACTGGGATCTGGAGCTCGCGGTGGAGGTCCGGCTGTGCCCACTGGGATCTGGACTGCGAGGAGGAGGCGGCAGGTGAGGAGGCGGAGGAGGCGGAGGTGGAGGCGGAGGAGGCGGAGGCGGAGGAGGAGGAGGAGGAGAACAGCTCTGATAAAATCTAACAACCCTCACCTGGCAGGTGGGGAATAATGTATGAGTGATTATTGGTTGGCATTATGATGGTGATTTAGCATAATTATTATGTATATATATAATATGATATATGTGGAGAAAGATGTGGATCATTGGGTTATAATACCATTGGACACAATAGTTGATATTATACACACCCAATAGTATAAGCCATATGATAGCCAATGATCTGGATATTTATGATATTATTGGAAAATACTGTCTGATATGTATATGTACACCATGATCTACTAATTGTACTAATTATTTGTATTGTTCTTATGTCATTGGAAAATGGTCATTCGGTATTGACTATTTGATATGGACCTGGATAAGTATGATATACCATGGTATGATTATAAATGTGTACCATAATATGATGTAGTGGATATTAGTGGATATTCTTGGAAAATACTGTTATTATGAATATAATGTTACTATTGTCTTTGACGACCTCAACGAAATCACCGTACGTCTTCTGGGTCTCATTGGAGTCTTTCGTAATCAAGGCGTCCACGATGTCGCCAATCGGCACTTGCCCCGACCCAATCTTATTGGCCCCCTCATACCCATCGGGGAACACACAGGCCACGCAGGCCCCCCTGATGGTGGCAAGTCTCTTCTCCCACATGAGCACTCTTTCATAAATTGTGAGCCGATATTCCGGGGGAATCTGCTCCACCTGGAAATTGGCATCCTGACGCCAGTAGGCATGTTCATGATCTGGATTTGTTTGATATTATTCTGTGATGGTGATTATGGTATTCAAAAATGGATAGTGATGATGGTGATGATGATGATGATGATGATGATGATGATGATTGTAAATCGCAAGGATAGTCGGATCTCATAAGCGTCAATCATCAGTTGGATGATTCATCGTGCAATATTTTTGACATGAATTGTTCAAAGCATCACCAATTACCATCTGGTTATTTAACAGTTCGCCATGGAAAATCACAATTTCTAATAGGTCAACCATCTATTTCAATGGGCCATGGCTTCCATGGCGAACTGTTAGTCATAACCAGAGGGATAATCAGTGGAGGGACTTATCGATATGATCATGATGGAGCTCATCTCGGATCTGGAAGCTTGGTTGAAAAATTGCCATTCAAACATAGCTCTGGTAATTTAACATTACTGAAAATGGCCCGGTCGAAATTGTTGATTTACCGAACTAAAATGGGAAATTTCCCAGTTCGCAAACCGGAAACTCCGTAAACGTTGACAAGACAGGTCTTAGCAGCCTACTTAAGCAGGATCTTCGTGCGGGTCTATTTGAAGGAATCGATGCTAAGAATCTATCTGGAATAAGGATGAATAAGGATGATGTTAAGAATCGACCCAGACCCATATATCAATTTGCCCATATATCGAGTTTGAATCTTAAGCAGTGTCATAGGGGTAACATTAAAAAACCCTCCGGTGACTGTCCAGCGCCATTCTGGACCCATGAAAAAAAAAGGCGATTGGAATGTTGTCTTACTTTCTATTGATGTTCAGTATTCGCTAAAGATATAGAGTTATCCAGACCGTGATCCAGATATATAACTACTATACGCTGACTAAATTCCCATTGTTTCAGTTGATCTTCCAATGCAAGAATTCCATTTATAGATGATGTTCCCCTCAACATCCCGACTGTGCAGATGACTTCCCCACTAATTATTGTTTTGTTTAATCACAATCTTACTAATGATAATCCAATTAACAACGCCATTTACACATGACTTTCCCATGGGAAAAAAATCATTCTATGATCGCACCTTCGTCTTCAGCACAACCTGCGCCTCAGTTCCAACCAATGCTTGTGCCACGGTCAAGTTACATGGTATATGGTGCCAATAGTCATCTGGAAATCCAAAAATAATGGGCATATAGATGTCCAAAAAGATTGAAATGTAAAAAATCTTAAAATAGTAATCAATTACTGTTCTATCTTTTCGGGGTTACTATACAGTATCTATACATCTATATATATATATATATACACCCCTATTATTGCATTGATAGCCATCCCCCAAGGACTGGCTTCATCCGATGGAATTCCAAACATCTGGTTGTGGAGTTGCGGATCAGTTGATCGATCAAAAAAACATTGAACTTTAAACATAGTCTTTGGAAGATCATACTAATGGATATGGCAATTTGGAAGTGATACTTCTTACCTGATGCAGATGTTGATCCTTTCAGGGCTAGGTTCCTTTAGGTGTTTCCCAATTTTTCACCAGGGAAACTCAGATTCTTGGTGGTCAAAACTACATAACCCTCATCTGTTCCTTTTTGTATGTGCCTTCTGTAGGCACCTGCGCTAACCTTAGGCCTGGCTGAATTGTGACAATTCACAAAACCGAAAATAGCTGAAGTAAGGCCATGTGGGGATGATTATCCTTACTAATCATCATTCCAGTGACGTCAACCAGATGAGATGTTTCAGATACTTTCAGTGGATATCTCGTCGAACACCATTTCAAGAAATAATGCCTCAAATATCAAGACATATTTCACTTCAATGGATATCCGACCATTTCCATGGATAATTTCAAGAAATCATGCCTCAAATTCTTGACACAGGAGGATTCAGTGCTGGTAAAACTGGCCAAAAAAACAGCTGCATCATCGGCATTCGATGTCTTGGTCTCCCGGAACAAAAGTGCATAAAACTCATTACTTGGATTTGCTTGGATCAGATGATCACCCTGGCCAAAAAACATAGTTTCCGCATGTTGTTGCATTGACCAAGTAGAGTATTACAAACATAGTATTCAGATGTATTCAGCTGTGTGCAATTCATATCCAGGTCTGTATTAAAAAGAATTGAAACCATACAGTATCTCAGTTGGTTCACTTCCGATTTTGGGTTGATGAAAAATCACCAGTTCATCTGGAGAAATCATAATTCAATGGATTGGTTTAAGTTTAAGGGAAAATCTTCACCGGAAACCCTCGATTTTCCCATGAAGATCAATTGGTTTAAGGGAAAATCTACAAGAAACCATCGATTTTCCCATCTTCAGATCATGGGGATTGTATTTTTTCCCCAACAAACCAATCCATTGAATCATTCATCAACCTGAAGAGGGCACTTGGAGATTTGCCCGATTCCCAAGCATCTTCCCTCTGGTAAACATACAAAAAACTATGGAAAATCATCATGTTTAATGGATAAATCAACTTTTTCTATGGCCATGTTCAATATTTATGTTAGTTTAACCAGAGGGTATATCCCATTAATATCCCATTAAATCACTATAAAATCCCATTATATACCAGAGGGTAAAATGACAAAGCACGATGTGTCGCAACTTTCCCAGTGCCATCCCACAGCATCCCATAACTTTCCCAGTTCTAAAGCTCGTCCTGGAAAGTAAGGGCCTTTTATTCGCGGGAGATACTCTCTGGTAAACATACAAAAAGCTACAATGAACATGGCCATTGAGTTCGTTGATTTACCAAACTTAAACATGCTGAATGGCCATAGTTATGTGAGTTTACCAGAGGGTATACCCTCAGTTTCTATGGCTTGAAAGTTGGAACAGTACCTCCGGCTGTCCCAGGCGCCACCAGCTTGGCAGTGGCCTTGTGTTGCAGAAACCGCCTGTCATGGTCATCCCATGATTTTGGGAATCCAATAATAACATTTGGAAAACATTGATAACCCAGTGGAAGTGAGGGTACTCCGACAAACCCATTTTTCGGCGGACATGTCAGGAATTTCAAAGGCAGGCAGGGTTGGTATTTGCTAATGATGCATAGAGACCCGTCAAGAAAGGAGGGTGGAGACCAACCAATCATGTTCTTCGAAGAATGTCATTCTACTTCAATAGCACGATCGATTTATGCGGCTAAAAACCTTGCAAGTATGTTCATGGTCAGTGTTAGATGCCCTGCAAAATTCGTGAGGTTTTGCCATCGGCAAGACATCAAAAGTTGTCTAACACTACTGGAGTCTCCAGTCGTTTGACCCTGTTTGGATGCCGTAAATATTTCCTTAACTCATACATTATCAAAATTTCAATGTTTATGCTGAAAAAAACTTACACTCCACAATGTGTTTATTGAAAAATGCTGAAAAAAACATGAAAAGAAGCGCCTCATCCCAGAGATCATCAATCCCATTCCCCCAAAATGCACCCCCATTGCGTTGATTTCATCCCCATACATCCACCATATGGTGACTCCCCATATAGTGTGCGTGAAAAAAGAGGAAAGGGATTCGATCCCCCCAAGGAGACAGTCCTCACTGAAATTCACGAAATATGACCCTCAGCTTCACTAGATATCATGAAAATTCACGAAGTATCACTAGATATTGTCACTTTATATGTCATTTTCTGTTGGTCATTTGAACTATCATGTTTTGATAATACATATACAATTTGAACTATCATGTTTTGATAATACATATACTGGTTGGTGGTATACCTACCCCTCTGAAACATATGAGTTCGTCAGTTGGGATGATGACATTCCCAATATATGGCAAAAGAACCCAGTCATGTTCCAAACCACAAACCAGAATCACTCAACATCCCCCTAAACTCCAGGTTTCCTCATCTGAAGGTTTCCGTGCAATCACCCTTCTGCCCCATCTCCTGATGAGGTCTGGAGGCACGGCCACGATGAAACCTCCAGCGAGGAAGCAGGGTCTAAATCAATCCACTGGAATTGATGTGAAAAAATGGGATTTTCCATGGAATTTATTGGAATTCATGACACTTCGTGGGATCTCCAATATGGAATTTCCAATGGGAATTTATGGTAACTAATGGAAGTTAGTGGGATTTCTAATTGTAATTAATGGGAGTGACAATGGGACTTATAATGAGATTTATAATTGGATCAATGAGAATTAATGGGACTAATCAAAGGAAGTTGGGAAGCAATACTTCCGTGCTACGGACAAATAGAATTGTGAGACTTGACCTTGATGAAGGGTGGTGTGAGACTTTACACTACATAACAATACATCACAAAAGAATTGACCTTGATGAAAGGCGGTGTGACTTTACACTACATAACACCTAGATTTACGCTAGAACTGTCCATTTTTCAATAATGGGTCTTAAGATTCAATGATTTTTCACCCCTTTAATGTGGCCTCCCTCAAGAAAAGAAAACAGCACTGCCTAGCATCCCGAAATCTCATGATCTATCATAATTGTCCCATTGAATTTGCCCTGAATTTGGGGGTCCGACCCTTTTTTTCAGACAAACCCATCTCAAATTTCATCTCTTTTGGTTGAACTTAGGAAAAATCCAATGATAATGCTGATGGCAAGCCCCAGTTCATCGATTTTGACAATGGTAATGGATAAATTACAATGTTGCACCAACCTGAACACACACATTTGGGAATGATTCTCCCTTTACTAGCCATATCTGTTCTGACCTCGTTGTGATGTCTTCATACTTGGGCTACTGTATTTCCCCAGTATATCCTAAGTATAACCCTAAATTGATTGATCCATATTGATCCTATCCCCATGTACCCAGTTCACCCGCTTAAATATGTATACCCTCTGGTAAACATACAAAAAACTGTGGAAAATCACCATGTTTAATGGGTCCACTATTTCTATGGCCATTTTTGACGGTGATTCCCCAAGTCTTCGTCCCTTCGTCCATCGCCGAAGCACGTCGCAGGAAGGAGCCCATGCCCCGACGCCCCACGATCTGAAGAAGGATCTCAGCAGTATCCTGCAGTTATGGCCCTTTACCAGTTATAAGTACTTAGAAAACCCCATTTATAGAATGTATAATCCCATTTATAACCAGTTATAACTAATAAATGGCCATAACTGTGCATTTCGGCGATGGAAAAATCCGACGGAAAACTTCCTGGTGCTAAACGTACAGGATGGGGCCCCCCAGTGATGTTTGTTGGTTTATAAACCATTATAATCCCCATTAACTATAGTTTTATCTACGATAGACCATTGTTAAGCCACTTGTAAACCAACTAACCAACTTAGCTATCTTGGGGGCCCCATCCTGTAGGGAATGGATGGGTTGCTGGGGGTTGCTGGGATGATTATTACTAGTGATTATGGATCATTCCCGAAAATTCCCTGCTAAGCACCAGTCAAAAAATGTGTTGTTCTCCCAAAAATATCGGGGGGTCCAATGAAGTATAGCAGCTCCCAAAAAGATTGAAAGGCAAAATCCTACTAAACCAATTTTTTAAGTGGCCTTTACCAATAAAATATAGGGGGTTCCAATAAAATATTCAGTGGTTTATCATGGGTTCCAGATATGTGTGTTGCTCAATATTTAAAAAAAACGTGGTCCAATGTAAGAACATATTTCAGCACTACTGATCATGATCATGATCTGCGTGATTTATACATAGTGATATATAGTGACATACTATTGAATTGGATATGTGAGTGATGTACTAATCACCCTATCCCATAATATTTAGTAGCAACTATTGATCACTTAGAAACCGCAAACAAAATCGTTGCTTGGTTAATTGGATGTCCTATCAATGGATTAGTTTCAGTAGGGAAACACTATGAAACTGTGCAAACATCTAGCGGATCTGTTTCCCAAAATGCGTTTCCTGCACGAATCAAAGCAATCTGGGACAGCACAGAGTGCCCTGGGATTTTTAGTCAGAAAAGGTGCGGCTTGAGAGTTTCAGCCATCAGCCGGTCACCTTGAGTGATCTATCCACCATACCTTTCTTAGGCATTGTAGTCACTCCAACTGCCTACTGAGTAGGACTCAACAAAAAAAATGGGCCCTGCTGGTCGAAGAACTTGAAAAAATAGGCGGGAGCCTTTAAGAAGCTAAGCTGGTAATTAGGCGAAGTATGGTCTATGGTAGATACATTGAACCATGGTAAGTATGGGGATTACATATATATATATATATATGTATATACATAAATAATATATATATATATGTATATATAATATTATAAGTTATGACCCCCATCTATGATAAGTATATATTGACCCTAAGGTATATGTTAGATATACCAAACTAGATACTGGGGGTGAATCTAAACCAACTTTGAGTTGAGCACCACTCTGTAGGCAATGAGTAGAAAGAGGATGCCAAAAACCAAACAATGGAAGGGATTTACAAACAATAATGTGGATTTTGAAACATCTCAGGTACCCAAACTGAAGGCAACGAATCTGACAAATAGGGCCGGTCATACCAGCAATCTGGATCAGGATGGTCTTTCAATGGGATTCCCCTCTATAGACCAACAAGCGGGAAAAGGAATGCCAAGCCGAGATTTGTTACCCAGTAAACATTCCAAGAAATGGATTATGATTCGATAATCATTTATCTTCCTCAAAAAAGTACATTGTATAGTAGTATATTGTAGTATTTCTAGCAGTATAACCCCTTCGATCACATGATCATGAACCAACCATCAGTTGGCGATTTTGTCCCGGTATGTTTGATGGATACAACCCCAATGAGCAATGATCTTCAAATTCAAATCCCATAATTTTATGAACATAATTCAGAACAACCAGAGACTTTTGAAAATGCTTAGCAAAAAAAAACATCATTCATGGACAGCCAACCCCCCCCTAGCCCTTCTTCCCCCCCTCCTAGAAAACCCCAATGTTTAACCCCAATGTTTGTTGGTCATAACCTTATCCCGTCCCCCATCAAGAAAAAACACCCACTGACAGTGATGAAAAAAACGTGTCATCCCTGACATCTTGCGAAGATGCTTTGAAGGGGGTGTGAAAAATCTTGGAAGAGAACAAACCACAACTCGCAACGGTGGTTTCAACCTACTACCCTTGGGGGATAGGATTAAACAAATACCAAATGAGGCTTGCGGTTGTTTAACAGTTGTGTTTGAAGATGTGAAATCATATAAGTTACTGGTTGGTGGTTTCAACCTACCCCTCTGAAAAATATGAGTTCGTCAGTTGGGATGATGAAATTCCCAAAATACGGAAAAATAGAAAAGGTTCCAAACCACCAAGCAAATAATTGTTGTGGGTTTTGGAAGTCTTGGAAGTGTTTGATCATTTTTATGGAATCTTGGAAATTGATAACCATAATAATTACATATATACAATGTGAGGCCCCCGTTCGATAGCGTTCAGTTGGTGAACATAACTCCAATTTCACTATGGTTTATGGTACGGGGCGAATCTAAACCAACGTTCACATCACTGGGGGGGGGCACATTGTAATTACCACAAATAAACTTTTTGGAAGTCTTCGGATCCCATAAGAATTTTCTGGTTGGTGGTTTCAACCATCTTGAAAAATATGAAAGTCAATGGGAAGGATTATATATCCTATATATTATGGAAAATAAAAGCCATGTTTGAAATCACCAACCAGACAATGATTATGGTAATCTCGTCCCCCTAATATCACAATGGTTTTTGTTGTTGGATCACCTGCCCACCCGAAACCTGCTCTCGACAGAGTTCGACCAAGGCTGTGTCAAGGTAAAGCACCTTTGGACACGGGGTAAGGTCCCCAAACTGATAGCTAGGTCCGTTCATAACAAGGTCAACTAGGGTTTATGGTAGATATCGACGGAGTTGCAAACCTATTTATAACATCTTATAACTGGAGGGCACCACCTTGCGGGGATATGATGGCATGATCGTGAATCATGACATTTTTTCAACTGGGGTTTATGGTAGATATAATTATTATGAATGATTATATATTATTACAATGTGAGGCCCCCAAGATAGCTAAGTTGGTGCCAATAACTCCAATAACTATGGCTTATGGTACTTATAACTATAGTTACTGGGGCGAATCTAAACCAACTTATAATTGGGGGGGCCACATTGTAAGTTTTCCAGCAAACTAATTACCCTATGGTAAATAAACATAGACCCTGAAAATGACCAATTTTAGTGGAAACTAATCTTCCAACCCCCATCTGCCAGGGTCTATGTTAATTTACTGGAGGGATCTGGAGGGTAACTAATTCCACAAAATTGGGCCCCTTGGGCCCGAAAAGGACAGGCCCTTGTTGCGTGCCAGCCAAAGTGCATTGACGACGCCATGTTCCACTCCTTCTGTACGAAGAAACACCAACCTTTCCGAACGGCTTGCGAATGCTTTTGGTGAGGTAGATTTGGTCTTCATTCAGATGCGCATCATATACGGTAGCCTCCTGGTAAATCAACACATTACAACTGGCAAATGGCCCATTTAGTTCAATGGATTCCATGACTAACCGAGCCAGTTTAGTTGTAGCAGCATCAGAATGGTCAGAATGGTAAGAATTGTCAGAAAATGTCACATGTTTCCAGAAATCATGTGTTCTTATCCTTGAATGTTTGGAGTTCATTGGTATTTCATTGGTAGGTTATCGTTCTGTTAACCATATTTATAATATCAAAACCATAAATGTTGTTGAAGCGTTTTTTGGCCATCCTAAAATCAATGGCGTAACCAATGGTCGGACCTAGATACAAACAGCACCATGGTCGCCATGGTGGGCCTCCTGAAGCTCTCTGCAAGTCTAGTGGAGCTCTCATTCCAACGATACACCAAAACCGCCGTTCTCACAAATCAGCTATAACAGTGTCTATAAGTACCTTTTTTAGATTCTGTAAGTATCTATAAGTCCTTTTTTTTGTTGCGGTTACATCGTGACATCCCCATTTTTCTCCGGCTGGCTGCTGGCTGATTCTGGGAGCTGGGCTGATCCCCAGATATCCCAAGATATTTAAATGTGCTGGGTGATATAAGTTAGCTGTAGGTATCTTCCAGTTATATATACATATAAATTGTGGTTATACCATGTTATACCATGTTATACAGTTATATATTGTGGCAGTTATACCATCATCATATCTTCAAGCTAAGTGTAGACTACAATGCACATCGCAAGGAACGTGGCAACGGGTCAAGCCGGGCGAATGGCTATCCAAAAGCCTTTCCCCTTTGTAGTTGCTTGGCTGCCTGTCAGACGGGGCCTGTCAGTGCACGAGAGCCTTCATTTGATGGGAAATGCTGCTGATACCCGACGGAATTCAGGCACTGGGACATCGCCCGTGCGCAAATATCATGAACCAAACTTCCTGCAAACTGGTGCGGGGAGCAGTTCTGAGTCGGTTGAAAAATCCATCCAACGATATATGGAGGTGTCCTAAAATAGTGGTACCCTCTGGTGATTTAACATAGCCCATTTATAGATCATTTTCCCAGCTAGAAACCTCCATTGATGGTTGGGATTTTCCATGGCTATGTTAGTCATAACCAGATGGTACCCCTAAATAAAATAAAAAGGTCCGTTGGGATGATTTGGGGGCACCCCCACTTAGGAAACCTCCATATATCAACCATCAATCCTGGTTCGCCAAGGAGCATCGCCCTCCTAGCCCGTCGGTGTCGAAAAAGAAGCGTCCTCAGCAAAGTCAGACGTCTGGGTCCCATTTTTGAAGGGTTGAAACCTCTGAAATCTATGGTGTGTTTAGGATCATCATCCCATTCTGTGGGTTGAAAATCAAAAAAACTCAAATATATATATAATATATATATATATACATATACATATATATATGGTGGGTTCGGGATGATCATCTCGTGTTTAAAAGGGTTGAACATCAAGAATATAGTTCCAACCACCAACTACATGGGAGTTTGTCCAAGATCACACTGGACACGGGATACCCAAAACGGGGATTTCAATAGAAACAAAAAAGGGGATTTGGGGGTTCAGAATTTTGAGACACACTTAAAAAAACGACAACTTGATAGCCAATCGTGGATCCGCGCAAACGATCCATTTTGGGGAAAGAAAACATATGTAGCAGCTCCCAAGCAAATACAAGAGTTGGAAGGAAATCCTGAAGAACCATGGAGAAAACCTCATCGAACTTTCACCATGGTTGCACACATTTCTATCATGTTTGGTCAATGGCCATGTCAGGAACCGATTGATTGGAGGTACCTACCATATATACTGTAGGGCCTATTTTTTAGGCTTAAATTTCAGGGAATTTCCCCATAAAATATGGCCAACAATATGGTACAGTACCTCCATGTTATGATCCTTTTTTATTCCCATTGATTTGAGGCTGCTATATATATATATGTCTGGCAGAATTATAACACTTCACCAACCTGAAATTGGGTACCATTGGGTGATGCAATGGGCTGGCAAACATGGTCCCAACTTGTTTCGACGCAGCCAACTACCCTCCTGAGAAAAAAGTGCCATTTTTGATAGAATAAATATATATAATTATATATATATATAATATTATATAGTAAAATGCCAACGCATCACTCTGGGATTTTCTATAACTTTGTTTAAAATGGACCCCATGTTACATTTGGAAAAATCTGGAAAAATGAACATCTCCCCAGCGTTCGTTCCAACAGATTCCAGATTTCAGCGACTCAGCGGCCAGGTCTCAGAAATCGGCCAGTCAAAAGTGGTTTCAAGCAAACGACCACGAGCCGGCGACCTGAGGGTCGACGAACAGCAGATCTGCACTAAGGAAAAGGATCCATAGAAGTCAGGGGCTGAAGCGTGGCATAAGCGTGGCATCTGAGGTTTCAACCGAAAAGCGCAGGCGTTTTTTTGGCTTCTTTCAGGATCATGGGAGTTGTGCAGGTTCCCAAAATACGGCTAGCACGTGGTCGGAACTTCGCCTATCACAATGGATATTTCAGAGTGTCATCTAGCTCACCTATCAAGCACCTTGCTCATCAAGCTAGCCTTTAGATAATCTATTTAGACCATTCATGTTCATTCGATAATTATAATATATATATAATATGCAATTATAATATATACATATACATATAATTATAATATATATAGTTATATCATATTGTATACATGTATATCACACATCCCTTGAGCAACTGGGAACTGGTCTTCATTGTCCTTTGAGACTGAGCTAAACCCACAAACATCGCTGGGAGAATGGCTGGCCTCAGACAACCCCAACTGAACTGCCATAATTTTGGGTCTACAAAAAAAACATCCGGCTCTGGATGGCTGATCATAGATACGAACCACAAAATAAACCTACCTGGGAAAATGAAATCTGAGAACCATGTGTCGGTTTCAAACAAAAACATGGCCTGATTCTTCACCCCAATCAAATCCACCAATCTGATAAAACCCAATGCCACCAATGCCATAGTCACCATCCCCAATTATTGCCCATTTTTTCTGCCATCATGCTATGATGACCAGCATCCTTGAAGTTGGGGGTATACACAATAATTCTCTCCTAGACTAGACTGGTGTAGTTTTGGATTTATCGTGGCAGGCTGGGAGATCCCTGCACTGTTTATGGAGGTTTCTAGCTGGGAAATCATCGAAATAACTCAGGAATTCTATTGATTTTTCCATGTTTGATTGCTGCAGGGTAATCACCATGCCCCAAAAAACAACAACACTGGATAGCAACCCAGCTACGCAGCAAACGACTCACAAAGAAGGCCGAGAACTTCCAAGAAAGTAGCACAATCGCCACCTGTGAAGATGCGATGAAGGCAAAGTCTATGGCATGTAGATATACAATATTAGCCACATCGAACCATACATATATGATATATCTATGGTTAGATATCATATATCTATGGTTAGATGTGGCTATAGACTACAGTACAATGATAGGCCGCCAGGATTGATTGTTTGAATAAAGTAAGTGAAAACAACAATTTGTGGGGTATGATAATTATACTGCTGGTCTGTGGTTTCAACCCACCTGAAAAATATGAAAGTCAGTTGGGATGATGAAATTCCCAACTGAATAGACAAATAAAAGCCATGTTCCAAACCACCAACCAGACTGCATCTCATTCCATATCTATATATCTGGGTGAAGTATAATATTTGACTAACCCGAAGCTTGTGGTCATTGGGTGACGATTCCCCTTACTAGCCATGAATCCAGTGAGGTCACAATAAGGTCACCGTTTTTTACCCAAATATATGTATGTAGTATGTATAAGGAGATTTCCTGAAATAGGGATACCTCTAGATCATCCATTTTAATAGCATTGTCTCCATTATAAACCATCCATTTTTCAAGGTAGCCCGTTTATGGAAACCCCTATGTATAATAAAGTATAGATTATATACCATAATACCTAAATATGGTTTATAGCATTATATACCTACATATAATATACCATTATTTTTTTGGGGGTACTATATATATACATATATATATCGTATATATATAATACATATATATATATATATATATTATACGCTTAAGGGATCCCCAAAAAAAACACATATTCACTATAGATTCCCCAAATAGTGGATTTTCCAGTTGGAAAATAAAAAATAACCTTAAACCAACCCAGGTATATATATAGGATGTTTCCATGCAACTCCCCCCGCCTCGCAGAGGAACAACTGCGCCAAGTGTCCTGTACCTAGGAAACGGGGGAAACAAATGACCAAAATGGAAGATACCCTCTGGACAACTAACATAGCTGTGGAAATTCACTATTTTTGATGGCTACCCCCTGGTAAACAAACATAGCTATTGAAAATTGCCATTTATAGTTGATGTTCCTTTTAAAAATGATGATTGATTTTCCATGGTCATGTTAGTTTACCAGAGGTTAAATCAACTATAAATGGCAATGTTCAATAGCTTTGTTAAATTACCAGTGGCTAAGTGATTCAACCAAGCAAAATGGGGTTAGTCGGTTAGTCAAGCAATTATGAGCCACCAAAAAATGGATTGATGCTTTCGTTTTAATTACCCATTGTATGGTAAAATTGGGGAATGGGTTTCTACTGCTTTACTAACATTAATGGAGATAATATGATGGGATATTATGGGAACATATAGTATGTATATATGTATATAATGATACTCTAATAATATCACCTGCCAATGATGGATAGATATTGGGCTTAGTAACATGACCCCTTTCTGAGCCCCTTTATTAATAGTATACCGTATATAAAAACCCTGACATCCATGGGTCTTTGATAAACGAAAAAGAGCCGCACGATTTTTTTTTTTTCGGGGCACCTTGGGGATGGTAGAGATTACCATAGAAATAGTGGAATTTCCCATTGAAAATGGTGGATCTTTCCAGTTCGCTATGCAATTACCAGAGGGTAGATTCTGCTTTGTGCTTTTGATGGTCAAACATGTCATTATCCAAATCTGTAGATTTGGCATTCCTCCCGCTGGAACGAAAACAATGGAGAAATCTCACCTATGATGTTCACCCCTCGGTTTACTGTATTCGTATTGCACCGGTACCCCATGTGATTCACAGATCTCCATCCCAGCCGCGTGCAATGGGGCCAGATGGCCAATAATTCTCACTCCAGCCTGAGACTTCGCCAAAGTGATCCAAGCAATGTGAGGCCCCCGTTCGATAGCTAAGTTGGTTTGTAACTCCAACAACTATGGTTTATGGTACGCAAATAACAATAGTTACTGGGGCGAATCTAAACCAACATTCACATCACTGGGGCCCTGGGGGGTTCACATTGAGGGAATCCAAGAGTTCTCTCCGATCCAAGTCTTTGGGCCCCATGACTTTGTCATTGGGGATCATCCCAATGAAACGACGCTTGAAGTTCACATACGTCAAACCATAAACCAGATGAGTTGTTCTACAGATGAATTATATCCGATTCGTCAGACGCTAGAATCCCCCATGTTGCTGAAGAATCCATTGATTTCTCGAAAATGTGTTTTCCCTACGACTTGCAGAGACTAACGACCAGCACAAACTTTGCAAAATTGGGAAACAATTACTGGACCTCACGGTTTTCTAGACTCCAGCTGTGCATACCCAAGCCATCTTGGGGTGCGAGAAAAAGAAACAAAGACAACTTAACTTCTGCCGAAGAATGTTCACCAAATAGTAGAAAATGATGCAATGATGCCAGTCCAAAGCTCCTCAACCAGTATGAACAACTTGATGAAACTGACAGGTGACAGGCTCCCCAGGAAAAACAAAACAGTTGCTCCATGCTCACTCAACTGTACAACAAGTCATCCTACTTTGCCTGGGCTACTTCGCAGTATTATAAACCATTCACATCTTTGGTTGCTTAACTTCACCCAACTCCTGCAAAAAACTGTCATCTATCCATATCTGTCCACTTTCCCCTTCTGGTAATTCAATATAGCAATCGAAAACCATTCTGAACTTCAGTATATCATGGTATATCATCAATAAACAATCCATATTCCATTGCAAAGTAACAAATTACCTCGAGCCATTCGTATAGCTTGTTAGTTCTTATCATAATCCACTCAACCATCATGTATTGATGTTATATGTCCTATCTTTCATAGTTAAAAGAAATACACCCATAAAACCACTATAATTGTTGGTATTATTCCCTAGTTCTTAACCAATCAACCCTTGGGTATTTTTAGTCACCTGAGGGTCGGAAACCCCAACGGCAAAACCAGCGACTGTGCGGAATTTCTTGCAGCTCTTGTGGCTTAGCCTCCTGTGCTGATCTTGGTGATTGACGTTTTTTTTGTTGGAATGATTCATAGCTGGTACAAACCGTTCCCAAATGGGTGGTTTATGACATTGTTTTAACCACATTAAGTATGTGTATATACGTTTATTTATTGTAGCCAATCTTAGATACCCTGAAAAAAAAAAATGGTGAACGTAGATGATCAAAAATTGATTCCAAAAGACTATTTTGGATTTGGATTAGTTTCTACCCGTTTAAGATTGTTCTAGTTTGTTAAAATGAAAATCATGCGATGTTGCTTGGATTTCTCCATGGTTAAATTGGTCATATATATATATAATATAATGTTATATCATATCTAGTTATAGGATGATGTCGGAAGTGGTTAAGACATGTTTTCAGAATCAGTTTTCATTGTTCACTATTTAACTTAGGCTACAACTCGTGGCGAATCATGAATCCCATGTGTCAACCTGGAAAGAAAAAGACCTTGAAAATACACGTTTGGTAAGCCTCCCCAATTTTGTTGTCGGGTTAATTTCACTCAACTGCAGTGGTGAATCTCCAGCATTCAAATTGAACAGCGCAGTCATAAACCATTTCTGGTTGGTGGTTAAGCCTACCCCTCTGAAAAATATGAGTTAGTCAATGGGAAGGATTATTTAATTTCGCGTACTGCAAGGAGGTCTTGCTCGGTTCATGCAAGGGAACTGATGCTACTCTGTGCAGTCCGATGTCTCATCCATAGAAATCTGGCTGTACAATCTCATCGGACACAAAATCATTCGCAATCAGATCCAAGAACTCAGATGGTAGAGTCTGAGTTTGGGAGCCGGCAAACGTCTGCTGTACAAAGTCTGCCACGGCATTCGCCAGAGCTCTATTGAGCCCTGGGGGGTACACCTTGCCCCTAGCGGTCTTGAAGATCCCAGCACCATCTCTGCCGGCTAGCGCCTCGTGATGAGAAGCCAAATGATGGCACCTGCCCATGTAGCCAGTGCCCAAAATAGTCTTCCGCAACAACGGCAGCCGTAAATGGATGATTGTAGTGGGTTTACGTGCCAGGCATCCGAAGATGCACTGGTCGAAACTCGTCACACCGACCGCAGCAATGGTCCTGAGCAGTCTCATGGGTCGACTGGACCATACGCTGGAGGGGTCCATGGCACGCGCCCACAAAGGATACTGCGGGTGCTCAATAAAGGCACAACCGCCAACAAGAACCAGCGTAAGGAATACGTCAAGGATAAAACGCATAAGTCTCGACCCAACCATCACTTGTCGCCAAGCCTGCAACGGAATGTTGGGGATGCCCTCCGGCCATGTACCTGAGCGGACCGGGGGAGGACCTCCTTCCAGCAAGCGGGCCGCGGAGAAGGACTCACAAGGGGGTCCTCCCCCGGCGCCGCATATCTGCCCAGATTTAATGCGTTGAATCCACCATGACAGGGAACTTGATGTGGCAAGATCGCCGCGCTCACGTTGTAAGCACATATCCACTGACAGCACAAAAAGCTGCTGCCCATCTGGAAAAACTCTTTGCTCAGCCAGAATAGAAATGCACGAACACCTGGCAGCGAATGTGCAACAAAGCGGTCTCACGTGCCAAACCAAACATTGAAAATCTGCCATCACCTTGGTTCATACCACCACCTGACTGAAAGATGAATGCCGGCATGTCCTCCTCAAAAAGCATCACACGGGGCTGCTCTACCTCGGCTTGCGCAAGCGCATGGCCTTGGAAATGGTTGTACGCAGTGCCACTGACTGGATTCCTGGCAGACCACTTTGCAAACATCGCCAAGGCTCCAGCGGAACCAGGTGGTGGCAACAGTGGACCACTAACTTTGCGCATTGGAATGAGGGCCTTACTAGCCCCCCACCCCTGAGAGCGAAGATCCAGTGTGGTAGCATGATCTTGAGCGTCCATGGCAACAACCTGTTCATCAGAAAGAGGTGGAAAACATGCTTGCAAAACCTGAAGGCAGGAAGTGGCATCTCGCAAATGCTCAATCAGCCGTTTTCGGGTGTGGTAGATTTTGGCACACGCATTGCAAACATTGTCAACCGCAAAATGCTTGACTAAACGGCGGTAACCGGTAATCATGTTCTCAGTTTCTTGGACAGTTTCTGCATGCAGTGCTACGGCTGCATCATCTACATATGAGACATCGAAGTAAGCACTTGTGGGAATGCCATTGCCTTCCGCAAAAGACTCACAGGAATCGGGTGCGCCCATCCATACGGCATTGGTGTGGTCTTGTAGGAAGGCATGGGTGTCTTTCAGCACCAACCGCATAATCAAGTTGAAAAGCAAATCGCCTAAGGGATCCCCTGGACGTGTGCCACGGGTAGTCTTACAGACCCCTTGCAAGCCTTCAATCGTGAAAAAAGTGTTGGTCATGCAATCCTGGATCAGCTTCTCTAAGTGCGGTGAAGCCTCAATGAGGGCATGATCCTGCGAGGCTTGATCAAGCCAGGCTGCCCAAATCTGCGGTGAAATGCCCAATCTACTCAAGGCGACAGTGGGTGTAGTAGAATCAATAACCACAGCGGTCAATGCCTGCCTAAGCACCGAATAAAAAGCTGCACGCAAGTCAAAAAAGACAATTGCTGAAGGCAACTTCTGGCAACGACACCAAAACTGATGGGCTTCAAGCATGTGGTGGGCAATGTCCGTGCCAAGCGATTTACGGCCTCCGAACTGCAACAAATCCATATGTTTCATCCATGGGACTTCGAGACGCTGACGCAACATGCGGTGGTAGAGCTTCGAAGTATGGTCCGAAATATAGATGGCTCTGTAAGCATGGGGGTCAGGCGGGGAGTCACGCCCTTTAAATAAAGGGACCAATTTGCCTCCTTTCCAAGAGGTAGGCTCTTTCCCATGCGCAACTGTCTTTGTAGTCAAGGTGGTGAGCTGCTTTGTGAAGACACTGCCTCCTGCTTTCAAAAGACAAGGCGTGATCCCATTAGGACCAGGCACTCGGCCTCGTTTGAGTTTGGAGACTGCTTCTTGCAACTGCCAGTCTGACGGAAAAGAACATGCTTCCGGCAAATCAAGAGCCAGCCCTAATCCCGCAGAATCTGCACTACGAAGGGCTTGCTGACTAATCGGCACTCCAGCCTCGATTGCCGCAAATTGATGGAGCCACAGTTGCTGTTGCTGCACATAAGACTTGACCAGTTGTCCCTCAGGGTCTCTCAACATGGGAAGGGGTTTTGCAACACCATTTCTCTTGTGCCGCTTGCCGCCGAGGCGAGACAGGGTACGGAACATCTGCTTATGATCATGCAACTGTCCGGCTTCCTGCAGCTTCACAAGGAGTTGGTCATAGAAGATTTGCAGGTCTCTGGTAACCATCTTGCGCACTTGACTCTCGATGGCTTTTAACTCCTCACGGAATTCTACACTGGTCATGAGTTCCCAGGAGCGGCCGCAATCCAAAATATGCCTTTTGAAAGCGATTGCACTCAAAGTATCCGAACTCAGGGTGGGTCTCTTGCGGCTCCCTGGAACTTTGGAGAAAAACTGCCTGGCAAGTTGAAAATACTGACCTTCATAGATTTGACAGTGTGCATCCACAGACACCTCCCAAGCAGGGACCGGCAAAGTGGCCAGGGCTTCTTGAAATGCTTGACAACGTCGTGGGTCGAGCAAGGCATTCTCATCCCAGGTGACCTTTTCTTGGGGACTAGGGCATGGAATCCACCCAATAAGGTCAAGACAAGCCGGGATATGGTCCTCATGCGTGAACGTGCCATCATAGGACAACCAGGTCTCAGACGTCGCAACCATTTCAAACAGTCGGCTGTTGAGAAGCACATAATCCAACCTCATACGTTTGCCAGACGAGTGCGTCCAAGTATAGGAAGGACCCTTGTGGTGTGCGGCAAAAGTCGAGGGAGCATACATTTCATGGTCAACGAGAAACTCCTCAAAAACCAAGCTCTGAGCCGTAGTTGAATCAGCATGATGTTCTTGGAAATACTGCGTAGTTTCAGAAGCAAGGGTGGCATTGGCGTCAACAAATACACAAACAAACTCTGTGTCAACTTGTTGATGCCAAATCTGAGAGGTATCAGCCCACCATGCTTTGACTGCATCGATTGGGGCAGTTGCATCACCAGTGGCTTTGCCTAAGCAAGGAGCGTGGAGGACTACGGCGGTGATCTGCAAAGCTGCGTGCTCGAGGCGTACAAAGAGCCTCCGCGGATCAGCATGAGTGACAACCGAGGTGCAATCGATCATGGTCACCGGTCGTCCATCCTGCGTAGTCAGAATCGGTAAACTGCGATGCAACCATAACTCACATCCCAATCGGGCGGCAGAAGGCCCAACACAACCCGACGAAAAGATGTGAAAATGCTCCGATTGAAATTGCCCTTGAAGAGTTCTCGTTTCCTGCAAACCAACAATATGAAATTTTGCAGCATGCAGCTGGTGGTCGAGACGGAGCGTGCGGGTGCCCATGCGTCTGCCAATCTCAGTCTGGCTTTCAAGATTGTCGAGTGCAAGTACATTAATGGTAGCCATTTTGCAGGCAAAGGCGATAGGGGCACAAAACGGAGACTCCTCGACAGGCGGCGCAACCACCCGCCTAAGCGAGGGGCTAAATTGCCACACTGCGTTCTGCACACAATTGGGAAAGCAATGTTGCATGGAAGGCGGCAAGTGTTGAGTCCAAGCCCAGTCCAAGTCGTGCGGTTCCTTGGCAAGATCATGCAGCTTTCCAAAGTCAACGGCAGGAAAGTCATCCGGATGGGTCAGGACATGCTTAGCCAGGGCGTCGGCCAGGTCGTTCCAAGCATGGTTGGTATGCCCCCGCACTTCTGAGAAGCCTACATTCGACGGAGCCCAAGAGGAAAGGACCCGACAGAGCTTGGCTAGCCCCGGGTTAGAAACTGTGGTAACCAACTCCTGAGCCAGAAGTCGACTCAATGATAAGTCAGGGCGAATGAAAACAGGGCAAGGAAAATGCAACTGCAACACTACCGCCAAAGCGGCAGCAAGAGCAGACAATTCCGCAGCGATGTTATCTACTGCAGACGCTCCCAACCACTGAGGATGTTGATGGCCAAGGACCACAGGGCCCGCAAGAGTACCTAGCAACCTAGCTGAAGAGGCATGCTGGGCAACCAAGACCACACTCCACCCTGCCGCAGTACATGAGGTAGCTCCATCAACGAAAATTTCCACAATCTCATAAGGCCCAATGGGCCCGGCCATAGCTTCAAAGATGGCGTTGATGGTTGAGGCAGCAAGGGCAGCTGTGGCGAAACGGGACAAAGTGCAAGGTCAAGGGACTGGGACACCTGTGCTCTCCAATCGTCCGAATGTGACCAAGCAAGGGTGGATAGCTGGTCATCCAAGGGCATGTCAGCATTAGGACGAGACCTAGGCAAAACGGCATCAAGCTGGGAAGCCAGGACAAGGGATCTCAGCTGCTGTGCGCAGCATTTCACCATTGGACGCATGGGGGGTAGAAAGGCATAGGCCATCAGTCCCAAAAGCTGCCTGAAGGTCGCTGGCTAGACCGTCATCCAAGAAAGCAGGGGAGTCATCGTGACTTTCCTTTGAAGCAATATGCACGGTAACTGCAAAATGGTCCCTTCGCTGGCCTGCACTCCACTGTGTGTCTCCACATTGGAACGAGAAACCATAATCATCTCGATCACTGACTTCAGGAAAGACAGTGACAAGGGTCGCCCGCATTGCGAAGGCAGTCAAATCCATGGGGGCCAAAATCACACACCGACGAGGAAATGCCAAACAGTGCGGAGTCACATTACTGAGCATAACTGGCATAAGGCCCGGAAGAGAATGCTGCAATAAGATGACATGTGTATGCCTTTCGGTCGAGCTAGACTTGTCAAATGTTTGAAACAGAACAACCTGGACCTCTGCTTGAGGCCAAATTTCCTGCGACCAAGGCAGAGTCAACGCTTCAAACCATGTATTGTCGGGACCGGCCAAACTGGCAGACCGGCATTGCTTACACACAGGAAACCGAAAAGGGTCAACATACCAAACAGGCACTTCCAAGGTGTGACAAGACTTGAACAGATCATGCAAGTGCGCTCCAATCACTGGTTCGCTCACAGGGGATCTTTGGACCGAGTCATCTTGGCTGGGGACAAGAGCACATTCCCGCAGGAACAAAGGTCTAAAACTGCAGGGCTCGTCGAAGGCAAACCGGCCATACCGAGCAGGGACCGACTGATACCATGGAGAAAAGCGGGTAAGACTTGTTTCAATACTGACAATGGTAGACGAAAAGTCAGACTGCAACTGATCCACCTGCTGAGTCCATTCCGGGAAAGAGTGGCTAGCCTGAACAACCGTCTTGACCAAAGAAGTAACAACACGCCCAACTGCATCAAATAGGCTGTGAATGTCACTCAAACTGTCAGAACCAGACAAAACCTCAGACCCAACAAGCGGCAAAGTCTCAGCAACACAAAGAAAGCTGTCTCCAGATCTGGCATCTCGTAGAGCATCTTGCACGACCGGCTGATCCCCATGTGTGGCAGTGCACACTGTATTGGGCATGAATGGCGGGCAAAACATGAAAAGTCCACTTTCTTGGATTAAAAGACCTTTGTCAACTACCGAAGGCAGCTTCAATGCGACCCTGGGTGGGTCCCAAATGTCATCACCTGGCGCCATGGTGGTGATGAGGGCCGAAACAAACCCTCTGTGCTGGTGTTGTGCCAGTAACACATGTGCTAGATCGGGGTGCCAATTCATTATGTGAAGCTGTGCAGGAGTTTTAGAGCGGTCTAACTTTTGTGCATAGGCCTCAGGCTTTAAAATGCACAAAAACAATGAAAACTGGCTCTGAAATAAAATGCCTTGCCACCAAATTCATGCTTGAATGTGCATCCAACATCATCCAATTTCATCCAATTTTGAAGACCCTCAGAAACGCATCTTTAAAAAGAGGTCAGGAAATCCATTTTAGATAGGTGTATTTTGGAGTGAAGGTGCCCAAATATTTAGTGTGTTTTTCCCCACCTGCCAGGTGAGGGTTGTTAGATTTTATGTCAGTTGCCTCCTCCTGCCTCGTCCTCCTCCTCCTCCTCCTCTCCTCCTCTCCTCCTCGTCCTCCTCGTCCTCCTTGTCCTCCTTGTCGTCCTTGTCGTCCTCGTCGTCCTCGTCGTCCTCGTCGTCTCTCGTCCTCATCCAACTGCGACCCGCGATCCACAGTGTTCTCTGCCGGACCTCAACCACGACCATCCACGCCCAGTGTTCCCTGCCGGACCTCAACCACGACCAGCCACGCCCAGTGTTCCCTGCCGGACCTCAACCACGACCAGCCACGCCCAGTGTTCCCTGCCGGGCCTCATCTGCGAGTATCCATGCCAAGTGTTCCCTGCCGGACCTCAACCGCGGGTATCCATGCCAAGTGTTCCCTGCCGGACCTCATGTAGGAAGATATGGGACAAAGAATGTGCAGAAGAAAGTTAGAAAGAATGTCAGAAAGAATGTCAGAAGATATCCCAGAAGATATGCCAGATAGAATGCCAAATAGAATGCCAGATAGAATGCCAGAAGATATGTCAGAATATATGCCAGAAGATATGCCAGATAGAATGCCAGATAATATGCCAGAAGATATGCCAGATAGAATGCCAGAAGATTTGCCAGATAGAATGCCAGAAAATATGCCAGAAGATATGCCAGATAGATATGCCATATAGAATGCCAGATTGAATGCCAGAAGATATGTCAGATAGAGTGCCAGAAGATATGCCAGATAGAATGGCAGAAGATTTGCCAGATAGAATGCCAGAAGATATGCCAGAAGATATGCCAGATCATATGCCAGAAGATATGCCAGATAGAATGCCAAATAGAATGTCAGAAGATATGTCAGATAGAATGCCAGAAGATTTGCCAGTAAGAAAATGTATAAATGTCATGGTGGGGATCACACGAAGTAAAGTAATTTTAAATAGCATTCTATAGCAACAAAATACGGTGGCATTCTTTCGTGGCAATTCCTTAAAATTCCTTAAAAATCCTTAAAATTCCAAAAAACTCCTTAAAAATCATTAAATAAACATTAAAGATCCTTAAAAATCCTCCGAATTCCTTCAAATTCCGTCAAATTCCTTTAAATTCCTTAAAATTCCTCTAAGGTTCCTTAAAATTCCTTAAAACTCTCTAAATTCCTTAAATTTCCTTATAATTCCTTTAAAATTCATTAATATTCCTTATAATTCCTTTAAAATTCCCTAATATTCCTTAAAATTCCTTAGAATGCCTTCAAATTCCTGAAAATTCGCTGATCTAAAATGACATGCCCAATAAAATCGATATAAAAAGCTCCTGGAAAAACACTGGTTCCATTCTGCAATAAAATGCTCCAAGCAAACATGTTTTTGCAATAAAATGAGAATGGAATTTTAACATGTTAAAAATCATCAGGGTTTACCTTTACAATAAAATGCTTAGCCCAACCCCCCAACAATAAAATGACTAGCCTGACATCAATTTTAAAATTCCAATACATTAAGAATTTTGTTTAAACTATGCACAGGTTCACCAGTTCTAGAGTGGAAATTGCCACGGGGATTGTGCTAGCACTTCACTTGGACCTCCAATGGGAGCTGGGGAGATCACATAAATGAAAACCTCAGCTGTAGGATCAAGCATGTCTTGCCACTTTTCAATCAAGACTTGTCTCCAAGTGTCAGGATCAGGTGGAAGCAGGACCTCACGCCCTCGATTGGTACGGGGGAATCTGTCGTGATCACAGAACCATGATGCCACATAAAACCGAAAGGGGCGCGTCATAGCCCGGTTTTCTCGCGCGCGTCATGCGAGATGCTGCTCGGGCACATTTGGAGAAAGGGCTTGGCCATTCACGCGCAAGCCTCCGCGAATTCCTTGAGTTCCTGGTATGCCGCTTTCAGATCAGCCGGCGTTCCTTCTTCTTCCATCAGCCCGGCATTCGCCTGGACAAACTCCCTGATGTCTCCGACATCGACGATCCTCTCGTTGAGTTCCAAGATACTGCGCGCAGCATCGCTGTGACGTCGGTCTTCGAATTCATGTGACATTGCCAGATACGCAGGTGTCTCCGCTGCAGAGAGCGCAAGCTTCTTCTTGATCTCCTTCGAGACATCATCAGGCAATGCCGCTCCTCCTGCCAATTCTGTGAGGAACCCGGCGACCAGCTGATTCGCATACGTGGCATTTTCGCGGAGCCATCCTGCGTCTCGCAGGGAATGCCCCTCGGAGGCTTTGCTGACGAAGACAAACCCCGTGGCCAAAAGTTCCGAGATCAAATTTTCAAGGCCAGGGTTACTAAACACCTGATTGCTCCCCGAGCCTGATAGGCCGGTGGTGAGCAAATGGAAAGAGGAATTCGTGGCCCTCTTGAATCCTGCCACGTGCACTGCCCTGATTTCGGAAAGAAGCATCGGGAGCCCCACTTTATATTTCAAAAAATCCGTGCAATTTGAGCGTCACCAAAACATCCAGCACCGCGGCGGTTTCGAGGATCCTCGCCACAACATTCACTGATGCCGGGAGGCGCACAAGTCCATATCCAGAGACATTGTGGTTCGGCAACCTGGCAGAGCATGAGATGTAGGCGACGTGTGGTTGCGAGGCAGGATCGAGGTAGTCCATGCCAATCATCGATTCCATCGGAAAGTGGGACACCCTGTGCATCATCTTACTTTGGGCCTTCAATTTTTCGGACTGGGCATCCATTGCTCCGAAGGCCGCCGAAGCCAACGCTCCCTTCTTGCGGAGGGGTCGGAAGTCCACTCCTGAAAAATGCTTGAGACCGCACAGGCCAAGCGCGGTCATCAGGGTCTCTGGCGGACCCTGCCCCGCCTGGGCCCAATGGTGTCTCCTGCGCAACGCACTTATTCAAACGAAAATTGGAAAAGCACTGCATTTGCCGCACCAGGAATGACCTGATCGTCAAGGACTTCGGACAGCTTCGGTGCGTTCTCATACGCGGCAATCGGCTGCTTCAGCGCCTCCTCAAGCGCCAGAAACGGACTCTCTTGCACAGAGCATACAATATTATAACTCAGATGCAAAGGATATAGGAGCGCACACCAGAAATGCAAGCAAGCAATGTCTGCCAATGCGCCTCGAATTTCCCCGGCGTCCAGCAAATCTTCCGTGCCATTCCGTGCCCAATGCCTCTGAGACCACGTCCTTGGCAACCAAAATCGAACATGCCATTAATTCGCGGATGCAGTCTGCATCAGGAGGCTCAGTGTGAATGACGACTCGCATGTCGCTCGGGTCACCGAGGAAATCGAGTTCCACGTAGATTGCGCTGTCCTCCGAAGTCGGGTCTCGGTGACGTGTCCTCACGATCTTGTTTCCCAGGGCGGACCCTCTAGACAGCACTTTCAGTCCTTGGAACGGAGTCTGATCAAACACCATCTGCCCCTTGGGCCGAATTGTCTCGACAAATCGTTCGTCTGCCAAAAGATCCGCGTCTGGCCTGTCATATGGGCGCACGACCAAGACAGGCATCTTGCGTCCACCTGGGCTGGCAGCCGAAATCCTTGTCAGCTGGTTCGTGAACACGATGTCCTCACATTCACGATCAGGTCATCCATGTCCTTGGCCTCTGAGCAAAAGAGAGTCAGCGACTTCTTCTTGAAATAGCTCTCTGGCAACCTCCTCGTGACATTTGCCGGGAGAGAGTATGAATCCATTGGGGTCGCTGTGACCTGGAGTTCTTCCAAAAATTCCGCAAGCTCTGGCACTGCAGGATTCATCTTTGACGCTGCGGCCACACGTTGTTGAATCAGAGTGACGTCTGGGAACATCCTGCGTGTGATTTCCTGAGCTGCCATCTTTTCAAAGATGCAAGCTTACCCGTCCCTCAAGTTTCGCAGTTCGTGTCGTTCTTGCTTGAGCCAAAATGGCTACGGAATGGGAAGGATTATCCCATATATTATGGAAAGTCATAAACATCATGTTCCAAACTCCAAACCACCAACCATTTTCATCCATTTTCCCTATCTCTAATCTGAAAAGTTCAGGTATTTTATGGGATGATTCCAGCATTCCGTTGTGACGTCCCCCACTGATACTCGGTATACCCATGTCACAGCTTCATCCGTGGCTGGTAGATTCACCCAGGAATCAGGATGACCTGATCTTTTCCGTAGCGGTCACATTATGCTACAATGTGAGGCCCCCGTTCGATAGCTAAGTTGGTGAACATAACTCCAATAGCTATGGTTTATGGTACTTATAACTATAGTTACTGGGGCTTATAAACCAACTTATAACTGGGGGGCCTCACATTGCATTTACTAATTTCCAGTATTCCTTCAAATTTTGTCAACAATGCAAACAATTTGCTAAGGGTTGCTTTGCAGTTTCGAACCATTCAGGCCGCAACATACATGCGCACCGTTCAGGAAGAACTTTTTGAGTAGGCAAGGAAACACTGCTTTGGGTTTTTTGAGCCGCCATGTTCAGCAACAGGCCACCTGAAACAAATGGTTCAAATTCAATAGCTGAATCGATAGGGAAATCATGGTTTTGGCGACTCGTTATTCATGATGTCAATAGCTACGGCATGCTACGGCATTCTCTGGGACCTTCATCCCAATCCGTCTTGGCAGATCACGATCATGTCCACAATTTTACAGTTGACCAGTCCAGCACTGAACATCTAATGTTTCTACAAAATATTTCTTTACATATGGTGCGCAAAATAATAAACATATATAAATACCGACGTTTTTTGAATCAATCCCTGATTTATCAGATTAAAAATTTCATCCCTTCTCTGCAATATTGTTTGACCGGGATTGAATTGATCATGGTCCCACCTTGACCATCCTCCTACTGACAGTATTTACTAAATGTACCAGTGGGATGATTGTTGTTGTTACATGTCGCTGTCGTAACCCACAAATGTCGAAATATCATTGTGTTGGCAATGCCCGTGTCATAGTTGTCCAAAATTTTGATGTGTCTAAAAAAAAATGGAACATGTTCGCCCCAACCCGGACGTTTCTCCATATCCACAAAACACACCCAAACAGTATCATATACTTGTCACAAAAGGATGAACGAAAACACCGGCCATACGCAGCGATTTTGACTTTAGGTTTCTGGATTTAAGGTTTTAGGGTTTTGGTTTTTGGGGTTTTAGAGTTTAGGGTTTCTAGGGTTTATTGCCTTGCATGGACAAATTAAACACGTTTGCCCTGCGCAGGGATTGGAGCATGTCAAAAGATATGCGGGATCAGCATGGAAAAACTTCAGGGTTCCAGACATGTTTTAACCTGTTTTAACCTGTTTTAACCTGTTTTAACATGTTTTAATAACTTTTTTTAACAGTTTTGATAACATGTTTTAAACATGTTTTAAACATGTTTTAAACATGTTTTAACATGGTAACATGGTTGCTGTAAATCCCGAATATGTTTTCCTGTTGTGACCTCCCCAGTTTCGTTTCCGTGACCGTCCATGACCATGGTCCTCTTCTTCGAAACTACCAGCGAAAACCACGTTCGTTGGAGATAGTCTGTCCTTAGGTGCGGGCACCAAACTGCAGGCACCAAGAAAAAAACAAACGACCCAATTCATGCCAGTTGATCTTTTCCAGTGAACAAGTCAAACGCAAAAAAAAAACAATTCAGGTGGAAATTGAATTCTATGTCATCAGATACTTCCCCAAAAACTGCGGCAACCGAACAAAAAAAATCATAAACCGACCAAAAAGTCTGCTTTGCCAACTGCGGGAAATATAGCTTCAACCCAGGATTTCTTCGTCAAACAAAAAAGGGTTCTTCGTCAAACACCGATTTTTGTCAAACTAAAGCTTCAGTATAGAAAACCAAGGCCCTCCCAAGACATCTCCGAGTGGGGCAAATTTTGGTTTCCGAATCAGTTTTTGATCACATATCCAACAGCACCAGCAGCTGGGCACATACTCAAAGCACCGACCCATTGTTTTAAACGGGGGATCCAAAACCATCTGAATTTGCAGTGCAAAACTTGAGCCATGCGCCTCGTACACAAACAAAGCAGTCTACCTTAAAACTAGTCCATTTCACGCACGTTCATGCAGAAGAAAATATTGAAAACTGTTCTGTGGTTTCAAGATTGAATAGATATTACTCGCTGGGGGTCATAGTCTCAATTATGGTGTGAAAAAAAAACAGTTTTTGAAGCCGCCGCAAGATATTGCCAATTTTCAATACCAAATTTAAGAGAAACAATCCCAATACATGCTTGTATCTCATATTATACCCTTCTTTCTGGTGTTAAACCAATAAGCTTCTGCAGCCCTTGACGCCCGAACCAGCGCTCAGCTGTCAGCTAGGTGTCATCCAACAAGCGACTCATATCCTGGGCAGGGGCAGCGTGCTCCGGAACTCAACAGCCAAGTTGGGGGGGATTGTCCATCCGTCTTGTTTCATCTGTTTGTCAAATGCAAAGTGCACATGCTCAAAAATGAGCGTTTCCGTCTACCCAACATGTTGCACTTTCTCCATGCCAAGGTCAGAGACGTTCGCCAATCGGGTCCTTCCATCGGAACAGGCAGTAGCTGCTGTCCAATCCGTCTATATGCAAGTGGGGCAAGATTTCAGAGGAACTCGGTTGTGGTGAAAAGCCCCTCGGAGCTGTGAATACCAGTTGAATTGGGTTTGGTTTGAACTAGTGAATCATACTAAATAGATCTAAAATAGATGTATATTTCCCGCAGGTTCTCCCTCAAACCAATTCATTGGCCTCCGGCAAAGCATGGCTCTGCTCTAAGATTTATTTGTCTTTCTGCAAGTGATCCCTTGAACATCCCTGAACCTCTTTCCTCGTATTGAAAACATCGCAGAATCCTAGGGATTCACGACTTTCTGGGAACCCAGGGGCCATTACAAAAAAAACAAAAGAATCGCTGATTAAGACACAGGATTCCTTGGAAGAACTTTGGGATTCCAGGCATCAACCCGGAATTTCCGAAAGAAAGTGAACTACTGAGGGTGTGCAGAGGGTGTGCAGTGAGGCTTTTTGCATAAAATGCCACCCCCAGAAGTTGGGACTGGCCTTGACCAGTTTGGAATGTATGATGGGACAATGGGCACAATGGGTCCGTGAAAAAAATCCCCTAAGAAAACCAGAGTTGGTCGACTATATCAACATACATGGCTTCAGGTTTCCAATGGGGATCATCCCAAGCTTTTTTCGCAGGGAAGATCTCACGGAAGATTTTACTGAAGCCAGATGAAGCCAGCTAAGCTGGCGAACATGACGACTGACTCTTGGAGGGTGAATCCGAAGTAGCATAGCTGAGGGGCTTCACTGGGCTTCACCGTAAGTATTTTGAGGTGAGGAAAGCCGTGGGTACGAATCGTGTGGATCGTCCCATAGCATTGTCCAATCATCCAACAATGTGAGGCCCCCCAGTTATAAGTTGGTCTATAAGCCCCAGTAACTATAGTTATAAGTACCATGACCATAAACCATAGTTATTGGAGTTACAAACCAACTTAGCTATCTTGGGGGCCTCACATTGAAGAGAATGTCAACCCGAGATTTTTATCGACACTGACTATTGAACGGTTACCCAACATAGTGATAGCGTCGAAGTTGGTAGTTTGTATGCCATGGTATCCCCCGCTAGTACAAACTGGGGGCAGCAATACTGAGCCATGAAGAATAGCCTCGCTGTCAGTCTGCGGGGCCGTTGGATAGCTAAGTTGGATAAAATAACTCCAAAAACTATATTAGGTCTATGCTACTTTTAACATCTGCTAACTATAGCGAATGGGATTTTTAAATAACTTATAACTAGGAGGATCCCACCTTGCATATCCTATTCCAGTGTGGTTTCAAGCCCTCGAACCAACCAGCCGCATGGGATCATCGTCTGTGTTTTTGGACTCAACGTTGGACATATGTCAGACAGTGGGTAGCAAGTTTCTTCCCAAGAAACCAAACAGTATTACCCTCTGGTAAACTAACATAACTATGGAAAATCACCATTTTTAATGGGAAAATCCACTATTTCTATGGCCGTTTTCAATAGCTATGTAACAAATTACCAGAGGGTACTCATCCCACTATCATAATCAAAAGGAATCATCAAACATGTATATAATACAGTGATATTGCCACCATTTCCAACAGACTGGGCATACCCTCCAGACCCTCCAGTGTCATCAAAGGAAAATCCATCATTTAGTTCAATGAGCAAGCCATGTTTGAGGACAACGGAGGGTATACTCCCGTTATACCCCAGTTATTATCTAAGTGTATCCCAATAATCTCCCGAACAAAAATAAACGGTTGTTGGTTAAATTTTCATTATCCCAGCTAATTATCCTACTATATCATGATAATTATATCCCTATTATTATTATTAATATGTTTTACTATTGTTCTTACTATTATCATTATTATAAATCATATACGTGTTAACCAAACAAAAAACTATGGCTGTTGGTTATTTACCTCCATTTCTCAAAGAAGTACTCGTCTGGTTGGTGGTATACCTACCCCGCTGAAAAATATGAGTTCGTCAGTTGGGATTTATCTATGGAATATTTACCAACATTTGCCCAACATAAATCTCCCAGTCATGTAGGTAAATATACCATACATGGAGTATATGGCAACCATTTCTAGATCATCTTCCCAAAAAATCCTTTAAAAAACCATGATGTTTGACCATTTCTAGATCATGTATATGGAAACTTTCTGGAAAGTCATAAAAAATGGTCCAAACCAACCAGTCATGGCGCCACCAGCAACCAGTCGTCGCCAAGAAGCTGAATCCGTCAGACGTTCCAGGCTGCGAGCCGCCTTCGCCCACTGCTTCACGCTGCGTGTATCCTGGGCCAGCGAAAAAAGGTGGTCGACAAAAAACGACCGGTCGGAACGTGGGAGAAAGATGGGGATTTTTCACAACGATTTTTTTTTGGGGGGGTTGATAGTTGACTCATTTTTTTTTGGGGGGGGTTGATAGTTGACTCATTTTTTTGGGGGGGTTGATAGTTGACTCATCTCAGTACTGATAGCTAGAAAAAGCCTCTGGTTATGACTAACAGTTCGCCATGGTATAGATGGCCCCAATCGAAATAGATGCTTTACCGAACTTAAAAATGCTGGATCTTTCCATGGCGAACTGTTAGGAAAATAACCAGATGGTAAATTGTTTTGCCTGGGTTTTTATACTATGATTGATGGCAGATATCTTCGGGACGAACCTCCAAAAACGTAGAAAAAAAGTATATGTGCTGACGTATAAAAACAGCAAACACACTAGCTGCAGAAAATTAAATCAGAATGGTTTATATGGAAAAACCCATCTTTTGTCAGGATGATTTGGGGGTACCTCCATTTTAGGAAATCCCCATATATATATAATATATATATATAATTATATATATATCGTTTAGTTAAGCTTAGATAAGCTTAGTCTATATTCTCTCGAACTGTTGCATGCCACGTCTGATCTGCATCCAAAAAGCGGTTTCGTCGCATTCAAAGAGCAAAGCACTCCAACCTGCTTGGAAACCCCCAGTATCAGAGGGCAGAGGTCGTTCCATGGTTCCAATCAAAGGTGGACCCTTAGGTGACCCGTGCTGGAAAATTGCTGGCTTCATTAGATTCGCAATCTGGTGCGTAAAAAACGTAGGGTTGCTGGATGGGACTGATGGGTTGCTGGGGGTTGCTGGGATGATCTGCTTGATAGTTAGCCAGTGGATCATTCCCGAAAATTCCCTACGTTTAGCAACAGTAAGTCATTGGGCGAGTCCAAAAACCACCAACAAGGAAGAGATAGTTAGCCAGTGGATCATTCCCTCATTCCCTACTAAGAACAACGGGTTCATTGGTCCCATCTATTTGTTGAGGTCACATCTTGCGGCATTGCGGCGGTTGGCATTAGTGACAAGGATTCATCACCGGTGTAAAGGGACTCCCTGACCTTGTACCTGGTGGGTCATCAGTAACGTTAAGAATCACCACATGAAACAACCCTCAGTTTGATATGGGTTAGCCTCTGGTAAAATAACATGACTATGGAAAATCAACATTTTTAATCGGTAAATCAACTATTTCTATGGCCGTTTTCAATAGCAAATTGTTAAATTACCAGAGGGTATATCATGGTCAATCATCCACTTGCTTAAGGTCTGAGATAATACCTGTGCTGTATCTGTGCCACCCATGAACCAAGAAATATAACTCTTCACACCATAGCCAATCTTAGATACCTTGCAAAAATATAACTTGTTCCAGCTAGTTAGTATAAATTCGCATGTCCAGCAATGATTCAACAGATGCAAGTACCCTCTGGATATTTCATATAGCTATGGAAAATGGCCCGTTTATAGATGATATATGACGATTTACCTATGGAAATGGTGATTTACCACCCCAAACTCACCAGTCAGTTTATTCAAATTAGCAGTGTCAAATCCCTGAGTCCTCTCTTGATACTGGTTGCTTAGTAAAAAGATTCCATAGTAACAGAATGATTAATGGATTGATAATCCCCAATATATGAAATAGTATAGCATCAGCAAACACCATCAATATGCATCAACCATATCCATGTATTCTTGATACTTAAAAATCAGAGTGTTTCAACAGAAGCAGTAGTATATATTATTGCAAATATCCACTTGTTCTTTATTAGTGGTATTCCTGTATATATTAAACTACATAAATTTATCTATGATTTATTCATTTATCTTATTTATTTATCCAGATATTCTTGTTATTATGGTTACATCTTCATGAAATCAAATTAAATCACCCAAAATTCAATAGTTCATCAACTCTATCGCCATATTCCAGAATTTGTAAATTGAAGCCCCAAAGCCCTAATATCCAGGATCAGTAACACCTAGTTTCCAAATTTTGGGGGTACCACTTTTATGATGGCAAAAAATGGTACACTTTTGGAGGATGGTCTGGAAAAAAAATCCTGGAAAAAACCCTCTGGTTATGTCAAAATAACTATTGAAAATGGCACCTTTAGATCTTTGATTTACCGAACTTCAAGATGGTGGATCTTTCCATCGTTTTTTCCTGGTTGGTTGGTACAATAACCATCTTGAAAAATGTGAGTTCGTCAATGGGAAGGATGACATCCCATATATGACATGGAAAATTAACATCATGTTCCAAACCAGCAACCAGTCATCTTAAATCCCAATTTTGGTGACTTAAATCTGGCTAAAACCCCTATGTTTCATGGATTTCTATGTTTTCCATGTTTTCCATGTTTACCAGAGGCAACGAGACGGCTCAGAATCCTCGAAACTCCGATTTTCCAACGAATCCTCCAGGGCGAGGAACGGGAGAGAAAACGTCCCCGATTCACGGCGCGAAGGATGAGGTCGCCTCATCCAGGATTGTTACGGCGGATGTTTCGCCGGGGATCAAACAATCTGGTTGGTGGTTTCAACCTACCCCTGGGGGGTTGGTGGATTATATATAGCAAATGAGGCTTGTTTAGCAAATATTTGAAGATGTGAAATTATATAAATTACTGGTTGGTGGTGCAATAACCATCTTGAAAAATATGAGTTCGTCAGTTGAGATCATTATTCCCAATATATGGAAAAACATGTTCCAAACCACCAACCAGCAATTGGTCAGTTGGAGAATATCTGGTTTGAACCAGTTGCTGTTATGGCAAAACTGGTTCAGCTCTAAATGGAATTATAACTCCTATAACTGAGGTTATATGTCATTATAATCCCCTGAGATGGCTGATGAATTGCTTGGTGGTGGTTGAGCCTACCCTCTGAAAAATATGAGTGCGTCAGTTGGGATTATGACATTCACAACTGAATGGAAAAATCATCCAAATTCAATGGGAATTTCAGGATCCTAAAACGGAGGTACGTTAGTACCATATGTTTGGCCATATTTTCTGGTGATATTCCCTGAAATTTAAGCCTAAAAAATCGGCCAAAAATATATGGAATCGGTACCTCCAATCAATCGGTTCCTGTTGCATGGCCATTGATATTATATACCATTATTGTATGGAAACATAATATCATTATAGTATATACCATATTATAGTAACATTGTATACAATGTGAGGCCCCCAAGATAGCTAAGTTGGTTTATAACTCCAATAACTATGGTTTATGGTACTTATAACTATAGTTACCGGGGCTTATAGACCAACTTATAACTGGGGGGCCTCACATTGTACCATATTATATACATTGATATGATATAGATGCTCCATGGCTTCATCGTGCTGGAATATGTACCTACAGTAAAACCCCAAAAATGACCCAGGTAAATGTAGGAAAGTATTCCAGCAATATGGTTCGCATCTGGGTAATATAGAGGGTTATAAGCAATCCATGATATTATACGATTTGTTCTGGTTATTTGAAGTTATAAAATATGATTATATAGTTATTTTATGTAGTTATTATTATAGATAACCATAAACCATGTAACTCCTATTGTTACTATAGAGAACTATGACTATAACTTCAATTTATGATTCACCATATCTTCACCATAACCATAACCATTATTTGAAGTTATTTAGTGATGGTTAATATGGTGAATAATGGTTAATTACGGTTTATGATGGTTAATGGCCCAACTAACAGTTACTGTATTTTTATGGGCTTATTTCATGATATACCAACTAGTTATAGTACTTATAATTCCATTTATATCTGCTAAGGGCCATAACTGTAGGAATTCTATGAGAATTTCTGAGGAGGTTATATGAGATTTTATGACTTTTATGGAGATGAACCATCAACAATGGGCTATTAGCTATAATGGATGATTGTTGTGTGTGATTATGATCTCATTGTGTGTACTATGGCTCTATATGGTTTAATAGAGATAAGGTTGGGATAATAGTGGGATAATCATAATAATATCATCTTTAAAGATATTTATAATGGGTTGATTCGTGAACCATGTATGGACTCGTAATGACCATAGCTTTATCTATATGGTCTCATAGAAATGGATTTATTAATGGACCATTGTGCTTTGTCAGGGATCATTGTTGATACTGTAGTGAGTATCCCGTTTTTTTTTGTGAAAATGATTGTGATGTATGATGATAATAAAATCATATCTATCGTCTTATCACGACAAAGGCAATGCAAACATGGGCAGCAAAATAAATCCACAAACATTCAAAGACGACCACTGTAGAGCTGCAAATAGAGCCAGTAGATGCGTGCACTTTACGCACACTTCTGTGTGTATGGACGTGTAGATTGCCATTTTGATGAGAATATGATGATCAACAAATGGATTTAAATTTAAGATGAGGATTTTTCAGATGATCAAACAGTGTTTTCCTCTAACAGTTCAGACAGTCCCGTTCAATATTGCAACCCAGTTGAAATGCTTGTGGTATCCAATGGCTTGACTGGCTTGACTTATGAGATGTTCCGACTGGGACATCAAAAAGTATACTGTTATTATCTGTATCAGTAATATTAGTAGTACGTAGTACTATGATTATTATTAGTAGTATCATTATTATTATTATTACAGTACTATTCTTAGTATTATTATCGTTATTATTGAAGAATTACTTATAAAGGACAGAGGAGGCCCCTGTTGACAATAGCTAAGTTGGTAGACACAACTCCAAACTCACTAGGCTTTATTCAATTTATGGTAGCTGAAACAGCTCTATTTTCATGGGGTGAATCTAAAGCAACCGTTGAATCATGGGGCCCTCACCTTGTGTAGATGCGCAAAGGAAAAACGATGGATCCATATTCAAAGCCGAGAGTTAGCCTCTGGTAATCAGTCACATGGCGTGGAAAATCACCATTAACATGCCTACTAACAAAGGGATTTCCCAGCTAACTATGATTATGATTATTGATTACTGGAGGGTAGCTGCTAATTCCTGATTATTAATGGCTATAGATGCTATAACAGACCCATTATCCATCCAATGAAATTTCATCACATCCCCATGGAAATCCCCTTGAAAATCACCAATTTGCAACTATAATATATACATATATATATATATACATACCTAGGTAAATTACAATATTTCACTAACCTGAATTAAGGCCATTTAGGGATGATTTCCCTTCTAACCATGATTCCAGTGAGGTCGCAGTGAGGTCGTTATAATTTATATATATATATATACTTTGGACCAGCCTGGGACTTAGGGACTTATAAGTCATGAAGTAAGTTCACTTATAAGTGGCTATGTGGCATGTCAAGTTAGTTATAAGTCTCTAGCTGGTTCCTAGTGTGGGGTAGGTTAAGTGGCACTTACTATTGACTTAGGGTGAGATATAAGTTCTATACGTTAAATGATCATGACTTAGAGATCACTTAGCGACCACTTAGCTTGGATTTTGAAATGTAAGTTTGTGCAAGGGTTTTGGGTTAGCTCTGAAATCACGATGGTTTTTGCAGGCATTTTGGCTGCAGGCATGTCGGTTGAAAAGCAATGGGAAGCTGCGCAGAAATTCCTAAGAGGAATTCGTTCGCTGACCTCCTACGAGGAGGTCAAGGATAAACAGGCGCTGTGGGTGTGCAGAAAGCACTGGACAAAGTGCAGTGCTTCGCGGCAGCTCAAGCGGCTGCGTGGCTGGCACAGGTACAGCCCGACTTCTGGGGTGACTCCCAAGCGGAGTCCTTCCGTGAGAATGTTGCTGTGAAAACGAGGCCTGTGGAAAGCGATCAGACTCGTTGCTTGGACTCTACGGGAGCCTGGGCATGCGCAGAGGGAAGGGCTGCAGACCGCAAGGTCTTGAAACGCCTGAGAACCTTGTTGCTCTACGGGCAGTGGGGCGCTACACATCTGGATGTGCCTCCACATCCAATAATACTACATGGTTTCTCTTTGATTCCGGCTTCCTACGAGGAAGTGACGAATGCCTGGCGTGAACAATTGGGTTGGAATCAGATGTACCTGTCTGACGACTTGCATCTTGCTGGCAAATGGCTGGCGATCTTGGCATGGCACTTCTCTATAGGCGAGAAAATCGCATTAGGGAATTTCTCTGGTGTCGACGCTGTGCATGGCTTCTACGGCAAGCTCGACGCAGCCTACGGGCTGCAAAGGTGGAGGCAGAAACATCACCATAAGGATTCACCCAAAAAAATCGTTGTTTGTCCGTGTCTGCGAATGTCTGCGGATGTCTGCGGATGTCTGCGGACAGAGAGTATGAAACTGACATGTCTGCGGCACTTGTCTTCGGAGCGTGGAAAAGGTGCTTCCGAGTGGGTTTCCGTGTGTCTGCGGTGTCTGCCAAGAGGGAGAATCCTGCTGGGACACATGGGACATGTCTGCGAGATGTCTGCGGGATGTGCAACCGGCAGAATCATGTCTTCCTAAGGATGTCTGCGGGTTTTGTTTCAAAAGTGAAAAAAAATCAAAAGTGCATGGGACATCGCCTACGGGGCGATAGCGGGGGCAAGACCCAAGTTTCACTATGCGCTCCATCTCCAAGAACAAATTCACAGATGGCGGCGACACATTGATTGCTTTGCTGGGGATCGCAAGCATTGTGTGTTTAAGTCCATTGTGGCTCCGCGCCTGACACGGCTGAATTGCTTCACCCGGAGCACGCTGTTGCAAATGACAGAACGGAACTCACTACGAGTCACCTCGAAAGTGAGTACACTGGACAACTCATAGGGAAGCCCACGCAAGACGTGGTGCTAGCAATGGAGCTCGGAATATCTCCTGAAAGTTTCTTTGCCAAAGGCATCCAAATCTATTGCGTCGAATACCCACGTGGTAGCTTCGTCCAAATGTCAGCTACGTGTTGCATAGAAATCTTACATGGTCTGTCAAATGCACATGGCTTCTACGTCGTGATGCGAAAATTGCAATCCTTTCTTGCAAAGAATCATTATCAAATGGAAGCGCCTATCTGGCGCAAAGACAATCCTTGCAGCTTCTACTTATACTTTGATGCACGAGGAGCGTATGCGTTTGCGCCGCCAAGATCAAGACGGTCTTTGGCTTTTACGTTAATCCACGACATCAGGAAGCAGCAAAAAAAAACAAAATTGACGGGCGGAGAACACCCCAAGACCATGTCAACATCCATGTTTTCAAAAATGACAAGCATTGCAAAAAAATCCCTATGAAACACTTAGCTCACTTAGCGGCCAATAAGCTCCCACTTAGCACACCATCAAACCTAAGTTTCCTAAGCGCCACCTAACTGCCAGCTAAGTTCCTAAGTGCCAAAGCGGCTCCATAGTATAATTACATATACATCCTATGAATCCCACTAATTCCGACTAAATCCCCATTGAAACTGGACCCACTGGATTTCCTTGCTTTCCTCGAGGCACTGTGCGAACTACCAGTGGCTCCCACGAACTCATCGAAATTGATCTCACCTCGCAGTGCCCCCCCCGATGCAACAGGAACCAATTGATTGGAGGTACCGATTCCACATATAAGGCCTATATAAGGGCTATGGCTGTTGGTTACTTACCTCCATTTCTCAAAGAAGTACCCTCTGGTAAACTAACAGTTTGCGATTGAAAATGGCCATAGAAATAGTGGATTTACCGAACTTAAAAACTGCGATTTTCCACAGTTCTGTAAACGTTTACCAGAGGGTACCTAGGTCAATGGGATTTTCAGGTTCCTGAAATCTGGGTATATAATCGCTATATAGATTATAATAATTCACTAACCTGACATAATGAAATCGCAACATTTAGTCAACCTCAGGCCAAACTTTGAATGCAAACTGCAGTGACAAAGGAGTGTCAACACCGAATAGCCTGATGGCAAATGATTAGAAAACAGGCTACAACAAGCCACTGCTCAAAAAGACGAATGGGATTACGGTGGGCTTATGCAATTACTTCATTCCTCAGAGGAGGGGCACACACACAATTAGCCTGTGAGAGTACAAGATAGTGCAAAATCAGTATACTCAAGGCCACGATTCAAGGAAAGAGTTTCAGGAAACCATTGTCTTTTACAGGCTCACCATTTGATCAATGGGAATTCCAGGATCCTAAAATGGAGGTACCGTACCATATAAGGACATATTTTCTGGGGATATTCCCTGAAATTTAGGCCTTATATAGGACTTATATATGGAATCGGTACCTCCAATCAGTCGGTACCTGTTGCATGGCCATTGAGCTGATGAAGTCGTGAGTTTTCGGGTCTATGGTCGACTCTACCATCTGAGTTGATTCAAATCCCCAAACTGTGGGGATTAACCGGTGACCCTGCCATTCAAGTCTAAATTCTTGAAAAAAAATATTTCTCCACATGAATGTTCCTTTGTTGATCACTAAAAATCATTAAAAATTCTTTAAAGATCATGAAAAATCCCAGCTGTTCCAGCATTTCCAGCTGTTTTCTTCTTGGGAAAACGACCAAACTTCTTTCACGACCACAGCGGCCGTCTCCGTCTCGGTCAAGATCTCGGACGACCTGGCGCACACGACCTCGCAGGACTGTGGCACTGTGGCCCGGCTGAGATAGTGATCGCCATGGGATGAAATAACTCCGGCAACTTAGGTTGGTTATAAATACATATATATATATACATATATATACATATATATATACATACATACATATATATATATATATACATATATATATATATATATATATACACATGGTACAACTAAGGTTGATCGCGCTGAGAAGCTCCTAGCCATGGTAGGTGGAGATATTCTGTATACTGTGGGTAAAACAATAATAAACCACCCATTTGGGAATGGTAAACATAGCACCTATTTATGGAATTTATGTACCGATTGGTCAAAAACCTATGAACTTACCATATTTTTTTGGGGGAATAAACATCCATTAGGCAGCTATTTTAGGGTACCTAGGGTACCAGGGTTTTGACCAAAAAAACAATATCAATATGGGAGGTTCCATAAATGGTGGTACCGTATTTCCATGGAAAATCCGATATATATATATATGTATATACATACATCACTTCAATGGGGAGATAAGACAGTTCTAACTGGTTTATAAGGCCATAATTGCTAAAAACCGCTTGGCTTTTGACACGTTTTGAAGCATCAGACAAGAGGAGAACCGTATGAATTTGTCCCAGTATGACGGCATACCCCATTGAATAGCAACTACAGTAACATGTAGACAAATCAGTGATTTGTTTGATAAACCATTGGGGCTGTGCTACCCAACTTTTGAGACATATTCGCATCACTTCGCATCATTCCATTATATATCTGTATGAAGGGTGCAAATTAATCACTAGAGGTCCATGAACCTTCCTGTAGAGTGATAAAACTGCAGTTTTGTTGCCTAGCTCAAAGCATAGAGTGCCTCGTCCTATACGGCCAATCTTACATACAAGTCCTATGTTTTTTGCTGACTTTTAGCTGGTGACCATGCAGTAATCCAGTGATCAAACGTGCGAAAATCCACCATGGATGTGCCATGATGGCCAGCGAACGACACCTCCGTTGAATTCGAGGATTTCCCACGTTTGATGACTCCTAAGGATCACCCATGACGGTGGCCTGAAAGGTGATGAGTCCCCAACCATGGAATTTTGCATGGATTTGGTTTAGGCTTGCCCGAAACACCATCCACATACAATACATACAATATGATCAATATGGTGGTGAAATCCCAATAAATGATGAAATTCCCACAAAAAGTGACCAGTCAACCAGCTTTGTCCGCAAGTTTCTCATGTATGTTTTTCACTGTATTTTTCATGGTTAAATCATCTGGTTGGTGGTTTCAACCCCTCTGAAAAATATGAAAGTCAATGAGAAGGATTATCCCATATATGACATGGAAAATAAAATTCATGTTCCAAACCACCAACCAGTCATCTTAAATCCCAATTTTGGTGAGTTAAATCTGGCTAAAACCGCTATGTTTCATGGATTGCAGGGCCGAAAAAATAAAACCAGCGAGCTGCCGATCTCCGTGCTGATGCCCAGGACCCGTAGGGCGCTGAGAAGCTCCTAGCCATGGTGGAGATATTCTGTGGATTTATAGATAGATGATCTGGTTGGTGGTTTCAACCTACCCCTCTGAAAAATATGAGTGAAAGTCAGTTGGGATGATGACATTCCCAATCTATGGAAAAATACAAAATGTTCCGAACCACCAACCAGTGATAGATGGAATGTCATGGGTCAGTCTATCTCTGTCAAATATCTATGATGATATATCATGGGTCTATGATAATAATACGGCAAGACCCTATGGTTTGCCCGCAAGGTTAGAATGGAGTTCAAATATTATCCTTCGACATGCTCAAAAACCTGCGCAGGGCCAGGTTGGTATTTACCAGACAACGAACCCTAAACCCTAAAACCCTAAAACCCTAAACCCTAAACCCTAAAACCCTGAAAACTCTGAATCCGAAACCAGAAAACACTGCGTGTACGCAGTATTGTCTGCAATTTCTCTTCTCATGTTCGGCAACAAGGCATCCTCAATGTTGCAGTCCGGGCAAACCACGGGGTCTGTGCGTAATAATAGATGATAGATACCCTCTGGTAAACTAACAATTTGCCAACTGGAAAATTGCCATGCTAATGGTTAAATTACTGATAAATGGGCAATTTTCAATAGCGAACTGTTAGTCATTACCGGCGGGTAGCTGATAGATGGACTTTACCATATTTTTTGGGGGGATAAACATCCATATTTCCAGATATTTTTGGGTACCGTTTGGGTAGCAGGGTTTTGACCCCAAAAACAATATCAATATGGGGGTGTCCATGAATGGGGGTACCCGAAAATGGATGGTTTATTCCATGGAAAATCCCAATCTCAAATGGATGAGAACAGGGGGTACCCCTATTTTAGGAAACCTCCACATATAATACATGTTACTATATTTGTCATGTACATAGTTACATCTTAGCAACTATATACTGTATATAGTTGCAACTGCGCATATCTATATATATATATATATGTATAATTGGATTTCCCAAGCCCTTGGAACGACCAGTCATGTGCAATGGCAGGTGCATCTTCAGGTAGTTGGATCGATTGTTTCACCACGTTTCGATCGTTTCACACGACTGGATATGTAATTGTATATTACCCTCTGGTAAACGTTTACATAACTATTGAACATAGACATTTTATAGCTGGGAAAATAAATGAAAATCAACTATTTCTCTGGCCATGGCTTCAATAGCAAACTCTAACAGTCATTACCAGAGGCTACAGATTGGTTGAGCCACCCATCTTCCAAAAATCTTCGCCGGAAACATCATCCCAAAAAATATGTCTGATGATTTACCAATTCAAAATGGTGATTCTCCATAGCTACATGAAATAACAAGAGGCCAATTGCATGATATGATGGAGAAGGGTGGAGCGGAGTAGGGTGCTGACTCAACCTTAGATTCAACGCAAGCTGCTCACGCAAGCTACGCTTCGTGTTCTACGACAAGCTGCACACCGCCAGCTGCAACGAAAATTTCTGGCAATCCAACATCTCAACAGAAACTCTGTTTTAGGGATGGATGAACCATCCGAAAATAGATTATTTGATAAGGCTGTTTCAGATGATTTGAAGAGATAGTGATCGCCATGGGATGAAATCACTCCGGCAACTTGGGCTGGTTATATATTATGTGTATATATATGTATATATACTGGTTGGTGGTTTCAACCTACCCCTCTGAAAAATGATGAAATTCCCAACTGAATGGAAAGTCATAAAATTCATGTTCCAAACCACCAACCAGATAAGGCTGTTTTAGATTCTTTTAACAGAAACTCAATGTGTTGAATCAATGTTTGGATTGTTGGCCCTGAAAACCACACCCAAACTCCAACAACAGCGCGGGTTTGCGGGGCGTTCCAAGAGGCCGGACCAAGCTTTATCTATATAATTATACACATATATATATATATATGTATACAATGTGGCCCCCCTCCCCAGTTATACATTGGTTTATAAGCCCCAGTAACTACAGTTATAAGCACCATAAACGATAGTTATTGGAGTTGTAAACCAACTTAGCTATCTTGGGGGCCTCACATTGTACATATCAACTATTACATTGATTTTCATGTTGCATTACATATAACCTGCATGGTCTTATCTATGTATGTGTACATACCTCTACGTATGTATGTATGAACACATATGTACACACATAATTGTATGAATCATAATGCTTTGGTATCTAATTGGACACATTGTTTATATACAAAATTATGCGAATATAGGTATGATTAGAGTTCATTTTAGTCATATTATATAGTCATCCTGGAGTAGATATATGGAATGATAATATCTGTAATCACTCCATCTTCTTTCTACTGTAATTACTTCAGTATCATTATGACAACATGCAAGGTGAGGCCCACCATTTTTAAATTGGTTTGTTAACCCGATGAACTATATAGTATCAGTTATATGCCCCTAATCAAGCCCAAGAGTGTAGCAAGTTGTGTGGGTCAACTTAGCTATCGTTCGAGGGCCTCACCATGTAACGATACTCTAGTTTTGGGGATATTTCATACTATAATAATACAATATAGATAGTATGTATTATATAATATATATAATATATATAATATACATAAAATATATATATAGTATGTATAATATATATATATATTATTTGTTTAATATATGTAATATAATAATGCTATTACATGCAGCATTACATGCGGGACTGGGACCCAAAAAATCCTTTAACACGAACTGAAATGGCATGATGATGGGAGTGTCTTAAAATTAGCGACCACCAAAACAACGGCTTTCAATATTAAGTCATGGTCCAATGATCTAATGACTTGGATGATTTGGGGGGTACCCCCATGACCTAGGAAACTTTCATATATATATAAATAAATAATGTATATTATGTATATATATATTATATTATATATATAACTGTATATATATATATATATGTATATATGTTATTATGGCTCATTCCATGTCATTCCCCCATTCCCTATACGTTTTTGCACCAGTATAACGACCCGTTTCACCACCAACACGAACTCGCGCCGTTCTCGCGCCGTCTGCCTGCGGCGAGATCTTGCCGTTCTCGTCTGCGTCGGCCAGTTCAAAGACCTCCCGAAGCTCTTTGCCTCGCGGCGAAGGATTTTTGATGGCGAATTGGAGATTTTGGAGCTGGGGATGTACGAATCCTAGGTGGCTCATCCCACGAATCCATTCGGTGAGTTCACCCTGGTGAACTAAGTGGGAGTAGGCTTAGTCCACTGCCCTAGAGTGAACTAACCTACTCAGGATTCGAGGGATGAGCCTGCAAGTAGATCATGGGATACAGTGGGATAGTGAGATGTAATGGGATGATGCTGGGGTGTAATGGGATATGATCCGGAATATGTAACTAAATTTGACGCACGAATAAGAAAGTGGTACCAGTTAAGTTAAGGTGTCCTATTTGTTGATTGAGTTTCGCCCCCTTTGTCCAGTTCGAGATAGCTACCAGAACCCATAGTTACCCTAATGGTGGGTATAACGCTATAACCATCGAACATCATTCAATGGCCATGCAACAGGAACCTAAATCCGAGGTACCTACCATATGTAAGGCCTATGATGTAAGGCCTATGTAATTAAGGGAATATCCGATCCCTACAAAATATGGTCTTATATGGTACAGTACCTCCATTTTAGGATCCTGAAATTCCCGTTGAATCATTGTTTTCATTCCTTAATTTGAAAAATAGGGTTTCCTTCTGAGTGTTCCATGGAGGACTTACCCGCCTTATCCCACGGTCCCACGGAATTTGATGTAAACCCTTGGAGAGAATGGGGTGCATAGAAGTAAGAATCCCTTTTTTTGTTGGACACCTTTAGGATTCAGGAAAAAAAACGTGCACGTCACCTGCTGGGACACGACTACCAGTGGCAAATGGTCATAGTTCCCAAAATTTCCCAAACTAAAGACACAAAATTAGCCCTCCATTCAGCAAAGAATCAGCCATCACTCTTTGAGTCATGTCCCGAATGATCTTTTTTTTCCACCGACATCTTTTCGGAAGACCTTTCCACGACCGGGAGTCGCACCTTTGGTCCTCCACTAAAAAAAATCCCAAATTGAGATACCCTCTGGTAAACTCACAGTTTGCGAACTGGTAAATGGCCCAGTCGAACTAGTTAATTTATGTTAATTTACCCAGCTATAACATGGTGATTTTCCATCGTTTCTTGTTAATGTTTACCAGAAGGTACATAAACATGGATCAGATTTTGCGATGAATTGGCGTCCAAGGTGGATTGGCGACCTAAAACATGTCAATTCATGTGCTGACATGACCTGGTTGGTGGCTGAGCCCTACCCAAAAAGTGTTGGTTTTATATTACAAACCCAAAAAATATGAATTATAGATATATTAACTATTTTTTAGGGTAGTATTACTTGGTTGGTGGATGCTGGTGGTATACCTAACCCTCTGAAAAATATGAGTTCGTCAGTTGGGATGATGAATTCCCTAGAATTGATGGTATTTACCGGTAAGATGTTCACCAATTGTTGGGATATGTTGGGATAGTTACGCCGGCTATCCTCAAGCATCATTCCAGTGACGTCGCAGTGACGCCCTTAGAATTGACCATCCAATCATCCAACCCGATGTGGGCTGGAAAATCCACCAGTTTTCGTTCATTTTCGCGAACGACACCTCCATCAACTGTCGATTTTCCAGCCACAACGTGGGCCCCTAGTTATTACTAGTAGTTGCTTTAGATTGCATATAACATCATATAACTACTGTAGTTTTATCTACAAGATGAAAAGCCCCGGTTGCAACTTGGTTCAAAGACCCGATGAACTATAATGCCAACAGGCAAGTAAACTGGGTTAGTCAACTTCGCAATGGTTCGGGGCCTCACCTTGTACCATAAGCCATACAGAGATATTCATATGTTATTGATTGTCTATACATGTATGGTACATTTCATTATATTGTGGCTCAGTTCATTTTGTTATAAGTATACCATATAGAAGGGATTATGTAATTATGGTTATTTATTCGATCCATCTTATAAATAGTGTGGGTCTTTATTATGGCTGATTATGCACCTGCACAATAAACCATCCACACCCTCCGGTTATTTAGCAGTTGGCTATTGAAAATGGCCCATTTAGTTCGTTGATTTACCGAAATGAAAATTGGTCAAAGGAATAGAGACCCTTTGGTAAAGGAAGAGTTTGCGAACTGGAAAATCACCTTCTTTGATAGGTCAATACTCTATACATGGATCATTTTCCATAGCAAACTGTTACCCTCTGGTAAAACTAACATAACTTCATAACTATGGAAAATCGCCATTTTTTTATGGGTAAATCAACTATGAATGGCAATTTTCAATAGCTATGTTAAGTTACCGGAGGGTAGTTTACCAGAGGCTAAACCATCCATAAACCGTCTCCAAGGCACTGAGTTCTGCCGTCACGGGCCGTGACAGGGCGTCTCTTCGGAGCGGTGAACGGCAGCGGCGGTGCCTGGCGTGTAGGTCACTTGCTGCATCGATGAATCTCCATCAACCAAAGGCACCCTAGGGTGCTTTGTTTCAAGCTGGGTGAACTTCAAACAAAATCTGAAGACATTGGTCATCCCACGGTCAACCTTGAATATGGCGCAAGATCAAGTTGAATTCAATTACCCAACTCAAAAGTGGTTTCATGATGAACTCCCAATCTGGTTTCGTCCAATATCCGCCATATAAATACCAACCAAAGAAACCATGGCGCTGCACGCCACGTTGCAAGTGGTTAATCCATCGATTATTCACATGACAATATGTCCCAGGGATAGTGATTGGGATGCACATCCAAGTCAGGTGTAGTTGGGGTATTAACGGTCCCTAAGTCATGCGGGACCCCGACTCATCATCAAAGTCAGTAATTACTATAATGATCATGGGGAAACGAATGGTGACAAGGGGCATCTGTTTTTGATGGGTAGGTTTTCATCATAATTGCAGATAATCCCAAATTTGGATACAAAAAAAAGGTAATCAAACGTAGCTTGATGGAGAATCCACCATTGAATAAATCATGTTCCCATCAAAATCAACGCCCCGCCATTTAATAAAATCCACCGTTTGATTCATAGATCATTTTCCCATCAAAATCCCATCTGAAAAAAACGCCCCGAACTCCAAGCGCGCCACCGTCCGTCGCCTCCCAGCCAGGACTCCCACGGAAAAGAAAGCGGCCGTGGCGGCCGCGGCACGCGCGGCCGGCACGGGAGCTATGTGGGACCTCGGCGATTTCCCCCACAACCTTGGGATTTTCCAATGGGGGCCCCATCCTGTGGTATTGTCCAATAATTAATATGATGATCGCCATCAATAGTAATGGTAGTAGAAATAATACCATGATAATTTTCCAGTAGTAGTAGTAGTAGTAGGAGTAGCAGTAGTAGTAGTAGTAGTAGTAGTAGTGTAGTAGTGGTAGTGGTAGTGGTAGTGGTAATGGTAGTGGTAGTGGTAGTGGTAGTGGTCGTCGTCGTCGTCGTAGTAGTAGTAGTAGTAGCAGTAGTAATAGTAGTAGTAGTAGTAGTAGGAGTAGTCGTAGCCGTAGTAATCATCAGTTGGATAATATGACAATCCCACTAATAGTCATTTTCCCATGAATAGTACTACTAATAATAGTAATTGTAATTTTCCAATCATGATATATATATATATCAATAGTATATCAATAGTATATCAATAACTAGTATATATTGTTCAAGTAGTTAGCAATAAGAATTGGCAATTATCTACTAATTGTAATTATTAGCTAATAGATCATGGCAATACAGTATGGCATCTTCCATAGATATGATTATCTCCACGAATATCCATGAATAGTAATAGTAATAATTAAAGGATCTACAACTGATCTTGGGTAGTAATCACAATCTTGGGCAATATCAACCACAGAGATCCACAGAGTAGAAATATGTCGTAAATACTATACCAAGATTGTAAATCAATAGTATATCAATAATTAGCAAATAATAGCAAATAATATCAACAGCTATTATTGATATACTAACAACTAGATATACTAGCAATAATTAGCTATTTTTTCTGATCTAAGCATGATCATTGTTACTAACAATTACCCTCTGGTAAACTAACACAGCTATTGAAAATGGCCATAGAAATAGTGGAACTTCCCATTAAAAATTGTGATTTTCCAGTTCGTTATGTAAACCTTTTTCCAGAGGGTAGTAGATTACTAAGATATATCATGATGAAAATAAAATCCCGGCCATAGCCAGTTCGCCAGTTACGTTCATGGGATGAGCCATACAAGTAGCAACGATTTTTTCTCATCCGAGGTTTACCCAGTTAAAGTGGATCATCATAAATACAATGTGAGGCCCCCAAGATAGCTAAGTTGGTTTATAACTCCAATAACTATGGTTCATGGTACTTACAACTATAGTTGCTGGGGCTTATAAACCAACTTATAGCTGGGGGGCCTCACATTGTATGGTATTTTATGGTGTATATGTGTGTAAAAAAAGTAGCCACTGGGTTGCAAGCACTTCCTAGAAAAAACGTGGTATCATTATGTATAATTCATATCATTAGTTACCCTCTGGTTTATTAACATAGACCCCGGCAGATAGGGGTTGGAAGACTATTTTCCACCAAAAATTGGTGATGTTCAGGGTCTATGTTAATTTACCAGGGGTTATATGCCTTCGAAAAATTGGATATGTGAAAACTTGTCTCATACCTGCTCGGTTGCCGGCCTCTGCCGCTGAGCGCCCGCTGCCGGCCAAACGCTGCCCGTCTTCGGCGCCGGAAAGCCCGCGGTCGCGGCGGTGCGCGGCCCACGCGACATGCGGCAGCCGCGGCAGCCGCGGCATGCGGCCGCTGGGTGGCTGGAAAAATGCTGCCTTCAAAGCTGGGCGCAGCAAACTTCTGAGTTTTTCCCACGTCTTCCCCATTCATGCTGAAGGTTGAGGTAATTTAGTTGGGTCTATGGCAAAAGGGTGGAAGTGTGTTTTGCGATTGCCTGTGCACGAAAATGCTCAGGACTACCAATACTTAAAGAAAAACTTTAGACTATCTTTGGTATGAAAGCGATCAAAGAAGACCCCAACATGCTGGTCTTGATATGCAGCCTTCAGATGGTTGTCTGTACATATATATATATATATACATAATATTATATAATATATACATACATACAAAATCATACAAATATGTAAGAGGTGGGGTTTCAAAGGATAGCTAAGCCGGCTTATTTGCCTAGATGAATTCCATGGTTTCTCCATGTCTATGAGTAAAAACTAAACCAACTCTTTTTTTGTGTGTTTCTCAAATGAAGAGCACCTTCCGTGACTCATCCATGATGTGCCACCAAAAAGTGACGCTGAAGTTCAAAAAAAAGGACCTATTTTAGGGATCGTTGCCACATCATTTTTCAGAATTCAGAAATTCATGCGAAAGCGTTTGTTGATTTTTTGGGAACGGGCCGCCTCGTTTGGGCTGGCAAGCTGAAAACTGCTGCATTGAAGGAACTGTGGCTGGTTGTCTATGGAATGACAGGGGTTTGGAGCCAATAACAAAGAGGGGGGCTCAACTGGCTCAACTGGCCAGAAGCGGCATTCATGTGTGCTGTATTCTATAACCCATATACTCCATGTATGGTATATTTACCTACATTTGGGTGATTTTTAGGGCAAATGTTGGTAAATATTCCATACATGGAGCATATGGGTAATACTTGTCCGAGCTACTAACTCCATATAATTGCATATATAATTCCTAGCCGTTGAAAAGAATCATGTTCTCCATTTTTCTCCAAAATGTCGTAGACCCAGTAGTTACAAGTAGTGACTTATATTTTCACTAGTCCATGAAGATGTTCTAAAACTACGCTCGCCGTTGCTTGGGATCATCATTCCCCCTTTTTGTCAAAGCACCAATTCTTGGGTCATCTCTTCATCTGGTTGGTGGTTGGAGCCCTACCCATCGGAAAAATCATGGACTTCGTCAGTTGGATTATGAAATTTCCAACTGAATGGGAAAATAAAAAAAACAAACCACCAACCAGTCATTGTACCTCATTCTGGCTCTCTGTTTTGCCAGTCTCCATTGATCAGATAGCGATCGACTTCTTCAAAAAGCCTCGAGCTCGAGAACATGCTGCACCCATTTCTGAACCATCCTTTCCTCTGATGGCGGCTCAAAATTCCAGCAAAAAACATGAGGGATAAGAAGTCACAAGACACTCAAAACAGAAACCCCTTCTACCGTTTTTGGACATGTTTTAGTATCATCCAAGCATCCAACGTTCCTAAAATCTTCTCCAAGCTGCCGCTCGAAGAATCCTTTTTGTGAGCTACTTATTCCTCCATATACAACCAAAAAAAGAACCCTTAACTTGTCAAACAAAGGTTCACCCCATCTTCCCACTTTTGGACTCACCCCAGGAATCGGAATTCTAACTGGTGAAGAAGTGCCATTCCTGTGCCATTCGCATCGCGGACTTTTTCACACCAATCAGTTCCGGTGAATCTTGGAACATCCCGAACTTCACAGCTCCGCTCTGTCACAGCTCCGCTCTGTCACCTGGGAGATGACATTTTGGGAAGCCCTTTTTGGGAAGCCATCGAAGCTAAGCCGATCCCCCATTGGATGATCAAAACCGGGTCAAACATGGGTAATCTATGGATAATCTATGGATAATCTATGGATAATGTCAACCCATGGTGGGGTTTGACATGTATTGCACGAAACAGCAAAACTCGGGTTTTGAACACTGCATTTGCCACGAGGGGAGCTGTCTGAAGGGTACCCATTTTCAACCATTGGTTCAACACCCTTTTTTCTAAAATAGTAACAATTGGGGTGTAATTTCCCCATTTTCAGATAAACCCATATGAGTCATATGAGCAATTGAAAGCCCTGCCCCATCTGATGAAACAAGTTGGTTGATAGCTTTCTTTCCGAATCCTATGGGTTAGAAAATAATCCCCAAATCAATGAGCTAGTGGAGCACGTATCAGTCACAACAAGTTAACCAGTCATTCATTGTTTTTCCATCAATTCACCAGATGCTTGATGGTTGAAACCCCTACCAACCCTGTAAATCATGATGATTCTATTCTCATACCCTATCCAACAAAGGTACTTTAAATGGCTCATCATGGCTCTTCCCCATAGCAGGCCTCGGGCTCATCTGGGGCCATTTGTCTTGCCTCTCGATGAAGGGCTCCCTGCATTTGGCGCCTGGCGTATGGGAATCTGGTAATTCTATGGTTTATAGGTTGGAATATGTTGGAATGATCAACCAACTATAGGTCCGTATGGTTTATTTTAGCCCTTTTATAAATACGCTGGTTGAACTATTGTAAATATGTGTGCATTATGGTAAATAAATGCATTATGGTAAATAAATACATTTTACTATAGGTAAATATTTGTGTAACCAAATCATAGTACCTATGGTAAAGCAATTCATCATGGTTTATAACTATGGCAGATTACCATGCTATTCATGGGTAAATCAACGATTTCTCTATGGCCATTTTCAATAGCTATTTTGACATAACCAGAAGGTATATGTAATTCATAATGGTTTTTGTGGATGGTTTGTATAGGTTTTTTTCGCACCCACCCACTCACTGGGGACCACCTTGCAGAAATTTAGCCTGGGATGTGATTCATGGATTGCCATCAGGGGATATCATGGAGGTGTACCCTATGGTTATGTCAACAGTTTGCTATTGAAAATGGCCATAGAAATAGTGGATTTTCCCATTGAAAACGGTGGATCTTTTCCAGTTCGCTATGTAAACGTTTACCAGAGGGTAACTCGCAAATGGGCATTCTGGAGAAACTGCATCATAAGTTCCTGACCTGAATTTCTGGGCAACTTTTGGGATAGTTACCCCAATCCTAAACATACTTCCAGTGACGTCGCGATGTGAAGTCATTACAATTTGCAGTATCCAGATGGGATAAATGGGGTATTGTCATCGCGCCATGAATGAGATAATGGGTATATTGGCTGTGAATTAAAACCCCACCAGTGAACATCCATATAGCTGGCAAATGGATGTTCATCCTCCTCTAATATGGTGATAGATGGTTGTGACCCAATCCCCATATAAATCTTGCTGGTTGAGATCCTCTAGAGCTACCCTGACGTGATTTACTAGATTTATGATCCCATGCTTCTCTCTGAAATCATTCAACAGTGCCATAGTTTTCAGGGTCAAACCATGTTTCAAGTTCCACCTGACCCAGGCCCGGCTAGGGAAACCCCATGGGTATCCCAGGCCCGGCTCAAACTGCAGATCTTGTCCACCGGAGGGTGCTTAATTAGGCTTTTTGGCACCTGCGGTTGGTTTCGCATGTAGAAACCAGCCACCGCCAGGAAACTGCAGCGCCAGAGCGCAGGCCAGATGTCAGTTTATGTCAGATGTCGAAACCTACCATTCTGACAAGGGCTGCCGGGACTTGTGCTTCGAAAATTGCTGCATTCCAATGGAACAGGTAGGGTCCGTCATGGAGGTCAGGGTTGTTCGCAACGAACCTTCGTCACTTAGATCATGCTGAAGGAGTCCAACACGATTCCACATATACTACCCTCTGGTTATTTAACATAGCCATGGAACATGGCCCATTTATAGATGGTTTACCTATTAAAAATTGTGATTTTCCATGGCTATGTTAAATAACCAGATGGTAAGTGATTGATTACGGCGCCTTATTTGCTTCAGATCCATTTATTTGGAATGGATTGGTTGGATCCCGTTCTTGTTGCGATGCTAGTTCCGCGCGAGTGCCAGTTGGCCACCCTGGTTGGATAAGAAAGGGCCCAGGTCATGGATGATACCCCCTGGCAATTTCACATAGCTATTGAAAATGGCCATTTATATCCATTTATAGTTGATTTGCCTATTGAATATATTTGAAAATTGTGTTTGTTAAAGTGATGTAAAAAATAGTGCCCAACCTCTTTTGGTCCTTACCAGGAAAAGTAGAAGGGTTGGTTTGGTATATTATCTGGTTGGTGGTTGACCTACCCCCCTAAAACATATGAAAGTCAGTTGGGATTATTATTCCCAATATATGAAAAAATACAACTCATGTTCCAAACCACCAATCAGATATTATGTATTATGTATGATCATTTCTCATCTACCTAGTGGTTGGTTTGAAAAGGAACGGGGGAAGCCTTCATTTTTCATCGGCCAACCATTCCGGGATGTTAAGGGACATCTATGATTTGCACCAACAGTAATAATCCCCGATTTATATACATTATAGCATCTATGATCATACATTTATGGTAATCTATAATACATTACTGTTAACCTATACTGTTATCTATCATTCAGGGATTTACACCTATTGGTTAGTATAATCCCCGACTCATCATGAACCAAGCATCAATTATCAGTGATGTTCACTACCCGCATTCATTTTCATGGTGATAAAATCGTGAAAAATCACTAGGATCATCAACCAACGGATCATCCCCAATCCCCTAAAACGCATTACCATTAGTCCCCTCTTCATGGATTGCGATACTCCCCCCATTAATCTTGGTTAATATAATTAATCCAATAACAATACCCTAGTGTCATTTAGTATCCATATAAATCCACATATACCCTATAACTAATCAATTGTTATTGCTAGTATATAACTACAATGTGAGGCCCCCAAGATAGCTAAGTTGGTTTATAACTCCAATAACTATGGTTTATGGTACTTATAACTATAGTTACTGGGGCTTATAAACCAACTTAGCTATCTTGGGGGCCTCACATTGTATAATTCATTAATCCAATAACAATACTAATCCCTAATGGGTTGTGATCA